TTTGTTCATTGTAAAGTAGTATGACTACAATAGAGCCAAAGATGCAGAGGGACGTGTTGTGTAACTTGAGTCAGTCAGCACAGGCGATGCATGATACTTGTACACTATTTAGGAGTAGTTCCTAAAATGCCAGCTAAAAACCCAGTCCTTCCAATCATCTTTGTTGCCCAATCCAATGCATGTGAACGATTCTCCTGCTCCAGTCCAGCATGCCCATCCTTCAACTTTCTTGATTCGAGGTGACATGGTAGTATGGCAACAATGGGTGTTGTTGGATCATCATTATCATGCAAAGTGTAAAATGACACACACCCTTTTGCTATACGTGAGGATCATCATTTCTTTTATTTACGTGTACCTATTGTCTATCGTGAGGGTGATGATGACGATGGGTGGATGGAGTGTATAGGGTAATTGGGTGGCCAGTGTAATAGCAGTAGGGGATTTAAACTTGGGGGACGGTAGCTCCACCACTTGAGACAATACTTCTCTTCTCTTTCTCACTCCTTTGCTTTTATCCCATTCACAACATCCCAATCGAGGTAATGTGTTATCAAAGAGTGCTCTTGTTGGCTGTGAGGTATTAATGTAGTTCTGAACATGCATTGTCAAGGAGTGTGAGTGTGTCCAAGTGCTGAGGAATGAGCGTGGTTGGTGGTTGGTGGTTGCCATGGCGATACTGTTGCTTCCTCTTGTTCGTTGCTACTCCCGCTCTACGCTTGGTGTCAACAGGTACATTCAGAGTCCAATGTCGCAGCTGAACCGGTTCCATTGACTTGTTAGCTTGTATAGAGGGCAAGTTTGGTCTCAAGGCGTTGGCTCGTTTGGCGTTTTGTTTCGGCTCAACTACACTACTACACCATGGTTTTCGGTTTCCAGTAACCAACAACAAAGGGTTCTTTTTGTATACGGAAAAGGCAAGTGCAATGAAACAAACAATGAAAAGGGTGTTTATTATGTGTGTGTGTGCGTGTGTGCTAATAATGAATTGAATAGGTTTCTTTGGTCAGGCAATGCAACTTTGGACATCATCATCAACTAGTACCTTTCGGCTAGCAATTTGACACTATCAGTGCACGACAACACGCTCTTCTCGGATGCTGGTGCCAACTCTTTGAGGATCAGGAAGACCGGCGTCATTATTTCCTAAGAGAGGATGAATGAGGATGTATATGAGCCTGGCCACAAAGAAAGTGAGGAGCCCATTATGATCCAATCGACAAATGAGCCATCTATTTTCCTCTTGAAACGACTACTCACACGAGCACCCTCGAAGAACACCTTATTTCGTGGAATTTGATCGCAGCAAGTGATGTGTGGAAGCAGGTGGACGATGGATATTGCCACCTAGTTGATCTCAGATCCCTGATTTATGCATCACTCCAAGGCTCTTCAAACACATCACTCGTGAAAAATGACCTGAGAAATCTGTCAGCTCATCACTAGCCGGCATTCGTCACTCTTCCCTCATTTTTCGTGATCACACACGCACCTCATTCTTCCATCGTATCATTCGTTGATTGTTGACGCCGTGAAACGCCCTTGGTAAGTATCATGGTGGATGACCTTACTTTGTGAGCGATTTATGATGTACTCATCCATGTCTGTGATGGTCTGTAGCGTTTCATTGTCGTTGTTGTCATTGTGATCTTTGCTGTTTATTAAGGTAAAACCCAATCATCTTGCTTGATGACGCCCCAGGCTCATATTTCTTCTGATGTAGCTACCTCTAAAGATGCATGTGCAATGTTACATTAGGTGATGATCCATTCGACTATACCCCCGCATGGTGTTGTAATGGCTTTCCAAAGATTTTCTTTTGCCGTGGATGGGCTGCTTTATCAGCGATTAACGCTACATCACCTGCCACCTGGACCACTTTATCAGCAATCCAAGCCATCACGACTTTCCATGGACAACAATCCCCACGCCCAAAACACTTAAAAGGAAGGCTGTTGCCATTGGCGTTATCATCACCCATCTTTCTTCTATTCGATTGCATGTATACCACAAGAGCACCATCGTTTGGTAAGTGTCGAAGATAGCTTTTTGGTGTCTCATTGGAGGATACTCATGCATTGATATTTGTGATCTTTTATGTAGCTCGTTATTGCTTTGTTACTTGTGCTCATTGTTGTCCTTGTGGTGTCTAATCTTATTCCCTGGTGGATCCTTTGCAATGTGGAAGTGGTGATTCTATATGATAAAGATGACGCAGTCTTGCCATCAGGTAATAATTGTGATGACCATGCGTATTGGTATAGCTATCTAATTGCTGGTGTTATAGTAATCTCGAGTTGTATATCGATCTGCGTTGACAACAATGCTGGCAGACTGAAAGCGATTATATCGCAAAGAACACTCAGCCCTAAAAAAGAACATATCAGCGTATGGATGAAGGCGATTCACCAATCGGCAAGAAATGGAGGCTGCCGAGTGGTACCCTGGTGGGAGATGCCATGTATAAATTCGGCCTTCCGTGTCAATATGAGCAGTAAGTGATCATGGAAGAAGGTCTATACAGTATTCAGAACATCATTGCTAACACATGATGCATAATACAATAGCCCTGTCCACTCCTTCATCTTCTGCATTGATGACCCTGGCCGGCAAAAGGTTTTTGGCAAGGAAGACTTACAAGCCATCATCCTGGAGAGTGATCCATCAAGTCAAACGCCTGAAAGCTGTTCGGGAGCGCATAACAAGATTGGAAGCCGAGTATGCAAAATTTCGTAATGAGGTATGTTGTACTCTTGACACCATCAAATATGAATCTAAGACAGAGTCCAATGAAGGCTGAAGAACGTAAGCAACAAGCTGCTGAGGACACTATTGTGTCTTGTGAAGCTGTCACTGAACAAGTATCAAAACCAAAGGAGAAGCGTGTGTCAGCTTTCCGATATGGCCTTGGGGATAGCCAGGCGAGAAGAACCAAAATGAGAGGCTTCTTGACAAAGATTCTCATGCAAAAAGACGAGGTGGATCGAACGGACTTGGGCTCCTTATGGGATAGCGAAGCATTAACTTCATCTGAAATCGATGTTATCTTCAAGATATATCGCTCATTGAGACCATTATTACGACATGTATACAACACCAAGTGTTCTATTGCCTCGCAGATACCCTTTTGCTGTCTGGCAAACAAGATATTGATTGCCGCAGGAAACCAAAAGCAAACAAGAGCTTTAATAACGTTTTCTTCTATCGCGACTATTCATGCATTGACCATCACACCAACCACTTTACTGAAGATTATCGGCGATATGGTAGCAACCCCCGGTTCCTTACCAATTGCAAAAGCCAAAGATCACAAGGGAGGAAACGATGGGTTTACTCTTCAACAACGACAAAAATGAAGGAGCTGTGCAAGGATCGGGATTTACAACCGCCACGTCGCATTGGTGTCGCCCATATTCTGGGTACTATGATTAGCCCCAACTTCATTGCTCAAAATCAGTCAAGGCGCTCGTGACTTTTTGGATGCATTCGATACCCGAAATCAGATTCATCATATAATTAAACGATCTTTCTTGCTTAGGTAGAATGTACGTAGACTAAGACGACAACGTAGCATAGCCCATTCCAGTTATCATCTCTGCACATGTAATTTATTTCACTACAAAACATTGCTTTTTAAAGACGCTAAGTTCTAAACTATCCAGCTTGTAGCAATGGGGAGAGGAGGAATGTGGAACACGGGTACTGCGAGAAGCTCCACGTGATCATGTGGTGTTCAAAAGAGCCAATAACCGATTCATGCAGCACTCCACATTTGTCTTTTGCACCACCTACCGATACACACGCAACGCACCCACATGACAACCATTGCTGAATCACCACGTAATGAGAGGACCCAACGACTAAAACGCATTGAGCTTGCCATTTCACCTGGTCGTAGTTTGGGACCTTTTCGACTAGGTAAAGAAGACAGGACTTCACTTTTTCCACTCTTTCAAGTCATCCAACATCTCTTCCCATTCCAGGTTCGACGCTTTGGGACACCATTCAATATCTTCGAGATCGACCCCAATTCTTTCCCTCGGTAGAACTCAAGTATAGTCAAGAGGTAAGCCATCTCCTTTATTCAGTCATTCGTCATGCTAAAGAATCAGGAGTCGTTTCCATAGGACCCGGTCAAGTTTGATTTTGTTATAGCGTTGCCAGTGAATGGGATACACTTGCGTTTCGATGGTGGGCTTCAGCGTATGAAATCGATCGAGTGCTTTGATCCCTCCAAGGTCAAGCTAGTATATCAAAATAGCGATGTCAGCTCTAGTCGTACAATCCCAACGTTTTTGCTCATCTACAAAGCTTTTGGGTAAGCAAACATTAGTGTTGGTAATCATGAAAAGATAACTCAAATACCAATAGCCCCACCTATCCTGGAGAATTTGATTCATCACAATCCATTTACACATTGAAATACCCGGTAGGCTATATATCAGAACGATGAAGGAGCTCGAAGCTGATGATCACGTTAGGGCATATCATTCATGTTTCCAATCCCAGCTCGCCACAAGAATCTTTATGCAACCTCTTCTGGTAAGCAAGCATCACATTGCCATTGTATGTTCAGCTGCCTTATGTTGTGATTAAAAAGATCTCCCTCTTGAATTCCCTGATGGTACCACGCCTATCGCTTCACGAGTGTGTCTTTTTTCTACAAGCGGCACAAGCTGGAAAAAAGCTACTGTCCCGCCCTTATCGAAGGTGATTGCAGAGAACAACGCCTCCAATCGAACCTATGGCAAACCAGGTCGTCGTGAAGTAGAGGAAGTAAAAGCTCAGGTATGTACATAGAAATAGGGTGGATGAAAGAAAAAGCAACGCTTGCTGATCCTCATCTTACAGCCCAACCGAGGAGTCGTCCTTACTTTTCCTACACACGATGATTCAAGCAACAGCACAGTATCCAACCAAGTTGAGATCCTCCTTCATATCTCTCGACCCCAGGACATTTTGGCTGATCTCGGCAAACCATCACGTGTGTTTTACAAGGAGGAAGACAAGATGAAAATTCATTCAGTAACAGATGATGGAGCCATGTTGGGAGGAGCTACCGATGAGGATGCTGAGAGTGGTGAGCGAATTGTTCGAGCAAGTGGTCCTGATGAGGATGAAAAAGGTACTTTTGAAGGAGGTCGTCTTTCTCTGCTTTGGGATTAATCAACATTATTTGATAGATGTGTCCACTGTGGATCCTACGGATTACTTTTTCAACTTTTTCCACCTTGGCTTGGATGTTTTGATGGATGGCACTCTACACGTTTGCAAAAAGATAGTGCTTCACGGCAATATACCAGGTCATTATGATTTCCAGCGGTAAGTAGTATGATAAGGGAGGATTCATGGATCAGTGCTGATGGTGGTTTACAGATACAAACGATGCCCTTTCAAAATCCACTTTCCAGAGTATCCTAATGGTGAGATGATTGCGAGTATTGTAGTTGCAGTACGCTGATATTGTTTATAGAGGCGAATGGAAAGGATGCTTTGGTAGATGTCGAGGATGGATCATTACCGGGTAACGTTGTTACTGCTGACATGAAGGTAAAAGTGGTAGTTTACTGATATACACAGTGCACGTGGCTTACAAGCATAATGCTATCATTAGATTGATACGATGAAAAAACGCATCCCTTGGGATTCAAAGAACACGGTGACAGTGGGTGCTCCTCCTGAAGCTGGACGACCTAAGCCTGTTATTCTTACACGAGGATCAAGCGAGCAAAACCCTTTTGGATCGACCTATTTAACTGGATATGATGAGGGCGTTGTCATGGAAGTGATGAAGAATGGTCATGTCCCCACTGTCGTGCTATTTTAGAAGGTTTATCATATAATGAATTACATGCTTTTTGAAAGGGGATTTCTTTATTGTATCACATGCTTTTGATTGGGTGAAACGGGGGCTTTAATCTAGCAGTGGTTCGCCACGGATTCCATTTTGTATGTTTTTCTCTCGCTCCTTGGTTACCGTTTCCTGATGGCGGCTTTGGCGTGAACCGACCCATTACAGAGACAACAGCAACCGCATCTCGTCATAATGCAAAAGGCCTGTCAGAATGCTGCTACGGCAATTGTTGACAAACAGCTTGTAGAGGAATATGAGAGTGACGTGTTCATTCAGTGATTGGAACGAGTTGAAGGTTGTTGCTCGATGGTATCGTGGGTATGCTTGTTCAGGTAAGAGACATTTTATTTCTATATATACAAGGAAGGAGGATGATGGATGTCTAATGTATCTGTTTATCTAGTTGAGGAAGTGCAACAGGTTTAAGGTAAGAGACAAGGAGACAAAGAGAGATGTATACAATTGTCGAAATGAGAAGAATAGAGGACATGAACACTGTCATTTTATGACAAACAAAACCATGTATGTTTTTACTTGATCTTATTTGATCGACGACACATCTCTTTTTTTTTTCTCTTGTTTACATCATCAACGCACTGGTGCACGCTCACTTTTTGGATCATCATTGCCGACGTATTCCGCTGCAGACGCAAGGACATCAATGGCAGACTTGGCACGTTTGCGAGCTGGTGGTGCTTCCTCATTTCGATCACCTTGTAGACTTAGATTGGCCATAGATTGATGAATAGAAGAAGGGCGTCGGTTAATACCACCATAATTAAAGTAATCGAATTCGGGTTGTTGAAGATAATTTCGTTGATTGGGTGCAAGTGATGAACGATGAGGAGGAGCATAGGATCGTTTGGTGGGTGATAAATCTCGGGCGACAGCATGTGGTGGATAAGAAGGCATGGGTGCAATAGGATGCATCATGTATGGATTTTGTTGATGTTGAGATGATGGTGTTGCTCCTGCATTGCGACGTTGTTGCTGTGGTGGAGGAGCAGCAGCTGGATACAATGCAATGTTGGGTACATTTCCTAGTGGCTGATGTGGTGTTTGAGTTGACAATGGGCGGACACTGGATGAGCGAGTCTTTGTTGCAGTTGTTGTACTGGCGCCATTGGTACTAGCACGTTGCCTACTCATCTTTGCACGGCGATTTTGGAACCACACCTAAAGTACATACACATGAGTCATACATGAATCCATCATCATGGGGTTGTATAATGATAAATACCTGAACTTCTCTTTTGGTCATGCCCAATTCTTGTGCCAGATTTTCCCGGACTTCGGAGCTGGGGGTATCCGTTTGCTCAAACACCTCCATTAGGCGTTGGAACTGCTCCTGTGAAATTCTTTTCCGCTTGGCCTTGGCTATCGACGACACAATAATGTTTCCCTTGCTTGTTTTGCGACGATGATATCCTTCTGGTGTTACAGATGTGCTAGGATCCCAAGATGTTGTTGGTCGTTGTTGTTCTTTTTGTGGCTCTGGAACATAAAGTACATCTCGTTCACGGCGTGGTCCACCAGGACTTGATGGCACACTGCTTGACATGAGACCACTATTTGGCCTAGAACTAAAGTAATCATGGCTCCCACCACGATGATGATGTCGAGTTTGTTCCCAATCAGGTGACCGATAAGGGTCCACGGCAACATCATTCAATAATGCCGAGATGGCTAATGAGTCTCTTCTGCTCATGGCACCCTGTTTGCTTGAAGGATCCTCCATGGCGAGTAAGACAAGTGAACGTCCACTTTTTTGAAGGGAGATGGAAAAAAGAAAAGAGAAAGGGCTTATGTTTCTGTCATACCCTGTCAAAAGAAACAAATTGCATAAAGCGGATGTTGGATATTGCATGCACAGCGACGTTTACATTATCCAATCAAATTCAAAGGGAGACGCAACCAAGGAAACCCATGGTTATATGTTTGTTTGCCAACTGTTTCCTCTTTTTCACATTGCTCTCTTTTCTTTCACACACTCTTTTTCTTTTATATACCCACTCTTTATTGAGCCTCTTTCGATGGATCATGATCTTGAGCGGTGTCCGATATTGGCAAGGTCAACAAGACCTCGAAGACGACACATTGCACGACGACATGCGCTCTTCGCCCTATTGGTCATGGCTTGTATCATATGTGTGTACATGAGTTATCAGGTGTCTTCGAGTGGCCAGCTACCATGCTCAAATTATTTCGTATGGATTCCCAATTGCAACAAGGAGCAGTATTACGTCCTACCCTCCTGAAAAATCACAGCATCGCCACCATACAATGATGATAATACGACCCTGGGGCAGATCAATTGTGTCAGATGATTGTCGTAGTACACATCCAATAGCATGAAACCTTGTACCCCGTGTATTGGAACATTAGCGATTTATATACTAGATTCCCTTCCATGTACTATTCTTTCCTATATTCCCCCCTTCTGAACCACTTCATGATAAATCATATATCCTGGCTATCATTCCCATATTCAAATCCATTTTATTATAGGGGTAAAGAAGTGAGGGTCTATCTTCCTTATCACATGGATCTTCAACGACAATGATTGATAACGGGGTTGGAAGGCATGCAACGTAATCGTATTGATGATAAAAGGGTCATTTATCAGTTGTATGGGTTCTACCTCTTTGGGAATGCAAGTCGTTTCAATTGTGATGTAATCTTGCCCTGACAACGAATAGGATCAGCAGCCACCAAAGGATACATGCAACCACAAGATAAACCTGCTATCGGTGTTTAACAATTGTCGTCCGTGGTGGGCGATACAAATCACGCGTCAAGCCTTTGTCTCCTTTTCACCTTTACCTTCAACGCACATGAGTCTACGAGAAAGAGACATCAACCGACAACGATCAAGTACACAGCATGCGACTTCGAAATCAAAGGTCAATCGTTGCAATCGGATGTTCGTGTTAGAGGTACGCCCATAAAGTCACCACTTTTTATCTTTTCATGACAGACCAACCTTCCACATGGACATAGCGATCTGCACCTTTCAGCCTCATGCGAGAACCTTTGACGACTTTGACAAATCGTGAGAGCCGCCGTTCTGTGAAGCGACGTAAAACGTTGTCTGTTCATATCGATAACGAGAGCAACTATAAGCAACGAGACGTTCAATATACCCGATCACGCGGCAGTGGCAACAGCAGCAGCAGCAGCAGCAGCAGCAGCAAAACGAGCAACATCAAAAGCACTATCAACGAGAATAGCAGGGAAAAGAACAGCAAAAACGACACTAGCAGCAAAAGCAATAGCCACACTAGCACCAATAGTAGCAGTAATCGTATCCAATACCGAAGAACACGAGTGCAGCAATTGTCTACTTTGCAACGACGAATGACGATTGATAAGCTTGGGAACGAATGCCTGTACGAGATATTCAAGCACTGTGCCGATCCAGAAACTCTTACAGCTATATCGCATGTTTGTCGTCGATGGCGATTCATCACTACTGATTCATGGCTTGTAAGGGAAAATAGGATGGAACAATGATGAAAAGGGGAGTTGCTGATGATGGCTTTTGAAATAGTGGAGAACAATGGATCATGACTGGATACAGTTTCTGGAAAGCGTGTTTTTCTTCAAGCATATGCCCAATCACTATGCGTTCGACCATTTACGGCATACAAGGAGGATGCGGATAACTGCAAGGGAAGATCAATTGTACAACCCAATCCCAATGTGTATCCCAGAGGTGTATCCATATGTACAATTATCACGGGTGGATCTGGTACGAATGCATCTAGTGGATATTATCGACGTAGTCAAGTGGCTGGTCCATATTCAAGAACTACGGTGTATTGATATCATGACACATGACATGCCACAAAACAACGTCCTTGCAGCATTCACAGGCCTTCGCCGTTTACGCATCTTGCACCTCCATTTTTACACCCCATGCATTCACGGCAATTATGCATTTCTAATCAGTCGTAATCGAGCACGCCCTGTATTACCATCCACTTTGAGAGATCTCCAAATAACCAATCTATACGATACCGAAGAACAGCTATTGAACGACCTACGCCCTCATCATTGGATGCGTATTGAAGCCGGCCTTATGATCAAATATTCACCATTGCAATCACTTGTCAACTTGGATACATTAATTTTGCACAGCTGCTCGGCATTCACAGCACGGATTTGGCGAGAATGTCTTACTCCATGTGCACCCAACTTACGCTACCTCTCACTCGGTGGATTACGTTCACATCGGCATAACGATGCTTTATTGTTTACAACCAATGATGGTAACTCACCGACCAATGATCCCACATCGCTCTGGACAATTGACGAGGAAGCACCCGTTCGCGACATTTGGAATGCTATTCACGATTTCTTTATCAACCTTGTTCACCTCGAGTATCTACACATGGAGGATTTCACCATGGATTCCAATATCCTTGACAGCTTACGGTTTCTTGAAGAGAGTCGTGGACAAACAATCCATCTTTCAAGTGCAACATTCCAAGGCAACGCATGTGATATTATCGATCTTGAAGATATGGTAGATAGACATGTCGCTTTTTGTGATATCACCATTCGATGAATATATATATAAAAGACCTTGTACATACATATACGATACGTTTATTAAAGCGCTGTTGGATATCACACACACATAATTGCTATTACATTACTACTATCAAACGCTGACGGGATGATTTAAGCACAAGCATAGCCTGCTTCATGTGCTTTTTGAGCACGACCTGATGGATCTTCGGGACATCCCCAATCAGCACGTGGAACCCAACGCACAACGCTAGCAGTGCATGCTTCTTGTGGGAACCAATCTTCAAACATAGCTCTGTACATGTATGCTTCCTTGGTAGTGGGAGTGTCTTTGGGCCAACGCTCAGCCGCATGATTGAATTCTTCATCCGAGATCTTGTCACTGCTAATTTGCTTAAGTGTATCGATCCAGCTGTACCCAACACCATCAGAGAATTGCTCCTTTTGACGCCACAAGATGCTGTCTGGAAGATAAGGTGTTGTATAAGGCTCATCGGATGTATCAAATGCCTTGCGTAAGATATACTTTTCCATGTATTGGTTCGTTGGACGCTTGTCACTTGGATCGATGTTCATGACAAGTTCGAGCAACTCCTTGTCAAGGAAAGGTACACGTGCTTCTAAACCCCAGGCCATGGTGGACTTGTTGGCACGTAAGCAATCGGCATAATGCAAATTCTTGACGCGTGAAATGGTTTCCGCATGAAAGGCAGCATCATCGGGTGCAGCATGGAAATAGAGGTATCCACCAAAACATTCATCAGCACCTTCACCGCTCAACACCATCTTGACGCCGATGGCCTTGATTTTACGTGCGAGTAAATACATGGGTGTGGATGCACGCACGGTGGTCACATCATACGTCTCGAGATGGTAAATGACGTCAAACACGGCATCCAAGGCTTCTTGAATAGTAAATGTAAATTCATGATGCGTCGTTCCAAGATGTTCAGACACTTCACGTGCGGCTGCCAAATCAGGAGATCCTGGAAGTCCAATTGAGAATGAATGGAGTTGATGCGGCAACCATGGCGTGCTTAACCCATCCTCATCATCGTCGCCTTCATCACCACCACCTTTTTTCTTGTTTCCATTTTGCTCAGCAAGGGCACGTGCTTCACGTACAGCGATCGATGCGATTAAACTTGAATCCAATCCTCCTGATAAAAGCACACCATAAGGAACTTCAGCCATCAATCGCTTTCGCACGGAGGCTTCCAAAGCTTGACGCAATTGTTTATAATCAATGGGGGTGCGTGGTATCCTCTCAGGATCCCACCATGATGGGTTAAACCACCGAGTTGGTTCGTTACCCTTATCCGAGTCATAGACATGCCCTGGTGGAAACGTCAAGATCTTGTCGCAATCCTCGTTAAGGGCCTTGAGTTCGGATGCAAAGTAGACAGCGCCAGGCATACGCGAATTCCAGCCATAGTACAAGGTTGTTACCCCAATTGGATCACGAGCTGCAATGATACGATTTCGCTTGGTATCCAGTAATACAAAAGAAAAGATGCCATCCAAATGCTGCACGAGATCGATACCCATTTCCTCGTACTTTTTGATGGTGTTAGTTTACTTGAATCATACATAGCTTCCTACGTATCATGATTTACCATATGCATAATAATCTCGCAGTCAGAATGAGTCTTGAAGTGATGCTTGCGCTTGAGGTTTTTACGTAGCTGGTTATGATTATAGATTTCTCCATTAACACAAAGCACCAATGTCTTGTCATCATTGGTAATCGGTTGAGCACCCGTGTCTGATACAATAAAGCCGTTACTTTTTCCACAATACACGATAGCTTTCGTGCTCTTGTTGACTTACCAACACCAACAATGGCAAGGCGTTCATGGGCGATGATATGGTTGCCCGTAGTATAACATCCAGACCAATCAGGCCCACGATGCCTTATTCTAATCACAATTTAACGACTTAGCGGATTAAGGATCAAGATACGTGCATGGTAAGATACATACTTTTTGGACAAATACAAGGCATGTTGTCGAAAATCCTCGACATCACCTTGGTAATTGTATACAGCAAATATTCCACACATGGTAAAAAGTGTAATGCAGCAAGTGAAAAAAGATGGATAAGGCCAATGAGAAATATAAACTTTAGATGAGCATGGGTTATCAAGTCTTCGACGCTATCCCCTGAATGAAAGGAGGTGGGTGGTACATCAATAGACGTAGAGGTGGAGGTGTTTACTACACACTTGGCAGCGAATCCTATGCCTCAATCTTCTTAATGGATACTTATGAAGAGCCTTCTTTTACTTTATGTACATGTAAATTGATATCCTCATCAAAGTACCTCTGAACAAATGGATTTGCTACAGCCTGGGGGTGGCGGTAGACAAACCCTTAAGAAAAACCCCCAATGATGTTTCGCATTTTAGGCAGCGGTCATCATTTGGTGTTCATTACCAGTGACGTTGACGTTGGGCCAACCCGGGTATTGGGGAAAACAATATAAACCCGGTACAACCTCCCAAAATGGTAACTTGTTGGTCTCACTTTTTGCATGTATGTGGTGTTTGTGTGGCGCATGGATGGCTCAAGTGACGACGTCGATCACTTGGCATACATGATTTATTTCAACAAGGGTATTTTGGTTTTTTTTTCTCTTAAGTGTTGTTACGCGGTGGTGTTGGAGGTGGAGAAGATGAAGAAGATACTGGAGGTGTTGCAGAGGGTCTAGGTGGTAGGGGTGGAGATGTATGTTGCTTGTCCTTTGCTTCTACTGCTGCCGGTGCAGATGCTGTGGATGGTGATTCTTGTTGCTGCTGCTGCTGTGATGATGATCCTATGCCACCTTGATTCATTTCTTGTTCTTGCTTTTGTCGTGCCTCTGCTCTTTGATACAAAAACCGCCGTAATAATCGGGCATTCTTTGTGTTGGCTCTATACAATGCCGTCAAAACAATGCCTAGAATAGGTATCAACCCCAACTATCATGACATAATGAAGAATAAGTAACAAGAAGATGCATAATGAGCGTTGCAGCTGAAGGCGGCTTTTGTCACTTACCACAAAGTCCACTGAGATGTGATAGAGCATACGACGTCGTAGTGCTCGTGGAAGAACTGTTTTGCATGCAAGGTTATACATGGAAAGCGAGAAGCCTAAAGAAATAATCTTGCCCACGACGGGTATAAAATCTAGCCTTTCTTGATAAGTAATGGATAGGATCAGCTGGGAACTTCATGTCTCGTTACCAAGTAGGACATCGTATCCGATCCAACAGCAGCATATTTTGATCATTTCATCAAACTGCTTGGCACGGTGCTCATACTTTGCGAGGATACGTGCATCATTTTCTGGTAGTTGGATTTCCACTGGTGGTTTACTACGGACCCATCCCATGGCGTATGTGTATCAGTGACAAAAGAAGTTGGGGTATTTGCTCGTTTGCAGGGAAGAAAAGCGAGTAAAATGTCTTCAGACCAATCTGGATTTTCTAGTGGGACGCGAATAACAGGAATCGAAAGTTCCCTGTGTAACATGGGAAGCCAAACACATGCATGCGCGTAACATTTGTTTGCTTCATTCATTCACAGTGCAAGCATACTTGCGCAACTGCATGGATAGCTGTATCATAGGTAAATAGCACAAAGGGACCCATAGATGCTAAAAGTCTTTTAGATGCAACTATAAAGTTGGATGTGATACATCACCAACCATGGGCAGGCTGCATATTAATGAGACGACGTGCATGGATAATGTATGTATCTAGTGCTAGATACCGTTTCACGAGCAAGTAGAGTGGTATTATTCCTTCCTCTATCAATGGCTGTAAAATACATGATCCATACACGTTGCCATGGTTCATGAATTACTTGTATGCTAAGGTGTAGATGCAATAAAAGTGGTAGGTCATGTTTGTGAGAGACACTGTTGTTGTTTATGTGTTGATTTGGGGTTGTCAAAGAACACTTTATTATGCGCTTTGATGGTCAACAACAATGTATGCCTTCTTTATAGCAAAGAAAGGGGGTGCATGATTTGCAAAGTGGTGTATGTGTTACTCATTCTCACAGCAGCCCCGTCATCATCATTGGCAGTGATTCCGATAATCGGAAACGGGCTTATCCTTGCCGTTCTCTTTTCCTTTTACATTGCATACACACACACACACCATGATCAAAATTTGGAGCATGAAGGCCAAAGAGGCCGCAGCCGAGAAGAAGAAACCAAAGACCAGTGCTGCTCAAATCCGTGTACAGAAAGGTATTTGCAATCTACTTGTTCAAGAAGTGCACCATGATCTAACGCCATTGTCCTATTAGACTTGGCAGAGCTTGAGATTCCTTCGACCATCAAACTCGACTTCCCCAATCCTGAAGACATCTTGCATTTCAACGTTACTATCAGTCCTGACGAAGGTAGTATCATCTATGTCTTTATATGGGTGGGATAGGGTAGGGACTCATGTGTGTGCTACGCTTCATTTTACAGGGCTCTACACAGGTGGTCATTTTGCATTCACGTTTAATATCAACAACAACTATCCACACGAGCCACCAAAAGTGCTTTGCAAGCAAAAGGTATTGATGAGTGGACGATAATGTCGGATGGTATCCAGCTGACCACAATACGTTGCATAGATATATCATCCCAACATTGATCTGGATGGCAACATCTGTCTCAACATCCTGCGCGAGGACTGGAAGCCTGTTCTATCATTACATTCTGTCCTTGTCGGTTTGCAATACCTGTTCTTGGAGCCCAATGCTGATGATCCTTTGAATAAAGGTAAAGTATTTAATTTCACATATAAAAGGAAGGAAGGAAGGATGGTCCTCTAACTCATGGACATCTACAGAGGCAGCAGAAGACTTGAAGCAAAACAGGCAGGGATTCGAGATGAACGTCAAACGAACAATGGCTGGAGGTGCACTCAAAGGCATACAATACGACACCGTGGTTGCATAAAAGATTCAATTATTACTACGATCAGCTATCTTCAAAGTACGCGGATGATTGTTAATAAAACTTCAAGGTGTGCTGCCAAATTGAGTAATGGACCTTGCGATCAGAGAGTACACAAGGCTTACTTGCTGGGTAGATGATATCGTATGTGAGCGTGCAGCTGCTACTGTATATGTCCCCTCTCCTCCCCCCCTCCTTGTGTGGCAATTACAGAGTTTTTTTTATTCCTCTTTTCTGGTCCACCCCTTCCTTTCACTTTTTAATATACTTTTTTCCTTTCCTTCTTTTCTACCTCCTCCACTCCTTTACTGAAAGTCGTCGGCTATGGACAATGCGATCGTACCTGATTCGTCCCTAGTAACAGAATGGACAAAGGCCATTGTGAATGTCGACCTTGAACGAACACAGCGTCTATACAGCCAACATCCTTATCTATTATGGCATCCTCTCGATAACAAAGAGACACGCGTGGATACCGACTATGCTCATTTGACAGCGCAACTGGAACGGTTTCAAATGCTGGGTCCATCCTTGGGTGACGAGTTGGCAGCGATACCTTACATGTTGTTGGATCATTTGGAAAAGAGTGATAAACAAGGTGCTTCCTTGGCACAGCAAAAACGTTCTCGATTACTCAATTTTCTTATCAAAGTATGTTAAAATGACACAGACACACACACAATCCTACTACGCTATAGACTAACCTATTGTAACGTACTTAGAATGCACGTGAGGATGATCTCAATAATCGTACATGGGGCGCATGTCATAATACAACGCTTCATTTGGCAGCATTCTTGGGTCAAGCGAGAACAATGGATCAGCTGATAGAGCGTGGAGCATCGATCGACAAGCGTAATGATATGGGCCACCTGCCAAACGACGTTGCACAAAAGCGGCCCACCAACAGCCGATTCAGGCAACTTCGTGCAATGGCAGAATCAACACCCGACGATCCTAATAAGAACAAGCGTCAAAGTACACAACAACGTCGTCAACAAGATATCGCTTTACTTTCCAAAAGATCAGCTGTAAAGAATAATCCACTCTTTAAGAAATTCGAACAGCAACAACAACAACAATCGGATCCACCCTCGATCAAAAAGACATCTCCACTGGCACGTAACGCTTTTTTGAGATCAACTGGTGATAATAATGGCAGCAGTAATGATAGCAGTAATAGCGGCAATAACACCAACACCACCACAACTAAGCTCCTTGCTATCCCTAGAGGAGTTGTTGGCGTTGGCGATGATGATAATGGAGACACCAATTCAGAAGATTATCCTCGTCGTACATCCAAGATCATTTCTTCTCTCAAAAACAAATCGTATGTCTCTTCCAGCGTATTTCGACAAACTCAACCTGAACAACCTTCATCGTCACCATCATCATCTCGTAATGCAGCAGCAGTAGCGAAATCATCACCTCTTAAAGAGCAATCGATTATGGAAGAAGAGGATGAGGAAGAGGAGAGCGATGACAATGATGAGAATAATGATCAGGGCAGCAAGGAACAAACTCAGACCCAAGAACCATCCTCAGAAAGCAATGATGACTTGGTGACTCCTGAAATCAAAGCAGTGCCATCCCTACTGGTTGAACAAGTTGCGCCCGAGCCACCTCGTGAGGAGAAGATGCATGAAACCAAAGGACTGGATCAAGAGGTTGAGAAGATGCAGCAAAAAGATGTGCCAATTCCTCAAAAGGAGAACAATGAGGACCAAGTCATTAAAACGGCTGTTGAGATACCATCCCAAGAAGAAACAGAAAAGGTAAATATTGAATCTTTCATTGAATAAGGTGATCGATTAATCATGCTATCTATAGGAAGATGACAATAAAGCTGTATCGGAATCAACAACAGCGATTGATGATGAAGAGGATCAAGAGAAGATTACTACTCCTACTACTACGCAGCAACTTGATGTGGTGGATATCAGCAACAACAAACCAACTCAGCATGTTGAAAATCAACAACAAGAGGAAACAGCGCCTACAACGACTGATGATGAACCAGCAACACGTGATCCGATAGCAGCTCTCGATGATCTTGAACCACCCTCCAAGCCATTTGCTGAAGGTGATGATTCACGACGATGGAGTGGCAGCCAACGGTCCCATTGGTCTGTTGGAGTGAGTTCTTGGGATGCGGTGTTAAGCAAGGGCAACGACAACCATCGCTATAGCAACCAAAGTGAAGCGGATAGTGAGCAATGGTTTGATAGCTATGAGGATTGGGCAGCAGCATCACCCACCGAACGAAGGGGTTCCCGATCTCGTCAACAACACCAAATGCAGCAAGAAGAGCAACCACCCTTGTCATCATCGCCTTTACGTCATTCTGTGACATTGGATACCATGACATCTATGAACGATTATGGAAAAGAAAACAACATCCATATTGTGGAGGAGGACGAAGATGATGACGATGATGAGGATTTCTCGGTCAAATCAAGTACCCCATCGGCATCATTTAGTCCCAATCAACGAATGTCAGGTGGTGCTGATAGTGTTGACACATGGCCTGCAACAGCATCGCCTTTTACAGCACGTTCTCTCAATGATGATAGTGGTGATGATGATGGCTTTTGGAAAACGCAGCATGATAGTAGTCCAACATCAGAGCAACCTGCCACAGCTCAACAAGTCGAATCAGCCTCACGTGATTTCGAACAGGCATCTCCAGAACAGCAAAAGACAACCGAACAAGATGACATGTACACCAACAAATCCACACAACATGAACGTATCGATAATCATCAGCAGCAATCGATGGTCTTGAATGAGTCGCACGATGAACAACAAGAAGATCAGCAATTTGGTAGCATTTCTGTTGCATCCACTACCTATGCAAGTCATCGTCTTCCACAACATCGACCAGCACAGGATGCATTTGAGGAGTTTATTACCCGTAAAGATGATGAGGAATTACAGCTGAAGGATCCTAAGCAAACGGAGTATCAACCACGATTGGAACCTGATCAAGAGCAGGAAGTGATGACACGTGAGCAGCAACAGCAGCAGCAACAACAACAATCCATAAGCAACGATCATCAACATCCACCGCCATCTCCTCCACAACAACAACAAGATGAGCAACATGAAGAAGTATCATCACCATTACAATTGGATCTTTTACCTCCTGTGGAGAATGACCCAGGCCAATCTACATCAGCATTTGGCAAATTGTATGTGCGTCTTAGCAGTGCTGATGGTGTCTTGCTCCCTGTACCACCCAAATTAACGACCTATGTACGATGCGTGGTGAGCGATGGTGATTACGAGTACATGTCTCGCTATGAAGTGCTCAATGACAGAGTCGTATTTGACTATGAATGCATTATGGATGCACGACCTGATATGATCATCACCGTATCTTTGCATGTACGACCCGATCCTCATGTACGACCCAAGACTGGTTTATCAAAGTGGCTCACTTCCGTGCGTAAACAACGTGAAACATTGCCAGCTTACGTTCACCCAGAGGATGGTGCTATTGGTCAAACACGTTTTGCTCTTGGTCATATGATCCAGGCTTGTAATCAAAAGACGTATGGTGCTAGCTTTGATTGTTTCAATTCGTGGTTTGCACGCTCGTCTCGTGAACAACACATGCTCAAGGTGGTGGGCAATTTGAACGTTGAGATGCTTTATTTGCCTCTTTCAGATCCATCTCTGGTATGTACTACATCATTTAAAACCATAATACAATGTGGATTAACAAATGGCATCATAGCCAATTCCCAAGAGTATGCGTGAATGTGATTTGGCGCTGCGTATCCGACAATGGCACAATACTTGTTGGCATAGCGGGTTCCTTTCTATGCGTGCACCAGGATCACAAGTAAGTAACTCATCTCACAATAAGATAGTATATGATTAACCAATATGTGTACAGCTCTGGGATAGGTACTATTGCCGATTGATCGGTAGCCAATTGATAGGCTATGACTCCAAAGCAGCCTCAGCATCCTATATTCCCCAGGTCCAATACGACATTGCCAATGCTGTGCGATTGGTAGCTTCTTCGGATCAAATCATTGTCACTCTGGAGGATGTCCCTGATACCCGCGTTTTCCAGGAAAATACTATCGTCGAAGAAACAGGGCGTGGATTCTTTAGGATTGTATTTGCCGATGCCTATGTAGATGCCGTTTGCGACGAAGCGCGTGAAAGCGAGGCATGGGTCAAGATTTTGAAATCCATGATTGGAAGGGTACCTTTGAAGATTGTCGTCTAGTAGCTCTACCATTCTTAGTTTTGCACTCCCTCCTCCTTTCATCATTCTTTTCATCCTCATCTCTTGTACCTCTTACTCTTTAATATCGTCATCCATTACACTGTAATATGAAGTCATTGATAAAAGGCAACTAGTACTACCGTTCATGCTGTTGGGTGTCACAAGGATAATGCATGATCCATATCTTATGGCTTTTTCAAGGCGTTATTACGCTTACGTTCATCGATCACGATTCCAAACATCGGTATCATATCCGTGTGATTTATGCAAACATGTAAAGGGTGTCATTGTACAACGCAGACAAGATGCAAAAATGTGAGGGTTTCTACGTTCTATTTCATGTTCATTGTTGCTTAATTGAGAGAAACCAATTTAACCTAGCATTGTAAAAGAAATTGCTTTTAGCGATTCCGTGATCATCTCAAAAGATTTCTACGATAGTGCTTACCTCAAACACAAGTGTTGCATTTGGTGGGATTAATGGTGGAGATCCACGTTTGCCATATGCAAGAGCTGGTGGAATGGTCAATTTCCGCTCGCCGCCAAGCTTCATACCAGTGATGCCTTCATCCCATCCCTTGATCACTTCTTGACGACCGAGAGCAAAAAAGAAAGGTTTGCCGCTGATGTTCTTATCAAAGATCTTGCCTCCCTTTACTCTGCCAATGTATCGAACACCAATCTACAAGCACAAAGACGTTAACACAATGACACACACCTTGTCATGATCCCTTTGTTTACCTTGTTGCCTTTTTTGACAGATACTCCTTGACCAACCTTGGTTTCTTCGATTGTGATGCCACTTGGCAAATGGGTGACGACCTATTTTTGCATCGTTGTCAACATAAAAGGTGTCGTCAAGAATGGTGGTTTCCACCTTACCTTTTCTGATTTCTTCTTTGGCTTTTCCTGTTCTGCCTTGGCCTTTTTCACTGGTGTAGCTTCATCATCATCTGCAGGTGCCTTTCGCTTCGTTTGCTGGTTTTGCTTATTTGAAGGGACATTGGATGGTTCCTTTTGATCAGCTTCCTTTGGTTGCTCTTCCTTCTTCTTGGGTTGGGCCGTCTTCTTCTCCTTCTTTTTCTTCTCTTCCTCTTCCTGCTGCTCCTGTTCCACTTCATCTGCAAATCGGATTCTTCGTTCGCGTTGTGGCACATCAATATCCATGTCCTCGCTTTCATCAGATGCAACCGATTCGTTTGAGATGTCTTCGTCTGACTCGGATTCTTCGATTCCTCCATCCAAATTTCCTTGTTGGCTCAAAAGAGATACTACAATACATCACTTAGATCTCGTTTTGAGTATAATACATATGACATCCAAACTTACATAATTCTTCCCGAGTGATATTGGCAGGCAATTCCCTATAACATTTCCCGTTAATCTTTGATGTACCTGGAAGAAGTATACGAGCTTACCCTTCCATATCTTCATCCTCTTGAGATCCCACATAATTTCCACTTAAATGAATCGTTCTAGGATACAGATGATGAGCTTCGTGATCCTCTCCTTCGCTTATACCAACTACTTACGATTTGCCCTTGACAGTAAAAGACACCTCTTCACCTTCAACGATAGTGAGATTCAATTCTTGTTGATCGATCTATTTTACACTATATGAGGCACCGAGACCATGATAGGCAAACGACATCAACTTACTTGTCCAGGAACGAGTGTACATAAGACGTATTCCATATCATCGACGACTATGCAAACAGACGACCGAGTTGGCTTGTTGACCTTTGAATCAGAGACGGCAGCCTAGATACGTAGATCGCAACGATCGATGGTGAGGAAAGGTGGATAAGAAACGGGATAATGCCAACTCACCATGGTAATGCAGAAGGTGGAAGACGCGATCTGGCTGTATGACTTTCCAGGAGTGAGTTGCAGACCCCAAAAACCTTGTAGTGCCATGGTGTTGTATGTGTGTGTGTAAAGGTGTGAGTGTTCTGGTGGTTGTAGTAGACTGAGATTTCATCCAAGCACAATTAATTTCCATGGGTAGTGGCTTTTTCCCGCTGTTGATTTCTTTGTACTTTTACCATGTTGACAACTCGGTTACTTGCCACTCAGGGGATAGCTTCTTGCGCCATTCGTCACTTGAGCACCACTCGTACGGCATTCTCTTCTTCTTCCACAGCATCGACGACCGGTGACAGTGCCAAGGTTATCGGCATTCTCGACGCTCTTAAAAACACATCGCCCCAGGAAGAAGCATCGTCCAACATTGGCAACCTTATCAAGCATGCTGCACAAGCACAAAAGAAAAAAGACTCCTCGTCAGACTTTGATGTGAATAGCATCACTCAACAATTGTCCCGTGCTTCAGAAAACTATCAATTACATATCAATGCCTCGCCAAACAACACCATCATCACCCTTACACGACCCAATGGCTCGCCTCTTATCACCACCTCAGGCGGATCCGCTGGATTCAAAAAGGCTGCTCGCAGTGGATACGAAGCTGCCCATCAAGCAGCATTGCAACTCTTAGAAAAGAAGGCAGCCAAGAATCTGAATCCTAGAAACATCCATGTCATTCTCAAAGGATTCGGTCCCGGTAGAGAAGCAGCATTCAAAGCCCTCGTAGGCGAAAAGTGGAACATCAAACGTATCACGGATGCAACTCCTGTGCCTTTTGGTGGATGTCGACCCAAGAAAGCAAGACGATTGTAGATTCAGTATAACAACAACAACTTTCCCATCCTCCCAAACCTACAAACCAATTCACACACACACACATTGTATCATCCATCGTTTTACAGTAAAAAAAGCTTCACATCATTCATCAATAACCACCAATGCTTGTTGTTGTTTTATGCAATAATAAGGAAGTAGATATGCTTAGAATCTCAGCTTGTTGAAGAACCACTTGTTCTTGCCAGTCTGATATCTCTCTTCGAACAACTTTTTGATAACCTAGATCACACATGCCATGTTAATAAAACGTCCTTTGATGCCATACATTTATATGTTGTTGTATTACCTTCTTGGTCTCCACGCGTTGTGCAGGATCCTTGAAAGTCTCGGATGCAACGGTACCCTTGATTTGTTCCATCTCCAAAGCATAACTATAGGATCGATCCAATTAATGGGATGATCTACATATATACGTATCCATGCATCTTACCGAGTGGGCATCATGTGGTTGTAGTTGACAATCTTGATGAAAGGCTTGACACGGCTACGCTTGGCAACCTTCTTCTTGCCCATAGCGCGAGTCACCTTCAAAGGAGTACGTTCGACACCAGCGACAACTGCATAACCGTAAGGTCTATCCTTGGTGCCTTCATCGTGGTCTGTAATAGCAATGTATATAGTTCAGTGCTCGTTTCTATCGCATGTCATGGTCGCATTGGAAACGTAACGTACTGCGGACGACAACGGCTTTCTTGCCAGCATAGCGACCCTGCAAGATAACGACAACCTATTCCGAATGAATGATTAGCCACATCCCTGCCATAATAGTCTCGTATCCATCCATCGATTCTATTCATTCATCCATCCATCCATCCATCCACCTATTCATCCATCCATGAATCTTTGGTCCATTGTACGTACTTTGCCAGCCTTGATGAACTTGACCATGGTTGAGAAAGAGAGCTTGAACTTACTTGCCCGTTTAGGCTTCACTAGAGTGAGCACCCACCACCACCTTGGACTTTTTGGTTGTCCGCTAACATCCTCCTCCTCCTTCCTGCTGCTGCTGCTGATACATGCAATAATCCAATCCACACGTCCAACATCCTTTACTTAAACGAGCCTATTCCTTTTGAACGTGGTGCACAATGAGGGCTTTACATTTCACAAGAATTATCCTCGGAGAACCACACATCTCCAACGAAGATCATTCTTCATTGACGTCATTTTTCGCTTGCATAAAACCTTCCCACCCTCCTACACTTTCCCACATTCTTTGTATCTCTTTTTCTCTGTTCGTTCAACAACCATGGATTTAAGAGGATCGTGCCACTGTGGAGCAGTTACCTACTCCTTCAAAAGCCATACACCTTCACCGGTATGTATGCTAATGTATGATCATCATCACACCTGTGCTCATCATCCTTTTGAGAAAGTTTATGCGTTGCTACTGGTAACCAATCGACTTTGTGGGCACGCGAAATGGACCTTCACCAACGTATGTAATAACTTGGACGTAGCTCTATTTGTCGCAAGACCAGCGGTGGAGGAGGATTTGCTATCAATATCATGGGCTTGAAAAACACTTTGACTGTGGAGGGTGAAGAAAACTTGCGGTACGTTAAAACGTTTGGGCGTGTATTATGCTATAGAGACTTATATGCAATACAACGACAGAGAATACCGTGCCCTGAGAGATAAGAAAACAAAAGAACTATGGTACGTGTGTGCATGATACAGGCTGTTGTATGGATTGGCTTATACCTGGTGGGCATATTGCAGTGGAAACATCCGCTATTTTTGTGGGCAATGTGGTAAGCATCGCTGATGACAATGATAATACAGGTTTGCTGAATCATCTTTTATATAGGATGCCATTTGTACGCTTATGATAAGAGCTATGCAGATTACATTTATCCTCTTGCTTGCTCCATCGACACGCCGCTCCCGTATGTGGATTACAATGACGTGTATCACATCATGCTGAACGACGAGTCCAAAGCGAACTGGGCTATTGCTCCAAGTCCGGATCCATCGAGACACGCTTTTGCCGTGTATCCAGATGTCTCTCTTGAGCAATGGCATAAGGATAACAAAAGATTCCTTGCGTAATAAACATTGTTGATGGCTTCATTGTCGTATCACATACGAGTCTTTATACCACATTCCCGTTAATTTGGGTTCTAATGGATGATGGAAGTGTTCTTTAATACCTAACAAAGGGCCTCAATGATGATAGTACGAGTAGTTTGGACCTTTGGTTCCATGGTCGATTCTCATGTGAAAGAGCACACATAACTTGTACTGCGTCGTCGGAGTTCAACCAAGCATGGCAAGTAGTGTTGCAAAAGGCTAATGCAATAACAAATGTCAATGGGTATGCGGCATGAAACATGATGCTCCGCTGGTTTTGGAAAGCATCAGATGCTGCGGTAGATTGTAGTCTACCATATAGCTCATGGATTGATTAATAACAGGAGCGGTGGATGAATTTGGAAAGTTTCATGCTGCATTTGTCAGCAGAGCTACACTATAAAAGAGGTGTTGAGGACGTAGAGAGGCATCCTCCTTAATTCGACATTAGTTGATACCATGGGTCGTCGTCCTGCTCGTTGTTATCGTTACTGCAAAAACAAGCCATATCCCAAAAGCCGATACTGCCGTGGTGTCCCTGATCCAAAGATCAGGATATATGACCTAGGTCGCAAAAAGGCACACGTTGATGACTTTCCACTTTGCATTCATTTGGTGTCAAATGAATACGAACAGCTATCATCTGAAGCCTTGGAAGCCGGTCGTATCTGTGCCAACAAGTACATTGTAAAGAATGCTGGCAAAGACTCATTCCATATGCGTGTGCGAGTACATCCTTTCCACGTTATTCGTATCAACAAAATGTTGTCGTGTGCAGGTGCCGATCGATTACAACAAGGTATGCGTGGAGCATTTGGCAAACCACAAGGCCTTGTGGCTCGAGTCAATATTGGTCAAGTTATCTTTTCCATTCGCACCAAGGATAGCAACAAGGCGGTAGTCATGGAAGCATTAAGGCGGTCAAAGTACAAGTTCCCAGGACAGCAAAAGATCATCATCTCCAACAAGTGGGGTTTCACACCACTCAAGCGTGATGAATACCTCAAGGCTCGTTCCGAAGGCAAGCTTCAACCTGATGGATCCTATGTCAAGTTTGTGCCTCAAAAGGGTGAACTCGATAGCTATTTCCGGGCCGTTGGCCGTGTTTAGTAATAGTGGTTTATCATTGGAATGAAAGAATCAATGTTCTTTTTTTCTCTCAAAAGTGAAACTCATGATCCAATTGGCATCTTTATACTATGATCACTATTTTTAAACACACATAAGGGTGGCTTTATTGAGTAGTAGTCATTACAGGGTAAAATTAACAGAGGTGGATTGGGACACCAAAAAGGGTCGTTCGTTGTTATTGAAGGAAGATTTGAGAAACAAGGGCGACAGAGGCAGCCATCAACATGACCGATACATTGTACTCAAAAGTACCAGAGGCAGCGTTAGGCTCCGTGGTGGGTGAAGAAGAGGCGCTATTGGAAGCAGAAGATTGGCTTGCTGAAGCGCTTGAAGAAGAAGGAAGCGTGCTGGAAACGGCCGATGTTCTACATACGAGGGATACATTTATTTAGCCATGCAAGGAGGTAACCAGTCATTTGGCAACTTACACGTTGGCACCAGGTTGCGAGCAGTAGGTAATCATGAGACTTTCTTCAATCCCTTTTTGGCTATCGTTGGGACATGTATCCCAGCAGGACACCTTTTGCGTCTGCCACTGAACAATTACAACACTTGCTTGTTAATCATGATGATGCTACTACGTATGTATGAAAGCAAAAAGGAATGTTCCTTGTTCTTTACCTTGCATAAGCATGCATAGTCTGACGATAGAAAAACAACGAAAAGATGATATTATTAGTAGGTTGGCACGCAATTGAATAATGAACATGCTGAAGGAAAACCACCTACCTGATTGTGTACATGTTTTCAAGTAATTGTCCTCGTTTTGCTTGCACTGATCGAAGCTACATAACACAGAATGTAAATCATCTATTCGTCCTTTGCTAAAGATAATGAATGTGCCCTTACACATTTTGAGCTGGGCAGGAGCTGGTTGTTTGAGCAGCAGCCAATTGGTTCAGCGTGGACACCAAGACAATGAAAGCAACGGGAATTGACGTGGACACCTTCATAATGAGGAATTGAGAGGAAAAGAACCAAGAAAAAGTCGAAAGCACAAAGCTATGTAGGGAAAAAAAGGGATGTAAAGGGGAACACGGAGAGAGCCGTATTTATCATGTTGGGATATTAGAACTCCTCCTTGCAGATGTGTGGATAAGTATATATCATGAGCTGATTCATCTATCAAAGACCCACAAGTAACACTGGCATAGCACATGTTTTCCCAAACAGCAAACATGGTTCTCGCTTGACGGCTTATTTCATGTTGCACAGCACTTTATTTCAATGATCCGGGCAATGAACGGTTGGTAAGTATGTCCAAGTCGGGACGTTTATTTGGTGGTGACACGGTGCCACAAAGGTATTACATTTGGTTGTCTCCAATACTCCTAATTCATCCATACATTTCCATTGCTTGCATTTCAAATTACAACTTGGCCTTTTTGCGCTTCTTGGAGCTTTCTATTTGTGCGAGAGAGACAAAGAGAATCAATAAAAGTTGATATCAACGTTGAAGCGTTGTTGCCTTACCAACGAATTTCAAGATACTCTCAAGCGAATCAGGGCTTGCCATTCTTTCGGCGAGTCTTTCCATTTCCACGTCGTTCACTTGTTCAAGGAATTTCCGCTCATTTTCACGAATAAGATCCTTTGTCACTCTCATAGCTTCAGGGGAGAAGGCACTTGCATCTTCGGCAATGGCAAGAATCTGCTCACGGAAGTTCTCCTTGGGTATGATCCGGCTAACAAATCCACAATCTTCCATTTCTTTGGCAGTAAAGGTGCGTCCCAATAGCTAATACCCGCCATCAATACCGAGATAGAAATTGTTGCATTCCAAAGGCACTTACCAGCATTTCATTAGCACGTGATGGTCCCATGATTCTAAAAGATGGACAAGTTATTGAGGGATTGATATTGCTATAAAGCTATTGCTTACCTTGGGAATAACACCGATGAGCATCCTTCAGCACAAAAGCCTAATTCCAACATCATTAATCCTTCCATTCCCCATAACAAAGTAGCCACCATCCTTACCGAGTTTCATGAATGGAGTAGTAAAGGTAGCATCGGGAGCTGCATAAACGACATCACATAAAGCAAGCGTCGTAGTTCCAAAGCCAATGGATGGACCTGTAACTCAAGGATGAGATGATAGGACACGACGCTTGTAGTAGTAGAGATTTACCATTAACAGCAGCAATTAACAACTTTGGGAAACGAATCATTTCTTGCACGACATCGCTGTTGTCATCAAATCTCATAAGCCTTTTGGTAACCATGGTGATGATTCTTTTATACGTACTGGGTGGTTTTTTGGCGTCTTTCAAGTTCAGCTGGGAGATTCTCATCCGAGAAATCAGGCATAGTCAACTCCTGACCCGAGGTGTAGTATTTGCCACGGCCCGTGAGGATAGTCACTTTAACGCGATCGTCATTGGCAGCCCAAGTAATGGCAGAGAGCCAATCCTGTAAAAAGTCGTCCAATGAACACGTTGTACTTGTGGGGCTCTTTGTATTGCTTACTCTATACGCTTGAGGAGAGAGTGCATTGTAACGTTGAGGTCGATTGAATGCCAACTCTGCAACACCCGAAGGGAACAACGTAATGGCAATAGTTTCCAATTGTGGCACGGTGTCGCTCATGTTAAGGAGAAGAAGGAAGAGGAGAGAGAAAAGCAAGCTGCACTGCACTGTGGCAATCAACCCCGGGGGGGGACTCTTTGCTGACAAGTTGACATGTGATTTTACTGCCCAACCCCCATCCAAAGGAATAAATTACTACTAGTCATCCTTCCATCGTTCAAGAAAAAACCTCAAATGATACGCTGGATGCATTGTATACAAATGAAAGAAGCACACTGTTGCCATGCATAATGGATGAGGAGTCAATAAACATGCTGACACTAGCATATTACCAAATACCGCAATTCCCATTGCATAATGTAACAACCAATACAGTACTGTATATGACTATGGATCCCATTATATTATCCGAAACGAATGAGTAGGGGAGCGGTTTTGAAGCTGACATTGAAAGCGTAACAGAAGCGAAACAGAAACGTAACAGAAGCGTAACAGCAACGTAACAGAAGCGAAACAGAAGCGAAACAGCGGTTGCTGTTTGATTGGCTATTTTACGTCCGAAACGAATAAGTAGCCAATCGGAAGCAAGCAACTGCTGTGACGACTTTTTTTGTTTGTTTCGCTTCTGTTACGTTTCTGTTACGTTTCTGTTTCGCTTCTGTTTCGCTTCTGTTCGCTTCGGTTACGTTTCTGTTTCGCTTCTGTTTCGCTTCTGTTTCGCTTCTGTTACGTTTCTGTTTCGCTTCTGTTACGCTTTTCAATGTCAGCTTCAAAACCGCTCCCCCACTTTTTACGTCCAGGAAGTGATATCATGGCAAAACGAGTAATAAGCAATCCAGCCGTATTCAACATCATCACGCGATATATCCTAAACTGCAACAACGACTACGATGTCGGCAACTGTGAGTGGTCTGACGGATCCCGATCAGACATTGTACTCGTTCCCAAGGCCACCACACTCGATTTACCCCCTCTGATAATCGAGATCCAACAACGTGTGGACGTCAAATTCATGAAACGAGTGATAAAATACGCCCTCGAGGCTTACAAACGCTATCAACGCGATCCAATCATCCTTATCATTTGTGTTGATACGGTGCACGATGATGTTATGACTTTGAGTCAACCATCTGATGTCACGGGTTGTGTCGACATTCCTTGCGCGTTATGGGCATCAAAGTGTATCTTGGCTTGCGATGAAAGCCTTAAATCTTGCAATCAAGTAACGCCTCTGCAGCCATTTATCTCCCTTTGTCTGTTCTTTACCAAAAATGCGCCATCAATCAACGACACATGTTGGAGCACGGATACAACCATGCAGCTATTGTATGGCTTGGCGAAGGATCACTATGACAGCATCATTGGTAATGAGCAACACCTATACGAAGCACTGCAACAAACGATCGAGGAACAGCAGCGTGAATATAATAGTTTGCGTGATATGATAGCAAGGCAGGCGCCGATGAACGAACTTGAATCAATAATCATTACTGCTCAAGAAAGGAATGCGACTTTGAAGCGGAAGTATGACCAAATGACAAGCAGCACAAGTGATGAAGTGCCATCAAGTGACCAAATACAATCACAACCAAGTAATAGCACTAATACCGAAGTGGAGTCACAATCTGAAACGATGTTCCAAAAGGCAATGGCATACGTTGATGACTTTGCCGAAAAACGACGATCAAAAGGATACACGCAGATGGACTGGGTAACTTGTTATAACGAAGGCACCAAAGCAGGAATATTCGATTACAAGAACAAGGATGTACTCAGAAGTTTGTATACAAGATATACAAAAGATAAATAATTTCATTCTATTTGTGTTCATGGAAACATTATACACTTTGTATATACATTAAAAGACAATATGATGACCATTCATTCAAAATGATGTATTATTATCGCTAATAGTATGTAGAAGCTTAACAGTGGGATCACTACTCTCTAACTTCTGTATCTGCTCCTCATTGTTGGAGATATACATGGCGAGGATCGTCATGGGATCATAGGTAAATTTACCATCAACCGCGTCGTTTGAGATAACAATACATTTCTCGGTCCAAATTGAGCAATCCAGCGTCATCCAGTAAGGGTTGTCTGGGGTAGGTGATAAAAACGACTGCACTGGTGGTGACACGGTATTGCAAAAACAAAGGAAATAAGCATGGATAGCATATTGACTTTGCACTTGCAGGCACTTTTCGATCGATCGTTTCATTGAAGCTTCAGTAAGGTTTTCTTGGATCGCTAAAACAATTCCAAACGACGTGGAGCCTTGCCGCGGCAAGTAAACGACGAAATGGAGACCGTCAGCAAAGATCTCTTCTTCACTATACAATAGTTGTCCATCCGCTTTCAGGATCGAACCGGTAATAAGACTAACGATACTTGGGTGTTTCAAAACATTTTTAGCTAGGAAATAGTATGAGAAATGCTTTTTTCGAGTAACGGTTGTTTGCACTTACAATCCATGATTCGCGAGCAACGGACGTAGAAAGTTGGGAATGAGGCTGAATATAGTAACCGCAACGCAACAGAAACGTAACAGAAGCGAAACAGGACAAAAAAGGTGTCACAGCAGTTGCTTGCTTCCGATTGGCCAGTCATTCGTTTCGCTTTGGCATCAGATACCATGTAGAAGCCCACAATCAAAAAAAAATCCAGGATATCGATGTGATGCTGTGCTCATGGCGTGAAGATTGTGTCATCTCGATAGTCACCCTTTAATGCGAAGGCGCTTGTAGAGATCACGTGATTTGCTTTGAGAGGTCTGAATGGAGATTGCCGCTGTAAATCCTCTTTTGTTTCATTCGCCCAGCATGGACCAAGTATCACGCGAGCTTAGTGAGCACTTGTCGATCAGCAATGCTACTGGAAATCTGGTATTGAGCAACAGCACCGCCCCCATGAGCATGGCTGACTGATGCATTCCTACGTAGGAAAAAGAGTGGGATGACTCCATGATGCAGACGTCAAAACGCATTACCGACACAGCTGACAAGACGATCAAGGTGATAAAAGAACAAGGTGTCGTTTGGTTTGCAGAGGACTAATAGACTTTACTTGTAAGAAAGCTTCAAGAAGAGCATGTACAAATAGAAGAGGTTCTATCCAAACTACGTGAAAAAGGTGAAGCACTCGAACAGACGTTTGCCGAGATTGATCAAGTCGAAAAGCTCGTGCAGCAAGTCAAGGCGACGTACGATAAAGTGGCCGAAAGTGTCAATGATATGGAAAAGTCTGTGCATTCAAGTACATCATCCAATTTTTCATTTCTGCAGGCAAGTACCCCGCATGGTATCCATGGTTTCACGTATCCATGTATTAACATCCATGTGCGATTACACGCTTTTAGAAGCAAAGCAATGCTTTTCAGCCTTATTTCCCGCCGCCTCTTCCTGTCAACATATATAGCACACCTGAACTTTTATCCCAGCATGGATTATCTTCTTCGGACAACAACTCTGAAAAGTGAATATGTACCCTTTTTGATATCGATTGGTCTATTACAGTAGATAGTGGTTTCTTTTCTTGTATAAACGTATGATCATCCTTTATGCATAATGGCAAGTGATAGGGTGGGCATTATGGAGAGAATCAAGGTCGTCATGGCAATGATTGAAACGCCGGTGGGTTAACTCCAATAAGATTTTAGTCGTCGAGCCGGTACCTCTTCCGGAATTGTACACTTTTATCTTGTTCCTTGTCAGTAATGCTTCTTGCTCATCGGATCGGTTGCCCATCGCGTATAGTATCAGTCACACATTACAGCACAAAGCAGATTCCAAAGAAAGCTGCAGGTGCCTTCACCAGTAACAAGTACATTACCCAACCTGTCGCCGGCACCATTGCCAACAAAACGCTTGTTTACATTGGTAAAAACGCACGTGACCTTTGGATTGGCAGCAGCAGCTGATACTCTTGGCCACTTTTAGGTCCTTTTGCCGAAACGATGCAGCGCTATAAGATGGTGGCTTCCTTGTTTGGTGCCTGTGGTTTATGTGCTGTGCCTGCATTATTAAGCACAGGCCAACCATCGATTGTCAGTGTCGTCCTTGGTAAGCAATGATGATGATGAATGGACCCTCCCTCTTCTTGACGAGTAGCCTATTGATGCAATGATCCATAGCGGGAACCTCTGCCATGGCACCAGCACTATTTATCCATTGGTATACACGCAACGTCGCAACAAAGCTGATTGTATACGATGATGTCAAAACGGTGGAACAACAGCGAAGACGACCACGTGAGATCAATGCTGGGAAATGGATTGGAATTGAAACATCCTCTTTATTGGGTCGCTTACGTGAAAACAACATGTGGCTCTCTGATCTTACTACTACGCATGGCGACAAAGTGATAACATGGCAATCCAGCAAACGGAGATACGTATTCGAGCGTGCTGTCATCGAAGCAGACCCTTACTTACAAGGCCTGGATCAATGCATAAGCAGGAAAAAGTCACATGTCAATGATAGCAAACAATAAAAAGTATTGTTGTCAATCCTTGGAATCATGATAAAAAGCTCTTCATCTTTGATCAATGCTCAAGTATCTAATCGGCCCGTAAGCCATAGCACAATCAACAAGATTAGATATGGCTTGACAACCAAAACTCAGGATCATTAAGGTTCATTGTTGTTCCATGAATGACACCAAAGCTTCATAGTTTTCATTATAATCCATTAGAATGAGTCAAGGATACAAAGAATGAAACAATCGAATTTTCGTAACAATGACAACCCGATGGTCGCCATGGCATTTTATTATGGGGAATGGGGTAATGTGGAGTTGGCTGAGTGTGGTACTAGTGTCCGCATGATGATTAATTATCCCGGCGTATTCCAGACAACCCGCTTCTTCCTTTGTTCGTTGATATGCAACAAGTTTTTCGTGCCAAGGGTTTTGCTTTCGATCTCGACGGCACTTTGATCGATACCACGCCACTTGTTGAGCAGCATTGGCGCGAATTCGCGTTGGAGCATGGCTTGGATGCTGAAAAGGTAAGAGGGTATACACATTCCATTCCCGCCATGTTCCCAGTCGGACAACTCATCATGGCTCTGGTAGATTCTTGAAACCTCCCATGGTCGTCGTACGATTGAGACACTTCAAAAGTGGATCCCTGATAAGGCTACGATAGAAATGGCTGACGATATGGAGCGCAAGTTGACTGCCAAGACGGATGGATTATCGATCTTACCCGGTGTGGCAGCACTCTTGGAAAAGATACCATTGGCAAGCACTGCTGTTTGTACCGCTGGCACTCGTCACATGGCCGAAAATCGCTTGACACAAGTAGGACTCGATGTTCCCAAAGTGATGTCCACGGGTGATTCGGTAAGATTAAAGAAAACACGACAACAACATATGACATTGGATATTAAAGGTCGACGTGTATGTAGGTGTCACGAGGAAAACCAGATCCAGAAGGCTATTTGTCGGCAGCAGAGCGTCTTGGAATCGATCCAAAAGATTGCTTGGTGTTTGAAGATGCTCCCGCTGGTGTTCAAGCTGCCAAGGCGGCTGGCATGGATTGTATCGCTTGTGCAACGACTCACACTGTTGAACAACTCAAGGAGGCTGGTGCAAGCTGCGTGGTTCAATTCCTCACCGATGTGGATATAGAACAACTCCCAGATGGAAGCTTTGACGTGATCGCTTCGAGAACATTGTGATAGATATCATTTAATAGAGCGCTACATAGCTTATTGTTCTACATAAGGAAGCTGTCATATGCCTGCGTAACATAAAAATGTTCATGTGATTTTATTATCTTTATCCCCTGCCTTTGTTGCCATCATAATTAGAGAGAGAGAGTGTGTGTGAGAGTCATGTCAACATTTGGACTATATTATGGGTATGGGTGAAAGAATATACAAGAGCGATAGCCCACTCAGGAGTAAGATGTTTAAAAGTAAAACGACATTGGATCCGTTTCTCGCCTGAATTCAAAGAGCCCACTACATTCGATCGTCTTAGTTATCCACACCAAAGAGCATGATCCCATCCCTCCTTGACTTACCCTATTCGCTCATCACAGTGAGGTGCAATCCTTATCCGTTCTTCGGCTGCTGCAATAAATAGTGCTTGATCCTCAGGACTAAGAGCTATCATTGTAATCAAGATCCGAGTTAGAATATACATATACCTTACAACTTCCAGACCAAATAGCCTTACAAACTCCAGCAATCTCTCCAAAGAAATCAATCACTTGACTCGTCTGAAACGAAGAAGCGTCATAGATGTGTACGAAATCGATGGGCTCTGAAAGAAAAAGAGGATGTTATGAGCAGCAAAAAAGGACATTCACAAAAAAGACATACCAGCAGCAATTAAATATTGACCATCATGGGTAAACTGTAACGATCGTATGGCACCTACATTGGCTCCCAGGACGTGTATTGCCTCCGTAGGTTGTCGTATATCATATATCCGCGTGGTTTTATCTTGATTGCCAGTGGCAAATAATCTTCCATCAGGACTCCAGCAACAAGCGAACGAAAAATCATGATGTTCACTGAGGATATGAACGCCTGGAAAAGAGTATGTTCCAAATCGTTGGTCTTGAAGATGTCACCATATGATCCCCTATTCCAATCCCACATACCTTTCCCTGATGATGCGTCGCATATAATTGTTGCCGTATCATCGCCTACCACGCACAAAAGCCGTTTGTCGGGAGAAAGGGCAGAGCACTAGGTGAACCTTCTGATTAATCACCAACTGATCCGTAATAATACATCCTTGCAATTCTTTTACGTTGACAGCAAAAGGAAATGACAGCGTAGTATCCACTTTTCCGGAAGCCAAGTTGATGAATCGAGCCTTTTGATCATTACTTGAAACAATGGCTTGGGTCTCTAAGGGATATAGAAAAGCCAATGTTATCTTTTCATGTATATACACGTCCCATATGAGTATGCATTTACCTCCATTCCTTGCTTGTGTCACGTTGATATGATTGGCAATGCCATTGGAGTGATTGGTCGTAGTGCCATAATGCACCGGCTCATCCTTGTCATCAAGCCGCCGATACGCATATTCGCCTTTGGATCCGCCCATGAACAGGATATCTTCAGCACAAGCCATACTGCTGACGGCAAAAACTAGACTTTGTGGGGTGTGTGCTGTGCGTACATTCAAGACTTCTCGGCTGTGAGGAAAGTGGGGAGACCAATGCCGTACAGTGTCTTCATCTGGATAAAGTAGTAGATGGGTTAAAGCTTTGAGCCTACATACTAAAGGAAAAGCAACTTACACATATAATAGACGCTATCCTTGCTTGTTGCCCAGAGGAGATTACGTAACTGAAAGTGGCCAATGCTGCAGCGTTCACTCAATTTGGCATATTTAAAATCGTAAAACTTGTGTCCAGCCTCCGTATTCGTGAATTGCTAAACGTAGGTGTCAAACAATGAACTCGCTTTATACGCTGTGTACTTACTTGTCTCAAGGATTTATCATCCGTGTCTTCCAAACAAAGGTAATTCTCATATTCATCCACCCTACACAAACCTTTTCAGCTCTTTGTCCATTTTCCCATTTCCCACGCTTTACCTTTTTTTCCTGCAAGCTTCCCTGGTTACTGGTCTGTTGTCCCAATTGATGCCTTGCTATTGAGTCGAATAATGCGTCATTATCACTGGAGGAGATCATGGATTTGCCTTCGCCTGTACTTACCATATCAATTCCTCTTGCATACATCTCTTCAGTAACCACATCAAGTTGATCCTAAACATCAACAGATATCCGCATAAGCACGCCCACCATGAGAATCACCATAAACCCAGCCGTTGTCCTCACACTGAACAATACGTCGTCTTCGTCCGTGGAATGGTTACGCATCTCTTCAACTAGTATTTCTAATCACCCAATGTTATACTCTTGCAGTGTGGTCATTCCTTGTTAAACGTACCATACTCGGTGTCTGGTGACAATGGCGTAAACTCATTCGAACCGTAGCTGCGGTTGTTGTTGAAGTCAAAAGGACACAAGGAGGGATGGAGGAGTTCATGACAAGTACCGATCAGTGCTCTATGCATGACTTTTGGATTACGGCTACTTACCCATTGGCGAGAGAATCGGTAGCTTCAGAGATACCAGTCATGGTGTGTGTGTGTGTGCGAGATAAAAGGGAAAGGGACAAAGAAATGATGATGATGAGCTCTCCCAAACGGGAATTGAAAAGAATCATGCAGACCAAGCTGAGTAAGTGTCACCGTTATCCATGATGCCCAATAAGAACCTTCATGATCCCACCCCGAGACGCTTGTACACGCATCCACCAACCATACACACACATGTCATGTATGCATAGGCCACAACCGTCGTTACCGGGGAAGTCCCACTTTTGTACATAAGATCAGGAATCATTCTCAAGCTCCAAACTGGTTTCTTGTATACTTTAATGGCTATTGCATCGACATGCTATATATAAAAATTGAATAAACTCCTGTATCCATCAGCTTACAATGCAACCTGACACATACCTTATATCCACAGCATCCATAAAGCGAGTATCCTTATGTAATCCCCAGGCTCATAGCTCTTCTTTGTTCAACAACATCATCAGGCCAAAGTTTTATGTATATTGCATGCATAAGAAAAAATGGTTTAGGGGGATTTGTATTCATGTTTTTGATCACTGCATTACAAGAAGTCATTAGAAGATCTTTTCATATGGAAGTTGGGATGTGCAACTATCATCATAGGAACCTCGTACATATGAAATGATCAAAGACCGCATCGACCACCGCTGCTCGTTTCATGTTTTCCTATCAATTTCTGCTGAGAACGACAAGGCGTCGTGCCTTTTTCCCAACCAACGCCATTCGTACCTTACACAATGCATCGCTTGACGCATGGCGATCGACTGCAATGCAAACGGAGACGCGTGCTAGCGACGTGATTACGAGTTCGCCTTTGAATTTGCTGGCGAATACACTTGATGAGCCGAGTGTGCCATTCAAGCATGCGATCCTCCCAACGGCAGGCACTGTGGTCCCAGCAACTTACCATCATATCTATTTTCCTCCGAGGACCATTGAAAGTGAATTAGCAGCTGATGGTTTCGAGAATGATTTCCACCCTCCTGAACCCTTTGTGGAACGCATGTGGGCTGGTGCTCGTTTGGAATTTAATCCTGTGAATCCATTACGCGTGGGTGATGATGCGACAATGGTGACGACCGTGAATCGAATCGAGACAAAACAAGGGGGTCGCCTAGGTGATTCGGTACTCGTGTGGCTTGACAAGAATATCCACAATGCTCAAGGCTGGGCAGTGCATGAACAACGCTGCTTGGTGTATGCAACCAATAATCATCATGCATCTCCACGCATGATCAAAGGTAAGATGACGTAGATGGGATCAAAAGTATATACATTAGTGACTCACACACATCACACACTTGGATACAAAGCACGTAAACCACCCTCCTTTTCAAAGACGATATGCCCAACCTCAATCTTATTATTCAGATACTCAGCATTGACATTTAATGCCCATCTCATCCATTACGACCATCCATATGCCACTCAACGTGAACATCATCCTGGTAAGTATTATCTACCCAATGACCTATACAATGTTGTATCTCAATTTTATTATGCAAGATCGGTTGGTGCACGGACCACTCTCGGGTACCTTGCTAATGACTCTCTTACGAACCCACGTGTCTGAAAAACATGGTCACCTTGATGAGACACGCATTCTATCCTTTGACTACCGGTGTCTAATGCCTCTTTATGTGGACAAGCCCCTTACGCTATGTGGACGACAAGTATCGGATACGGACGATAATCATATGCTGTTTGATTTATGGATTGTCGATCATGATAATAACCTAGCTGTTAAAGGAAATGCCGTGATCTCAAATAAAGTATAAAGCTTGATTGGATTATGAAAGATGGTTTTATTACAGCAATGTTCGAGTGTGGCGTATGCAAAAGGAGGAGATGGTGGAGATGCGTATACATGGGATTGTTGTATTAGAGCAAGACGTATGATATGGTACACGATCAATGACTTGTAGACAGGTTACTCATCAAATCCATCATGGCATCTAATAAGGAAACGAGGTTAGTTGTCAATAAGAGAAGAACAATGGAGGAGAAAAAGAACATACCAAGACTAGCCGAGTGGATAGGATTTCGTAATTCTGGTGGAGAGCGTAACGACTCATACAATGGATGTGATGGAGATGAAAGCGAGTGTTGCTGTTGTTGTGGTGGCGAAGTAGATCGTTGTCTACTATCTTGTGGTCCAGCACCCATAGGTTGTAATGATGGCATTGGCTCTGAAAGGTCGTCTGTCCAAAGATATTGCTCGATTGGAGAATCCTTTGTACCCTGCAACATATCCTTTGGCTCAAGATCCACTTCAGGTAACCCTTTAAGTCGTCTCCACTTGTTGGTCTTGTTGTAATCATAATTGGTGGCCAAGTACCTAATTCATACACCCGTTAACGATGAAATAAAGGGGATTGACGATAGAAAAAAAACATACCAGAACTCTGCAAAAAAGTCGCCCGGTAACTCCCAACTCTCTGACATGGTTGGATCACCACCATGGTAAACGGCACCATTGAGTAGCATAGAGAAGCATCGGTCATAATCCATTAAATCACGAAAGATGATCATTCTGTCGCGCATATGGGGTGTGGGTATCAAATCAATGCGTGGATCGTGGGGGATAGCAAGTTGTAACAAGGTGGGTTGTAGTCGTACACTGGACTTGCCAAGACGTGATAAGGTGGATTGTACACGCAATTGTAATCGAATTTGTTGAATGGCACTTAAACTTGATGGCGCTGTTGTTGGATCAGAAGGTTCAGTCTTGATGGTCGTCTCGGCAGCGGGTTCGCTTATCGTATCCATATCAAATTGTATATCATGTGTGGTCGATGCATGCGATGTTGAAGCCCCATCATCATGTAACATTGAAAATGTACCCGTCATACTGCTATCTGGAGCGATACTACTGCCTGCTTCGGATGGTGGTGGTTGTGGTGATAATGGTTGAGTTGACGATGGATCAGGATTATTGTTGTTGGTCGTGGAGCCTTCATTCTCTTCTTCAGTCTTTGCCATGTTGGCGAATTGTGATGCCATCATCGGTTTGAGATCAATGTTGTTACGCGTATATGCATTGACGTAGGCTTCGATCGCATGGGGTGATGTCTTGGCCATATCATTGAGAGCTTCTTCAGTCAAATAAGGTGAATGGGTCGGGATTTGGATGCTGTGGTGCAAGCACACAAATTGGAGTGTCAAGACGACGCCTTTGAGATACCAATTCTCAGCCTTGTAACCATCCAACTTGGTCTTCATTGAATTGAGCTCTTTGGTTGCATGATTCCTTTGTTCTCGTAATGATCGAATCGTGTTTTCCAAATCGCGTAAATGTCGCTCCTTACGTTCACGAAAAGCTCGCTGAGCAGCGCGATTTTGAGCCTTACGCACGGCTGGTGATGCTGGATTAGGCTTGCGACCAGGCTTTTTACGTATCTTGACAGGTTGACCATTGATATCCATCGTACCCGGTGCTCCTGCCATCATTGTTGATGCTTGTTGTGGAAGAGTGCCAGGTGGGTTTACAGTCAACAAGCCTGGATGTGGTTGCTGTTGCTGTTGCTGCTGCTGTTGCTGCTGGAAAGGAATGGGGACAATATGCTGTGGAAGACCCTCGTGAATCGACATTGATGATGAGGCAGGCGAAGCCATAGAGAATGCCGCAGCTGGAGAATGGGGTTGATGGTGGTGAAGTTGTTGCATTAAAGGCATAGGTTGTTGTGGATATGAGCTTGGAGTCATTGTAGGTTGTGAGTATTGTTGTTGCGAGGAATCAAGCTCCCACGGTAGATCCTGCTGTTGCAAAAAGAAGGGATCGACATTGGGATTCATTGCGTGAAGCGAGACAAGCGAGTTGAGTGTGTGAGAGTATAATCGAAGGCGGGAGAACTTAACAGCAAAGATGACATTTGGGCCCTCTCTGTTTGCTCCCTCGGATAAAAATCCCCATCAATGCTTTCTCTCTTTTTCCATCCTTCTTCCCTTTCTCATATGTTGATATTCTCACTTTGCCCATTTCCCTCATATAAATGACATGTACATCATGCTTTGTTGAATGATTGCTATTAAATGTCTATTTATCTATTGGTGGACTCCCATATCTACATTTCAAAATGCGGAGTATAAGCTCATGTTGTATGTGATACAACAAGAAGGCGATCTGCATCCTCTCAAGTGTGTGTGGTGCGTCTGTATTAAACCCAGCAGTAATAATCCATGTGATTATAAGCGAATTCTCATTCAACATAGTTCAATGCAGCGTCCCACCTACTCGTCGTCCAGTCACACATAAATGTCAAGCATACTTTATGTTGCACGAATGGCAGTGAGAGCAAATGCTGCTTGTTGTTATTGATTTGTAGTTACACTACTTCTATGCTTCTCCTACTACTTCCACATGACTTTGGTTCGGTCACACACATGGGCAAAAAAATAAAAGAGAAAGAGCTGTCATCAGGGGATCCAAGGCTAATGAGAAGGGGAAAATGATACCTCTCCTTAATTTACCTTTTTTTCCCACCCCAAAAATACAGGTGATTGCCGCTAAGATGGTGTTTATAGCTGCTGCTGTACTTGAAACAGACAACCCGATTAGATTGGTTTCACCGTAAAGAGAGCGAGATAGTAGTGGGAATACAATACCCACTATGGGAGGATCGCACAAAATGGTAAAGGAGTGTACAGCTTTTTGTGTGTGTGTGTGTCATTTAGCCACATGCACCTTGTATCTTGTTTGCCAATGATTACAAGAAACAGCAGCAATCCATGTGGCAATAGATTATCCTCCTCATCGTTGTTGCTGGTCCTCCTTTTGGTATGCAGAACCTTTACTGCAACAACAACTACTGCTGCTGCTGCTACTACTACTATTCACACCCCAACCCCCAAAAACAACCGGTGGGAGCCGGTGCAGCTGTGTTATGCCTATATTTGCCCTTCCATTCTTTCTTATTCTCTCCTTCTCTCTCTTTCTCTCTTTCTTTTTCACTTTTCCTGTTTCTTTCTATCCACATGACTGAAATTGCTTTTGAGCATTTTGATCCCGCGATAGAGCTTTGCAGCGTGGATGAAAATGGTCGTCTTGTTCGCCCACGTAAAAAACCTGGTCGTAAACCAAATCCACCTTCACCAGCACAACGCAAAGCTCAAAATCGAGCAGCACAACGAGCCTTTCGAGAACGTAAACGGCGAGAAATGAAAGATGCTGAATTCAAAGTACAGCGTGCTCTGTGCGCTCGGGACGAAGCTGTACGTGAAGCCAAAAAGTTGCGGAGACGAGTCAAGCAACTCGAGTTTGAAAACAACTTTCTCAGGGGTCACGTCTTGTCACTCAAAATGGCATGCTATGCTAACCGCGTGGATGTTGATAATTATGTGCATCGAGGCACACGCGATTATCTTGGCAACGAAAAGATGCAGAAATCAGCTGCGCGTGGTATTCCTGCCAACCTTGAATTCTTTCTCGATCACGATTATCACGTTATTTATCTACAAGATGATTACATCCCTCCTTCAATCGACAATAATTCATCCACCACGCATTCTCCAGAACCATCCTCTATTGGAAGTGCGTCATCACCATCATCCATAAACACAACTTCAGCACCAAGCAGTTGCTCTTTCAACCCCTTTGAAGCACTTTTACTTTCACCAAAACTTTTGGCACGAGGACAACATGCAATGCCTGGCAGCTTTGATGATATGAGCGATCCTACTATGATGGAACCATTACCACCCCTTGATCTCACACAAACAGTGTCTGTACTTGCTCCACAACTTCATCAGCTACAACAAGCCTATAATGGTCAACTCGTTGATCCAAGCATCATTCAAGGTTTGGTTCACACTCAGATGGTCTCTGGATTAATGGACCAAATTACAAAGCCCGATTTCACAATCGACCAAATCCCTCCAGAATTAGCTGCTCTAATTCCTTCAGAGTGGCGATCATCCCTTCATGATTACAGTGCTCGTACACCATCACTCCATACACAAACCAACAACAAACCACCAAGCGAAGAGATTGCTGAAATATGGGATCAACTTTTAAACCAACAACCTCTTCCACCCACAAAAAAGAGCCGTTGCACTATTGGACCTGATGGCGAACGCACCTATCCACCCATGACACCCATCGAATTTGTGGAGGAGTTACGTCTTATTCCACGTAAGGACAAAAAGTTCCTTACGATGTTTGAACCAAGTAAGTTGTTCATTTGCATTATCACCACCCTTCATCATTGACCATGATTCTTTTTAATAGCTGAACTACAACGCAAGGTGCCTCACGATCTTCGTATTGATGTGATCCCTGGTGCCGATATGCGTGATCAAATGATTCTATTCCAAGACTTTTACGATGCCAATGAGCTATTCAGCTTTTTACTTGATTCGGCCATGTTTATGGGTGGCTCCATTGGTAACCAAGACCATTGGTTTGTGCCTCCAAGCTTTTTACGCAAGTACTGGTTCCTGTGTCCTAGCAAAGTCCCTGATCGGGTCGATAATTGTGTTGAAATTGTTTTCTATCTCGGTGAACGCATGCGTGAGATGATGATGACACGACAGCAATTGTATATGGAACGTGAACGCTATCCCAATTACTTCCCATCCATCACCCCTCCTTCCAACAAGGCCAATATCGAGGAGATTCATAATCAAGATTCACCTAACAACAACGACATGCTTATTGATCCACCACCACCACCATTATCAGCAGCATCACCCGATGGGGATAACCAATATCAGGATGAGACCGATGAAGACACAGGGGATACTGAGACGGACTCCAACAGCGACACGAGATCTATACCTGTCACCGATGATATGCCTTTAGGTATGTACCAACATTCTTTGTTCTTATCCAATAACGCTCATTGTTTTGTTTTCTCTCTCTTCAGCCAATGCACTCAATATCATGGAGACCATGCCAAGGTTCACATCCATTGGCACTTTACGATGATGATGATGATGATGATAATGACAATCAAACAACTCTTTATCCTTTCACACATTTGTTTAAATATTCGTAACTTCTTTTTGCTATAGCACACACACACGCACCCTAATGTAATCGCTATTATCTGTATTATATCGTTCCTGACCACACGTATCCCTTTGATTCATCCATTCTCCTCCAATGCGCTTTATGTAGATAATCAAATTTCTTTTTACGATTAAAGGGGGTCTCCTCGTGGTTATATTTCCTTCCTGATATCTACTTGCGGATTGTATGACATGAAGGGAAAGGAGGAGGGGGGAGGGAAGGAAGAGAACCCTTGTATATCAAAGTCCTTCATCGCCATCAGGTTGACTGTTGTAAAGATCCACATACAAGGAAAAAGAGGGGGCGAGTCGTGGGGTCATGGGTGATGATCCACTGCTGGTAGACGATGCATCCTCGACAATGTGATGATGCTGTCTCAAAAAATTACTACTGGAACTGCTGCAGAAACGAGGGGCATGGCTATGCTGTTGTTGCTGTTGTTGTTGAATGGGATTTTGGACCATGGTTGCATAGATACCTGGGAGTCTTTGTTCCATAGTCGTCGATTCAATCCCTTGATGATGCTGTGGTGATGTGAGAGGATGGATGCAGTTGTTGGTATCCTGACGTGGTGGATCAAACTTTAAAACATTGGTATTGCTGTTGTTGTCATCGTTTCCTTCAAGGGGCGTTGTAGTGCATGCTTGTTGTTGCTGTTGTTGTCGGCTAGCAACGATAAGTCGAAGTGGACGTGGTTCGCCATGTTTTAGCAGGTAGCGATAACATGCAACGCAAAGTTTACGTCTGGATGCTGGTTTGGTATTGCAGTTGCAGCAAATGGGTTTTGCTTTAGGGGGACGTGGTGACTCGAGAAGCGAAATCATGGTCGTGTATGACAACGGCGGCGTTGATTGTTGAGATGTTTCATCAAAGGCATAATTGGCCACTTCCACGGCATTGCATAGCTTGCTTTGATCAAAATCATGCAAATTGAAACGAAACAACTTGTTGATGACATGGTTGAGCCGATAAATATGATCTTCCTTGGCCAAATTTTCACACTCTAAAAACCGTACATCCGTGCGTCCAGGTGTTGTCGAATGCCGTGTGTATTGAAACAAGTGCAATAACCAAGTTGGAAACATGATGAATTGGGGTGAGATAAATGACATGCTCTTTTCTTTGCTTGCTCTGAAAAAGACAACAAGTAGTCGCATGTCGTGGTAGAGCTCCGAAGAACAGAGTGGACGTGAAGCCTTGCCAACGCCAATATGACAACGAAATGAGCCATTCATATGTCGCCCAATGACTTTGATATGAATCGGCGTGCCGATCACGAAGCGATTGTGGTTCGCAGTGGTGGTGGTGGTCGGGATGGCGATGGGTTCCAGTATTGCATCTGTCAAACGGCTATGCTGTGTTGGTTTGAGATAAAAGCCAGCATCCAAAAGACACTTTGTCCAACGAGTCATCAACTCATCGTCGCGAATATACGTCGGCGGTGACTGCTGTGGATTATCCTGCTGCTTCTCTTCAGGTGCAAGTAAGCTAGCAATATCCATCAAAGAAAGCAAGAATAAAAAAAAAGACGTGTGCCGAGCCAGGGGCACATGTCGGTTATTATCATTACCACGGCAATTGAGTAATCTTACATGCCGTATCGCGATCCTTTTAAGAATCAATTTTAGGTTGCCTAGGATACCCCATCCATCCCCATGGTGAACCTATAGATGATTGCATTCTAATCCTTTTTGCAGCGTTGCTCAAATAAGATGGTGTCTTTAAGGAACCTTCATACAACAACGTGGCATAGTCTTCTTGGCAACTAAATAAAGGATCGAAATGCTTTTCTTCTCCTTATAAAACTTCCCACTCCTTTACGCACTCACCCACGCCACGCACATACATACATCCACTTTTTCAGTTCTACGTCCAAGGTACCCTATTGTATCTTGAAATCACCATGATGCTTCTTTGGTTGACTTTACTTTGGTTGCATATCATAGCGTAACCAACAATAGAGCATAGAACCACTGATGCTTGAATGAGAAGAAGGGTGTTTATTCAATAAATAAATGTTTACGTATGTGTATGCAGCTCAAATATATGCATGTGCCCAGCAAGCATGCTATCATTTACGTTTTTGAAAATGCACCCAAACACCGTTACGAGGTTTGGTAGTGAGCACAATCTTGGTATCGATGATGTTACCCGGTTTGAGAGACATGGTAAATTGATTAATGGTGCAAGCAATGACGGTACGTAGCTCAAGGATAGCCAAATTCTTGCCAAGACATGAATGAGGTCCAAGTGTAAATGAAAGATCTGGGAACTCATGCTGCTTGTCATCCGGATGATCATTGTTACGGATCCATCGAAAAGGGTTAAATTCATCTGGATTGGGAAAGACATCTTGATTCATTTGCAAACCACGCAAGTTGCACCAAATCTCGGCACCACGGGGTACCACGACGCCATCCACGATCGTATCATGGTTGACATGCACAGGGATGAAAGCTACAGCTGGATACTTTCGCATGGTTTCACGATAGACGGCCGTCAACAAGGGTATTTGAGAAAGCTTGTCAGCTGTAATGCTTGCAGGATCCACAGGTGCAGGGCCTAAAACAGCATTGACTTGTTGAAATAGTTGTTCTTGGATATCAGGATGTCGTGCCAGCTCTGAAAAGCAAAAGGCAAGTGTATGTGCTGTGGTATCATAGCCTGCAAATGTCAACGACAACATGTCGTTCACTAGGTCCTCATATTTCCCATCGTATTTGCCACTTGCATACGCACAGGCTGCCACGGATTGAAAGACGCCATCTTCCTTCTTGGCACCTTCTGCCAATGCATCTTGTAAAGAATCACGAATAAAGTCCTTGAGTCGTTCACGTGAAGGTCTAAAAGCACGTTGTGCCCAATTTGTATGATTGATGCCGAAAGGTAGCCATGCTTCCACTGATTGGAATCCGAGACCAAGTTTAAGATGCTCGTTCTAAATAATAGACAAGATGAGTGATCATGTAGCTATGTTGCTATGTGACCTCATTATTCATATACATACCTTGAGATTGGTCCTTCCACCCACCATATCATAATTCAAATCACCTCGTCCATAGAGATAAAAGTTGATAACATCCATTGTCAAATTTTGAAAGAGCTCATCCACTTCCAAGGCAGTGCTTTGGTTGGCATTTTCCTCAAAGACATCCAATAGCTCTTTGGTACGTGTTGCTACGTAAGGCAATAGGTTTGGAACAAGTTGTCGTGATTGAAATGGAGGTAAAAGAACGTGTCTACGCCATCTCCATTCCTTTAAAGTGATACGAGTCAATCAATGTATGAAGAATAAAGACGTATAGCCTTACCTCTCCAATAGTATTATTGATGCTCTTGCCTCCAAATACAAGGTTCTGGATGAAGCAAATCAGGTTGCCACGTTGCACATTGGTTGGAGGGTTCATATTCTTTTGCTTTGTTTGGCCTTCGACAAGCACATCCTTGATGCCTTTGAGCGTATTGACAAGCACCAGTGGAGTTCCCATGATGGACCATACAACGCTGACAGGCGTTTGTTGTCTATCTTGGCCAACCTGGATAAGGAATTCTGATAGCTTGTCGGTGGTGTTGCTTGGTGGTGGTACCAATCCAAATGCGGCCAACCAGAAATTGTTGGTCTTTGCAAGAGGTGCATGAGCGAGGGGTGTCGCGAAACGACGATAGGTGTAGCGGATCACCAGTAGCAATAAAAGAGCTGTCGGTATGCCGGTGAAGAGCTGGTCAGCGTGAATGATGGTTGATAAAAGTCCCATGGGTATATGATGTCTTTGTCTTTATTTCTGCCATGGTGCTTATATATGTATGCATTGTCTTGAATGGATTCATGGCCGCCTTTTGAGAGAATGGGCAAATCAGAGAGCAGCTTTCATCTCAGCCAATGGGGGCTATCGCTTTTCGTTGTACAATTCACCCATCCTTCAACAATGAAAGGATGCAGTAATTCCCCTTGTGTTGTTTATAAAGTACCAAAAGGGAGATTCATTATATGTAAAAAAGAAAGACACATAGCCAAAGTACGCATGATTCCAGGCACATTTCCAAGTCAGGCTCATTATTGAAGCTTTCGGTGGTGGTGATGGTGTTGTGTGGGTACTACTACTAGACTACCCCATTATGATTGATTCGCTTGTTGTTATAGCCTATCATTATCTTATAATACGCTTTCGACCCTGTCGTGTCTCTTGTCATTTCGTACCACACATTCAGGGAAAAAATGCATTAACAAACTACACATGCCAAATAATTTTATTTGCTATACTCTCGCAGCGAAGCAGCAAGCAAATTCTTCGCTTCTTTTTCCCTTCAACGGCTCCACCAAAGCCCTCCACGAATTCCCATGGACAACTCTGCCCAACAATCAGAACCCAGTTCCTCATTACCGATTGACGACTCGGCAATGCGTCCTCCAAGTCGAAATGGCAGTCGTGAATCCACCCCCCATGAGAGGAGTTATGCACACAGCACAGCAGAGCGGCCGTCTCCATACCGAGTCCGCTTGTTTGTTCTAAGCGGCGCTTGGGGTCGTTTATCCCGAGCAAGACGAGTCGTCGTCCTATCGTCGATAGTGATTGTAATAGCACAGGTATTGAAGGAAAAGGGATGATACCATGTGGAACGAGATATGTCTAGTAATACGCATATAGCTCATCAGCATCATCATTGCATTGGTCGATCCCACGAGCGCTCTCTGTGATAGGCCGCTGGACATCTTTTTGATAGTATACCTCGTACGCTCAGTCGTCAATCTCCCTTTGATCCTCTATCACCATCTTCGTCCTCCACGATCAGGAAATCAAGATACAGAAAATGATAATGAACGACGAGTCGAATGGACTGATCGGTAAGCTAAAAAAAAGGATGGATGGGACATCTTAATGACAACAACAACGTGGACTAAATCATCATATGATTCCCCCCAAGCTTGAAGTCATTGTTCGATATTTTCGGCATTGTGTGGTTCATTATCGGCAACTACTTTATCTTCACCTCTGGTCAATGTGCTCAAAGTTCACCCACTTTATTCTACACAACACTCGTATGGATACTTTTGGGATATGGTCTCGTCGTCGTGCCACTCTTCCTTTGTATTTCAGTCATATTCTGCCTCCCTTGTGTATTAGGTAAGTTGTACGGATCAAGTTGGAAGAAGGAAGGATGACATCGCCAACAACATCATACGTAGTTTTGATGCGTATGCTACGTCTTGGATATGCATCAGGTCTTGTAAGCGGTGCAAGTAAGGCCGAAGTGGAAGCTATCCCTGTGTTCAGGTACACTGCAGCAGATGGAGAAGGAGGCAACCAAACAAGCACATCTTCACAACAACAACAACAACAGCCACAAAAGAAAACCAAGAAACGAGCATCCTTCTTTCGATACATGCTTCGACGACCCAATGATCAAGAGAACAGTGATGTGGTTTACGATCCTATTACTATCACACCAGCCGAAGATGCCGTTTGTTCCATTTGCCTCTCTGAATATGAACATGGTGACCTCGTTTGCAAATTACGGTAAGCCATCATGGATGCTATCATTGTGGTATTGCATGAGTAGCTGATTCGTGGATATTAGGTGTGGGCATCATTATCACAGGGATTGCGTACATGAATGGCTCTTGCTTAATTCAAGCTGCCCTCTTTGCAAGCGTGATTTCCGAAAAGAAGACTCTGTAGATGACGCTGTATAGTATCCTATGCATTTGATTGTACTATAATGATTGCTTTTGCTTGATGGAAGATAAAAAATGTAATGCATTCAGCAACTCACATGATCGTTTATGTATGCGAGTGTATATGTTCGTTGATCAATGGCAGCGTGTGCCCATTTTAGTCATGAATTACATGTTGATTTATATACATTAGCTTCTCTAGCTAGTTTTTCAGCCGGTGCACCTTGTTCCAATAGGTAGTAGCAGAGGTACGAACAACATTATAGCCATCACCAGCGTCGCTTAGTTTATAGCAAAAAGATGACGCGTGCGTTTAGAGAATAAATGTATTCAGATTCTCATTCAAAATGATATCTGATACAGCATACATCACATGTTCCAAAAGTTTGCTGTCAGTGGCGTCTGTGTAATGACAATAAATGCGTTTTGAAGGGTTGTGATTCAATCGTTGAAATCGCTTGCGAAAGTATATGCATGTCTGGTCAACATCATCGTCAGGACCTACTAGTTCCATCAGGTGAGCCCTCGTTTCAATGCCCCATATAGCCTGCATTTTAATACCTTGGTAATCGGGGAAGTATTGAGATATAGGAGAAACTTTGATCTTTTCACGGAAGATATCGATCTTATTCAAAAAGAGAATCATCGATGTTTTTACGAACCATGGCGAATTGCATATGCTGTCGAAAAGCATAAGGGCTTCCAACATCTACGTTTTTTATATATTAGTCTTGTACATCATCATCATCTCTCTTGATGCTTTTGCAAACTCACTTGGTTCTACGCATTCAGATTTTGTCAGTGTATGTTGTGATGGATCGAAGGCTAACTCTAAGACACTTACTGAATCCCTATCCTCAACCAGGCACTGGTCGTATCCACTAATTGCAACAACAAATAGGATAGCGGTAACGTTGTCAAAGCAATGTATCCTATGTATCAATAATGGATGATGAGTAAGGCATGACTGAAAATCGATGGTTTTTGAATACCATTTCTTTCGTTCGCTCCGTTGACCACCAACATCCACCATGCGATAGGTTAAAGGTCCCAAATGAAAGATAGTCTCAACGATCCCTGTAGTCTTTGCACGACATCGGATGATATCTTGATCCGTAGGTAGGTATTCTGGTTCCCACAAGCGATCCAATTGGGTATAAAAGCTAAGTGACCACTCTCGGGATTTAGATGCCACTCACTCACATCCTCATCACCATCATTGGAATCATTTTTAAAAAAGACTTACTACGGAACATTATCATGAAGAGCAAACGAATTTCCATGTTCATACGCACTCTGTATTCCTTCATCTGCCCAAAGTCTCTTAAGGATATCGAGATAATCAAGAGGAAAAGGCTCATCTTTAGCCAATGGCGGCATTTCTCGGAAGTAACCCCGTGCATCTTCCTATATAGTGGATATCTTGAGAACCCTTGTTAATGCTTCAGGTAATCTCATAAGGTACCTGGAGTTGCTTATCGTGTATTTCTAGATCGAGTTGTTGTGTAATCTCGAGTAGCGTTTGCATGATACTGAAAATGTTGCTAAACACAATGACACGGTAGCTTTCTCGTTCCGATGCACTAAATCCAGCTGCGTGTAACAGACGCATTTGCTTCAACACGGTTGATTTCCCTGATTCACCAGCACCTGGAACAAAGTATCTCTTTTTAGTTTTTTCTCTCTTTCTCTCACACGCGTCGATAGGATGGATCTCGAAATAGAGGGGCGTCATTTTTACCGAGCAACAATAGCTTGACCTCAGTCTTCATGCGACGTTCGTCGGTCTTGATCTGCTTGTCAATGGAGCGATTGGTCTCAATTTCGTGGACATCGAGACTCTCTTTTGCACAGCATTGTCCCATGGCGAATCGAGCAAACACCCAAGACTTTCAAGAAGAAAAGATATCTCCTTTTGCACCTTGTTCCAAAACCACACGCATCCCCGTTTTAATATCAACTGCCAGTAGCATATGTAAGTTTTTGTGAGAGAGTTTGCTAACGGCTCGTACATAGGATTGTTGCTAGGTTACTATGGTATTATTGGTCTTCCTCTCTTTCAAAACGTTTGCTATCTAGAAACTTCCATGCATCTTCACGCAACCCCTTCCACCCAAGAAGAATAGCTAGATTTGATAGTCAATGTAGATAAAAATGCAATGTAAAATGTATTATAAAGCTAATATGATGCTATGTGTCTATGATCTCTTTTGTTGCTTTTGTCGTTTGCGAGCTTTCTTTCTTGCTGCTATTTCAGGATTGGCAACAGCTTCAATGGCACGTTTGGCCTTTCGTTCTTCTCGTGCATCAAGGTTGCGTTGGCGAACACGTTGATAGGCTGCAAAATAGATCGTAGAGCCCGCCTGCTTTTGTAATAGTTGGAGTACTTGATTTGCTAGTTGCTTCAGCTCATCTATAGAACCATGAGTATCAGTAAATGATTCGTTCGACTTTGTATTGTCACTTTGATCTCTTACCAAATCCTTCCACCTTGGTTTTATCATCGTTGGTGATCTTGTACATGGGAGCGATCATGGTTACCAGATAGGGCGGTAACTCATCACTAGGCACGTGATTGGCGACAGCAGCAAACCATTTAAAGATTGACGCACGCTGAAATAGACAATCAAAAATGTTAATGAATGTTCATTGTTTAAGATGCTGGTCGTTCACTTACCATTCGATGGCCTGTTGTATTAGATCCACCACGAGCCACAAAGGAGAATCGTCGGAGCATCCAATAATGAGCATTGTGTTTGATAGGCTGATCAAGTTTACTTGAGCTTGCTTCATCATCCTTAGCAGCCTCCTCTGTTGTTGCATCGGCCTTGTTTGAAGTCTCCATATCCATCGTATCTTCTTCTGGTGGTAAATAAAAGAAGCACTTGCTGATAAAGACAAGGTTGCGTAAAACTTGATTTGATTGCTCATCCGTGAGGTATTCGCTTTTGAGCTGCTGCAAGAATCGCATTGTGATGTCACGCAAGTTCTTCTTTTGTAGGAAGTCGCAACGCTGGCCATCGGTATAGGTGCGATGTTCGGGATCGATACCAGAGAAATAGGAGCCAAATAATCGCGCTGTCGATATACGAATCCATGTATGGGGATGAACAAGCAACACTGATACAAGTTCCCAAAATTCGGTGTCCCGCACGAGATCAGGGAACAAGGTGGCGATCTTGCTTGCCGTATTCAATGCATAGTAAACCACTTCCCAAGGAATGTCCACTTCCATATCATCCGTCTCAGCTTCTTCTTGATCCACCATCTCCTCTTCTCGATTCTCATGAAGAATTCGTGTAATCCGAGGCATCACATTAGATGCGAGTGACTTTGATGAATCTCCAAGTACATCGATAATTAAGCCATACACTTGACAGGCGGCACGTTGCAAATTCTCCTTGCCTTGCTGATCGGACCAGGTATTCAAAAGACGATACATGACCTCCAACTTATCTTCAGTACAACGAGCTGCAAGTTGTTTGATCAATTCAGCGGACATTTCACGACATCTGGCAGAATCATCGTTGATCAAGCGTAACACCAAGCCCAGGAACATTGGCTCCACAAATTGCAAGAGGATTTGATCACCAAACTTATCAATGACTTGATGCAATAATTCCATCACCGATACACGACCACTCTCATGAACATATTCAAGGTTCTTGATTACAAAGCTCATTTGCAACTTGAGACGATCTTGGCTTTGAGGGTAATCCATAAGGAAAGCAAAGTATGTGGCACGTGCTTGATCGCGTATCTCACGAGCTTGATTGGTCACCATAACTTGAGAGATGCGATCCACCAAATCATAGAGCTCAGGCGCCATAATCTTACGTGAAATGATGGCTCGTATCAAACCAAACACTGTGCTTTGTCGTTCTGGTTCTTCGATATCAGGCTGAATGGTCACGATTAAGTACACAAGCTGGTTGTCAGTGATTTTCCAAGTGGGATCACGAATGCACACCGTCAAAAGCTTGATACAATTTTGCACAGTCTCCGATTTTGTGGTGCTAGCTTGCTTGATCAATTGGAAGTTCCGCTTAATGACCACTGGCATCAATCGTTTCAAAGAACGTAGAGGATAACGCATCAAAAGACGCATGACTTTGCAAGCAAGGATGACATTTGGCACGTGGCTTGAATGCATGGTGTTGACAACCGTCGCTGCGAAGGGATCCAGTTTTTGTATGTGGCTTTGGTCTTTCCCATCAAACTTATCTCGACGAAGCGCTGTATGGAAAAGTGACAAACCAAAGGCGACAAATCGATATGCATTGGCTTTGTAATGATCCACAGGGCCAGTGCCAGGTCGCTTCAATTGCACCTCATAATTCTTCTCAAGCTGACTCTTTTCCACGTTTTCCTTGGGTTTGACCTTGAATGCATCCAAATTCTCAGTCACCAAAGCGGATGAGAAGTCGAGAAGATCCAATGATCCGAATTCTGGATTTTGCACCAAGCCGGTCGATACACGCTTCAAAATATTGTCGACCTTGTTCAACACCTTGAGACTTTGGGTTTCAGCCATGATATCACGGAGAGGAACAAGCATCACGTAAATGTTGTTAAAGTGGATGACTTTGCTCAACTGCTCAAACGTGCCCAAACTCTTTTGGTTCTTTGCTTCCTTGGTCTTTCCAGTCATTTCATCAGCTTCCTTTTCTTGTCCAGTGGCACCAAATACATCATTCACAAGCACTTGAACGATATCCTCGAGACAGTGATCAAGGCCACCAACGCTCACATGTGGAATGGTCTTGCTGATGAGCATGTTCACAGTGTAGCCAAGCACATGAAGTTCATAGCCTTTGGTCAATGCTGTACGCAGCTCCTTGATAATAAATGACAAATAGGCGGGTCCCAAAAAGGCATTGATTTTGATGAGGGTTTCTCGAATGATATCACGGACATCTTGAGCACGGCTACGAATCATTTGACAAAGACTGATCAACAAGGAAGGAAGGTTGATACGCATCGTTCGCTCGGGAAGCCTACGCAACAGCTTGGCAATACCAAGGGCGACCGGCATACGAATAATGACTGATTTGCGGCTCTTGGTGTTGAGGAGATACTTGTTCAATTGTGGAAGCATCTTTGTGATAACCATATCATGGATCTTTTCAGCATGGCTCTTTGATTCCTTCTCTTGGGGTGCATTGTCATCTTCCTTTGCAGCCTCTTCTTCCTCCTTTTTGTGCTGATCCATGAGCTGTTCAGAAGAACGGAATTCGATCGTAGTCTTTTGACGACCCACAACCTTTGCTGCCATTTCATCCGATACTTCCACGTCTTGCAAATCAAAGTGGAAAGCATCCAAGATACCAGCAACAATTCTCACGTAAAGTCGTTCCATATCCTCTTTTTGCGTGACGAGCTCCATGTATTGCTTGAAAAGTTGGTAGTATTGGCTCCATTTAAGCTGACGGGCCAAAGCGGAGATGGCTTCAACGGCACGGCTCACCAAATTATGCTCTGTGACCCGGTTGGATTCATAGAAGAATGCGGTGACAAGAGGAACCAATACGCCATTGATGGTGGAACTGCCAAAGACACCTGTATCAGCCACCTCAGCCAAACGAACAAGGGCACGTTCTCGTCGATGAATCTGCATATGATATACATTGTTGAAAAAGTTGGCTTCCTCATCACCACCAACAAGCAATGGAACCATATCAGCAAAGATTGGCATTGTTGGGAATGTCTTGACAGCTGTATCGAGCACACCAATAAACTCAACACGAATGAGCTCCACGCGATTGACCAATCCTCGTTTGATAGCAGGATACACGATATGGTTGACGTATCCAGTCAACTTCTCATATTCCTTCTCGTCGTCCTTTTTATCATTGACAGACCTCAAGAACACGTTCATGCAGTTTGTAGCAGCTCCACGGACAGCCATCTCATCAACATCATGCATGTTGTGGATAAATTGATGCAAAAGCGGTAACCAATGATGGTGATTGAAATCGGAATGTAACTCGTCAGCAATAGTATTGAGTGCGTCAAGCATGCGATCATAATCAGGCTCGTCAAGTCGCTTTTGAGAATATGAATTGAGATCTTCAATGAGCTTTCCCACCTTGCTCAAAGCTGGATTTACTTGCACGAACATCTTGAAAAGCTGTTGTAATGATACACGGCATTCACGACTGCGTAATGTCGAGAAGAGCAGCGAAGCAGTGTTGTAGTATTGGTGATAAAGCATCGAATCGCATTCGAATCCAGGTATGATTGGAATAAGCTTAGCCCATAATTCCAATACATGGTTCTTTGTTGTTTCAGGAATCTGTCGGCTTGGCTTACGCAAACTTGGTAGCAATACATCAACAATGACCGCTGCTTGTTCGCCATTTTGAGTGAGTGGTGCGAGTCGAGAGACAATGACAATTTCTCTAATCGTATACTGGCTGGTACCGAATGTGGCATCATCCTTCGATTGGGTAAGGCGGAAATGCAAGTTCTCAAGCAACACGTCGACGTAAGGCAAGATCATGCGTTCCTTCAATGTATCCTCTTCGTCACGATCGCAGGCGTCAAGAATAGCTTCAATGATACCCAAGATGGTAGAAAGATTCGATTCGATGATCTTCTTTGCACCCAACACTTTGATCATTTGGGGTAGTAATGATTCCTCCCAATCAATAAAGTATGCAAGGCGTGCCACACGATCTGTCCATGTAGCAAACAATGCCAAGATAGGTGCTCTGTTAAGTGCTGCTTCGTTGGGTAGACTAGGAACTCGTGGAGCAACAAATGTGCTAAAGATGGCTGGCAGATAGGGACTGAAATCGAAATCACCATGCAATCTGAAGATCTCAATAAGGCGTTGTAGGGCTTCATTGTTGATTGCTCTTAATTGGTTGCTTTGATGAGTGTCGCCACCGCGCTGTGTGTATTTGCCGATATACAACAAAATCTTCATGAATGGAGACAAGAATGGGATGATCTTGGAGCTCATCGTGGTCATCAATCCCTTCAAGAGATCAAGGAAGGCATTGTGTCGTCCAAAGGGTATATCTTTCATGATGCGATCACCTTCATCAGCCAGACTAAATTCGATAATCTTGCCATTTTCATCCTTCATTTCATCTGAAATCTGAAGAATCGACTTGTAGCCTGCCAATGGCAAATCAAAGAAATACTGGATCTCTTCGTCTTTGCAGAAAACGAGCGAGTCGAGAATGGCCACCTTACGATTGGATTTGACAGCGCGTTGGGCATAACGACCATATAAAATTCGCATAACAACCGGCATCAGCCCACGACGATGAGCAGGATCAATCATGGCCTGTTCTTCGTTGCCAAGGAACATCATCAACTCATCACGGAATTGTTCTTCATCGAGAAGGTTGCGAAGGTTATCACCATATTGGCGCACGTGGCGATCTTTCCATGCCAAAAGACATTCGAGAGCTGCTTTTTGAAGTTTGGTGTCGCTCTTCGCTATCAAGCGCATAAAGATGGCATGCAATTCTTTGCTCATGTACATGTTGCGGGGATTGGAGAAAGCACCAAAAAGGTCGAGCCATGCAAATAACTTGCTTTTGACAACTGCTTTGTTGCGAGGTAAGAGTGCCAAATCATGCGATTCTCGATCAATATCCATGCTGTCATCCTGTTCCTCTCCTTGTTCTTGGGTATCTTGCTCCATCAAGTCGTCACGTTCCAATGCAGTCTTATATTCAACATCGAGGAATGACATGAACAAAGGAATGAGCTGCTCTCCATGCTTCTCAGCAATCGTTGTGGTGCGTTTAAATGACTGAAGGATCAACTTGTAATAATTCCAATAATCCATGTATGCATCTTCTTGACGAGAGAGCTATAACATAGAAGCAAATTAATATCATCATCCCATCATATCATCGACAAAAAAGTGGACGTACCTTAATAAAGAGGAGTGCAAATTCTGTTGAAGCTTCATCTCGAATTGCTGTTAAGGCCTGGTCTGCAACAGTGCGATGCTTGTTCAAGTTTGGACACTCGAATGAAATGTTGCCGATTTTGCTTGCTTGTCCAGTCTTGATTTCTGGTTCCTCAGCGTATCTCGCAAAAGCCTTTTTGGAGAAGCCATCATATACAAGCTGTGCCTGATCATCGAACTTGGAGAGCTCCCTGAAGCACACATTCCAGTATTCTTCCTCATTCAATTCAGCGCATTCTGCAAGCAAATTGATAGCCTCATCCCACATGGGTCGTAGATGGATATTCAACAAGCCTGGTAGAAAATCAGCTAATTGTACATACAATATCCACTATATCGCTTATACATACCAAGAGCCATCCGCAATGGAAAATCGTGATACAGGGCTGGCAAACGCCCGGTGCGTGCAATGATCGTAAGCTTTTGAGTATACATGATCTTGTCACGGAAATCTTGCAATGATAGTTCGGCTTCTTCAAGATCAGTTGCAACATGCGCCAGCTCACATGGTTCATCTTCACGGTGTTGGCTGTCTTTGATCATCAAAGGTTGGTCATATAATGCGAGGATCTTGCAAGTGTAAAGGCGGCAATTGGGTTGATAAGAGGACAAGTTGAATTTCAATAAAGGATAGATGTTGGTCAACTGCTCGGTGCTGAATTTATCATTGTTTGTTGAGCTACATTGAGAGCTTGTTAATACTAGCACAAATCAACTCTCCCCAAATCCCATATATATATACCTGGATCGCAAATGATCAAGATACTGGAAAACGCCACGAAGAACAACCTCATTACGTCCATGGGTCTTCAATAACTGATTCACAAATTTGTCATAGAAATCCTCTGTCGATGCTGCAGTGTTGCCGCTGGTAGTGATGAGCTTTGTAATCGTTTCAATACAATAGCCAATAAGCACTTGGAGAACGAAATTCTTGTGAGCGACCACGAAGCTGGTATTGATGACAGCATCATCTTTCTCGTTGGATGCGATGTAATCGTCAAGTGAATCAATCAAATGGACAATGGCGGGGATAGCTGATTCAGGAAGGTGAACACGCTGAAGTAAGGACAATGAAGCAGAGAGAAAAGTGATAGCAGATGAATCATGTTCCTAAACACAAAACTTAGCGTCCGATTGAAATTTATAACCTTCCCTTCTTTACCATTGAAAAATCAAGGCTATTAAGCGTATCACGTTCGCTTGTCCAATCATACGTATCAGAGAGAACTTGTAACAGCTTATTGGGCACCGTGTTTGTTGGAAATCGTACAAGACCTTCGGGCGTAATAAAGGATGAAAGATGATCTTCAGGCAAGTCGAGGGCACCCGAGGAAGTAATCTGCGAGAGCAATAAGATGGTTTGTCTAGGATGGGTTTCAACCTTGGCAGCTGTGTATCTATAGTAACAGTAAGCATCATAACGTATGTAACGTACTTTTTCAACGTACCTCACAAGATAGGGGCCAGCAGCTTGAGCAAAATCATTCCAATCCAACTTTGACAAACCAAGGAAGAAGCCATAAACAAGGTCGACATTGTCAAATGCAATCACAGATTCGAGCACCATACGAACACCGCTCAAGACACTCTTAAGTGAACCAAGTGTCAAGATACCAGCGACCACATTGAGAGCTTCACTGTAAAGATAATCGGAGTAGACGTTGCTGGGTTGTGCAAAGACGGCTTGTGCAACACGCTGCATACGTTGTACGATCGGCACAAAGTCTAATTTCACAATAAGCATTGGGGGTATGTAAATGGCCTAAACACCAATTACCTTTGACACGTTTGCCTTTGCGCACAGTCACCATTACATTAAGTATAGAGAGGAGAACGGCTGTCTTGATCTCATCCAACTTGGCCGATTCAAGCTGACCATCCAGATTTGCAAGGACCATATCCATAATAGGCACAAGATGTTCTGCGTTGGCATGGTGAATCAAAAGCAACGTCGATTTCTGCAGTAACCCAACAAGAGGATGCGATTCTATATTTGAAGAGTTAATGTCACAGCTTCCATTGCCATTAATACACTTACCTAATTGATCAACCGGCATCTCATGATTAAGGACCTGTGTCAATAATTCATTGTAGATAGGCTCTGCTTTGGTATGGAGTCGATGGTCAATTTGCTATACAATACGATTCATCTTAGTATTCTCATTGTGTATGTCACGTGACCACTCTCACTATAATACCTTCATGCTTTCAAAGAACAGCATTGACAAGCCCTCGATGTATTCCTCGGTTCCATTTTCAAGCAACGATTCCAAGATGTGTCTGATGAGATCCGCCAGCTTCTCCTTACGTGCTTTCCGCATCAAGAATGCAAATGCCTCTGCGGTATATCGTCGAATATGAGCTCGCACATGTTGATCTTTGCCCAAAAGGTGACACATTTTGCTATTTTGAAAAGGAGGATCAGCTACATGTAACCCGCTCATGTATAAAACAAAGATGCTTACGAGAATACAGCGCATAAGTCATTGAGAAGTTGCCTTGAAAGATACTTGAAAAGATATGCCATAGAGTTGAAGAGAGACTATGTGTGACGTTGGATTATGTTAGTGAAATCCTTATCTTGTACAACACATTTTACATACCTCGATGACAACCACGTCTCGTCGTGCAGCCAATGGGAGCATGTGAGTAAAAATTTGCATAAAGTAAGGATAGAATTCCCCTTCCAGATCTTTGGCTAATTTGGTCACCAAACTATAGAAGAAAAAAGCCCCCAACGTCAATATCCTTGTCGTAATAAGCCATGATCCTCCCACAAACTTACTCTAATATTCCATCCAATGCCATGCTCTCTTCAACTTGTAAATGCTCAACCAATACACCGATAATCTTTTCCTTGTTGTAGACAATGGAAGGTAGCGTCCTGCAGAGTGGTACCATCTCCTTGAAGAACGTTTGGAAATGCCTTGAGCGGTTAAGCTCTTTCCACTCCATAAGCGACTCGTAGAAAAAGGAATCATGCTCGTCCGGGTTGTCGCTGACTATCCGCGATCGCCGTAATACGTCGACTTTGATGCTCTCCACACGCTGATTAAAGCTTTGGAACTATAAAGACAAGCAGAGTTAGTCTATCGACCTACACCATTCAATGAAGTCCTCTTTTGCGCACCTTGAATCGCCTGTCTTTGGTGCGTTCAAGCGTCTCCGGGTTATCGACCAATTCAGTCATCGCAGCAGATCAAATGATAGAATAATATACAATGCAGGAGAAGGAAGGGGGGCGATGCTGGGAAATGGACAAGATCAAATGCAACACATGGAGTGAGATCGATCTACAGGTCGTCGCCCCGATCCAAGGAATAACACTGTCAAGTCACGGTGGCGGGATTCTGGATTTGTATCGCACGAGGTGTCAAGCCCAGCCGGGTCACGTTATTCATGCTACCATGGAAGACCTGTAAAGCACGACAAGTGGATGCGCCAATCGTCCAGGGTGAAAGCATCAAGGTCTAGTTGACAATTAATACATAAGAACAATGGCCCTTTTTCCACGCATTGTATATATCCAATCCCTTCCATCCCATGTACCAAAGCAATATTCAAATCCATATCCATACACATTCGTATGTATTAAGGCAAGTTGCCACGCGTAAATAAAGCTGCTTCTATACAATGGCTATCCGCTGTTCATGTAATCAAGGCTGCAAGGCAAGTTGCTGCAAGTAAAGAATGCTGCTTAAGACAATAGAGCAAACGCATTGCTCATAACAACTGCTGGATGAATGCTGTTACGTTTGATGGTGGCAGAGGAGGAGTGTGCAAGAGCGTGTGCTGTGTCAAGAGAATCGTGTGTTGTAGTAGAGTGACAAGGCTGTGAACACCATAGGAGCCAATTGAGAAAAGGCAATGCTACTTGAAGCTGCTGGAATGGACGCCGTTACGCTTGGTATTGGTAGAGGAGTGTACAAGAGAAGGCCTAGTATCAAGAAGCGTGCGTGCTGTAGTGGGGTGTATACGCCATGAAGTTGCCATTCAGTCAAAGACAATCAGATCAAGAGAGTTGTAGGATTGACATGATAGGCTGAAGTAGGACAATCGTTCGCAGGTGGTAATTGCACTTGAATGCACCAACAGTTGAGAATGGGAGGAAGAGGGAAGAGGTGGAAATTGAATAGGTCGGACACCTCTTGTATAAATGCATGAACACTGTACATCAATCCTTGATTATGAGATTGCCCCTCTCGAACCTGAAACTTTCACACAAGGTGCTCTCGGACATGCTGATCAACATTGTTCTCATAAAACCTCAACGCACCGTTATGAAGATTTGGAGGCACATATGCCCCTATGTTTTACCTCTGCTGTAAGCGTGATGCTATATGAAAGTCCCAGCTTTTGTATATTCCGTAACAGTGGAACGATGCGTCTGCTCCAGAGATTCATTTCCATGGTTCAAGTAGCTTGATCCGAGTCGATTTGATCGAGCTATGGTCAAAGAGAGATTACATCAATCCATACATCAGCATACGTTGCAATGTCTCAGCTGATTAATCCTTTTTCGACCGTAGCTCAGCCAAATCTGCTCGGATCAAGCTGCTTGAATCATGGAAATAAACGTCTGCGACAGGAGCATCGTTCCATTGTAATGGAATGCACAAAAGTCGGGAATGCATAAAAGTGGCTGTTAGCTGCCAATGTATGACCTGAAGATGAGGTATGCGTACCTATCATGCATTGTCCCTGAAGTCCGGACTTTTTAGCTCAGTTACACAAAGAGGTCCTTCTGCATCTTTGGCTCTCCAGGGTCGAGTTGATCTACAATGAACAAAGACCACCTCTCATATACAGCATAGGTAAAACATAAAGATTCCCGTATCTCCGAACTTCACAATCAAACGTGGGGTTTTTATTAGAACAATGGGCTCGTCTTGGCCAACAGCACCTTGGGTGAAAGTTTCACGATCAAGCTTGCCAATCCCAGATTTCGCAATGTCGCTACCAGCCAAACTGGATCTGGGGGTCGACCTCTTCGGTGACGACGACCAAAAAATATTTTTTGGGCTGTTTGCGACATTGAACGCGAAACTTTCACACAAGGTGCTGTTGGCCAAGCCGAGCCCATTGCTCTATTCAAAACCCCACGTTTCATTGTAAAGTTTGGAGATACACGCACCTTTATGTTTGTAAGCGTGATGCTATATGACAAGTGGTCTTTGTTCATTGTCAAGTAGGTGGACCCTGGCAGAGCAAAAGATGCAGAGGGTCGTGTTGTGTAACACAGCTACGTTTGCATGAATGAAAGGGTCAATGTATAATTACTTTATGGATCGTCTAGGAACAGGCATGTATTGCCAGCTAACGGCCACTTTTATCCAATCATCATTGTTGCGAGATCCACTGCATGGGAACGATGCCCCTTCTCCAGACATTCATTTCCATGATTCAATTATCTTGATCCGAGCTGATTTGGCTGAGCTACGGTCAAAGAGAGATTACACCAATCCATACATCAGCATACGTGCGAATGTCTCAGCTGATTAATCCTTGTTCGACCGTAACTCAACCAAATCAGTTCGGATCAACCTACTTTAATCATGGAAATGAATGTCTAGAGCAGGAGCATCGTCCACCTACAATAGAATGCACAAAAGTTGGGAATGCACAAAAGTGGCTGTTAGCTGCCAATGTATGACATAAAAGTGAGGGTTGCGTACCTGTCATGCATCGTCCCTGAGGTCCGGACTTTTTAGCCCAGCTACACAAAGAGGTCCTTCTGCATCTTTGGCTCTCCAGGGTCTAGATACTTTACATTAAACAAAGACCACTTGTCATATAGCATCATGCTTACAAACATAAAGGTGCCTGTATCTCCGAACTTTACAATGAAACATGGGATTTTAAATAGAGCAATGGGCTCGGCCTGGCCAACAGCACCTTGTGTGAAAGTTTCGCGTTCAATGTCGCAAACAGCCCAAAAAATATTTTTTGGTCGTCGTCGCCGAAGAGGTCGACCCCCAGATCCAGTTTGGCTGGTAGCGACATTGCGAAATCTGGGATTGGCAAGCTTGATCGTGAAACTTTCACCCAAGGTGCTGTTGGCCAAGCCGAGCCCATTGCTCTAATAAAAACCCCACGTTTGATTGTAAAGTTTGGAGATACGGGCATCTTTATGTTTTACCTATGCTGTAAGCGTGATCAAGTTGCTTTTTCCTAGTGAATGGTGTCGGCTGCATTAACGGAAAGATGGAGAGCTGAGTGAAATGGCACGTGGTCGTTACACAAACACGTCCTTGACAGGTTGCTGCACAAATGGAGGATGTTGATGCATTACCTTTAGGAAGGTACGTAAGTAAACAACACCCCATCAATATTTGTCAACGTATGTGTATGGTAATAATCGCTTGACATTGTATTTGGATGTAGCCACTCTTTTGCTCACAATAAAGATATACATAGTGATAGTTGTATATTCACGAGCCTTTTCTTTTGTAAATAAAAATGGATCATTATATACGGAGTACATTGACCCTACTTGCAAAAACGATGCATAGGGATTGTTTTGAGTAGCAACAAAAGGGGAAGCTTGTGGGATGGATTGCGAGGACACTAGACAATGAATGCATAATGATGGCTCCTTTTCCTATAGGGTGCTATTAAGATGGTTCTTGTGATTTCTAAAGCCCAGGACTTTTACAAGTAGATGCTTGTGCCATTATGTACAAAAGTTGAAATGGTTAATGCATGCGTGTCCAAGTACACAATGATGGGTGCTTCTCTTTTTCTTACCCTATACTCCTTTTCCCATTTTCTTTGTTGTCTATACATGTCAATTGGAATGGTATCAAGTGAAGAATACATCATCATCACTACATACCATCCCCATTGTACAGCGTGGCTGCCCAAACTATCTTCTTTACTGTATGATTAATGTAAGCATTTTCCCAACTACTAAGAGATCCACTCATCATCCCATCAAAGCTCATTGCATGAACATCATCATTATCATCATCAAGCGGTAAGCCAATCACGCTGTGGTCGAACTAAGCGCCAATTTTATTTCACACCTTCCCAGCATAAAAAGGTCACTCAGATCTCTTTCTAACGTTCACCATGGAAACCCATTTCGAAGCAGCATCAAACTACTTGAGCACCCACGACATTAAGCTATCAGACGACGAGAAACTAAAGGTCACACACTTTTGAACGTGTTTGGTCGACGACGACACTGACACACCTCCTCAGCTGTATGGGCTTTATAAGCAAGCTACCATAGGCGACTGCAACACGGCAAAGCCCAATCTCTTCCAGTTCGTTGCGAGAGCCAAATGGGATGCCTGGAATGCATTGAAAGGAATGTCCAAAGACGAAGCTGCTGAATCTTATGTACAACGAGTGGAGGAGCTACACGTTGGATGGTCGCGTCAGGGCGAGTATGATGTTGAAGACCAATCAAATTCAGTATGTATATGATCTTTACTAGTCAAATATCCACTGACAATCCATTGATAAGCGTAGGAAGATGACCAGAAACAAGGTATGGGTAATGCTGTCAGCAAACTAAGCTATGATGATGGTCAAGAAGGCATGGAGAAAGGGTAAGGATCGATGGATGAAGCAATCATGGTATAGTAAGCTTATTTTGTGGTTATAGACAAGAAGGCTTTTTCGACTATGTTTATGAGAACGATATTGATAACGTACGCAAATACATTACCGTGCACCATGAAGATGTGAATCAACGAGACGATCAGGTACGTGAACATCCTAGGCTGGCAACCAACACTATGGATATTGAACATGGAAATTACAGGGCTTATCTGCACTTCATCATGCATGTGATCGTGGCTATACCGAGATGATCGATTTACTTGTGGAATTGGATGCCAATGTCAATATAAAGGTAAATTACAATGTGGATCAACAACAACTGGGATCTCTTTGGTAACATGTTCTTTTAAGTCCGATGAAGGAGAAACACCAATGCATTATGGTAAGCAGATATCATTGCTGCCGCAAACCCATTACACCTAACACTTCTCCTAGCTTGTATGTCCGAACAGCTTGAGGCGGCCAAAAAGCTGATCAAATATGGTTGCGACACAAACATCAAGGACGATTCCGGTAGCACAGCCTTTGAACAGGCTGATTCGAGCTTTTTGAAGGAATTAGGCATTTAGGTATCTTTATTCCCCCCCCCCCATGTTGGCTATCATCCTTGTGCTCATAGAAAGACCAGCAGTAGTTTGATAATAAAGCGTCCTAGGATACCATTATTCAACTTCAATATACATGCTGCTTTATGGTTCAACGTACACCTGAGAGATCTTAGTATAGTAGAAATCATTTGCTTTGTTAGTTGTTGTTTCTAATAAACGACGCTGATGAATACACTATACGAGCAAGTTATGGCCTGTCATTTCCTTAGGAACGTCCAAGCCCATTATATGGAGGATTGTGGGAGCAACGTCTGCAAGGCATCCTTTTGCATTCTTTTCAAATTTGAACTTGTCTGATACAACGATAAAAGGAACATCCGATGTGGTGTGTGCGGTGTGTGGACTCTTGCCATCATCCGATAACATTTTTTCAGCATTACCGTGATCCGCAGTGACAACAAGTGTGTACCCATGTTTCTTGCATGCATCAAGAATGACACCAATACCGTGATCTGTAGCACCTACAGCCTTGACAGCTGCATCATACTTGCCGGTGTGACCCACCATGTCAGGAGGAGCAAAATTGCACATGACAAAAGGATACTTGTCACTTTCAATCGCTTCAGCTACCTTGTCAGCAACCTGCTTGGAGCTCATTTCGGGCTGGAGGTCATAGGTAGCCACTTTGGGTGATGGGATCAGTGCACGGTCCTCCTTGTCAAATTGTGCCTCTGTGCCACCATTGAAAAAGAAGGTAACATGGGCATACTTTTCAGTCTCAGCTACATGCATTTGCGATATGCCATTCTTGGACAACCATTCAGCGAGCACGTTATCCATGGTTTGTGCTTCAAATGCCACCTTGAAAGGAAAGTCGCTCTTGTATTGGGTCATGTCGTAGATACCAAGATCTTTGGGCACCTTGCTTTCAAATGGACATGGGCTGATACCAAAAGCTTGGTTGATTTCTCGCATCCGATCCGATCGAAAGTTAAAAAAGAAGAGCGTATCACCATCCTTGACACGTCCTTTATCACTGAGAATGATAGGCTTAAGGAATTCATCCGTTTCACCTTGGTCATAGCGCTTCTCAATGGCTGATACAGGATCGTCAGCCTTTTCTCCCTTGCCTTGTGTCAATCCTTCAAATGCAATTTGAATGCGCTCCCAACGTTTGTCACGATCCATTGCATAATAACGACCTACGATGGTTGCTATCGTGCCGTAATCTATCTTTTTCATTGCATCCTCCAATTGTTTGACATATTTGGTAGATGACTTGGGTGACGTATCACGCCCATCACCGAAGAATTGCACATACGCCTCGGGTACACCTGCTTCTTTGGCAGCTTCCAGTAGACAAATCAAGTGATCAATATGCGAGTGTACGCCACCATCCGACACGAGACCCAAAAAGTGCAATCGCCCATTGCCTTCCTTTGCACGATCAAATGCTGCCTTGATATTGGGGATTTGACCAAACTCTTTCTTTTTGGCAGCAATGTCAATTCGGACAATATCCTTTTAGAGTAGCAATGATTAATGTTAGCTACTATTACGCTTTTATACCATCTCAATCGTATTCTTTTCTTACCTGGTACACCACACGACCAGCACCAATGTTCAAATGACCCACTTCAGAGTTACCCATTAATCCATCCGGAAGACCAACATCAAGACCATGTGCCGATATCTTGATAAAAGGATCATTCTTTTCCAATTTATCCATGACAGGTGTATCGGCATTTCGGATCGCGTCACCTTCAGCTGACTTTTTGCTTGAAATACCCCATCCATCAATGCAAATTAGACACACCTTGTTCTTGGGTGTCTGTTTCTCTTTTGGCATTTGTCCACCTCCAGGCATTTTGTTGAATAAAAGGGAAAAAGAGAGATGATAAAGCTTCCTCGGGGGATTAACGTGTGTGCTTTTTTATTCATTGTTATCAACTCTGACACAAAAGAGGATCATCAACGGGATACAAATCATATGCATTGGTAAAGTGACATCATTATGCAAGTAGCATATCCCACTCTTGATTGAAAATGGTACGCGTATCATAGCCAATGGCTTGTCACGGTTGACATGTCCCAAAACGCTGTGTGACACAATGATTTCGACATGCAGTGGTCGGGGTCGTGGGGGGGGTGGAGAGCGACTTTAAACTTCTTGGTTTCGTTTGGCTTGTTCTTCTTTGCCTGTTCCTGATCACCGCCATGTCTAGTTTCCGGGGAAGCGATAGAAACCGCAATCGTCGACGCTACAACATGTGGGAGACAATCAAGTATGTCAAATGCAAGAAACAAGGTTGGTTAACGTGCTGACCTTCCCAAATATCTTGACAGCAATGAAGAGGAGCCCTCCCCAGTGGTGGTGAATGCCACTTTGAATCTTGCAACCAATCAGTTCGACGTCATGGATAACCCGGTGGAAGAACGCCCTCCTCCATCAAAGTTCGATTTCTTGCGACATGGCCAGGATAGTCGAGCTATGCAATGGACTATGGATATGCAACACGGCAATGGCTGGGGAGCTGCACCCGCGCAAGTGGAGTCGTGGTCGCAACCTATGCACGAGTTTGATACGAGCCATGACACTCGTTTCAGCAAAGGACACGCTGGCAACAATGACAACAACTATGGCGATGATGCACCCACGTTTAAGCTTAACTTTGATGTTGGTGACGAGAAGGCATATTTCACCCAACATGTCGACTTTGATTCCTATCGCACACGATCCGTTGTCCCTGAAGCCGAAGACATATTGAATGCCGATGACGATTTATTGGAATATCATCCTGGCACGCTTCCCAATGTACCTGTCAACCGTGTCCATGGCTCGTACAACAGCATTCAAGAATATCTCTACACCCACTTCGAGCTCATGCGCACTGATTTGCTGATTCCGCTCCAAAAGGCCGTAAAGACGTATCGCAATAGTATCAGAAAAGTCGATGAAGTCAATCTCTTGGAAGATCCATCCTTCACCTCTCAACCACCTACCGATCCCGCTGCACCACCACCACCAAGAGCATTTCGCGTTTATGAACATGTAAGTATTTTGGCTATAGGGATGTATACTTGATATACTGATTATTGTATCAAGGTGCGATTGAATGCGGTGGTGTTTGGACCACGTCAAGTGTTGTATCGAATCGCATTTCGTTTGCCGTACACAGAAAATCGAGTCGCCTGGGAGACATCCAAACGATTGATTGAAGGCTCATTGGTCATGCTATCCAAGGATAACTTTGAAAAGGATATCAAGATTGCCACCGTGGTTGCCAGAGGTGACGTTCCAATGCGAGGATCAAATCGCTTCGAGTACATGATTGATATTATGCTGGAGAGGGATAACAATGCTTTGCCAATGGGATTTGGTGACCCTCTTGGCGTTGAGCAAGACAAATACACAATGGTAAGTTCGGTATTACATGGGTTTTGGTAGCATTGGCTGATTGATTTATGCGATAGATTGAAGCTACAGAAGGATACTTTGAAGGTGTGTAAATGACAGCATGGATTCAATTATGGAACGTGTGTTGCTAATCTCACCCCGTATAGCGTATCGACACATTCTCAGCGTCATGCAAAACATGCCACCCGAAGATTTGCCATTCGCCCCCATCTTGGTCGATGTCTCCAAAGACGTGCTTTTACCGCATTATGCAGCTGTCAAACGCAATTATGATATTGCTCCTTACCGAAATGGTCAACGCCAAGGCCCACCCATGCCTGTTGATATCACCGCTCAATGGCGTCCTTACAACATCGGGATGGATAGCACACAAGTGGATGCGTTGAAGACTATGCTTTCCAATAACATTGCAATTGTACAAGGTAAGATTGTATTGGAGGCGAGGAAAAGATTGCATGCTAAATACGAGTATGCTAGGTCCTCCTGGTACTGGTAAAACATTTGTGGGCACATACGCCATGCGGGTGCTGCTCAACAATTTCCCAAAGAGTATTGGACCCATTGTATGCATTTGTCAAACCAACCACGGTAAGAATAGGATCATGGGGTTATCAATAGCAATACCAAATCTCATTGTTCTACTATTTTTAGCCTTGGATCAGTTTTTGGAACATATTCTTCGGGACAATGATGAGATTGTGCGTGTTGGCAGTCGATCCAAATCAGACCTTATGAAGGACCATCTATTGTACGAGTTACGTAAGGAGGCAGCACCACCCAAAGGCATTGGTCGATTGTATCGGAAACGTGATGAAATTGAACGCAGCATCCGTGATCTCATTATCGAATTGTATGAGGAGCCATGTGTGACACTGGAGTATGTGAAATCAATCAATGGTCTCAGCCCAAGACAACTGGACAGCTTGAAACGATTGGGTGAGCGTGAGAAGAAGCGTTCTGAAAAGAAGCCAGCTGGTGGAATATCCTTTGATGATGACGACGATGACGACGACGATTGGGTTATCTCGACATCAGCAGCGGCAGCTACTCCATCATCCACATCATCATCTCGCCCTGGATCAAAGCAACAAAACAAACGTGGAGGACGTAATAACAAGCGCCAACAACAGCAATCTTCAAAGAGTAATGGTGCCAGCAGCGAATGGTTGGATGGTAATCCGAATTTGGAACCAGAAGCCAAGGAGTCCAAGATCAATCCCATCGAAGTTTGGCTACAAGATGCTATTGAATACGCTAGCGCCAACGGTGCACTTTACACATTTCAAGATGAGATGAAGGAGGATTTACTTGAACAGCAAAAGGGATTGATTTTCGATGAGGAGGATGAGGAGGATGTTATGGACGAAGATGAAATCCGTGAAATCAAGCTCAATTTCGTCGATGAACCTGATTTACGTGGCAACAAGAACAGATTCATCAACATTGGATATGCCTATCAGAAGCAAGAGGATCCCAACGAACGACCAGAGACTTTTTGGGACCGAGTGATGGATGCCGCAGGCAACAATGTGGGTAGACGTGATGCTCAAGCACGCAAGGTTGTCAATTACAAAAAGATGGATTCTTCAAAAAAGATGGATACCAGTGGGTTCAACTTTTTCGACGATCTTATGGATGAAACTCCTGCTGCTGAGGAGCCACAGCATTATGTTCTTGAACGGTGGGCAAAGGACGAGCCTGATGCCACCATGTGGCCACTGCCGGTACGACTTGAAGCTCACAAGCGTTGGGCAGAGCAACGTAATCGTGATTTAAGTGCAACGCTGCGTGGATTGATGGTGCAATATGAGAACATATCCAAGGAGATTCGTAAGCTTAACGTGGCGAGAGACGTCAAGATTTGTCGAGATCATCGAGTTATTGGTATGACAAGTACTGCAGCGGTATGTTTATTCCTTACAGCTATGATATCGCTCGTATACTAAAGAAGTGGGATATAGGCAAAATACCATGATCTTCTTGAAGGCATCAAACCCCGTGTGATGGTGGTTGAAGAAGCAGCAGAAATGCTTGAATCCCATATTGTCACTGCCCTTACGCAATCTTTGCAGCATCTTATATTGATTGGGTAAGTTTTTTTAATTAGAGAACGATCAAAGAGTGGCATGTATTCATTCATCTTATCTTATAGTGACCATCAACAATTACGACCTCAATCAGCTGTTCATCAACTCGCCGAAAAACACCATTTGAGCGTCTCGCTATTTGAACGCCTTGTCATGAACGACCTACCATTTACGAGACTATCACACCAACGACGTATGCGACCTGATATCCGCATGTTGATCGATCCAATCTACAGTGATCCACCACTACGTGACCACCCGGATGTCACAAGGTATCCTGCTGTACGTGGCGTCCAAGAGCCTGTCTACTTCATCAGTCACAATGAGGATGAACAGCATATCGCCGAGAGCGCCTCTAAATGCAACGAACATGAGGCATTAATGGCAGCCAAGTTATCCATATACCTCATGTTGCAGGGATATTCTCCTGAAGACATTACGATTATTACCATGTATGCTGGGCAGCGAACCATGATCAAACGCATGTTGCGTGCTGAACGACGTCCCGATCTCGATCCATCTGAAATTCTTGTGAGCAGCGTTGATGGATATCAAGGCGAGGAAAACAAGATCATCATTCTATCATTGGTGCGATCCAATGCAAATGGCCAAATTGGTTTCTTGCGTGTTGCTAATCGTGTCTGTGTCAGTTTATCTCGTGCAAAGCATGTAAGTTACCGATGGCATGATCATGGTCTCTCTCTTTGTGGATGATTAATGGCAATCAATATAGGGCATGTATATCTTGGGTAATGCATCATTGCTTTGTGAAAGAAGTGATCTTTGGAATGAAATTGTATCCAACCTTGAAGATCATGCAAGAAATCGGATTGGATCAAGATTGCCACTACGCTGCCAGAGACACGGTGAACTTACAGAGGTGCAATGGCCGGTGGATTTTGCAACGATCCCTGAAGGTGGTTGTACGAGACCTTGTGGAGAGCGTTTGCCTTGTGGACATGTGGTAAGTGATAATGATGAAAACCATCATGATGGATCATCTGACGACATGTTTTTTAGTGTGAGCTACCATGTCATCCCTATGATCATGAAGAAGTACGGTGTCGACAACCTTGCCCAAAGATTCTTGATGGATGTGGCCATCAGTGTACAAGACGTTGTTGTGAAGATTGTGGAATTTGCCTTCAGACCATTCAGCATCGTTTCCCTTGTGGACATGAAGTAGAAGGAGAATGTGGCCGAATCAAACGATTGTTGCAGAATCCGGCGGGGTGGAGATGCACATCTTGCCCGAAAGGGTAAACATTTCCTTTTGCAATAAAGTCAGTCAATATTTTTCGCACGCGTTCAGTCCCCACTCTTCTTTTGCCCTTCTTTCACACACTCCTATACAACATACACACACATTATGTCTGACCAATTTTTGGAATACGTTGAAAAGCATCAAGAGGCTTTTATTGAACGTCTTCGTAAGGCTGTTGCCATCCCCAGGTAATAAAATCATCATGGAAACAAAGAGTATTCTTGTTACTGACACATACGCGTATGTTTCACAGTGTGAGCAGTGACCCAGGTCATCGTCAAGATGTGTTCCGCATGGCAGAATTCTTGCAAAATGAACTCAAGGCATTGGGTGCCGACAATATTGAGACTCGTGATCCCGGCATGCAAGACTTTAACGGCCAACAAATTCCTTTGCCTCCTATTGTGCTGGCCACTGTAGGCAACAACCCTGCCAAGAAGACTATCCTTGTATATGGCCATTATGATGTCCAACCCGTAAGTGCATAGCATACATACATGCATAAGGAGATGGTGATGGTGATATTGAATGGTGTGTTTTGATAGGCATTGAAAGAAGATGGCTGGTCTACCAACCCCTTTGAACTTGTTGAGGATGAGCAACAACGATTGATTGGTCGTGGTTCTTCTGATGATAAGGGTCCTGTGCTTGGTTGGATCAATGTGGTGGAAGCTCACAAGTCCCTTGGATTGGAGCTGCCCGTGAATCTCAAGTTTTGTTTGGAAGGCATGGAAGAATCTGGTTCTGAAGGCTTGGATCCTATCATTTACAAGGAAGCCAAGGGCTACTTTGCTGATGTTGATGCTGTATGCATTTCCGACAACTACTGGCTCGGCACCACTAAGCCTTGCTTGACCTATGGTTTGCGTGGTGTATCCTACTTCCATATGACCGTCAAGGGTCCCGCACGTGATTTGCACTCTGGTGTCTTTGGTGGTACCGTCCATGAGCCCATGACTGATTTGTTTGCTGTGATGAGCAAGCTTGTTGCTCCCAATGGCAAGATCCAAATCCCTGGTATTTACGATATGGTGCGTCATTTGACTGGTAAGTAGATGGGGTGATGCATACGTGTGTATGTGTGAAGGATTTATATATGCTCATTGGGATTAATAGAGGAGGAGCAACGTACCTATGATAACATTGCCTTTGAAATGCATGAACTCCATGGCGCTGTTGGCAACACCACCAACATTCACGATGAGGTGCGTGATGTCTTGCAAGCTCGCTGGCGCTTCCCATCCCTCTCCCTTCACGGTATTGAGGGCGCTTTCTACAACCCTGGTGATAAGACTGTTGTCCCTGCCAAGGTCATTGGCAAGTTCTCGATCCGTACTGTCCCAGATATGGACCCTGAAAAGGTCACTGAGCTTGTTTGCAAGTATGTCAATGATGAGTTTGCCAAACTTGGTAGCAAGAACTCTATGGAAATCAAGTGCTCTCATGCTGGTAACCATTGGCTCTCGAGCCCTGATCATTGGACCTATGGTGAGTAAATGGGAACACGTGCATGCATATGTGGATACAAACGTGTCGAGTATATGCAATGATGGATGCTGATGATGCAATTCCTTTTCTTAGTTGCTGCTTCCAAGGCCGTTGAGCGTGTCTACAATGTCAAGCCCGATTTGACCCGTGAAGGTGGTTCTATTCCTGTTACTTTGAGCTTCCAAGATGCTCTTCAAAAGACTGTCCTCTTGTTGCCTATGGGCCGTGGTGATGATGTAAGTCATGGTGGTCATAAATGCAATATGCAAAAACTTACCCATGCGTGTTTTAGGGTGCTCACTCCATTAACGAAAAGTTGGATCGTTCTAACTACGTTCAAGGCACTAAGCTCCTTGGCGCTTACTTGTATGAGGTTGCAGATGCTAAGGCTGAATAAACATTACGCAAAAACACATGTATGCCAAACAACGTATAAACACACGTTTCCTTTTATCCATTCGAGAAGCATGATCCTGCGTTAAAGTTTGTCATAGGATGCATTAGATCACAAATAACAAAATAGCGGAAATGACAGAAAGAAAACAAAAATACAGAGTTTATGTCAAATGCGTTATGATGGTTGTGAGTGTGTGTGTGTGGGCTTAGCCAAAATGGGGCTTGGTGGATGATGGTGGGGTGGGGTTGAGAGCGTGGGTATATACACAAAAAGATGAGGATGGAAAAATAGTACACAAATGAGAGGAATGGATGCAAATAATGAGCGGGGAGGCGGAGAGAGTTTTTGTGATGAATGAAATAAGTTCGTATGTGTGTCTAGACAGGGGGATGCATTAATTGTGCAATGTGTTCTGGGACTTGATCTTCTGGATAGCGCCATTCTGGATGATTGTATAATTGGAGAGTATCCGATCGTTGCCATTTTGGATAATCTATAAACAATGAATGAGCTGCTTTGTTCAAGAAAGTGAAAAGATAATGATGATCATGATACATACCAACAGCCGATGGATGATGAAGGTTGCCTTGTACATCACGCTCAAGGAGATTAGCAGCACATGCTACATCACGATGAATTTGAAGACCATGGTAACGAGCAGGATAGCGTGTGCATTCGAATCCATTCTTGTAAGCGAGATAGGTAAGCACAGCCTGATCTTGACGATGGTTGGCACGTGAAGAACCTGGTGGAGCAATACAACGCTTGTCTAGACCACACGAAAACCAAGTGTCAACAATTGCACGAGCGGTGGCATTCGTCAAATCAAAGCCAACAGCTGCGCCATTGCAATTGCTGTAGCGACCATAGTCAGCTGGGTTCTCGCCAAAGTACTCAAACATTCCTGGATGGGTCCAGCGACTCATGCGTGTTGAGCTTCGTGGCGACCAAAAACCACCATGGCTTTTTACAAGTTCGGGTGCATGTTTTAAGAAGTCGGCAGTGACCATGTTGCCTGCATCCAACCAAACAAGAACATCATCGGGATACTTTTGAGCGACTTCATAAACGATGCCGGTCTTCCATGCGTATTCACCAGCGGCAATGGCTACATCCCAAAAGCGTGGATATCGGAAGTAGTCAAAGGTGACAAGCTCGTCAATAAGGCCATGGGCTACAAGTTGGTCCAACACTGGTAGCTGAGTACGATTCATGCCAATGTTGTAAACAACGATACGAGGGAATTCATCCACTTCGGGTCGCAAGTCGTTCAATGAGTACAAGAAGCTTTCAAGTGCGCATAAATGGTTGGCACTGGATGCAGTAACAATGGTGTATGGATATGACTTGGGCTTGGGTGGCATTATAATAGTGTCGTCAACTTCAATTGGCGTTATGGTTGTATCGTCAGGTAGTGATGAAGATGATACTGAGAAATCACATGCATTGTCACAGAGTGCTAGATAATAGATCAAGGGGGTGGGGTGAGAACTTTGATCCACGTTGCCATGGAGACAAGAGATAAAACATACCACTGCTACGGCGATACATTGTATCAACACCAAAGAAGCAGATAAAAAAGAAGCCGATAACGAAAGCCATGATCAATTGAGATGGCATTTTCTTCTTTTTAGGTGTTGTAGCATTGGTATTTGAAAGAGGTAATGCAATGGGAGCTCCCATGATGTAGAATGATGCAAGTGTGCAATTAAAAGTAAAGGTAGTAGAGAAGAGAAAAAGAGAAAAAAGGGAGAGATGAAGGCTGCAGTAAAATGAAAGAGAGGCTGAATATATAGTGAAAGCCATTGTTTTGGAACCTAAAAAAAGAACTTGACGGATCCGACCCGTTGGTGTAACAAGGACTGGGCGCGCGCACATACACATACACACGCTCGCTTGGTTGCTGGCTTGTGGCTGAGATAAACGAGACAGCTCCTTTCAATCTACGTACACCCAGCGCATAGTTTCGGCCCGCTTCACCCGCTTCGACAAGCACACTCCAGCAACGACGCCCCATTCAGCCTCATGACGAATTATGTCAACGATTTCCCAGAAGGCTTCTTCTTTATTCGATGCAAAGCAAAGCCAATGGCACTCGATGTCTACGGAGGTGGTATGCTGGTAAGCCCACTCCCGCTTTTGTTCGCTTGAATACTACCCCCTTTCTTTCCCTTCCCTTCCCCAACTCCTCTTTTTGATACGCGAGAATGGCCATATTGTATTAACTATCGCTATGCAAGAACGACTTTAATATCATCATTTGGCCCCAGGTAAGCTATCATCGTGCGATTAACGAGAATTGCGTATGCCAAGGCCATTAGACTGATTACATACATACATTGGTTGTTGGATTGATATAGAAAATGGTCGATAGTATCAATCAGGTACAGTACACTTGTATCATTCATGTAGAGATTGAATGCTAACGACGATATACATCAAGCTTTGGATGCATGAAGATGGCTTTTTGATTAATCGAAAATCGGGTCTTGGTATGTGCGCGTCTGCATTGGCATTATTGAAGATACGGGGTTTAAAGTGGGAAGGAGGGATGAATGGATGGGATTGCTACTAGCAAAGATATGGCAAAGTGCATTCACAAGTATGATTGTTATTCACCCTGTCACATTTTTACACTAGTACTGGACATTCGTGGAGGTATGTATTGGCACGAGCAAGGAGCAAGTATAGTTTAACTAATGCAAGCGGGCATTCCAACCACTGCTACTACTGCCACCATTACTTCCTAAAAGGCGATATTAAGCGTGACAAGGCCATCATCCAATACGCACGTAAACCTGGACTTGCTCACAACCAACGATGGAAATACCAAGATGGATTCATTTCTTCGGCAGCTTCTCCTCATCTCGTGCTTGATATTCGTGCAAGTATCTTTATCCTTGATTCAACAAGCGTTATGATCATGAAACTAATACTCTCCTCTGTGTATAGGGTGGAGACCATAAAGAAGCAGCTCAAGTGTTTTTGAATCACAAGGATGCCACTAGCCCAACACAACAATGGTTGATTCAACCCTTTGAAGACGCAAAATCCAAAGAAGATCTGGCATTGCTTCGACCACCACCATGTAACGTGTCCTCCATGTATATTCACTATATCCAGTAATAGGAGAAACATCGACTCAATGTGGCCATTTTATTATTTTTAGTGCAGAAACATCTGACCGATTTTCCTCAGCCTGAGGATTTGTGCGACTACCATCGTTTGGTGTACCATGATCACAAGCCGAGCCCATCTCCCAAACAAGTGGCAGGCGCAGCTGCTTTTGAGGTTCGAGATTTTTTTTATTTTGTTGCTCAGCGGCAAACAACATCCCCACAATGACGCTAATTTGGCGTGCTATGTATCTCTAGGCTATGCGGATCTATCTTGCAACCCAAAAGGAAAAGGATGAACCCGTCGTGACACCTCAAGCAAGAGACACATTACAAACTTTGGTCAGGGAACAGGTAAATGGATTGGGGCGAGGTTTGTTTCTTTGTTTTTGACACTCTTTGTTATGGGCAAGATTGCGGCATTACAAGATTTGATTAGCGCCCAAGACAGAGGAGAAGTATTACACACAGCCGAACAAGCTGCTTCTGGTTATTTTGCTCGCGAATTCGAAGGACAATAAAAAGTACTATGGTTGTAGTACCATCCTTTTTGATTGCTTTGAAAAACAATATACAAATGAATGAAAATGATATATATCAGGTTACATAGTGCTATTGTTGCACATTCGTGCCTAGTGAAAGAGAGAGAGAAAGATACACCCATTTCCTTTTCCTGCTCTTCCCTTTGATTTTCTTATGCAAACGTGTCGACCAAAACATAATGTCCCGATGGCAAGAGGATTGCATGACGAGACCAATGGCGGCCGATTGAGCAAGATGAGCCCATGTGGGACACTTGGACGATATGCAGGGAACACACGACTGATATGCAATGGGCGATGGATTATTGGACCAGAGAAGTGGCCACACTTGATTACACTTTTGTTGTTTATTGCTCCTTGTGTTCTTTTCGCCATCTTTACGTGAGCATATGCACCATGTGGGGGCGTTTCAATGTATATCAACATGCAGCTAAAAAAGGCAAATGTATACTAGATGTCCTTTTCTTTGGCATCATGTGCACCCTGCGGTACCGATACTATTTGCATATATGGCCGCTATTGCATTGGCATCCATGTTAAAGACATCATTTACTGATCCCGGGGTATGTATGGAATGATGATGGATAAGTCAATATAGCCAACTGTTGTTGTTGTTGTTGTTATGTAGATCATCCCTAGATACTTGCATGCTTCAGCCGTCGATGCAGCAGCAGCAACAACAGCAGACCCACAGGGACTCTATTATCGCGAGGTCCAGATCAAGGGCCGATCATGGTCCCTTAAGTATTGCGATACATGCCAAATCTTTCGTCCTCCTCGAGCATCCCACTGCAGGCAGTGTGACAATTGCGTTGGTAGGTATATTGCTTATATAGATGACCTGATTGCTACTAACCATTGAATCTCCCTTCAAAAGAATGCGAGGATCATCATTGTATATGGCTGAACAATTGCATTGGCAAACGCAATTACCGCTCCTTTTTCACGTTTATCACCACATGCACATTATTATGCCTGTATCTCGTTGGATGCTGCATTGCTCATGTACTTCTTTCAGTACCTTCGTCAGTACAACATCGTTCCTTTCATGACATGTTCAACCGTGCACCCGTCAGCTTTTGTTTAGCCATTGTATGCTTTGTGCTATTGTGGATGGTTGGAAGTCTTACGCTTTTTCATTGCTGGTTAATAGCACGTGGTGTCACCACGCACGAACAGGTAATAAAAACATTCTTTGGCGTGAATGGTTGTCTCATTACTTTAAACGTATACATAGCTGCGAGCACGCATTATGAGAGCAAGGGGGTATCCAAGTAGCAGCCCATACAAATCAAACAACCCCTTAACGAATGTGGTGCAAGCCATCTGTCAATATCGGCCAATCAGGCACGTGAATTACTACCATGTTTGAAAAGCGTTCAAGTCACATGTCATTGTTGCTGAATCATTTATTTACTACTATAGTTACATCCGGACAATACAGCAAGGAAACAGGGATATCTAGTAGCGAGTTGAAAGAGAGGATACGATATTTACAAAGGATGATTGGATGAGTTGGGGGATGATGATTTGGGATGATGAGATGATAATGATGACAATGGATAAATACAACGAATGGCTTCTATTCTACATGAGTACCTTGGAAAACATGCCATCGCCCACAATGGGTTTGAGACCTTCTTGAAGACATTCATACTTTACAAAGTCCCGAACTTGTTCAGTGGTCATTCCTGCGACACGTACAAGCATTCCACGGCCTTTGAGGAAGGGGCTTGTTGACCATAAAAGAGGACGGTGTTGTGTGCTTGCCATAAAGCGTTGTTCTTCAGCCATTCGTTCGAGTTTCTCGATTGATTCGGGGACACCGACAATGATTAGAGTTGCAAAGCACGTGTATGGACCGAGTTGACCTGCATAGCTTGTCAAAGGGGCAGGCATGGGTTGTTGATTTCCCTTGTGATCTTTTGTCTTATCATCGAGCGCCATATGATCACGCAATACAAGCTTGCCTTCGACGAAGACATCAATTCGACTCGAATAGTGCTGGAATAACCAACTCTCGCCACGTGTGATACGTCCACTATTGAACCAGTCGAGCAATACCAACTTGGATGAGGCACCAGAAGCAAGGTGGAATGTTTGGCGTGAGCAAAAAGACGATAACTTGAAGGACGTAACGGGATCAGGCAGCAGCATGAGCGTAGCATCAGCAGCTATATAGTTGGCGATGATCTGTTCAGATGAGGGTGGGAGGCCGAGTCTGCGTTGGATGTCTTTGAAGATCTTGGTGTTGCCTTGTGTCATGAGCAGCAACTTGGCTTGAGGACCCACTCGGACGACAATGTCAAAGTGATCGCCGCTGACGATGCCACCACCATAGCTTAGCATGTAGACAGCTCCTAGACGATTGGCATGTGCACCTGTTGGTACGAACTTTAAGGGGTATTGTGCATGGATACGAGAGAATTGAGCGCGGTTGCCAGAGCACTCGCACACCAAAGTGCCACTGCCTGGTTTATTAGATGCTGTTGTAGAGAAATGCATTTGGAAAAGAATAGAGTTGGAGAAAGAATGTGTCAAGTTAGATGCGGGGCAAAGGACAATTCTCAAGATATATAATAAATACCAGCTCAACTCTTGTGTTACAGTAACTTCCCCATCGAAGCTTTTTTGCTGAATGATGATCCCATCATTGATCATCCAGCTCCCTGGAATTGACACACCTTTACATCATATTTAGCAACTCTATGGGGGAAGTGTCATTCTTGGCAACACCTGGTAACACACACAAAAAAGAGATCAACCAAACCTACCAAAGCGCTCACCTTGGCAAAAGGGCGTTTAATACAATACCTTTTGGGTGTCATGTAACACGAACACCTGGGCATCTCTTTAACTTTACGACGGCTATTTTTGTCCATTCATAGCAATCATACATCCCCCACACACACACTCAATATTACATCCTCCGATGTATATAGAGTAGGCCCCAAGTGGCGCTCTTTAATCATGTGCGTGGTGAAACAATTAACTTTGTTTCCATGGTACAAATCCTTTCTTTTCCAGTATAGCCCAACGAGTACCCATCAAAATTTCATAACAGTGCCAAGGGCTTGTAGCACATGTCCCCAAAATAAACCTTTGACTTCTATATGCTGTTGTTGATGTGATTCAATCATTGATCAAAGTAGTGTTCCAGAACCGTTCCTTCCTTGATCACTGATTGTTGTGAGAACCACCATTCATTAGTAGTAGTCATTTTCTGAAACATAAAAAAGTCGCATTCATCTCGGACATTTGTCATTTTAGTGGATGCATTAAACAACAATAGGTTCCATTCATAACATAGAAACATGGAACTTGAAGGTTTTGCATGTACACGACTCATTGTGATTGCTCATGCTGTCGTACAACTTGTATGATGATGACCCCTTAATACTATACAATAATGAGCTTGCCAAGAGTAAACACCGAAACAAAGAGCATCACAATGAAACCCTAATGCGTTTCTTGAACCTGTTACAGGAAACGGCTCTTTATTTCAATTACAAACGTTATAGTAACAAAGGAGAACAATGGGGGAATGTCAATGTGGTGCATGCGTTGATATGAATGATAGCTGTCAGCAGAAAAGAAGATCAATGCAGTGGACAATTGATCTGAGTTGGGTTGATTGGTGCAATAGAACAGATATGAGCACGTGCCTTTCCTTTCATGCATGTGTGAATCGATCATCCCGTGTATGCATACCTTTGGTGGTGGAGGTGGTGATTGTCATGGCATCGTTTATTTGTGGGGTCATATCACGTGGATTAGAAAAGATTCTTGCTCATTGTATATGATAAATGAAAGTCAACTAGCCAGTGTGACATGATATGCAATTATGATGGCCAACATGATACGACGTTGCTTCTATACAACTTGCTCTTTTATTACGATCAAATCATTGACTGCTATCTATCCCTTCCTCTCATGCGTAGTTCTTGTCAACATGAAGCCAAGTTGAATTCCCGCACGTTTCACACTGAGCATCTTTCACCGGGAGCCGAGTTTCTTTCAACACAACCACAACCACAATGTCCATTCGTCGAAGCGCACGCATTGCAAAGACCAACGGTGTCGATGCATTGGCAGAATCGTTGTCCATCAAAGCGGCACCAAAACGCAAGCAGAGTGCATCGATCACTGAAAAAAAGACAACTGTCAAGCGACGCACCAAGAGTGTAAAGCAAGAAGCCCGTGTCATGGGAAAGGCACCTGAGAACTGGCAAGCAGTGTACGACCGGATACGTGATTATCGTAGCAAAACGACTGCACCAGTGGATACGATGGGTTGTGAGCGTTTAGCAGAGGAGGATGTTTCTGATAAAGTAAGCACAATCAAGAAGATAGTGGTCATATTCTAACTCTCATGATGGATGTGTAGGTGTTTCGTTTCCAAACGCTCGTTTCATTGATGCTCTCGTCACAAACCAAGGACACTGTTACTAGTGCCGCTGTCAAGAATATGCAAACAACGCTCCCAGGTGGCTTGACATTGGAAAGTATTCTACAAGTCAGCGAGGCGGATTTGGATGAGAAAATTAAGGCTGTTGGATTCCATCAACGAAAAGCAGGGTAAGTACTTGTGATATGAGGTATATGGGCCATCTTTATTTATGGGTACAAAAGCTATATCAAAAAGACCGCTGTTATTCTCCGTGACAAGTACGATGGTGACATACCCGATACAATTGAAGGATTGATGGATCTTCCAGGTGTAGGACCAAAGATGGTAAGCAAACAATGGAAAACAAGGGGAACAGCAATCGTTAACGTCCTATGGTAGGGGTATCTTTGTCTTCAGATTGCATGGAAGATGTAAGTATTGGTGAAGTTGGTGACGAGAGGATATGACATTGATCATGGCGGATGGATAGGAATGCAGGCATTGGCGTGGATGTACATGTTCATCGTATCAGCAACCGACTTGGCTGGTGCAATACAGAGAATGCACAACCTGAAGATACACGCAAGGTAATGGATCATTGATGTGTTTCTTGGTCATTGTATGTGCTGATGAATGGTTCATCTTTGCAGCAACTCGAATCATGGTTACCCAAAGAGTATTGGCGACCCATCAATCCTCTTCTTGTTGGTTTTGGACAAGTCATGTGCTTACCGAGAGGACCGAAATGTGGTGAATGCCCAGTACGAGAGTATTGCCCATCCGCTATTACGTCTGTCAAAAAGGTCAAAAAGGAGGTGGTGCAAAATGACAGTGTGGCGATCAAAGAGGAATCGGTCGAGAATGTAACATTCACTGGTGAACATGACCCTACCATCAAGACCGAAAATCCTTTAGATTGGTAATAGGTAGAATTGCTTGTGTCAATAAATGATTCCCTTTCGTGATCGAGATGTTGTTGCACACGACTGCTATTTAAGGCTTGATTCTCAAGCTTACCAAATCCACTTTTGTACCTATAAAAAACTAGAATACCTTGGACATGACACTGCTAGCTTTAATTAGAATGATCACCCATTTTCACGTACATAAAATGTATAATGCAACAGCATGCACTTGTAATGTTTGCAGCTACCTTGCATAGTACTTGGTTGGCAAAGAAGAAAAGGCCAAAATGCCACAACCTTGGGCTTGTTTTCATGTTCTGCTTGTTCTCAAAACGTCAACAAATATATGCAACGTTGAACTTTACTACAAGGTAGGTCTGCCTAGGTCACGGTATTGGCACTGAATATGCAAATGAAAGCGATTAATGCAAAGTGTATCGTCGAATAATGCATCAGCCGAAGGTTTCAATGCATGCAATCAAAACAAAGACGCATCTTGTGCATAGTCTAAATGCTGCGTTCGTTCGGCTTTAACCATGGAAAGTGTGACAATCATTGCATCTCGTCAATAAGAGCGCTAACTCGTACCTCTATACAAACAATGAACCCATCATCCACCATATTTGTATACTTGTTATCAACTTTTTGTACGGTGATAATCAGCATTGTCATGCGATCCTTACGTGCTTCGTGTCTGAAACCTTTGTTTTTATTTTGGAGATAATAAAGATGATGGTAATGTGTGTAAATTGCTATTCCTCTCTTGCAAAATTAATACGTATACAAAAAGATTAGAGAGAAGATATGCAAGTGGTATGCAATACTTTGCGCGTGCCATGTTTGGGTGAATGGATTGGTCAATTTCAGGGTGATGATGATGCTGGGGGGAGAGAGGGAAAGGAGGGGGGAATAGTAAACACTAAAACCGGGGAAGAAGAGGTATTACTTTTGAGCAATCATCTTGGGAACCTCGCCGTCCTGAATCTTTTCAGTGAAGATATCGAGCCAAGATTTGACCTTTTCGTAGACCACAAATGTCACAGCTTGACCGGGAGCCACACGTAATACACGTGGAGTCAAGCCCTTATAGAACGCCCTGAAACCTTCCTTGGTATAGATCTCGTTTGATACAAACTTAACCCGCTCCCAACCTGAACCAGTAAGCTTTGTAGACTTTTGAATGCGAGTCTTGATAGTATCGATGGGAGCATTTGACAAAGGACCCATAGCTCCAGAAATACCACCAATAACCAATGTTTGATAGGAAGGAAGCTCATCGACATTTTGAATCTTTTTGCCCAAATGCTTGAGCTCTTGATAAGCGGTGAAATTGGCGGCCTGATTGGTTGCTATGGAAACGGCTGGGTTAGGATACCATGTGCATAATCCCGATAATAATGATCCTTACCTTGTCTCAAGGCAGTCAAGCCAACACCCTTATAGAGAGCAAGGAAACCTTCCTCCTTGATAATGGTAAAGAGAGCGTGTGGAGCCGATCTGTACTTGGGCACTTCAAGAGGATCTGCCAAGCTGTGACGTTGTGCTTGCAATCTATCATTTGTCAAACGAGTTAGTGACATTGCAATGACAAGAAGATCGTGTTCAATTCTTTGCACCTTATCTTAATGAGATCCATGGGTGAAACAACTGCTATTGCTTCCGTTGTACCAGCAGCAAGACCAGCTAAAGGGTTATACGAAGGTGAGAATAGCCATAGATTACAATGTTGATGATACGAAGTACTTACCAAAAAATACTCCAGTGGTGCTAACCTTGCCATTGGGATCTGCCATCCATGACTTGTACAGCTCAAAGGAACTGAAACGGATAGCCATCTTTGGCACGATACCGGAGACAACTGCACCCAAACCTTTGTAAAGAGCCCAAAACGACTCATTCCTTACAATCTTGGTACCAACACCAAAGAAGCCGAGTTTCTTGGCCTATACGTATATATACACAGCATGAATAAACGTTCGGCTGTAGGATTGACGACAATAATAATTACACCATGGTTCCTGCTTAATTGCATTCTGACTTTGACCGTATCAAGTGGATGGCAAGTACATGCTTCCATAAATCCAGCACTACCACCGGCAACGAGATGGGTGAGAAGAGAGGTGGGCTTCTTGTTGTCACGGCTCATGATTTTAGTGGAAAATGGGAAAAAGAGATGATCGCAACAAGATGTCAATACTACCCTTTTATATAGAGCAATAATCCTTGGCAAATAAATGGTTGCATTAGGGGAGAAGAGGATCAATCACCAAGAATTAGGGAGCTTTGGGGGGGAGGTGAACATACATCTCATCATGATGCTCATCCGACCCCCCCATCCCCCAATGACGCCTTTTAGAAAAAGGGGAAAAGGTGGGTTTACATACGTACGTTGGGGGAGGTGATTGTCTTTGTTCATCCAGAATCTTCATTTACATTAGGAAAAGGAAAAAACAATGATGGCTACATGCGTGCAAAGATGGTCATTGTGTCTTTGTATTAAGGATGAGATAATGAGTTGCTCTTAGTTTGAGTGATAACATGCTGAATGAAGAGCATCTTGCTGATGATGAAGAAGGTTCAAAGGGCGTATGGTCAGGTACATTGCATTGCTCCCTGGATATGATCAGCGCGGTCTCTTTTTACAAAAAGTAAACAAACAAGCTGATGGTGCATCGTCATTTCCCCCCGCTCACGCTTTGTATCTGATTCATTTGAGATGCATATTGATATTTCGTCCATTGTAATTTTACCATTCAAAGAAAAAGAAGTTTTTTGCCGTACTGCCCATTCTACTGAAAGAACAGCAGTAGTATCGTCGCAAATGATAAGGGGTGCTAAACCGCGTCAAGTAATGGTGCTGCTGCTGCAGGCAGTAGTCTGTGCTCGGTACATAGATGTTGACCCACCCAATGGAAAGTTTGTTGACATGGGGCCATAGTCAACAAATATAAACACCCACAAGACTTGATCGCCACTGTACGTAGTCAACCTTCACATCATGATCAAGAGGTATTTGTTGAATCATTATCAACTTTTTGTATATATCTACAGCAGTGAAACAACGGCTAAAAGTGATAACCTTGTGAAGATTTTGCCACCTAGATCCTTGTTGGCTGCAGGGAACCTTCCATACAAGTGCCTTTGGATCCCAGAAGCATTATCGTTGGGTGGGTGCATCTCGCCCTATATAATACATGTATGCTCCTCTCTCTCTCTCTCCCTTTCAACTTGCGCCTCCCCCTTGGTTCTTTGTCTCCTGTTTGCCAAGAAGCCACATCGCAAACCAAGTTGCTCTTACCATGAGCGTGTCATTAAAATATGCTGCATACACTTTACTCCTGGAGACAATGTGCATCTTTTAGCCAAAATTGAAAAGCGTTGCATGAAAGCATGTCTTTATTCAGGTACAAGATGGCTATTTGTTTGGTGTCGTCATTTGTTGCATTTAGCGAGTGTTGTCGATTCGTTGCTGGTGATTATGGTAGCGCTCCTCTGATATGTTTGTGTGTCAGATGTATGTAATCGTAGCTGGGCGGGCTATCGATAAAGGATCGGCTTGTGGATGTTTAACCGACAAAGTACATCTTTGTGTCATGTGCATCGTAACTCGAAACAGCATACAATTTCACCGAGGATTGTAAACAAATTGAGATCTCTACGTCGATCAACATTGACAGAATTCATGCAACGTGTCTCATGATAATTGATAGGTTGTATGTAAGCTCGCATCGATCATCCAGCAAAGGAATGGCATAGGTGGGATAGAATACTTTGTCACAAAGGATGTTGTATGCTGAAAACGTTGAATATGGATGATGATGTATTATTGTCCTCATCGCCGTGTTTCTCGAGTAGATGGTAGAAACCGAGACAGAAACAGAAACAAACAACCGAGGCGAATCGGTGATCATTGTATTGGAAATGAATGTGCTTTCACACCTTTCTGCCTTTCATTTGCACTCGGCTGTTCCTTCCTTTTCCACATTCCTTACATCTTCAAGGCCGTCGTCGATCATGGCAGCTGTACAAACAACCGGCCCCGTTAACGTCGACGACCCGTCATCATCATCATCATCATGGTATCCTCATGATCGTCACCAAAAGTCATCATCCACACAGCATGCCACTAGTACAACCAAGGCTTGTGCTATCGAATCATTGTATCATTCCAATGGTAACGCCAACAATAGTAGTAGTAGCACCCACGTATGCAACTCGTTGCAATCATCATCGACCGATCCATCACTTTTTACTTCATCCACTGGTAGTGTTCAATCATTGGGTGCTCAACGACGTCTTTATCAGCCACACACACGCTCTTCAGCCACGGCATCTCCACCACCTACACGTTGGCCATCACCCACGACAACTGAAGAAGTCACTCAGTTGGTCAAACAAGTGCGTGGAACAGGAGACAATCATCAACAATTGGCATTGTGTAAGCAAATGATGCAACAAGCAGCACAACTTGAAAACGTCAAACAACAGCAAAGTGATAGCACTCTGGACTTGGATAAAGCGCTTTTACGTGATGCATTGCAAACTCATACACGGCATTTATTGAGGCGCCTTGCACGTAACGGATCATCAGCAAGTGGTCAAGCACAATTTCTTCTTGGCACGTGTATTGGTAGTGGTACATTGGGATTTGACAAGGATGTATTCAAAGCATGTGAATGGTATGAACAGGCTGCCAAACTTGGATATCGGGAGGCTGCTTTTCGTGCTGGTGCATGCTACGAATATGGTGTTGGCACGCGACAAGACCACGTGCGAGCTGTGGCGTATTATGACAAGGGAGCGCGCATGGGCCACACACCAAGCATGTATCGTCTAGGGGTGATTCTTTTGCGTGGCTATTGTCGTCAAACACCGCAACCACGTACTGCCATTTGCTGGCTCCAAAGAGCGGTTGATCCAGGCAATGATCCACAACCGTTGCCATGTGCATTACATGCACTAGCCATGGTACAGCTTACAGGCGAATGTACACGTACAAGTCTCGTTCCCGATACCGCATATGCATTACATCTACTTGAGCGTGCAGCATCCCTTGGCCATGTACCCAGCATGTACAAGTTGGGTGAATGCTTTGAAACAGGCGACCATGTTGATCATCCCGATGACGTCCGATCCATTTATTGGTATTCGTGTGCTGCACAACATGGTTGTCCACATGCTGCTCTTGCTCTTTCAGGATGGTACTTGACTGGGTCGTATACAATCGATATTCTTCCACAATCCGATCATGAATCATTACTTTGGGCCAAACGTGCTGCATCCACCCGCATCGAAACTCGAGATTACTATGAAGGCCTCATTCCCGTCAATGAAACGGTGGCGAATGCATGCTTTGTCGTCGCCCATTATCTCGAACACGGTATTGGTGTATCACAGCCACAGCCACATGATGCAATTGCATGGTATCGTAGAGCAGCAGCACTCGGCCATGAACGTGCAACATTACGCTTACAGGATCAACTCGACTATGACGATACCAGCCATCCTTGTACATCCTCCTCGTCTACCACAAGTTCAAACAGCTCCAAAAGCAATAGGAATAGTAAACGTGCCAACCGCTCGTGTGTCATCATGTAAAAATGCCCCCTTTTAATTAATCTATATTCATCTATGTTATTTCATCACATAAGAATATCTTTTTGTAAATATACATACGCTTTGTTCTATCATGTGCTATAATTCAAATCGCTCCTGTTTCATAAACCATATCGATTCTGGATGGCTGTAATGTCTTGCAAGGTTTCCACAATGCCGCATCGTATCACCATGGGCGCACAGACCAAGTGCCACGTGTGTATTCGGGTATTCTTGTCGAATCTTTTCAAATTCGGTTGCATAATCAGGCCGTCCATGTCGAATGTCGAATCCTTCTTCCATGTCAGGTTCGGATTGTCGTGTTGTGTATACACGTAGTGTGCAATCAACGTTTGCCAATTCATCCACCATCGCATGCAATGTATCTAAAATCCAGGTTTAGTTTGCTTACGAAGGTTCCATTCAACAAGTACTCTACCTGTATCCCGCATCGTCCACAATACGATAATCTTTTTAGTCTTGATGCATTCATTTGGTTGCCCCAATTGCTGTATCACTGATATCCAAGGTGTGATGCCTACCCCTTCAGCGACGAGTACCACCACATGAAAATCCGCAAATTGTTGACCATTTTCCAACTCTGAATGACCCATAGGAGCACTGATTCTTAGATGAGAGGGACGTTCTCCAGCGATGGCCATTTCATGTAATGCCAAGGTATCTCTTCCACCAGCCCGAATATAAAATGTAAGGGTATCATCGATTGTGTCTAATTGAGCAATGAATTACTATTGATTCAGTGGTATACCTTATTCCTCCTTCTTACCTCGATCAAAGCGGCTAATGGAAAAAGGGTGCGCATACACTTTGCTTACCATCCATGATGAACATCCCCAAGATACAAATGCAAACTGAGATGGTTGTTGATCAGGGATTTGAAATGCTGGATGCACCTGTAGTTTGATAATGTTGCCAGGGAGCGCCTTGAATCCAACCACGCGTGCTGGTGCTGTGTGCACGTATTGCCAATATTGATCACGTAACCACATGAACGCAGCTGCCACATAGATCAATCCAAATGCCCAATGATGTAGATATCCAACAGCGACCAATACTGCAAATGCTGCCAGATGGGATATACGGAAAAGTCGATAGGATGCGTGTCGCACCAACGGATGAGATCCAAACACCAGTGATATCAATGCTGTTGCCATCATGGTTCCTGTCGTATAGCGTACGTTTGAAAATAAAGTCTCCAAAAGATGGCCATGACGTGCATAATTGCGTGATAATTGGAAACAGGCATGGTAGAGTGCACACATTCCACCCATACTCGCAAACCATAGATGCCATTGAAGATTATTGGGAAAGGTTGAGATGTGGCGCACGGATAAAGCAATAGCAACAGCCATGTTGACGACCGCTAGCTGTGCGAAACGATTGGCGTATTCTTGATGAAACAAATCACGATGCTCGGATACCAATACTCGATCTCGAACTAGCACATGGAATGCATTCAACAAAAAGAGTGCGATCATCGGTAGTGTGTTGGAAAGTGATAATCGCATATCAAGTAACTGGTATTCGTATTCAAGTGCATGTCGTATCCGGCAATACCATACTCCATACCTCTTGTTGCCTTGTCGTTGCTGAAACTGGGACCTTAGGCCGATACATACAAAGAGTAATATCACTGATGCCAAATAGTGCCAAAACGTCTGATAGTCTCGCTCATAACGCACAATGGTAGGTGCTGCATCCGTAACCTCGACGTTGGCAGTAGTGTCATCTTGAGTCGATGGGTTCGTTTCCATGGAGAATGCGAGTCGAAAGTAAGAGCTAGCTTGTAGCGCGAGGACAATTGTGAAGAGAATGAGAGCAATCCAGGTAAGTGATCGCTTGGTGAAGCCCTCCATCATGCTGAGCCATTAGGAGGGTGGGGCGTGGAAGGAAGAGGAGAAAATAGTAACAGCTGACATTATCCGCTTTTGACAGCTCAGACCAACAGCTATCAACTAATTTGCATGATGATTGCTTGCTCATCAACAAGGTTATCCCACCCAAAACCTTCTCTTGTACACTCCTCCACCACGACCAATCGTAACAGCGTCACTGAAGCAGTTGCCATCACCAAGGTCTTTACTCCATTGTCTCAAGTAGCATTCTTGCAGCAACGTGTCTTACAGCCTTTCCACACATGAACAGCAGATAGCCCCCATATAGAAGGGCCTTGTTTACGTGTAGCACTACTTGTTTCAATACATACGCCCTTTTACGGATATGGATACGAGATCTGAATATTGGTTTGGTGTATGGGATGGAAGGAATTGGGTATACGCAACGCGTGGAAAAGGAGCCTTGTTCTTACCGTATCCACTGCCAACTTCGACTTTGATGCATATCATCCTGAACGATTGATGGATCTAATTACTATCATCATTCTTTGTGCAACCTGTCAACCATGATCATCCAATTGCATATCTCAACACACCATGGATATGATTCGCCCTCCACGCATCAAGTGCCACCCCACATCCATCTTAGCACAATGCATGCCCAAAGGATAGAAACTTTCCAAACCGATGTATCTTCCCCCCCATTGGGGAGTAGGCCTGCCCAATTTACCTCTTGCGAATGATGTATAATGGATTCAAGGGTTATACTTTAACGGATACGACATTTGCATTGGCCAACTGTTTCCAAGTTCCTATAATGTAGTATGAGACGTTTCTTCTTCCTGAATTGGACCTCGTCATGCGTGTGCCACTTGATGCATTGTATGATAGAAAGGTATATAGAGGATTATGGAAGTCTATCTACGTATGAAAGGCGTGATAAAGGAAATAAAGAGAGGAAGCGAATGAGCCTGATTGATTCATTGTGTCTTAAACAAAGGCTGTATACCATTGTATAATTGACTTACCCTTTTATGTGGTTACGCAGACCTTGTCAACAATGCCTTAACACATGTTCCTTCTCTTTCTGATTTAGACCTTGTAAGATACATAGTTGTATTATTGACATGCGGCGGTTGATAACTTCAAGTATATGAGAGACATATGCATCCAACATCTTGAAGGATTGGTTGTTACAAGGTTAAGCTCGACGCTGACAAAACTAAGCACAAGCAGCATGCTGACAAATAATATTGGAATGGGGAATGTAAATCATAGCATTGAGCAGTAGCAACTTGCATCGTTGCCGAAAAAAGCAATCCATGACGATAAATCTCTCACAACCATCATCATATGACTTATGAATAAGCTAGCATGTATAACGTCAATCTCCCATCATCGTTAACATTCAACATGATCAGCTTTAAAATCCAATTCCATATGCAGGGTTCTAACATTAAGCATCCCCAAAAGTGAACGATAAAGGATCATATGCATGTGTGTGTGTGCTTGTGGACGATCATCAGGCTGTGTATCCAGGCAACGGGTGCGTGTCAAAAGTCCGAGGCAATCATGTGCTTTTGTGTGCTTTGTTCACCGACTACTTTTAAAAGAGCACACATCCCGGCTGTCGTGTTTCTTTTTCTTTTTAACCTTTATTCACACTACAACTATGGCGGCGTCAATGACCAAACCTCCTCCTGAATTGACTGATTCACATTCCATGAGCAGCGGCAGCAGCAGTAATGGGGATGACCTATCCGACTTTGAGCATGACCTGGACGTGATTGAGGGCTGGACCACTGCCGACTTTGTATCTGAGAACGACTTTGACATGATTGAAATGTTATCTGCAGCCTTGGAACAAGTGACACATCAACTTAATGACAAACAACGAGAAATTCGGGCACGATCGACTGAGTGGACTACCAAAACCAAAGAGAAGTTGAGGCGACAAACGGCACGATTGGAGGATCAGAAAACACGGCTCCAAGCACAATTATTGAAGAAATACGATGCGATCGAAGTGAGGATGAATCGAGATGCAAAGACCGTACGTCTTCGAGATAAGATCTCTTTTGTGGTGGGTGTCGGCAACGCGTGTGTATCTCCGGCTTTGGCAGCTCGACTACCGACCTGGATCCCATTGTACTACACCATTCAGTCGTTGTACTTGCTATCATTGCGTTACCTTATTTACAAGGTGAAAAAGTGGCATTACTTTATCTTTGATCTTTGTTACTTTGTCAATGCCATGACATTGTTGTTCCTTTGGGTATTCCCTGGATCTCGTGCCATGTTTATTGCCACGTATTGCTTGACGAATGGACCAGTCGCATGGGCGATTGTCACATGGTAAGCGAACGAGAAAAGTGATGGGTATCCATATTGATCTGGTGGTGGTGAACAAACCATCCTAATTAGGCGAAATTCACTCGTGTTTCATTCATTGGATAAGATTACCTCGGTTTTCATCCACATTTTCCCTCCTCTTGTCATGTACACCATCCGTTGGTTACCCGAACTCGAATGTCAATCGAGCAACTATCGCGATACCCGATTTCCAGGAGTCACCAATGACATCACCATGAGCTTCAAAGAAGCCATGTTGCTATCGACAATAGCCTACTTGATCTGGCAAGCGCTTTATTTTGTGTTCATTATGGTGCGGAGAAGAGAAAAGGTGGAGTCGGGTCTACGCATGACATCCTATTCATGGCTACTTGATGATTCGCATGGACGCAAAGGACTTATCCAAAAGGCTGCCTTTGTATTTGGCGCAAAGTACAAGCTATACATGTTCATGCTACTGCAACTCGTTTACAACGTGGTCACCACCATGCCCACCTATTTCCTCTTTCAGCATTTTTGGCTGCATACCCTCTTTCTCATCACCATTTTCACAGCAAGTATCTTTAACGGTGCCAGCTTTTATATTGAAGTCTTCTCAAGGCGTTACGCTCTCGAAGTTGAAAAACTGGTTGAACGATCAAAATCTGGCAAGCAGGATATGGACAAATCAAAGACAGCATAGATTTAATTCTTCCATCAGTACATAAAATGTTTATCCATACTCTAATGACCCCATTGAGAACCCCATTCATTTGGATTGGGTGGATGGCTTGATCGTACATGTTGTCCATTTATCGACAAATTTGACATTCCAAGCGATAATCGTCTAAAGGATAAAAAGCATCAATCATTGCGTTGATATTGTTGTTGTTGTTGAATAGCTTACTCTACAATCTGGTCGGATTCAGCTCGACGATGATGGCAATACTTTAAACAGCTATCTCGGAAGCTTGCCAGACTCCGTCCATGATCGGCATAAAACTAGAATAATGATGAAAAAAGGCCCGTGCACACACACACACACACATACGCCATTTACTATTCTTACCTTGAGTCCTTCTTGCAAATTGTTTCTAATCTCCACAAACTTTTGGTATGCTTGGCTCAAATTCTGTAAAGCGCGTTCCCGCTTGGCTGTGGCTGATTCATTTTCCCTTGCTGTGCAATACTCTTGGTGCACTTGAGCCAATTCCCTTAAGATTTGATTTTGCCTTTCATCTTGTTGGTCGATTTGCATCAGCAGGTCATCGTATTTGCGTAATTCCTCCGCAAATAGTTCCTCAAATTGAGCAGGATCAATTTTGATTACAGGTGATTTGGCGGTCAATTGAGCTGCTTTTTTTAACAAGGCGGGTGATATGTCGTCAGCATTGGAGATTCGTTTGGCCTTGTCGGTGATTTGTCGTCGCATCACCAAATGTTCATCCATCTCATCCATCAATCTCCTCAATTGCTCAACAGCTTCCCTTCCATTTGATGCTGACTCTGTATTCTCTGATCCAGGAACCGATTGCTCTAGTTCTTGTTCTGGTAACGCAAGAATATCAATGATCTTGGCCCACGTATCCAATTTGCGATACACAATTTGATCGGCCTTTTGAGCAGACATGAGCGTATTACGATGTTGTTGACCTTGGGATACCATCTCAGCTGTAAATACACGTGACTCGGGGCGATTCCATTCTAAATTAGCCAAGTTAGCCGCTATAAATCCTATGCTTTTTAAAGGTACTCACGTTCACGGTATCTTGACCTTAGTGATTCATCACTTTCTTGTTCATCATCCAGTGCATTAAAAGCATCCTCTAGCACCTCAAGGTTCTTGGTCGATGCCTGTTGGACCTTTTCCCACATGTCATAAAGTGCTTGAGAGCCACCACTTTGACGAACTTCAGCAGCCTGGCGCTGAAGATGACCAGGTAATCCATCGGTTTGTTCGAAACCAGCAAGCGTTGTCGAAAGGTTGAGCGATTGGATGGAGCTAAAGAAAACGGGAATCAATGAGGAGATGGTCATAAGAGTGAATGTATAGCAATAGCAATCATACCTATGGTATACAGCTGTAAGTTCTTCTAATCGAGCAATGATATCTTCTTTGATGACACGCTCTTTTCTATCGACATAGACACTGGCAGCTTGATGTACAGCAAAAGGGACGAGCTTTTGGAAAAGAGGCAAACCAATGACAGGATGAGGTGATCCACGTCGTTCGTTAGCGAGCATGATAGCAACAGGATCAGCAATCTCGGCTGGTGGCGTTGGCTTAACCATTTCTGATTTTTGGATGGGTGGCAAAGCTGATTCAGAAGGCAATGTTTCCAAGTAAATGACATCATTGTCCTTTTCAGCACGTGCAAGATTGGTTTGAATGATTTGTTGAAGAGAACGCAAATCGCTGACAACAGTGTTGCTGACCATTGGTGTACCCGAAAAGAATGACTTGATCATGTCGAAAGCACGCTTGACGAGGCTGTTGGCAATACGTAAACGCGCCACTTCTTCGCCATACTTGTTTTGTGAAATGCATTCGCACGATTTGCGGAATTGGGCAGCGGCATTAAAATGAAGCGCTTTCACTTGCATATGCGTGAGCCATGGTTTGGGGAATACGCCTTGTGTGGATGAATGGGTGGCGAGTTCATAGGCAGCATCATAAAACTCTGCAATCTTGATAGCCAAACGAGCGATGGTGCCATCTCGAAGTTGATCCATAGCAGCACGTTGCCATATACATTCTTGTGCCTGTGCCAGCATCAGGTTGATAAGCGTTTGTAATGCACCACTGGACATGTCTGCTGTGGGTGGAATACGCATCTCGGGTATGACTACATCTTGCAAGTGCTTGAAACAGCCAGCTGCGCACTTTTACTGTCATGAATCAATGGTTCTGGTCCTCTCTCTCTCTTTTCAACAGCACCCCCCCCTTTTCCCCTTACCTGAAAAAAGTTACATGCTCTCTTAACCCCTTCAGTTGTCAATCGATTCTCCGCATTGCCGAGTTGGCTGTACATGGCACCGATGCAGTAAAGAACACACGCCTTTTCATAGTGCATGTTGCGATGAGATGTGATATCTACAATGGGAAAAATAAGTGATGTGTCTATATAAAAAGGTTGCTATTGTTATTCACGTACCTGTGTTGCTAGTTGAAAATGCCGGATGCCAAGGAAACTCGATACCCACCTATCATCATCATTATGCAAGTGCAAAGGTTAGCCGAGAAATCAACCCCTTGCCCCCTTTTGTTAGCCTCATTCGACTTACATCAATTGGGAATTTAGAGCCAATAAAGACCAGCTGTGCATAATATCTATTGTCGTGTCTTAGTTTTCTCGCGTAAATCTGCCAAGACATGGAGTTTCCAAGGTTACTTTATCAAACGATTCAACGCTTTTTCATTGGCTTCCATATAAATACAATCGTTACGAAGCTCGTCGAGAACACGAAAGTCGTCTGTGTATATGTCTGGATGCTCAGCATATCCGTTTGAGATATACTTGCGAAGATGAGGTGTCCAGGTTACTCGCTCGGTTGATTTCGTGTCGATCGAGAGCATGTTGCTTTCCGACGATCGCTTAGAAGCTGTTGGAGAAGATAAAGGCGAGGCGCCTAATAGACTAGCCATGATATAGGTCGTATGTGTATGTGAAAGGTGTGTGTTATTGTCAAGGAGGAAGCAAGAAAAAGCAAAGAATGGAAAAAGGAGGTGGTGGTGGTTGGTGGGTGGTGAGAGAAAAGAAGCCTTGAATCACGCAGCAGCCGTGCTGTTGCCAAATAAAGGGACTTTTTCAATTAATTGTGTCAAGTGCTGTCTTTTATTCCTTTTACTTTTTGATACTATCTTATACCAATAACTTGCCTCTCTCTCCCTCTCTCTCTCTCACCGTACATACACGGCATCCTTTGAGCTATCACCCTTATCAGTCAGTCCTTTCAGCGTCTCTAATTACGACACGCGAAATGTGCCTCGCCTCTCGTACAATAACAGGCTCGCACACAGCGTTGGCTAGCGATCCTACCAGCAAACAATGGAAAGATTTCGCTGCAAAAGAGTTCATGGAGAACAAAACTCGATTGACACCCTTCACAGAGTCCAGCGCATCTCCTCCTCTCTCTCCCTCTCAAACAACCAAACTTGCTGTTCGATCACACGACCACGACGATGACAACCCCACTGCCACTGTAGTCAGTAGTCCAAATCCTGGTTCACCATGGTTGGAATTTGCAGCACACAACCACGAGACGCAACCACCACCGAGACATGTCAACACATACGATGCTTCACGATCGAAAAGTCCACCGAGTTGTGCAACGTTGAAAAGGAGTATCAGCGACAAGGTTGGGCAGCAACAACAACAGCAACGGGGTGATCTGGTTGGCATGCAACACTACCAAGAGCAACTATACCTATATGCCCCACAGCTATCATCCGATCCACCAAAGTGCTTCTGTAATCAACCTGCACACATACGCAACACATCCGACCATGGCATTGTATATGAATGCTATCGTGTAACAACATCCTCAGATAGCGCTATGCAAAGTTTGCCAGTATGTTGTACATTTCATGTGCACAAGGAACCATGGTCTTCCTTTCAACAAGCATTCCACAATGGTCGACGTATCGATCCCAACCATCCACATCTCCAACAATGTTCAGCATTCAACTATACCTTCCGCACCATCTTTCGTACCGAAAACGCATATCCAATGAGATTACCCATGTCTCCTTTATGTTATTGCAACCATCTTGTACGTCCACATCAGGACTATACTCGTACCAACAACAGGATGGCCTTGGTATGTCCAAAGATGGCCTCAGACCTATTGCGTTACAAGGCATGCCAATGGTTTATGTGGGCTGAGGATGCAAAGGCTTTGCAATCAGCGTTACCCCATCCAACATCATCATCTTTATCCGATACTATCAGCACCACCCATCATGACGACATCTCAGCCAGCAACACGACCACCAGCAGCATTGACAAGAAGGAGAAGAATGATCGCAAAGATGTTGAAGATAACGATGAGACAAGTTCAACAGTATCCACGAGTCAACAATTGAAACACAGCAACGACTTTAGTCGAGATAATGGATTAATGACAGCACCATCCTCACCGAACACATTGGATGCGAAATCCACAACCACGTCCGAAGATGCTTCCATCTACAAAGCTACACCAGTGCACATGATTCAACCACCCTCCAAACAATTATCACCAGACACCGACAAAAGTCTTGAATTGATACGTTTACTCAAGGGAGCCAAGGTGCCTGAATGGTATTCAGACGACCAACATCATCATCACCAGCATCATCCAGATACTGTATATCATGGAGACACAGCTTCTTTGGATAGTGACGATCATTCATCTACACAATCCACAGTCCCTGGTAGCCCTTCATCTCCTTTCAAGGTATCCATGCCTGTTCCTGCTTCAGTATACGCTCGTATCTTGTTGGATAAGAAGAAGTCAGAGTATGATGATGAACAAGTCTCGACGCTGAATCAACATGCCTTGATGATGGAGAATGAATTGAAACGGCTTGAGGATGAGAATCAGCAAGTGAAAACGGTTTATGCGGCCAAGGAAGATGAGTGGAATAGTCTTTTGCGAGCACACGAAGAGGATTTGGCAGAGATGGATCGTTGGGAAGAAAAAATCAAGGACCTTGTCAAGTTGGATAATGCAATGGAGTTGCTATGGGACAATACTTGCGATATAGCTGAAGAGGAGATATCGAATGTGCGAAAGGCGAAGCAGTGCGAGATCATGATCAACAAGTTGAAACGAGATTTGGTGGATCGTATGGAGCAGCTCAAGTTACAAATCGCAAAGAAAGAGGACCTGGATGAAAGAACTTCTTTAAGGGATTTCAAATGCCGAGTATGCTTCCAAGAAAACATCGAAGTAGCACTTGTACCATGCTTCCATTGCTGTAAGTATTCAAGCAACATCCAATATAGGAGGATCGATCGATTACTTATGTACCTTTTATATATAGCTTATTGTAGGCCATGTGCAGAGAAGCTTACGGAATGTGCGATTTGCCGTACCATCAAGTTTGGTGTTCAGACTGTATATTTGAGCTGAATGGTATGTGAAAAAGGATGGATGGATAATGGCAGATGTCTTACATGCATCATATAGATCACATCTCTCTCTATCGTTTTCTCTTCTTTGATCCCATCCATGTCGCTACCTCCTTTTGTACAAAATCTACTCCATACATCCTCAAGTACATATATAACCTCCGGAACAAAAAAAAAACTTGCATATTCAACTACTGCTCCACTGGAAGGGTAAGTTACCTGGGAAAGTGATCCAAAAGACTGGCGACTCACAGCACTTTTGTTTCTAGGGATCCAGTTTCCTATGTTAGGACCCCATCATCATTTGTTTATACATATTCGTCAAATCATACCCAATATAAGTATCGTACATTAAATAATAGATAAAAAAAAGGTTGTAATCTAGGTATATGGCATTCTGGGTAACAGGGGGATAAAGGAGGAATGTAGTATCCAAGGAAAGAGGGCATCAATGGTGGTACAACATGGTCACGTGATTGAGTTCAAATAGTATCAACATCTTTATTATGGCAAGCATGCAGGTAGCGTAGTCAAGAGTTAAATAGTCGAGATGGTTGTCTACGTGCATCTAGGAGCAATAACATTCCTTGAAGAAGAAAGGATACGTATAGCTTTCATACATAGATCAAAGTAGATGTCGGGTTGCTAGGGAATTTGAAAGAATAAGAAACATTTTCTCAAAGGAAACATTGTTCCATTTGTGGAATGAGACTCTAGAAATAGAGCTAGATACCAACAACAATGGGTTTTAAACAAAGAATGATCGCGTAGATCATCACGTGGTTATTGAAATACATGGTGGGTGGTGGCACAACAATGGGTCAGATGATGTGACTGGAGCGCGCTCGACCCTCTCCCATCTCCTCCACACCTTCTTTTTTCGATCACTTTTTTTTGCATCTTTTCCCCGAGTGGGCTCTGGTCCTTTTGCGAAACATGGTGAGTGGAACCCCCTTTTTTATGCAAGGTTACTTTTCTCACACAACTAATCGCGCATCACCCTTATCAGTTCTCAACGACATTCGATTTCGACCAGCATGCGATACCACCCACTGATTTAGACGACGTCAAAGCACTCGCGGAATCTACAGATGCTCGATCCACTACGAGTGTTCAGTCTTCTTCGTTTCTGTCACCAGCAGCAGGAGCAACAACTTCGTTATTGCATGTTCAAGGAAGCACAGGGTGCTTGACAGGCACACTTCCCACATTTACCTTCATACCCAACAACCATTATCAAACACAACAACTACCGGTAAGCTTCGACTGGTATTAGGTTGATATATGACATAGACTCATGGCTATGGGGTAGACTGATATGAAGCATCAACAACAATCAAATTCCTCGTGCATGCAACAAGTCAATTTCCGCAATGATGAAATCATCCCTATGTCATCAAGTATGACCAATGCAAGTCATTTACAACAGGTAAATCACGCCTTCTTCATCCAATACGACGATTACAGCATCTAATGTTTTGGAAAGGTGGCCCAACCAGAAAATGACATCTTGGCAACGTTTGGCTTGAATCCTGTACAAAAACATCATCATGATCTCTTGAAGCAGCTGATAAGCGACACCAATGATACCCGATTATCACCGTTGACAACAAACCAACAACAGCATTCCCATCATCATATACCCGCACCAAAACGACAATGCATCTCAATTAAGCCAAAACCACGTTCACCACGAGCACCATGGTCACCTGAAGAAGACAACTTGTTGAGATTGGCAGTACAATTGTATGGTGATAAGACTGAGAAATGGTCAAAGATTGCAGCATGTGTGCCTGGTCGTACCAACAAGAATTGTCGAAAGCGTTGGTTTCATTCCCTTGATCCCTCATTACGTAAAGGGCCATGGACTGAAGAGGAGGATCAACTATTACGAGAAGGTGTCATGAAGTATCCCAACCAATGGAGCAAGATTGCCGATATGCTAGATGGAAGAACGGATGATCAATGTGCCAAACGATGGCGTGAATCACTTGATCCAACGATTGATCGATCGGAATGGACAGCCGAGGAGGATGAGATACTTGTGCAAAAGTTTGGGGAATATGGATCACAATGGCAGAAGATTGCGCAGCATTTTGAAGGTCGGCCTGGTTTACATTGTCGTAATCGATGGAGGAAATTACAGCGATTGATGCAGATCAAAGATGATAAACAGCGAGAGGAGACGAGTCGTCTATCAGCATCATTTATACATACCATGATTGAAGGTATCCAATCTTCGTCACCTGTCACAGCACAACCGCCACCAATACCTACACCAGCAAAAGCATTATCATCACCACCTCCGCCACCAGCAATAGCACCACCACCACCTCCACCAATGTCAATAGAACCACTGCCACCATCACCTCCATCTCCACTTCCACCAACACCAGCATCCTTTCATATGCCGCCGACTTCCGGGTTCCCGATCCTTCAGCATACGCACGAGCCACCTTCATCCTTGTCAGACACGTCATCACTCAGCAGTAACATTTCATCTTCATCCATTTTGCTTACGCCTCGTGGTCCACCATCATCATCATCGGATACACCACCAAATGATATATGGTCAACAAGCGGATCTTTCATTGATGTGAATCCTTATGGATGCGACATTCCTAGCTGTATGGAGACCTTTTCAAAGTCAAGCGGTCTTTTCAATCACATGAAAAGCGCTCATCCAAACCTTGAAGCCTACGACAAACCTTATCGATGTGCTGTACCAAATTGCACCAAGAGATACAAGAACATCAACGGCCTACAATACCATTTACGTGATGCAAAGGGATCCTCCGCACATCCGAATATCATTCATAGTCCTGTACTATAATTGTTATAGCTTTTTTTTCTCTCTCTCTTCTCTTTTTATATAATGTATCACAATTTAATCCGGGAGGGTGGTCCTGTTGAGATGATTACTATTTTTAGTATTGTTGCCAAGGTAACATGCTGCTTCTTGTTGATCCCCCGCAACGCGACACACGACACACACCATGCCGCAGCATGAATAGCTGGGATAACTTCGGAGATGTCGTTGGCTGTGCCTAGAGCGTTCCAGGAGTTTCTACTCTGTACGCGACTTTTTCGTCTGGATTCCCGAAGGAAAACATTTATATAAACGCGACATGTCGTTTGCATAGCGTCTACCTTTGTTCCACCTTGCATTAATTTCATTCATCCCACTTTTTTGCATACACTTCTTGTACGCTTGCACACAACACCCCTCTCCTCGTATATTGACCCCCGACTGCGCACGAGATATTTAAAATCTTTCATTCTTCCATCTGGAACAACAACTACGTAATCCTTCATACTCCGCGTTTTTAACACTAAGCAAGTCTCGAAACCGCAGCCCAAGCTTTTCATTCTTCTTTCCCCTCTTCCAATCGTTTGCATACTTTCAACTCTCAAAAAAATGGATACTTTCTGGTGCCCTGGCTGTGATAAGCGTATTGATACTGACTTGGTAAGTGCCGATCGGTTCCCGATCGTTGTAGATCGCCTCCCGATCGACAAGATTGTTAACCCATGTACCTTTTTAGAGCGAGTCGGATTTGTATTGCTCCGTGGAGTGCAAGATCAAGGATGCCAACCCTGAAACCCATTCAAGTTCATCATCCAACAACACATCCACTACCACAAACGGTGTTCCTGAATTGGCACTTGGCAAACTCAGGGAGCTTAAGCGATCCAAATCGTTGCGTCAACAACATCGTCCTTCTTATCCATGGATCCCTCTCTATCGACGACGTCCCGTGGTATCACGACGTGCAGCTGTTACAGCAAGCTCGGCAGCTACAGCACAAGGTCTTCTTTGTCGTAAGCCCGCTGCTGCTGCTGCTGCTACTGCTTTTCCACAACAACATCAACTCTATGGCCTATTGGCATAAATTTCATTGTCTCTCTCTTTCTCCCTCCATCTCTCTCCTTCATATATCCAAAATACCATAAAAACATTAGAAAACGTCAGAAAACCAGATGTATCTACTACCCATTCCCTTTCCCTCTTCACTCTCAATCACATTTTCCTTCATCGTCTGTAAAAAGAAAAAAGCATCTTTATCTATATACCTTTCTAGCAAGCATCCATCAAACAATCATCCTTTATGAAGAATAAAACATTTTTCCCCTCATTCAATTTGACAATTATCTTTTTGTTTCTGGTGCATGAAAAGAGTATGTATATCTCGTGTAAAATGATTTCCCGTGGAGCTCAGGCTGAGCGAGCTGCATTTGCTTTGTATCACATGGCTGCTATTCTCAGACATAGAAGGATGTTTCTGCCAACAGTTTATTTCAAAGGATGATAGGTACATGTGCGTAAGAGCTTTCATAAGGAACAATCCATACCATAAAAGAATGTGTCATACATGATGCTTATTGGGGGGATGATGGATGAAGATTTTGATGTTGGATGTCAATGGTACATAATGATAATAAGGATGAAGCTTGATGATGACGCGTGGTTTTCTTGAGTGCTACGTGGATGTTCAAGATCCTGTACGTGCAATGGGAAACCGTATTGAGCATTGTTGAGCGTATAGATTTTGGCCATTGATATAAACAAATCCATGGAGAGATGGCACAAAGACATTGCCAGCTGAACCGGTACGCCAAAGCTGTTCGACGCATGCATTCGACTTTGGATCAAAAGGTATCCACATGCTTCCTGCTTGATATACCCATTGAACTGGCATTGTGGTAAAGATGATGTGTGATGTTGTAGTGGATTCAAGTTGTAGCCTCTCAGCATGCTGCTTTTATATATATACAATGAGCGTGCACAGCAGCTAAGCTTGCCATAATAACGCCGTAAGAGCAAATGACGCCACCGTATGTAGATTTTACCTGCAAGTAGGAAACGTGTAACCGTAAATGTCGCGTTTCCATGACACTGCTATTGCTGCGCTTCTCGTAAGCAACACATACCACCGCTCCCGCAGGGAGAAGCAAGCTTAATTCGTGTAACACTGTGATCGGCTGGCTATCTTTGTTTACATGTTCTCCACAATAACAATGCTTCGCTTTACATAAACCATACATTTACTATGCACTTGTCACTGGTATCCTCATGAACCCAAGTTATGACTTTGGATGAAACATAAAAAGATCTAGGATGCTTGCTGGAGGAGGTGTCATCAACCAAAATGCCCAATCACAGGCAATGGCACCATTTACATACTATGTATGTACATCCCACATCACAAGCGCGGATTCACTTTAATGGGTAGTAATGCTATTCTTATCCTTGATGAAGAAGACAACCCTTTATAATAGAAACATTCAAAACACATGACAAGGCGTATTGCATGCATGATGACGTGACCACCTTTTGACAATCACCTTCGCTTAAGCATTTTTTTTCTTGATTGAATGACCATAGGGCATAGAGCATGGTGTGTGTAATTTATTCAAATGTAACGGCAGTGTACGAATAAAGAGAATATGCAGTGTCTAATCTAACAAAAATGAGTGTGGTGGATGCATGTTTGTTGCTGTGGTATATACAAAAGATAGTGAAGGGATACAATAATAGGGAATGAATTCTAATTTACAAAGGTAGTGGATGTTGGCTTTTTTTTACATGACTTGAATAGTTATTATGATCCTGTTCTTGCTATTGGGATCCGGGTGTAGCATCGTTGAGCGTAAAGGCCGGGGCCATTGACGAGAACAACACCTTGCATTGATGCAACATAGACTTGAGCTGCTGTTCCTGATCGCCAAATGCTTTCAATAGATGCATTGGCTTGAGGGTCAAAGGGGACCCAATTGGTTCCTGCTTGATAAACCCATTGCACTGGCATGTTGTTGTTGTTAATGAAGATGTGGTATGTAGGAGTGAAAAATAAAAGGTTGGTGACAAAGATGTAATCCATTGATCTCCTGGAATGTGGGTACATTTATACCACGCTGATTGCTTGATCTCGCAGTATGGCATCATCCGTCAACAGGCCATTGGCATTGCTATTTGTGGAAAATGGGTTACCGTAAGTTTGGCTGCGCTTTCATCCACACATATACTCTTCTGCTTGCTCGCATCAAAACAGCATCAAGTTTGTGCAACAAAAGACACGTCAGGGTGTTGCTGCGGAAATCACTCTTGTGTAACTTGGTTACTATGGAGACTCCAAACACCACACATAGCTTAAATTACTTGTGCTCTTCAAAGCATGCGTCAGCAAAGTCATGAAAACTACTAGCTGATGCACTTGGGTGTTAGGCTGCATTCCTTGTTGACCAAACCAAGTTTTAATGAAAAAGAGTTGATGGTATATAGCTACTTGGTGGTGGATGATGGTATAATAAACACAGCCTTGTTAACAATGATCATTGATATCACATGATGTGGGGGTTTCGTAAGGAACTAGCGTCATCCTGTAACCACAGATCGCAAAGCTGGATTTATGTGACGCCGCAATTGCTAAATCGGTAGCGTAAACGCATGACAACCGGATCCACGTTTCTGCTTAGCGTGTGTGGCCATCTCAATTGTATTATTATTAGTGCTGTGCCAAGAATGGTTGCATACGTGTTTCATGTGCTATGGCCACCAATGCGTTGCTGTAAATATGTTCGGGATCAATCTGCTGCTTCTTCCCGCAGCATCCGACAGCCGAAATAAGATGATGATGATGATAGTGTACAAGCCTAAGCAGCATACGTGGGATCATGAGTATCAGGATAGAAATAGGATCGAGGATTACTTTTATGTATGCCGCAGTCATAATGTCCACAGCAGCATGCAAGTTTGAGATACACCAATAATGTTCCCATCTTCCAAAATACACTTGGTTCCAACAACTCGCATTATAAAGATATGATTTGAAAGGATACTTTATATGGTTCAAAAGCTTTAATGATGACGGATGAATTATGCATGTGATAAACGTTGAATGCCTTGTACATCGAAGATGCCTTTAAGTTTGGGTGCGTTGATGCTAGCAATGACAGCCTTGGCAACAGTGTCGATATGAAGAGGTGGAGTCGTAAGACTTGATCCAAAAGGCAAAGAATTGATTTCCTTGGTTACGGGGCTGGTTACCATGTTGGCCAATTGAATAGCTGCAGCTACTGGCATGGCAACGGGACGATCTTGGCTATACATGAAACCTATTTCAACAAAGATCAACATGCTATCTTCGTTTGCATTACCCTCTTTAATGGCTTACCTGGTCGAAGTGCTATAGTACGGAATTCCGGTCTTGAAAACAGGTACTTTTCAGCCTGGCGTTTGGAGCTGATATATCGTGGATCGACCAAGGGGAAGACGTCTGAAGCCGAAATGTAGACGAAAGCATCCATGGTGCTTAATTTGGCAGCTTCTTGGGCCAACGCCACAGCTAAATAGGAAGCGTGGGTATTAATGGAATGTTGTGGGGCTAGTTTTCCCGATTTTTTCTTTTACCTGTGTCACGATTCATGCGTTCAAAAGTAGGTGCCGGGTGTTTTGCGTCAAACGGATTTCCTCGATCTCGCATACCAATCATTTCACCCAAGACACGTGAAGCTCCAGATGCTGCTTCACAAAGATTCTTTGCATTGGCCAAGCTCTTGTAATCCACCTCGGAAATGATCCCCACCGTATGTACAATATCCGTGACGTTTTCCAAAAGAGGCCCGTAGCTGGTAGGATCCAGGCTATCACCCGATGCCCATTGCACCTATACATACATTCCTTCAATATACTACCCACCTCGCCTGTATCATCAAATAGAACCATACCTTATCAGCCCATGAAGGTCGTGGTCCTTGTTGAAAAGTTGCAGGAACACCATGGCGACTATAGGTCATACATTCAATCTCGCTTGCTCATGAGTTTCGAACGGCAAATGAGTAGTACCTTAAACTGACAGTCTCCCAACCTTGACGCGTTGCATGTTTACAAATGCTTTGACCTGATTGTGGTGTCCATGAGATTCTCTTGTCAATGAGTACGAAAGAGGAGTGAGTCTTACCAAGGAAACCTGTGCCTCCCACGACCAGTAACTTTTTGGCTGCAGTTTGTGCCATTGTTTAGTTTGGAAAGAATGACTTGAAATTCACCAACTGAGTTTTTTATTATGCAAATGGAGAAGGTGAATGACATCCACACTTTGCGCAACCACCGCCTCCTAACGACTGTTACTACTTGCACCATGTCTCTTGCGATAGCTTTTATTGTCCTTTAGATATATCATTGTAATTGGATAACCATTCCTGCTTACAGTACTCGAATCACACAACTATTGCTATCATCCACATGCATCGACAATCAGCATACGAAGGCTCTTTGATAAAGTACCAAACCTAGTCCTGCTGTAAATGCTCGACCCCATTGATTGCTATTCATGCAGAATCCCTGTCCACTATTACTAACACCTATGAGCATATAATAAAAATGAACATCGTTTATCGCCAAAATCAAAGCTTTGGTGCGCTTCTTGATCAATACTAATCTTTTCTGCATGTGCATGTATTGATTTTTGTGATCGTTTATGGCCTTTCATCGATTCCCTACTTTCATTGTCGTCCTATCATGGGATGTGGTCATTGTAAAAAGTCTTATTTGAGAAACAGTGGTTGGCTATTGGGGTAATAAAGCTGAGCCCTATGCGACAAAAGTAGCCAATGTGCGAATGAGCTATCATTTATTGTAAGGGAAATGCTGAGCTTATCATGAAATCAATGGGTCAATCAGTATATGGTTGAACGCTGAGCAACATCCAAACTTAACGAAGGGGTAACGATAACAACAAAGACACTTCTATATATGGAATGTGGTCAAAGTGTGAGCAATGACATGAAGATAGCGGCTATATCGGTGATTTGGGTCGGCGGATGACAACGCCGTTTTTCTTTCCTTGTATTGCAACGCGTTGTCGTTCACCCCAACGATGGTAGACAATGCCGTCTTCGACTCTCAACAATCTCGGCCATTGCAGCAGACGTGGATGCAGCTTCTACCTTACGATGTAGTGGCACTCGTCCTCGAGAATTTGAATCAGCATGAGTTATTGGAGTGCATGGCAGTGTGTGCAAGCTGGTATCATAGCGTGCCCTATTACACGACAGAGCGGTGGCACACCGTCAAGATCTTTCGTCACCGTGGAGGGCTAGGCAACCATCGATTGGCAAGGTGTTTAGGAGAGCATGTGCGACGTATATCATTATCAGGATATGAGACACAACATCAACTGAATCAAGTGCTGGAAGATCTTGTGGACCTCGGCTGTGTGTGGATCGAATCTCTCGGTGAGGAAGAGAGAAGGAAAAAAGATTGGAGATGGTGCATTTTAAAAGCTGATAAGCAAGAGACATATCGTGATGGATGATATAGAGTTCTATGATACCCAAGTCTGTGTCCAACAATCCTTCTTTGCCTTGCTCTCCAAGTTAGCCATCCATGCATTACGTCAAATCGCCTTCCTCAGACATCGTGGTGTCCTTGACTTTTTCAAAGTCGTTGCTGCTTGTCCTCATTTGACAGTGTTTGATTTTTCCGCCTCTGGTGATCAAGGCGAATTGGAAGCCTATAGCATGCCTTCAAGATCCAAGATCACTCACATGTGCCTCAATGGAAGACCCTATGACATCCATCCACAGCTGGAATTGATTTTACGACAATGTCCTCATTTACGCTTTTTGGCCACCAACAATCCATGGATTCGTTCACAGGAGAATATGGATAAGCTTCTTCAATATTGCCCGAGGATTGAATACTTCGAATATGCACGACACACCCGCAATGCACGACATTATCTTCATGAGCATATTCAACGTCTTCCCAATGATCAGGATGATGGCTGTTTACGTGAGTTGGTATTGGATGGATATCGTGCAGGCAACATGCCAGACCCTCATATGCTTACAACACTCGAGATTCTTCGCTTGAAAACAACATTGATCAGAAACATTCCTCCCTTTTCCCAATCATTGGATCGGCTTTGTATCCTCTCGTGTGATCAAGTGCTATGTGACCCGCCTAGTATCCTTGCTTCGCTTATTGAACAATGTCCCTCACTCGAAGAAATTACATTGCGTGGATTTCCTTTGATCCCCGAGATTTGTGAAGCTCTCAGCAACGTCTCTCAACTCAAACGCCTTTATCTCTTTCGCAACAATCACATGAGACCAGGGGAAGGAAACATATTATGGACATTGCTTCAAAGTCTGCATCATCGACCACTGCAATGTTTACAATTGGAAGGCGTGTTGAATGATCATTTGATCGAGTCGTTGGCATTACCAGGGAACGCTGCTCCTCATCATCATCACCATCCACAATTGACTCAGCTTTCAATCAGCAGCAAGTATTTGACAGGTGGCGCTCTTGACAGGTTCATCACGCGATCAACTTGTGGTATTTTGAGTAGGATCAAGACATTGGAGATATGTGATATCAACATGATTTCAAGAATGATGCTCGCTGCCTTGGGTGATTTGGATTACCTCGAACGTCTTGTGTTACGGCGTTGTCGATACGTTGACGGCAATGGCATCAACGACCTACTTTTTCATACCAAGGCATTACACTCGCTCTGTATTATGCATTGTGATATACCAGATGGGAAGGAAACGATTCGATATGCCATCAAAAAGTTAGGAGAAGAAGCTGTATTGTATATCCCATGGAAATTTGTTTCATTTAATATAAAAGAGGAGCGGTGATGGATACTATTAGTGTATGGTATAATTGAAGATGAGGAGGGGTATTTGGGTATGCTTTATTTGAAAGACACGTTGTAGTCAGCAATTTAGGATTGTCTCATGATGCATTTTAGCTCATCACGTACCGCCCACTGCTACAGCAATCACCCAAGATACAAAATGCAGAATGTTGTGACAACATTTTTATGTAAATGTTTATTCTATTTGTGGAGATAATATAATAGTAAGCTACGTGGATGTGGTATACGTGTCCAGGGGGGAGGAGGAGGTGTAGTTAACATGTTGGGAAACAAGTCAACGGAGTCTCTGAAAGCCCGGTCTGACATTCAATGCTGGCAGGGGAAGCAAGGAGAAAAGCACTTGTGGACCAGCGCCCATAGGTTCGATCCTTTTCGTTTGCAACTATGGTAAGGAAGCATCCCAAGAACATCCATCCGTGAATGCATTCATCCATTCATCCACTCACTCATCCATCATTGTATTCTTGTTTATCATTAGGCCAAGCGCACAAAAAAAGGTTAGGATCACTCAACACTCGAACAATCCTCTTGTCGTTTTCGATATTGACACCAAAATGTAGTCGGCATCACTGGCAAGTACGGTACCCGTTATGGTGCTTCGCTTAGAAAGCAGGTCAAGAAGATGGAAATCACCCAACACGCCACCTACACCTGCACCTTCTGCGGCAAGGTATTTATTATTCTCGCTCTCCTTTGACGCAACATGGCAGTACAACTTACCACGATGCTTTTTTCTTTATTAAAGGACGCTGTGAAGCGCACTGCTGTTGGTATCTGGAAGTGCAAGGGCTGCAAGAAGACCTTGGCTGGTGGTGCTTACACCGTCTCGTAAGTGGATATGGATAACGATTGCTTCGAAAAAGATGGGATTGTTAATAATGATTTTTGTAATAGCACCACCGCTGCCACCACCGTCCGCTCGACTGTTCGTCGTCTTCGTGAAATGGTTGAGATCTAAGACTTTTATACTTTATTCGTTTCCATAAGGATTAAGAAATAAATGGTTGATCCCAATCAAATACACATATGCTTCCTTTCTCTTGCTATGATTCCTTCTATGTAAATCATTGGGTTGCTAAGACGTGTGTAGGTGCATGGCAACGGTTGGTAAGACAACCATTTGGAGCTGCATAATCTATACATTCACTTTGGTCGTCTTTGGTTTTTGGTGTTACATCGATTCCTGGTCCGTAGTTGGTTCACGATATGGCATCATGCTTTTGCATACTCTGATTGTAATATGGTTGATAGAATGATGCAGTCGTTTATTGTGAAAGTGTCTACGAATCTACTTTGTTGCAGCAAAGATCTTGGGTGCAGCCTACATGGATCGATGCAATGATCAGCTTCTTGAACAATGCTCTCTTATCCACCCTCACCGCCTCTTCCTCAATGATAACTTACGCACTCATCAGCACAATGCATAAAGTGAAAGAATTCCTCAATGCCTATACAACACAAGAGCAACACCATCAATAAATCCACTCAACACACACATATCGTTTCACAACATACAGTTTTCCTCTGAGCCGTTTTCCACGCGTTCGTTGCACTCATCAAGGTGTTTCTTCAATGCGGCGCAATCCTTTTCACATTCTAGCGACTAGGAATGAGTCCAATGCACGCGTGTCTAGATGCCATTTGCCGCAACACTTGCCTTCCATAATGGCTTCTTTGGGATCCTCAACCTCCTCAGGTTCTTCCTCCTCAACTACTTCCTCAACAACTTCAACAACTTGCTCCTCTTCAGCATATGCAGTGGGAAAGATGCTTGACAAGATATCAGTCAGACCCATGGTAACGGAAATAGAACAGGAAGCTCTCTTGCTTTGGTCGTGGATGGAAACAAGATAAGAATGGCGACATGATTCCAAGTCACATGCCTTACCTACACCCACCACTGCTGCTGCTGCATTGCATCAAAAGCCCATACTACACCATGGATGCCCATTGTTTAGATTGAAGATGCTAGCTATCTCAAATAAAAGCGTCGCCATGGCTATTACCAGGTTGATTGTGATCAGCTTTGCGCTTGTTTTGTCTTTAAGAAGATTCGCCATTTCCAGTTTACTATACAATGATCAACGAGAGGGATACAAGTGTCATCCGCTTGGCTCAAGATCCAGTTTAAGGTTTCTGGAGACGCATGGCGCCTTAGTGTTACAATGCGTATGCGTTTGTGTCTTACACACACCAACTTGTGTATCCTCTTCGGAATCATATGCCATGATTTTCCGTTTCAAACAGGTGCAGTACCACCATCATCACATCACAAACACATCTGCGTTGATCCCAAGAAAGCATAAAAACTCAATAAAGGATTAGGTCATGATCTGACTATGCTGTGATACACATTATGTATTGCTGAAAGTACTCGAACCTACAAGTATATGACTTTGTCACACTTTTTCTTGTGTTGTGATATGCTTATGCGTACAAGAAAGGCACGATGTTACATAGATGGATGATGATGTTGCCACTAATTTCTTGTTGAAATGTCCATGCTGCGATTTATTCAAAGCAACTACTATGCTATGCTATAATACCCTCGTTGTATGATCCATCCTTGGTTGTAATGTCAAGAGTCAAGACGTCCCATCCTTGATGAATACTGAGTAGAGTCGTTTGCAATCCGTTCGCTTCTCGTATATGATCTGGTACCATCCATCATGGCATAAAACTGGAAGGATGACCACAATAAGTATCCGGCAAGGATCAAGGCCCAGACATCAGCGATATGGGCTTATGACGAAACGAGCTTACCATCATTGAGATAACGGTTGAGCTGATGGTGATAGTTCCTCAAGGCCTTCCCAACTTGGTCCTGTCAACAAGAGCGCCAAACCATTGATCCCAGTGCCAAGTCCCTCTCGCGTTGTTCTTTAAGCAGACAGGCCATTCCAGTCTCCATGTCATTGGTTGTCATCTTGCCCACTACTGCCTATTCTTCCCATAGTCCAACAAGAGCTGTAGAGTCGCTGCTTGAGCCGATTGCCACAATGTAGGTTCGACATGTGAGGAAACTTGAAAGAAGACATGCAATTCTCCTTTTGGTCATTTGCTACTCAGTAACCTTATTGTCGCCATGACAACCGCAAACGGCCTATCCCCCCATGTGGATCCCACATTCCATTATCTGTCATTTGATGATATAGCAGCTTGATGCATACGTAGAATGATGTCTTTCATATATAAAAGTGAGATTGTATTTTGAATGAATGAATGAATGTACAAAGTTGGGTGGATGGGGGAGGAGGAGGAGATGCAGATATGTTTTAGCTTTCCCCCTTTCTTTTTACAACCAGCGACCAGCGCAAGTAAATCCATGTAACACACGGATGATGATGATGATGATGACACCTTGTCTAAGATTAAAATTCTTCATCATCATCTTCTGCGTATAAATCATCAAAGACGGTCATGACAAGTTCGCCAACACGTCCTTCTAATTCGGATCGGAGGTCAGCCTTCATAGCTTCCGAATACGTATCCAGGAGATGTTCGCCATCATCTTGATCACTTGTTGACCCTGCTGCAAGGAGGCGCCGGAGCATGCAGCGTACGTTTGTAAAACAAAGTTTAAGGATGCTGCTATTTCTTTGTTGTAAAACAGGTGTGGATGATTGCTGGCAGGTTTCCAAGTCATTACGCACACGACCAAGGATATCGAAAGCGTCGAGTGTTCGATGCAGCTGATCACCCACAGCAAGATTCACAGAATAAAGAACGGAAGAAATTTGATGTTGTGCAGTGGGAAGGGCACCCACAAGGTGATATTCAGGCCATAATGCTATCAGGGACTCTTCCACCGCTGGCGTAACCGCTTGAGCAACATGGCGTGTTTGTTCATGGATATGATGACCAATGTATTCTGGTAGCCGTGCAACACATGCGTCTAAAGAATGAAGCAAGGTCAAGTTAGTAATGTATGCAACAAGTGGCTGAGGGAGGGAGTGTGTATACATACCATGAGAAAAAGTGCCAGATGACAGGGCATTGGCTTGAGATTGTAAAAGACGGCGTCTTTGGCAACGTGAAGCATGCGTTAATTTGAGTAAGAGATCTTCAGCATGGGTGCTCAAAACATCATCAATCATTGATGAATAATGGTCCTCCACAGCGCTGCGTATCAAGTCAGCTTGAGCGCTCCAAAAAGCGGGTTGCTGATGTAACTTTTGTGCCGTTGACGTCGTTACAGTGGTTGCCACTGTGAGCAAGGTGGTGGTGGTGAATAGTGAAAAACGCATGTGGATATGAAGGAAAGAAAAAGACACTGTAATCGGGAGAATGCCGGGATGTTCATCTTTATATGAGAAATGCGGGTAAGAAAAGAGTGCACAGATCCGCGTGATGCTGGTGCCACAGATTGGTAACTCTCTTTGCATTGTTTGCTGGAGCCTGCAGATTAATTGGTTCACCGACTGCGTGCAAATGAACAGTGACCATGCGGTCCCGGAAGCGATAAACTTCCGCTTTGCGCTAATTGTCATTGTCATCGATACAATGCTTGTCATTGGATTATTGTTCCTTACCAATGTTGAATACCAGCAAGGTAGCTCATTTGACTGCTTATCAAAGCACCTGATGAATTCTCTCACGTCGTTGTCCAACATGTCGATCCTTCCACACTTGTTACACGCAATAGCTGTGATACGTATACACATATGCAGGTGAATGGATGCTCGTGTTGTTGATTGATACATGTACGTAACAGGGGAGCTGAATGTCGGTTGACAAAGTTACTTTTGCTCATTTCCGAAAATGATCATCCCATCGGCGTCACACGAATTGCTGAACAAGGAACAAATAATGGTCGTATGGATGGGTGTCTTTCTTGCGTTATTTGTTTACACATGCGATTCATGCTATTCACAATGACTTACCATTGACGTTTCTTCACATTCATTGCTTTAGGCAATAAAAGAAATGATGATGGATGATGTATCCACCATGATAAAAGAGGGGACCATCATTGGATGATAATATTATTGTGATGATGGCCAAGTGATGAGTATGGGTCTCATGTTGATGGATGCTATGTAGAAATCTATGATCAAGACGGCATTCTTACGTAATGTCGCCTCGCGTAATTATGATCTCTTTAAACACTTGCATGGTGTTTTCATCTTGATGCGCATTCCTTTCTTCATTCCTTATATTCTACCACCACCATCATGCTTCAGAAACACGTAAACCCAGACAACATAGACGAAGAAAAGAGGGATTTGCAATCCATGGCCTACAGCTCTCGTTACGCTGTACAAGAGATTCCAAAGTACAAGCTACCCAAAAGCTCCACCGAAGCCAAGGTGGCCTACCAACTCATCCATGATGAGCTTGAACTCGATGGCAGGCCCTCTATGAACCTAGCTAGTTTTGGTATGTTACACGTAATTCGGGAAAAAGGGTGTCAATGCTTAACACAATGACATTGCGGGTACTATAGTGCATACATGGATGGAAGATGAAGCTGACAAGCTAGTGTATGAGAACATTGCAAAAAACCTCTCCGATCAAGATGAATATCCTGCAACGATGACTATCCAGGGACGTTGCATTTCCATCATTGGCAACTTGTGGCATGCTGAAGCTGCTATTGGCACAGCAACTGTTGGTTCATCGGAAGCTGTCATGTTGGGTGGATTGGCGCTTAAGAAACGATGGCAAGAAAGACAACGCAAAAACGGCAAGGACGTTTCACGCCCTAATATCATTATGGGAAACAATGCTCAAGTGGCTTTGGAAAAGTTCGCACGCTATTTCGATGTGGAGATGCGATTGATTCCCGTTTCGGAAGAGAGCCATCACATCCTTGATATCCATAAGGCTGTCGAAGCGTGTGATGAAAACACCATTGGCATCTTTTGTATCCTTGGATCAACATTCACAGGGCATTTTGAAGATGTTTTGGGGCTTTCAAAACTCCTTGACGACTATGAAGCTAAAACTGGATTGGATATTGCTATCCATGTCGACGCTGCAAGCGGAGGTTTTGTTGCTCCCTTTGCTTTCCCTGATCTCAAATGGGATTTCAGACTCAAGCGTGTGGTTTCAATCAATGCATCGGGTCACAAGTTTGGATTAAGCTATTGTGGTATTGGTTGGGTGCTATGGCGATCAACAGACTACCTTCCAAAAGAGCTTGTCTTCCAGTTGGATTACTTGGGCAGCATTGAATATACGTACAATCTCAACTTCTCAAGACCTGCTTGCTTTATGGTTTGTTCAAAAAGTATCATAAAGATTTATTCACATGGCTTATACATCCTATATCTATACTGTAGATCTCACAATATTACAACTTCATCCGCCTTGGTCATGAGGGTTACAAGCGTGTAATGGAAAATGATCTTAAGAACGCACGTCTCTTTGCATATGCGCTTGAGGAAACGGGTTCCTTTGACGTCGTATCAGACTTGCATCGTCCTTTGAATGTTTTTGGATGGCATAAATCAGGAAAAGAGCAAGTGGCACAAGCGAAAAAGAAGGGTGCTGCTGTAAAGTACAATCCTGCGCTTCCTGTTGTCTCATTCAAGTTGAATGATGACTTCAAGAAAAAGTACCCAGTAAGTCCAATGCATGATGGATATCAATTTCCTACTCACAATGGGGTGTATATAGCATGTGCAACAAGCGGCTATCAGCACCTTGCTTCGTACCAAAGGCTGGATCGTACCAAACTACAAGCTTCCACCAGCTGAGGATGACACTGAAATCTTGCGCGTTGTTGTTCGTGAATCGTTGTCACGTGAAATGATCGACCGGCTTGTTATAGATGTTCGCGAGGCAGCAGATAAGCTCAAGGAAGTCGAAAACGAGGCTAGCCAAATGCTTGCTGATGTCACAGGTGTCAGCACGAAAAATAAGCACGAAGCTCATGAACATCGCAACGTCAAACGCCCAAAGACATTCAATAGCACTTGTTAGTGGGAGAGAGAGAAAGAGAAAAACTCTTGTTTATTGCGTTTGCTTGTTTACTTTTATCCTCCTTCCTTTACTGATTGGTAATAAAAGTGACCTTGCCCTTGGGGCCGACTTCAGCATAATAAGTTGGTATGCCATTCACAGATTTTCCACTAGCATAGCCGGCTTTGGGATGGGAATCACGTTTATGGTGGTGATACAAGGCTGTCTCAGCAGGTGCGGCAGGGAACAATGCTGATGGTTCAAATGCTTGAGTGAGCGAATCATTGGCTGCAGCAAGTGCATTCATCCTACAGAAATGTGTATGTCAATAGCATGTCTTGGATCCTATACTCTTTTATCACTTACAATCGTGCACGTTCAAAGCGAGGCTCCACACGAGAAGCAAGGAACATATCTCCAGGGCCTTTGACGCGTACAAAATCCTAATGACCCATAAGTACCTTATGACCATCATGTTCCTCATCCAAACCAATACTTACAGGAGCACCCAATATGTAATTGCGAAGGGTCTTGATAACGCTTGACATGTATTGCAACTTGGGTTGTAACGAAGGGCTATCGGCAACGTTGCGTACAAAGGCATATCGTCTCAAAGGAGAGCGTGGTGAGGGAATGATTGGATTGGCAGGATGCAACTTGGTAGGCTCGGTTCGTAAATCCCACATGACGAGATTTCTACCAACGAGAACAATAAGATATTGCAAAAGAGAACAATGTTGTATCCGTATTACCTTGGATTAACCAAATATTCTTCACCAGCAGCTAGAGAAAGTCTGTAAAGACCACCATAGTGGGTGATGGCGAGTTGCCCTGGACCAGTTACGGTGTGCACCAATCGATTGGCCAAGCCCTATATGAGGATCATCAGCAATCTGAAGCAGCCTTCACCCATCGATACCCATATACGTACTGCATCGCTGCCTTTAACACCATTCAATCCCAAAGCCAGCGAAACCTTTTCAGTCTTTGCCAAGAATGCGTCACGACGTAGAGCGTACTTTGTACTTCCTCGGATATTGACAATGGCGATCTCACCGATACGCGAAGGTGCCAAAATAACATCACCCGCTGATTGCTTTGTATAATACTATGTGCCCAAAAAGATCATTCAATCAGCATCAAGCTATGCTTTCCTATCTCTTTCCCTCTCTCCCACTTTACCTTTTGATAAAAGACTGGTTCACCAACCAATTTTCCTCCAACAGCCTTGACAGCAGAATGATCATCCAATGAAAGCTTAGAAATAACCTAGACGCATACTTTGTCAATATCAATTCTTGGATCAATAGGCGAACATTGGATATTTACCCGTGTTGATGCACCCACAGCCGATCCAGTCGCTGCTGTGATAGTGGTATCTGGTGGTAACTATATAAACAGATGCTGTCAATGGATACCATCCCTTTTTCCATGGCAACATTGAGAGTAAGAAAAGTATACCTTCACCAATAAAGCTGAGCCTAATCATACAATGCAACCTGTTAGAGCAAATAGGATGCAAGTGTCATATACGTTACCTACGCCCGATGATATGACTTCAAACGCGGGCTCGACGCTATTTTCAGTATCAAGATCTACAAGTCGAGAACAAGGTATGGTTATGAGCATACGCAGGCGATAGCTATTGTAATGACAGAGCATGCAGACCTTGACCAACTGACGAAATGCCACTCGAAGCTTTGCTTGCTGTTGAGCGTGGCGATGATTGAATAGAACGATCGATTGTTTGGACGCCTGTGACATGTGTTGCGCGTTGCTCGGTATGTGCAGTCTCGTGATAAGCAAGGCTCACGTACGATCGTCTCTGAAGCACACGCACGGGAATGCGTATACGCAACATGGTTTGTATAGAGGGATTGAGAGTAAAGAGACGCTAAAGGTGGTGCAAAACGAAAAGCTCTAAGCGGACTTTGGAGCCCCTGGTGGTGGTGGTGGTGGTGGTGGTGGTTCTCTGCTGGTGAGGAGCACAGCACATGATGGCGTTTAGTTGCTTGATCGAATAAGAGCCATTGTATATGATATATGAATAAAATGAAGCTGATGTAATCATTTGCTGGTCTATGTACATAAACATCCTGTCAATTGAGAAAATTGAGGGGGCCATTCATTGTTTTACCTTGTCGAGATCATATGGGTGATGGTTGCAAATACAAATGACAAGAATAACATGACGCAAGCATGCGCGTGTGTCGTGAATATCAAATGTCTTGTCGAGACGGTGCCACCTCCTGATCTTTAACATGCACATGTTGTCATTGGCAGTCGCGAAACAGGGGCAAGGAGATGCACTTGGCATGTCACGGATCAAACATATACACACGATCCTAATTTTGTCCAACCAAAAGTCTCATGCACACTTCCACGAGGATCGTTGACAGGGGAAATGGGTATATGCATCGTAGTTTGGGAAGAGAACGGTAAACACGATTATACCAAGCATGAGACGTACATCACTCAATTCAACCTTTTATGGAATTGGTCCCATGTTGTGTGTGTGTGCATGCTTCCACTTGCAGTGTCACCAGCACCTCCTTGCATATGATGTGGGCTTCTTTAAGTTTCCATTCTCAATAAAGCCCCTTTTGCACACACGCTGGCATCTTTAGCACAGATCATTGTAGTAGCATAAACAAGCACAGGCCGTAAACGAGTCATAATTTGACTTTTTTCATATGCAATGATGTTTATTATGCTAGATCATTTATGGGTGTATATACAAAGTGTGATGGTGTGTATGTGGTAGAAAGGAAACAAACGAGGCTATTTGTCCAATTGTTTCAAAGCTGGCTATTTTGTGTGTAGAATAAACACAAACTTGACCGCCACAATACGTATGCATGAATTACTTGAATGCACTAATGGCGGTGAAAAGCATGATCACGGATCCAAACAGTAAGAGAATGATGGATGTCACATCGAGCCACCATGTGGGCTTCGGCATTGGTTCCTTGTAGGAAGTTTGCAACAAAGGAACACATTCATCGACAGGAGGTTGACGTATCCACGATGGGCGGAATGCACGTAAATAGGAAAGCGATGGCATGATAAATGCCAAGTAAGCGGATGCCAATCCACCCACAACAGCATAAACCTTGCCAAGGGAGTGTACAGTGATTCCAAAAGCAAGCAAGATGACAAACATGATGGTTGTGACGCCATAATGCTCCACTGCTGTTGGCTGACGATACTCGGTCTCAAATCCGAGAGATTTTTGTACCGCATCACGGGCTGGGTAGAATGCCATACTAAACGAAAATAGGGATGAGTATGTGTGTGTGTGAATGTGAGTTTCAAACATGATACTTACGGTACAGTGAGCACCATGGATAAACCCAAAGCCAATCGACCCACATTGATAACGTCGTCATCGGCTGGGAAGTTGGAAAAAATGTTGGATTGCACATCCTTGCCAAAGCTGAGGTATCCGATAAGAGCAAATGTAACAGAAATAGACCAACTCATCAAAGTTGAAAGACCCGAAGTCGCGGCCCATGCTGTTGTTGATTGATTGCGTTGCGATAAAAAGTTGTTAAAGGCCACTTGTGAGCACACAAAGGCGAAGGACATGATGCCAGCAGCTGCAATGGGATCGGTGCCAAAGATATCCATAGGCGCTTCATGTTGGGGCGAGTAGGCAGGGGCACGAACCAATACTGTGAGAATCATCACCGGAAGCAGCAATACGGAAAAAGTTGACCATGAAGCAAGGGCACCGATAGAACGTGGAAGATTCAATGGGAAGATCTGTGTTCCGATAATTAGGATTGCATTCAAACCTTAAGTGGTACGTGTGCATAAATAATTACCACAACAATGCTGACAATGACGGTAACAATCTCTCGATTGAAAGAGAATTGGGGTAAATAAAAGTTAAGTAGTACGGGTATAGTATCGGCAACCACTAGATGCATCCTGGGAATCAGTTGCCTATCACCCACATGTTCTCCCTATCACGCAATCTCACTTACAGATAAAATAACTGATACAGCTTCCTGCCGATTGGACAAAGAGCATTAGATTAGAGAGATGATATCCAAAACGGCCCAAGACGCATTCGCTAAGAGTGGCAAGCTTGTAGACGCCCATACGCTGACCAGCCAACACCATGGCATAGATAGCGGAGAAGGTCATCAAGCCGACAAACACCAGCAAAAGGATACCATTCACGAATCCTGCAAGTAGAAAAGCCATCGGAAGCCCAATCACACCGGCACCTACGGTGGCATTCACCATATTAAAAGAAGCTTCCAGCACACTCCTTGTGCCATAGCCAGGTCGATCCGCTTGCAATTTATCCAATTCGCTCGAGGACATGAAAAGCAGGGAAGAGTAAAAAACAAAAGAAAGGGACAAATGATGAAAGGAAACAAGCGATAGCAAACCCGCTATTAAAATACTTTTGCAAGATCCCCATCGGGGAGAAACGTTTTTCTATGGATAGCCTTTTCAGGAAGCGGGGATGTCGAACGCGTGCTTAGCACCAATCAGGGCCAAGTATTATGTACCTTGTTGCAATTGACAATAATGGCTCAGTCTTGTGTGTCTTATCTCTTTCTTTCTCTCCCCCTCCCCTTGCATGTTTTTGCCATTGTGCCAATACAACGGAACCTACCTTGACGCATCAATGACGTTATTGTTGTTGTTGATACCATTATCTTAATATTGATTGTAATCAGGGCTTTGAGGCCAATGGATGATACAGGCCCAATTGGGATTGATTTTTGTGTGGCTCTCTCATTGGGGATCAGGGATGGTAACGTGAGAGGGGTGGTGAAGCTGATTACTGATCACAACATCTTTAAGCCGCACTCCTCCTTTATTGCTAATACCAATGCCAGCAAGTCAGCTCATCTATTACATTCTCCGTTTCAAGGATGAACCTGCTGCTGTATCCAATATTCTGGGTAATGGAAACATGGTCGTCGTATCGTTGCTACTTGTGATCTTGCGTTTTTTCGATTAGGGTTGTCCTACACATCATGCTCCACATGTCAATGCAGTTTCAGAAACCCAAGAGCGTTACAGGAAGGATTTTCATCTTACTAATGTCTTCGCGTGAATGTGGCACTTAAGAAACATCCTCGCTGACATGTAGTAGAAATAGTAATAGTGGTGGTAGTCCAATTCCGTATGTAGCCGTTTTATCAAACATGCGTCGACAAAAAACAACACCAGCGTTTTCCAAGTACATCAAACACCTTATTCAAAGCATCAAGCAATGACCCTTGTTTAATGCGGGCTATATGAATGCATTTCCCAAATACTGCCCCTCAAATGTCAAAGTAGGTGCATGATAGGTCTAAAACAACTTTTTGACTCACGATCTATTTCCAGAGATGTCACAAAGTTGAAATCTTAGAACAAGTGGCTAACTGCATTTTGGACAAAACTCGCATAACAACGTTTTGGTCACGTGGTGATCAGCAGTATGTGTATTTGACAACGACGCCATTGTATGGTCATAGCACTTTTACTCTTTTGCACATCATTTTCACGTGGCTTCCATTTTTTCGCTCACACGGGCATCAATGCATGCGATAAATATGACAAAGTACCAAGCCGGATCATTATTACACGAAAGGAGGCATCCAATGGTTTCGGTGTTGGCCAATAACAGATTTCACAATACAGATGAGATGATGTTACACCGAACATGAGCACTCGACAAAGAATGGTTGTAATGAATGGAATATGCAGTTTTATATGAAAAAAATTGAGATGGAGGTGGTTGTGGGGGGAAAACAATCTAAATACGGGTGGCCAAGACTTCATTTTTGGAATCACGTAGTTGAGAGCTGTCAATTTCTTTGAAACCGCCCGAAGCACTGGTATTTTCTTCGCTAAAGACTTGTTCGCTGCGATCAAGGAGCTTCTCCAAATCCTCATCCGAAATAATCTTGTCGTCCTTGGATACAACTTGTACTTGCTCACCATCCTCAGATGCCAAAATCTCAGCCAACTCACGTAGGTTTGATTCTTGATCCCTCTTGGTCGATGTCGGGTTCTTGAATTTTCCTTTGCCAATCACAAGCTTCTCCAAGCGTCGTTTAGCTGTAGCACGTTCCAACATTTTGGCCTCGACGGTGTTGGCAGCCACCAAGCGATACACCAAGACTGGTTTGGTTTGGCCAATACGATGTACACGATCTTGAGCTTGTAAGTCCATTTGAGGATTCTACATACATGATGTTAATATGGATGAATCCACGCAATAAATTTTTCACTTACCCAATCACTATCGAAAATCACCACCGTATCAGCAGCCGTCAAGTTGATACCAAGGCCACCAGCACGTGTTGAAAGAAGGAAAAGCTTTCGTGGGCTGTCGGGTTTGTTGAATTCTTCAATTTGCTCTCGCCGTGATTCTTGACTGACACTTCCATCCAACCGGCAAATAGGCCATCCCTTGATTTCAGTTGCCCAGTCCTCAAGAACGTCCAACATCTTGGTCATTTGTGAAAATACGAGCACCTTGTGTCCTCTTTGGAAAAGTCCGGTCAATAGGCGGTCGAGGAGAAGCACCTTGCCCGATTGTGCACCAATTTGATCATCAAGGAGGGGAACACCAGTGTTTGGATCGACAGGCCAATCAAAGAGGTATGGGTGGTTGCACACCTTGCGCAGCTGCATGACAATATTTTGCAAATGTAGCCCATTCACTTGTTTAACTAAAAATAAAGATGGCATCATCGTTTAGTTGACAATGAAAAGGCTTCTTTGTTTCCTTATACTTACTTGCTGCACTGATTTGTTGCTTCTTCTCTACTGATTCGGTGTTCAATGGCGTGGTGTTTTCATCAGCTGCCTTCTCGAGCTCCTTGAAATATTGAGTATCCGACTTTTCTTTGTAATCGATATCCCCTTTGGCCGAACGTTGATTGCGCTTGTTCTCCTCATCATCAAGGGGTTGTTGTGGCTGTTGCGGTTGTGGTTGCTTATCTTCAAAAGCTTTGGTCTTGCGGTTGATAAGGTATTCGCGGATGTCTCGATTCAAAATAGCGTCGTACAAGTTCTTTTGGGCTCGTGTCAAGGGCGCATAAAGCAGATATTCCTTCTTCTTTGGGAGTGAATGCTCAACTACAAACAAAAGGTATTAGCATGTTATCCCAATGTACATGTATATCCACTACTTACCATCCGTCTTGAGTCGTCGCAAAAGGAAAGGTCGAAGAATGGTATGGAGACTTGTGATTACACGGCCCTCTTCTTCCTCCTTGATAATTCTATCTTGACCACTCTTTTGATGAATGTCGGAGAAATCGAACCTGCACATTTATGATTAGCATCATGTAAAAGATCGTCGCATGCATGGATAGCTTACCATGATTGGAACATGTCCAAGTCGTCAAAGATATCGGGTAGCAAAAAGTTCAAGAGACTCCATAATTCGGCCAGGTTGTTTTGAAGTGGTGTACCAGTCAACAGCAGACGATTGGCGCTTGAGTAAGTCTTGAGCTCTCTGATCAATCGGCAATTCAAGTTCTTCAAACGATGACCCTCGTCCACCACAATGTATTTCCAATTGTAGCGTTGCAAATATTTCCTGTCGTTCATGACAATCTCGTAACTGGTGACAACGATAGGGAATTCAAACTTGGTCTCCTTTCGCTTGGGAAGCTTGCGACTAATCATATGCTGCCGTTCATCCTTGGTTCCATGATACAAGAGCACGTTGATAGAAGGGGTGAATCTAATAAAGGATATCAATTATCCTCATTCTAAAATGATCCTTTTTTTCTACTTACCTTTTGAATTCATTGACCCAGTTGGCAAGGGTTGACAAGGGAGTGACGATAAGATAAGGACCAGCCACATTCATAGCCTTGAGATGAGCAATAAACGAAATGGTTTGCAATGTCTATAGGGACACATCATGTTAATTGCGTCTACAACAAGGAAAACATGTCAAAAGTCGTACCTTGCCCAAACCCATTTCATCAGCCAAAATGCCATTCAAGCCGTTCTCCCATAAGCTGATGAGCCATTCTACGCCAGCCAATTGATAATCACGAAGGACACCTCCTGTCACCAATGCGGGTTGTCTTGCTGACATGGTAGGCTTCACCGATTGACCCTCAGCACCAGCACCATTAGCCGTATTCTCACTATCAGCCTGGATAGCTTTGCCAACATTGCCATCCATATCCTTTCGTCGCTTGACATCCTAAAGTGAAAGATGAAGTTATTATCAATGAAACTGTAATACACAAGCGTGGTCCTTGATCTTACATCTTCATTCAAATAATCGGTCAACTGATAATTCGAATCCGTTGTCTTTCGCTTGCGAGAAGTTGTACGTGCCTTGTTGCCACCTCGCTTAGTAGTTGTTGTTGTAGAGCTGGCTGGTGTAGGTTGTGGTGCGACTCGCTCACGAGCTTCTTCCTGCTGCTTTGCCAATTTCTGACCGAGGATAGTGGCGTAAGCTGATGACTTTTCCAGCAAAAAGTGCAGGCGTTTCATACGTTGCTTGTTGACGGTGCTGTCGAATTGAGCTTGAGCCTATGATAAGATAGTGATTTAGTATCATCGGACCTTGGGCGGATAGGAACTTGTAGTCCTAGACAATGGGTTAAACTCACCTCCTCCTCCATACGCTTATCATCTTCCTTTTGAGTATTCTCAGCAAGTTTGGCCTCCTCTTCGACCATGGCTTCCGTTAGAGCATTCTCTTCAGGAGCAGAATCGTCACCGTTCTTGTCCTTCTCATGATCAATTGTCACTGGAGTCGTTTGGGCAGTGGAGATCTAGAATGGAATAAAGCGATCCACATGGTGAGTGTGACAAGGCAAGCAAAGCTGTCAATGGCTATCATGTACCTGTGATTCAGTGGTTTGAGAAGACTGACTATCGCTGTTGAAGGTAGCAATGGTGGAGTCAACCTCGTCTGTGTGAGAAGCTGCCATGGCGTTGTCGACTGTCAAAAAAGAAACGACAAGGAAAAGGAGTTGGCGGAGCAGACCTCAAATTATATACGCGCCACTCACGCGTGTTGGACATTTTTGATTGTCCCAGGCACATCCACATACCTTCTTCTCAATGAATAATGCATACGAGGATGAATACATATACAAGACATATTATTAGCAACATGCATCTAATTAAAAAAGTGGTTTGAATTTGATTCTTCAAGGGCTAAAAGTAGAAAATGTCGAGGATAGAGATACATAAAGAAAATGTGTCAATCAAAATGTATTCTTTGTCGTCATGTAATGATCTACGTGCATTGAGATAACATCAAGACAATCAACCTACTAGCGCATACTTTGCCGTGTTACACTTCTCAATGCAATTTGGTCACCGCTGTCGTGTGTTTATCTACCATCCTTAATGAGCAAGTAATTCGGCATCTATGGTATTGAAGTTCTCAATCCGGCCTATCGTCCAATACAATGAATGATCCCCAAAGAACCAAAACTTTGGATCATACAGCAACCAAATGAGAGGTGATCTTGGTGTGAACGATTTGTATCATACATCTGTTTTGTTTACTTGTCATGCTCATCATAAGCATATGCGTGAATATCATATACAGTTATAAAGGATTCTTTATAAGGTACCAAGAGACATGAACAAGGGAGGAATGAATGGGGAACATTGTATACACGATATGGAGTGGCTTTATACATGAAGGAGATATCATGAAAGAGTAGAACTACAGCGACATGACTTCATTTGCAGAGAAACTTTGAGGTAATAAATGAGCGAATCCAGGTCCACGCTTCGGCTTGAAGACTTTGGTGGCGATGGTCCTTTCAAGGTTGGGGCGTTTGTGCTTTTCTTCCACCTCATCGAATGCCAATGCTGTGCAATAAGTGTTGTGGGATTCCTCAAGTCTTTGCAACGTGTGATGCGTCTTATCTAAGCCCAGCTAGAGAAGCATTATCAATTAACCTCGTTATTTGTAATACTTTAAGCTCCTACCTTCAGCACCCACAACATCTTCAAAAGCTCCAGCAGGAGATACGCTTGATTCAGTTTTGTTGGTATAGTGACTTTGTAAACTCTCTCGAGAATAAAGATGCCTGGTTCCGGCATTTCAAGCGCCCACAGGTGAATTGCATCCTCTTGAAAAGCTGTTAGAAATTGCACATCCATACTACTACGTTCTCCCGTTATTTACCTCGAGCATGAACAACCCATAACCTTAAACTTCCAAACTCTTGTACTGTTGCAAACGGATACTTGCTGATGACTGCTTTGAACATGGACAACAAGCCGAACACACATTTGATATGGTCATATGCAGATCTTGGCTTGTCGTTGCAATTGTATGGTCCAGAAGTTTCAAGGAGCAGGACTTCTGTCATGTCAAACTTCAATATGCCGTCTGCTTTGTAGTTGTCGTCAAGAGTATTGAAGGATTGCAAATTCACTTCGCCTGGTGAAAATCGAGCAAGTGTATCCGCCACCATTGCATCAGTTACGCTTTCCAAGCACGGCCATATCAACCTGTGGTTGTAGATAATCTCGCTGTCGTCGACATGGTTGCCATCTTTGCTGAAAATGTGCTTGGCACTATTGTGTCGAGGTAAGCGTCTTATCCCACCATGCAAGTCCATGTCAACAAAACTTACAAGTGCTGAAATACGTTTGAAACCAGTTCCCCAGATGTGGTATTAAGCCCAGTGAATGACATGTTGGCTGCTTCTTTGAACTACCGTTAGCCTATATTGTCAGCCGATGTAATATAGTACCAACCTTAGCTGACTCAATGCATTTTTTGACATACGCCTTATGTTCGTGAATAATGTTACTTGACGGCTTCTCAAGGCGAAGATGCTCATAAAGTTCTGGTGGAATGTGAGGTTTTGACTTGACGGAATATCCGCATTCGATCGCATGAAATTGTTCGAGGCTATTCGCGTTGTACGTTAAATTTCAAGTATGATGCTTTCTCCTTTATGAAGCTTACTCGTAATCATGTAATGCGTCCGACCTTCGATCCATCAGATCGTTCCAAGCCCTGAAAAAGCCACTTTCATCATCAATGTCCCAATGGATGTCGTCATCTTGTGTATCCACCTGGTTCAACAATGTCAATGCTCGAAGCGAACGATAACGTAGCGGTTGTGACATTACCTCCAGCTGCTCCTGATTACTGTATCCTGCATTACGATCAATCTCCGATGCGCAGTCAGAATTAGATGTGTTGTCGGCATTAAGGGTGTCGACACGCCTATGGAAGAATGTACATGTCGTCAAAGATGTCGTCAATCATCTTTCTCTTTGGTTGTCACTTACAGGCGTTGGGATGATACACTGTCATTGGGTTTGGGTGATTCGTTTTGATCATGAGCACGTCTTTTTCCAAGAACAGTCGTGGTGATGCTAGAGCCTGCCACTGCAACAAATAGGATCAAGTCAATACAAAGCAAGCGATAATAAACCATGAGAACGTGTGAATCTTGCCTGCACGGTTGAATCACTCTCTTCGTGAAGGATCACCGTTTCATCATCGATTGATAATATGGTCTCGTTGTTGCTGTTACTGTTGCCGTCGGCATGAGGAATAGGAGTATCCACTGTTGATTCATCAGAGTCCACCAAAGCTTGTTGAAGAGAATGATCTGCTGCGCACGAAGACGCCAACCGAAGATCCAATGCAGAGTCAACCATTTCAGCACCTTTTAGATTCGCCTTTGTGATATTGGTGGAATCTGTTCTCTGTTCCCAAAACTGCAAGTAGTCAACAGACTTGGTCCAGCTTGTGTAATTGCTGTTAATGCGTCGGTCTCGTTCCGAATTGGTATTGAAATGCTTGCCGAGGATGTTGCCAAACCGCTGCTACGCATGACGCCGATCCACGCAGTCGAAGGCCACGATAAAGTCCTCGAAGGTGAGATGGTCAGCTCTGTCAAAGCACCATTGGACGTCATCGGGAAGCGTGGCGTTGGAGATCCTTTGCTTTTTCTTGGCAGGAGGCATTACTAGCGAAAAGAAACGGCAAGGAAGAAAGGACGTGGCAATCAAAGGTTCCCAGCCCCTTCGCTACATCCTCCCCCCCCCCACACCCACTCACTCACTCACTCACTCACTCACTCAAACGCGATGATGTTTTTCTTGCGTTTTGATTGGCAGGCAAATCACAGCCAAAAATGGCCGCAGCCTTCCATTTTCCAACACTTGGTGCTTTGCTCTTTTTTACAGGTAAGAGTTTGGGGACGTTGATCGTAGGGGACATTGTTGGAGTTGCTTTATTACTAGTAGTCGATGAAGACTTTGCTGGCTTGTTCTGGTAAGGTTGGAGACGAACGTTGATCGTTACTGGCGTATGCATCGGGTTTCGGACATGCGTTTGGGTTTCTCCAATTGGGTTGCTTTATTACTAGTAGTCGATGAAGACTTTGCTGGCTTGTTCTGGTAAGGTTGGAGACGAACGTTGATCGTTACTGGCGCATGCATCGGGTTTCGGACATGCGTTTGAGTTTCCCTGGTCCCCTTAATCAAGTCTCTTCTCGAAACAACGTTTTATGGATTATACTAATCACTTTCTTTTTTCGTGCTTGGCAATGGTTACACTCTACAACACTCATTTGGATAACACCTTGGTCACCTTTAACGGTCTAATCGATGGAAAGCAAGAAGATCTCGTGGCCCAATTCTATACGCAAAAAAATGACACCTTCTCCTCTATCAATATCTACTTCTTCCCATCTCGAGGATAAGATACCTTCTTGGCCGGCGATTGATAATCTTGCTATGTATAAACAATAAAAGTCATCAGGCTATATCTTCTGTTCGCAATCTATGGACTACCATTGCTACAACAATGAGCATTTTATGGGATAAGCAAAGGAACAATTATGACACCAAACGATCTTCGGGAAGTCAAAGTGGGCGTACTCGTGTCCTTGAAAATAAAAAGTAGCCGTTCACAGACCACATACTCTTGTTTCAGCTCCTGGGTGGTGCACATACCCAAAAGTTACACGTATCTACAATGCCTTAAACCGTTTGCTACTATCCATGGCAACGAATATCACATGTTGTGAAAATGATGTAGCAGTAAACATTTTTGATTGTCCCAGGCACATCTACACACTTCCTTCCAATGAATAATTGCAAACAAGGATAATTGGAACATGCATGTCTGATTAAAGAAGTGGTTTGAATTTGATTCTTCAAGGGCTAAAAGTAGAAAATGTCGAGGATAGAGATAAAGAAAATGTGTCAATCAAAATGTATTCTTTGTCGTCATGTAATGATCTACATGCATTGAGATAACATCAAGACAATCAACCTACTAGGGCATACTTTGCCGTGTTACACTTACTCAATACCGCTGTCTCGTGTTTATCTACCATCCTTAATGAGCAAATAATTCGGCATCTATGGTATTGAAGTTCTCAACCCGCCCTATCGTCTAATACAATGAATGATCCACGAAGAACCAAAACTTTGGATTACACAGCAACCAAATGAGAGGTGATCTTGGTGTGAACGTCCCACGCCATCCATGATACATTGAAGAAGTATATAATCATCCTTGTTTAAGATTGAATAAAGTACAATATGGATCCAATTAAAGCAACAAAGCTGCCCATCCAGCCATCATAGCCAAACCACCCAAGGGAGTGACAGGGCCCAAGAAACGGAATTGGTCGCGATTGAGAGTCAGCAGGTAAATGGAACCGCTAAATGCGAGCGTTCCCGAAAGCATCAAAGGGGCCACTGCAGGATGGATACGGCGCACAGTTGAAGGAATGGATGCCACTGCGAGAAGGGCAACGGAATGCATAAGCTGATAGTGAGCTGCTGTAGTCCAATTCTATATATAAAAGAGCTGTTAATACAAGTGAGAGACAGGTCGTTGCCAATGACAACAGCTTGCCTGGATTTTGCTTGGTTCATTGCCAACGCGCTTTGCTAGTCCATGAGCACCATACGCTCCCAAGCCAATGCCGGTCAATCCTTTGCATTACGATTCCGGGTTAGAGGATATTGCTTTATCAAAAGAGGGGGAAAAGTTACCGAGGACGCTTGCTGCTTTCCAATAGAAGCTTGATGACATGATTAGAAGGAAGAACCTGTACGAGCCTGGTCATCCAATTCGGACTGCCTTATCAAGAAGCAAGCTCTCATCCTGCTGTACACAATAGTGCGTAGTACAACCCAACGTCAACAACCATACACATCCATAATGGAATCAGGGGGTGAAGACATGATACAAACCAACCACCAATAGCCGTGACAACAGAAAAAAAGTGCCATTGAAGCAAGAGTGACGAAATGCAAGCGGAATAATTAGAGTACAATGCTTATTCCAACAAGCTGTGTTATGCAAAATATAGGAATTTTTCGTTCCAAAAGACATAACCCTGTTAGTTTGTTGTTCATTGTCTAGACCCATTTATTTGTTTATTGATATATACATGGATGCATACAAGCATATAAATGCACCACCTTATCCTAATGCAGGATGCTTCATTGTTATCGTTGACAACTCCTCCTTCTCCTCACTCTTTTTCTACTTCCCTTTATACGGATGAAGTACGCAGCTCTTTGTAGTATCGCATTGGCAGTTCAGCTGCTTGGTTTTCAACTTGTCCTAGCTGCAGGTGGTTCCGGTGGCGGTGATGGCGAATGCTCTTTCCAAACAGCCATTAAGGGTGGTAGTAGTGGCGATGCTAAGATCGAGCAAATGAACCAATATGTCATTGATGATGGCGGTACTCAAGAAACCACCAATTTTGGGTAAGCTAAAAGTGATTTCGATGGCATCCCCCAAATGACTAACACCTCTACTATAGTCAAAAGATCAACAACTCTGATAGCTTGAAAGCTGGTTTGCGAGGACCTACACTCATGGAAGATTTCATGATGCGTGAAAAGATCATGCATTTTGGTAAGGTGTATTCCCTTTAGCATTGTTATGTAATGCTGATGTCATATGATAGACCATGAACGCATTCCTGAAAGAGTTGTCCATGCTCGTGGTGTTGGTGCTCATGGTTACTTTGAGACATACAAAGATTGGTCTGATCTCACCGCTGCCAAGTTCCTCAGAGACACAAGCAAAAAGACACCCGTCTTTGTACGTTTCTCAACTGTATTGGGTAGTCGAGGTTCGGCTGATACGGTGCGTGATGTACGTGGTTTTGCCACTCGCTTTTACACTGAGGAAGGCAATTTTGACCTTGGTAAGCAAACAACAATTGATGGTATCATGTGCCTATTGACAAGCCCTGCTAACTACACACACACACCCTTACCTCATTAGTGGGTAATGCAATTGCACCCTTCTTTGTACAAGATGCTATGAAGTTCCCCGACATTATCCATTCTGGAAAGCCTGAACCCGATAAAGAAGTTCCCCAAGCTGGCACTGCTCATCAAACAGCATACGACTTTTTCGCCGAATTCCCAGAGACGCTGCACACTGTTATGTGGGCATTGTCGGGTCGTGGTATTTACCGCAGCTTACGGCAAGTTGAGGGCTTTGGTGTCCACACGTAAGTGTTTTATGATTTCAAGCCATCTTTCATGCTGAAAACCGGTACTATAGTTTCCGCTTAATCAACGAGGATGGCAAAGCTGTGTTTGTCAAATTCCATTGGAAACCTCTTCAAGGCTTGTGCAACCTTGTTTGGGTAAGTACATCCATTGTCAACAAGTAGAATTCGTTATTGACAAATCTATTGTAAATAGGATGAAGCCCAAAAGATTGCAGGCAAGGATGCTGATTTCCATCGCAACGACCTTTATACTGCTATTGAGAAGGGCGATTATCCAGAATGGGAACTTGGTGTGCAAATCGTTGAAGAAGAAGATGAATTCAAGTTTGACTTTGATCTTTTGGATCCAACCAAGATTATCCCAGAGTCGTTGGTGCCTGTGACCAAGCTTGGAAAAATGGTGTTGAATCGCAACGTTGACAACTTTTTCTCCGAGACGGAGCAAATCACTTTCCATCTTGGTCATATTGTGCGTGGTATTGGTTTTACAAACGATCCATTGTTGCAAGGACGATTGTTCAGCTATCTCGATACACAAATCAATCGCATGAATGGTGCCAACTTTATGCAAATCCCTATCAATCGCCCCATTGTACCAGTGCACAACAATCAACGTGATGGCTACATGCAGCACAACGTCTTCAAAGGTGTGGTCAGCTACTTCCCCAATGGTTTGCAAAACAACACACCAAGCATGGTTGATCCGCAGGACGGCGGCTATGTTGAATATCCTGAAGAAGTGCAAGGACCCAAGCGTCGTGGTCAACCCCCAAGCTTCTTTGACTTTTACTCGCAACCTCGTCTTTATTGGAACTCGTTAACCGATGCTGAGAAGCAACAAACAGTGGATGGCTTCCGATTCGAAGTTGGCAAGAGCAAATCAGTTGATGTGCGTAAGCGCTTTGTTGATCAGCTCAACATGATTGACAACAATCTTGCACGTCGTGTCGCATTTGGTGTTGGTGTTCCATTGCCTGATAAGGTGGTTGAAAATGATGGCCGTTCCACTGTTGGTATCTCTATCAGCAAGTATCCCAAGCCAAACCATATCCGTACTCGCACAGTCGCCATTCTCACTGCCCCTGGCACCAACACTGAAGAGGCTAAGGCTATGTATGAATACTTGAAGAGTGAAGGTGCCTATCCAGAATACGTTGGCGTTGGTCTTGGTGATCAGGATGGCCTTGAAGTGACCAACACTTACACCACCACCTCCTCTGTACTTTTCGAAGCTGTGTATGTTCCTGGTGGACCTGAAGCTATCAAAACCATGATGGAGGATACATCTCTCTTCCCATATGAGGAACCCAAGGTCTTTGTTCTCGATGCTTTCCGCCATGGCAAACCCATTGCTGCATCCAGTGATGGCTTTGATATTCTTAAATGGGCAGATGTCAAAACAAGCTCTACCTCTGCTGCCGACTGCAACTCTGATCTCGGTGTCGTTGTTGGTCCTGCTGGTAGCTGCCTTAATGAAGAATTCAAAAAGGCACTTATTGAACAACGCTTCTGGGACAGACTTCCTTTGGATGGTGATATCTAGTTTTCTTGATTGCATCTCAACATGGAAATGAAATAAATGATTAATAGCGGATTCATGCAGTTGTATCACTTCTTCGGGGTGGTTAGGTTATGATAGGCTAGATAAGCAGTTTTGTATGTACGTGATACGATTCTTCATGCATTAGCACGCTCCCGCCGTAAATATCATAGCTTTTTTACAAGATCTTAATCAAAGACGAGCGGGGGGTGTTACAAGATCCAATCACAAAAAAAAGAAAGGAGGTAAGCTATACCATTGAATACACCCTTTGTTCACGACACAATGAATCAATCAAAACCTTCCTCTTTCTCTTTTTTCCTTTATGACACCATTTACACGTGGATAAGCTTCCATAATCCTCCATAAACACTTCAACTCAAGAAGAAGGAGTCCCTTACTACATTATAGAATTTTGGAAAGAAGATACATCGGTTTGGAAAGTTTCTATCCTTTGGCATGCATTGTGCTAAGATGGATGTGGGTTGGCATTTGGTGCGTGGAGACAAATCATATCCATGGTGTGTTGAGATATGCAGTTGGATGATCATGGTTGACAGGTTGCACAAAGAATGTTGATAGAAGCTGCCATGGAACAGCGTGTGCATCGTTCAGGATGATAACGTTGAGCGTAATGGTCAAGTTGATAATGGATACATAAGAACAAGGCTCTTTCCCTCCCACGTGTTACAATATACAATTCCTTCCATCCCATATACCAAACCAATATCCAGATCCGTATGATAAAAAAGTCATATGTATTGAAGCAAGTGACTACACATAAATAAGGCTGCCTCTATATAGTGGCTGGCTATCTGCTGTGCACGTGAACAAGACTGTAAACAAGTTGCTGCAAGTAAAGAACGCCTTTGGAGACAAAGGAGTGGAGATCTTGCAAATAGCAACTGCTGAATGAATGCTGTTACGTTTGAATGTGGTCGGGCAGCGTGCAAGAGAAGGTGTTGTGTCAAGAGACTCGTGCGTTGTAGAAGAGTGACATGAAGGCTGTGTGTACACGCCATGGAGTTGCCATTCAGTCGAAAGCAATCGGATCAAGACAATCGTAGGGTTGACATGATGAGTTGACGCAGGACAATCGTTCGCTGGTGGTAATTGTACTTGAATGGGCCAACAGTTGAGAATGGGGAGCAAGAGGCAAGAAGCGGTGAGTGGAAGAAGTGGAGTTGAACTGTTGTTGGATGATGTTTCTGTGTTTGAGCGTTGCTCAGTCAATCCCCTCGGATCAAGGAAGTTAAATGATGGGCATGCTGGGCTGGAGCAAGACAATCGTTCGTATGCATTGGATTGGGCGACAAAGGTGAATGGGAGGGATGGGTTATTAGCTGGCATTTGAAACTATTCCTAAACAGTGTACAAGTATCATGCATCGCCTGTGTTGACTGACTCAAGTTACACAAACACGACCCTCTGCATCTTTGGCTATAGTCATGCTATTTGACAATGAACAAAGACCTCTTTTTATATAGCATCACGCTTACAGCATAGGTAAAACGTAAAGGTGCCTGTATCTCTAAACTTTACAATCAAACATGAGGTTTTTATTAGAGCAATGGACTCGGCTTGGCCAACAGCACCTTGTGTGAAAGTTTCGCATTCAATGTCGCAAACAGCCCAAAAAATATTTTTTGGTCGTCGTCGTCGAAGAGGTCGACATGTCTTCCGCGAATTTTATCAAATCGCCTGATAAGGCATCAGGCACCCAAAACAGTCAACAACGTCACCCATCTTATGCTCATGCTACGCGTGCTCATCCTCCTATAAAGGAGTCTCTGATATCAAAAGATACTGACAATACCATCCGTTCCAGAGTATGGAAGGTTGGTGGGTCCCCAGCTTCTTGTCCTAGCATGTTTTTCGACTTCACGTCTCGCCCCGAAAACCGCGCTGCTCTACTTTGCTATATCAACGAATGCTATCCAGACAATTGTGGTGTACGTCTTCATTCTGATCAATCACGCCGCATTGTTGAGCTCTTCCTTCCCACATCCAAGCAGTGTGAAGAGACATCTGTAACAGGCATCACCTTTGATGATGGTGAATGTATTCTTGCCTCAAAGCCCATTTCCGCTGATACCCGTTTAGTGCATCTTCAACTCTCCGATCTTCCATTCACTACACTAGACAAATTAAGACTTGGTCTTCGCAAATCCCTGGCACCTTATGGTAGCCTTAGTGACTATGGCATCTTCCGTGATCACGCATCAAACCTCTTCATGGGACGAGGTTACGCTACCTTGAAAATCCCAGCCAACTACAAGTACAAGCAGCTTTCCCACACTATCCCTTGGCTTACATCAGATGATTCGTTCCACGCCACTTGGGCTGAAATGCCGCTACACTGCCTTCGTTGTCACACAGCTGGTCATGCGACCTCTGCTTGTCCCCGCCATCCTAGCCGTAGCCGTCTTTGTTGGACCTGTGGCCAACCAGGTCACCGAGCAGCCCAATGTACCAACCGTCAAGTCAAGCCTACACCTGACACTTATCACCCTCCTACATCATCATCGCCTTCATCGTATTCAGTCAATAGCTCAAATTCAGATATCTCCATGCTCAGCGTTGATCCTTCGCCTTTTGAAAGCCACAATGATGCCATTATTAGTGACTTTATCCCCGATGACCAAATTGATCTCAAACCTCAGCCTCCTTCCCCTGATCGAGACGCCATGGTACAGCATGTTGAAAAGCGTTATCCTATGTCCGACCACGCTAAGACCATTATTGCCTCCTTATCGATTCCTGAACTTGAACGTCTTTGTCACACTTTGAAAGATCAAGGTAAATCTTTGTCTTCGTCCACACCAACTACTCTTTCCTTGGTGAGTTCCCTGTCAAAGGGGAACAATGATCCAACATAAGTCTAAAGTCATCTCCTTTCCTTCCTATAACATTTCTTCATTCTTGTAACGTCTTTGGGGTATCACTCTCAGACATACTCCCAATAAAAACCGAGGCTAAACAAGCCTCCATATAACGAAGAGGTCGACCCCCAGATCCAGTTTGGCTGGTAGCGACATTGCGAAATCTGGGATTGGCAAGCTTGATCGCGAAACTTTCACACAAGGTGCAGTTGGCCAAGCCGAGCACATTGTTCTGTCAAAGACTCCACGTTTCATTGTAAAGTTTGGAGATACAGGCACCTTTATGTTTGTAAGCATGATGCTATATGAGAAGTGGTCTTTGTTCATTGTGAAATATCTAGACCCTGACAGAGCAAAAGATGCAGAAGGACCTCTTTGGGTAGCTCAGCTAAAATGTCAGGACTTCAGGGACAATGCATGAAAGGTACGCACCCCTCTCTTTTATGTCATACATTGGCAGCTAATAGCCACTTTTATCCAATCAGCATTGTTGCGAAATCCACGTGATAGGAATGATGCTCCTGCTCCAGACATTCATTTCCATGATTCAAGTAGCTTGATCGGAGTTGATTTGGCTGACTTACGGTCGAACAAGGTTACATCAGTTGAGCTAACTCGAGGGTGTTGGATGTATGGATCGATGTACTCTTTGTTTGAGCGTATCTCAGCCAAATCAACTCGGACCAATATAATTGAATGATGGAAATGAATGTCTGGAGCAGGCGCATCATTTCATTGTTACGGAATTGACAAAGGCTGCGAATGGGGAGAAGTGCATGTTAGCTGCCAATTCATGACATCTTACTAAAGCCATAAAGTATCATGCATTGATCCTTTAGTCCTATCTTCTTTGCTCTGTTACACACAGACGCCCCCTCTGTATCTTTTGCTCTGTCAGGGTCTAGCTATTTCACAATGAACAAAGACCACTTCTCATATAGCATCACGCTTACAAACATAAAGGTGCCTGTATCCCTAAACTTTACAATGAAACGTGGGGTTTTTATTAGAGCAATGTGCTCGGCTTGGCCAACAGCACCTTGGGTGAAAGTCTCACGATCAAGCTTGCCAATCCCAGATTTCGCAATGTCGCTACCAGCCAAACTGGATCTGGGGGTCGACCTCTTCGACGACGACGACCAAAAAATATTTTTTGGGCTGTTTGCGACATTGAATGCGAAACTTTCACACAAGGTGCTGTTGGCCAAGCCGAGTCCATTGCTCTAATAAAAACCTCATGTTTGATTGTCAAGTTTAGAGATACAGGCACCTTTATGTTTTACCTATGCTGTAAGCGTGATGCTATATGGGAAGTGGTCTTTGTTCATTGTCAATTAGCTGGACCCTGGCAGAGCAAAAGATGCAGAGGGACCTCTTTGTGTAACTCAGCTGCTTTGCATGAATGGAAGGATTAATGGTTGATGCATTATACACTATTTAGCAACATGTCATCAATTGGTAGTTGACAGCCACTTCCTCGCATTCGTAACTATTCATGGTTCCACCTCAATGGAACGGTGCGTCTGCTCTGGATGTTCATTTTCACGATTCAATTAACAAGATGATAGTTGGCAATGGTGGTATGGGCTGATAGTGTGGTGAGAGGACTTCCCTAAGAGCCTCGGTCAATGCATAGATCAAGATCTGGGATAAGTAGTAGTGTCATGGACAATATCCATCATCCATCTGCTATCATAAACCACTTGCCGTGCGTAAACGGTAGGTTCAGGCTGAGATGTTGAAGAATGCTTTAATTAGCAAAGCTTGATACATGTAGTAGCAAAATCCCTGTATGCAGCTGTGTGTAAATGTGATGAGCTGGATGCTTCCAGTGTCAGAATAACACGTGGTGTAGCAACATGTAGTAGTGGTGAGACGTCATTCAATCGATTGTAAATAGCAAATACACTATGATGGGTGGCAAAACAATAAAGATGTTTTGATGGATCAAACATTACTGCAAGCTGTCCCTTTTTTATTACATTGTTTAAGCACCTGCATGTATAATAACAGCAGCTCTCGCACCACCATGACGACAAGAGCTGTGTTTTCATGCAAGCTTACCATAATAGTCTTGTGCACGAGTTAAAAGTGAGTTAAAGGCATAATGATTGGTTAAAGCGAATCCATGTTGATCCCTGATATCCCATCGTGTGTGTAAACCTTTCATCCCATATATCAAATTTTGCTGGATGCTTACACTATTGCTACTACTACTACTCCATTAGGAGGGGGAGGAGGAATCAATCATCTATTGCCTTGATAGAAAGTAGGCTATGATTCGAGGGGAAAAGGGGCATCTTTTATTGCTCAATGTAGAGACAACATAATCTATGTAATAGAGTAGAGAAGAAGGGAAGATAACATATGGCTATAAAATGAAGCAGCATGCATAACACGCGGACAACAGTGACTCCATGGCCAATGGGCATTTCGCAGCTTTAAGATTAGACTTACCCAGCGACACGTCACATAAATTGGAGTACCTCGACGCGAGCTCAGCGCAGCTTGACGTTTTTGACAGTTCGACAAGAAGATGGTAAAGTAGTAAAACGCTCAATGATGGCTCGTTGCTAATCATCCCTTGCTCCATGTAGTCTCTCGCACCAGTACAAATTTTCCAAGACCAAGCTACCGAAGAAAGAGCAGAGAATGCGCGTCTGGTAATAATAAAGCGACCCCACGACACGATTGACTCGGATCATCTAACCTCATCGTGATAACCAGTCTTCTTTCATTGGTGCCATTGCAGTTGGCGATCTTGTCAAGAGCACGTTAGGACCTAAGGGCATGGTATTTAAAGAGATGGATCATATACAGAAGGAAGGGAACAAGAGGTATACTGACACAGGTACATGACATCGCTTAGGACAAAATTCTTCAGTCTGCAGCAACGGGAGAGATCCTTGTGACAAACGATGGTGCTACTATTCTCAAGTCTATTGCACTCGATAACGCTGCTGCCAAGGTGCTTGTCAACATCTCCAAGGTTCAAGATGACGAAGTGGGTGATGGCACTACCTCCGTATGCGTTTTGGCCGCCGAATTGTTACGTGAAGCAGAGCGTCTTGTGAATCAACACATCCATCCACAAACCATTATTGAAGGTTATCGTCTTGCATCAGCTGCTGCATATAAGGCATTGGAAGATAGTGCTGTGGATCGTAGTCAAGATAAGGATGCTTTCCGTGAAGATCTTGTCAACATTGCAAAGACCACTCTCAGCTCCAAGGTGTTGTCCCAAGACAAGGAGTACTTCGCCAATCTTGCTGTCGACGCTGTTCTTCGTTTGAAGGGTTCCACCAATCTTGAAAACATCCAGATCATCAAGAAGCCAGGTGGCAGATTGATCGATTCTTATCTTGACGAAGGTTTCATTCTTGACAAGAAGATTGGCGTCAACTGCCCCAAGCGTGTTGAAAACGCAAAGATCCTTATTGCAAACACACGTAAGTTGATATCTTGTTGTGCATCATAGCTTGAGGATTGTGATCTAATAATTGGGGTGTAGCCATGGATACCGACAAGATTAAGATCTTTGGTGCTCGTGTTCGTGTTGATGCCACTGGCAAATTGGCAGAGTTGGAGCGTGCTGAGCGTGACAAGATGAAGGCAAAGGTGGAGAAGATTAAGGCACATGGCATCAACTGCTTTGTGAACCGACAGCTTATTTACAACTGGCCCGAGCAATTGCTTGCAGATGCTGGTGTCGCTAGTATTGAACATGCAGACTTTGAAGGTGTCGAACGATTGGCTCTTGTAACAGGTAAAGCAAAAGCAGAGATACAGCCCATGTTTTACAATTTCTTATGCGTGATGGATAATAGGTGGTGAAATTGCTTCTACCTTTGATCATCCTGAATTGGTGAAACTTGGTCACTGTGATCTTATTGAAGAAATCATCATTGGTGAAGATAAGGTAAAAAGGAGGATGACTTTGGATCATTTGAATGAATGAGATGGCTAAGTGTATATTGTAGTTGATCAAATTCTCTGGTGTCGCTGCTGGTGAAGCATGCACAATTGTTCTTCGTGGTGCTACTCAACAATTGCTTGATGAAGCTGAACGTTCCTTGCATGATGCATTGTCTGTTCTTTCTCAAACTGTGGGTGAGCCTAGAACAGTCCTTGGTGGTGGCTGCACTGAAATGTTAATGTCCAAGGCTGTGGATGAAATTGCTGCCAAGACCGCTGGTAAACCTGCTATTGCTGCTGAATCCTTTGCCAAGGCCCTTCGACAAATGCCCACTATCCTTGCTGATAATGCTGGTTTCGACTCCTCAGAGCTCGTCGCACAATTGAGAGCTGCCCACTATGAAGGTGACGCTACAGCTGGTCTCGATATGGTAAATGGCCGAGTGGCCAATGTCCGTGAACTTGGTATCACAGAATCCTTCAAGCTCAAGAAGCAAGTCTTGTTGTCGGCATCAGAAGCAGCCGAAATGATCCTAAGAGTTGACGACATCATTCGATGTGCACCTCGGTAAGTTGTTGGAAATAGTGTCAATGAGCTGGTCCTTATACCCCTTTTTTTCTCTTTAGTCAACGAACAGCGTAGAGAGTGAAATTTGACTAGTATTACGATTGATACATTGAATACATTCATGAGCATACCTCATCATATCATCACATTTATTGCCTTTTCAAAAGTGTTTGATCCTACACCTATCAAGTCATGTGATCGCTTTATCCCTTTATCCTATTTTCCGTATACATGATCATTTCCAGTGGTACAAGTCTATGATGCTTTATTCTGGACGACCAATAAGGCCCTTTCCCCAATTTTGAATTACTCGAGAGCATTGTTTACGAACATGTTCTGAACGTGGTCCTTTCCATAATCCAAGAGCGTCAAGCTGTCGAGCATGGTGAACGCATTGCTCCCAGTAAAATTTAGCGTAGAGTCTATTTTCAACGACATGCTATTTATCATGAGAGAGTTAGCCCATTTCTCCTTATATAGCATGCCAGGTTTTCACTTACATCAAGATCAGGCATAATGTATTCTTTGCTTTCTGGTAAACGGACCATAAAGTCATCTGGCAGCACCCAAAATTCACCACCTGCCAAATAGCTGGACAAGAAGCATGCTGATCGTCGATCCAAAAACCGCTCCGTACACCTATTTACACCATAAATCAATGATTTATCCTCTCCAGGTACATCTTGTCATACATACCATGGTTGCACTCGCTTGCTTTCTACGACGATAGGCTCATAGTCGTAATGGTAATTTTCCACCGAGTACAAAGTAGGCGAATCTCGCCAGCGTACGAGGTTGGTTGGTCCTTCATTCATGTCCCAGTGGCGATCCGTCAAACCCATTTGTTGTTCATCCACAAGTTCCAATAAGCGAGATTTGTGATAAGGAATGGTATATTGGCTCATGTCATGATCCGGGAAACCGAACGTTGGTACCACAAGCATATCGCCGCCTTTCAATAATGCTTCAAAGATCTTGCGATTTGTGTTGAACGTGCGTCGTACATTGGTGGCAGGAACAATGTTGCTGGACAATTCAACGATATACTCGGTGCGAGCCAATAAACGAGCAAGATTTCGTTCAGCATTGCGAGGTAGTAGCACTGATATGGGAGGTCCTGCATGACGTACAAGATGAACATCCACCCAAGAAGCAACCTCTTGATTGCGATTGTAGGATTCTCGAATAGTTGAAAGTGTTGTCATGTCATCATCATCCTTGCTAGCATGCAATACAGCCGAAATAGGACCTTGAAAGCATCATTTCCCATGTTAGCTTTATCCTCTTTCTCTATCTCCTTTGTAATAGTTACCTTTCCAATAACCAGCCAAGCGTTCCAATTCATTCCATGTGCCTGGAGTCACAGCTGTCACGAGTGTAATATCACCACTTTCTGGTACTTGATCGCCCTTTAACCAAAATGGATCGGTCGCCTTGGTCGCATCGTAAAATGATTTGGAAAAGAGCTTTGACATTTGAAGGCCATGTGTCATGTTATCCAAAACAGAGTAGGTTTGATCTATTTTCATTCAAGTAAGGAACCACTCCAAAGAATAAAGAAAATGTTCATTGTTATACCTGCATCATACGTTCGTTCGGGCTTCCAATGATCGCCAAAGCGTTCATCCAACTGAACGGAAGGTGAAAAGAACCAATTCCAGGTATGATTGATAGTGAAAAAGACCGAAAATACGACATAGAAAAGCAGTAGGAATCGTACAGGTTGCGATAGTGATGCCAGCCAAAACCGTTTTTGTGTACCACCAAAAGCACCACCATGCTTATCGTGAGGAAGTAATGGCCCTGACGGATTGAATAATGAATCAAATCGGCCAGCAATCCGATCCAGATATCGCCTCCATGTGGCCGAATGTGGTATCCTCGTTGTCGTAGCGTATTTTTCAGGCGTTGATGGTGGTTGCTGTTGCGGTGGTTGTTGGGTTACAGAAGGACTTGACTTCTCGGGGATGGCGTATAGATTAGATGAGATGCTGAAGGAAGGCTTCCGCTGATGAGTCGTTCTCGACGAATTTGTAACTGAAGTTGATCTGGATTGATCCAGTGAGGATGGATTGGAGTCGGCCATGTCTAATGTGTTGCGTATATGACCCCAGGTGTCTGGGAGGAGAATGAGAGAGAGAGAAGAGAGAGAGAGAGAGCAAAGAAGCACTAACCTGGGATGTTGAGTATCCTTCTCCAATAAGAATCCTTTAATGATTAAGTTGCCGCCGCCGCATTTGCACTATTTCAATGAAATGTATGTAGATCAGGTGGTGTGCCTGACAACCAAAGTGGATGGTGGTAGTCCCCAAATCGTTGAATGAGACCATGTGTGCAACTTGCATACCCAAATGGATCGAGTAACTCACATCAAGAGAGATCTCTTTATTTGAGCTCATACAAGATCCATCACACCCATCTTTGTGCACCATACAAACACAAAACAAAGCTGCATTGTGTGATATTGAAACAAACAAGCAGAAGCAACTGGCGTCAGCTAATCCTCGTGATCATCAATATTATCATTACCACAATAATGATACCTTTTCAACAAAGCACTGCCCTACATACCAAAAGATCATTCATGATCCTCTTTGATGCTGGCTGTGATGGTCAACTACATCATCATACGATCTAAAAGAGCCACACACTCTTGCTGAAAGAAAGGTTTGTATACATACATGTGGGACGTGACTCGGAGTGGATATTGTTGTTTTCCCTTTTCAAGTTTGGTGCCAATTGACAAATGCATGAGGAGAGTATGCAATGGAAAGAGAGGAAAGAAAAAGGAGATATATACGAGTTATTCAGGCAAAAAGGGTTTATTTTTCTTTTCTCTTTCTCTTTCCGTTTTTCCCTATTATTCTTTACTATGGGTAACGATCAACCTTACTATCCACCTCCTCAGGGCCAACAAGGATACTACCCACCTCCTCAAGGAGCTCCAGGTAAAGCAAAGTAGCATCCATGCTATAAAAGCAGGATCGGCTCTTCTAACAAGGGCGCTTTATACATACATAGGCCAACAATATTACCAACCTCAGCCGCCGCCGAATGCGGTGTATGTTCAACAACAAGACCAAAACCGAGGCGGTGACCATAATTGCTGCATGGCTTGTTTGATCGGTTGTTTGGCATGCTGTGCACTTGAATCTCTTTGCGACATGTGCTGCTGAACTAGGACACTAGCATTTATTAAGACTGATGTTATATGTAATAACAAGTTATACAAAGGACAAAGTGTTGTGAAAGGGTATAGAGTATAGTAGTAGTAGTAGTAGTTGGGTACAGTGATTTAAGAGCGCATGATGTGAGGAGAGAGAGAGCGGATGTGTGCAACGGCTGTGTACACGATTCTAAAAATACTTGGCATTGTGGGGGAGAGCGAGAGCGTGTGTGTGTGTGTGAGTGTGGGAATGACGCAAAAAGGGCAAAGCACCTGTCAGACATTGGCACTTGCAAACCATTCATTTAATCGACCAAAACGATTGCTGCAACGACGTAATGAATGATTGACAATGGATGAACTCCCTTTGTTGGAAGGTTCATGCTGCTGCTGATGCTGCTGCTGTTGACGTAACATTAAGGATAGCAATGAAGTAGGCTTGGTGGTGTTGGTGCCACACGATGATAACGGTTTTACATCTTGCTTGGTAAAAAGGATCGATGATTCATCATCCATAGACATGATGGATGAAGGTGTTGAAGAGCATGTGGTGGATGTCCAGTAACATGAATTATCAATGCTACTGCTAACTGAATCATCGGCGTCATCGGCGTCATTATCAATGTAGAATTTGTTGGTGGTGGTATTATTGGTCAAAGTAGGCTGTGGAGGCGTTGGCTTATCATGAAACAAAGGTGTGCGTGTTTGTTTTGCATAATGATGCATGGATAGGTTTGGTAATGATCGTGAGCGGGTGAGTTGTGTCGATGCCACAGGTGAAGCAGCCAAATCTGGTTCATTCGATATGGCAGGCGCGGTCTGTTTCCGCATTACAGCTTGCCGATACCATAACCGCCATGTCAAATTCTCCAACCGAAAGCCATTCCGCAGCTGTCGTTTACATTTTGTAAAGACTACAATACAAAGGATGATGTTTAGGCATGGCATCCTCATTGTAGATTATCGGTGTCACAAATACATACCTGCCCATAGGGATGATAACTCTTCAAGGTTGTTCCATGGCAACCGTCGTGTCGAATGCATATTCGAAATCAAAAGGTGCATATCCATAGTTTAAGTTGGTATATAAAAAGTAAGGAAAAGATAGGTCTGTGGTGTAGAGAAAAGGTAATTATGTATGTTTCTCGGCAAGGAGAAGCAAAAGTAAAAGAAAGGGAAACCAAGACATCCCCTTTTGAAAGGGTTCAATTGCCGTAGCCCGCAATTTGGGGCAAAACCGACAAGCCCGACCCCACCATCCTTTGGTTCCACTGTGGGGCATTGAAACGTGACGTGGCACATCTTTTTCTTCTTTCACTCTTTGAGCTTGAAAATGACCCTTTCATGCCTTCCATACTAGCAAAACGAAAGATGTTATATTCTAGCCGAGGCAGTTACCATAGCAACCCTGAAACCATGCTGATAGTGATATCGACTTTTACATAAATTTTTTCAGATACCACCGTTCTTCACCCATGATATCGGTTTCAAATTGACACAGTGAAGAAAAAGTAGCATGTCGATGGAGTCGTTGTGCATCTATGGAAAATTGTTTGATATCTAAATACAAAAGGCTGAGCACCTTAAAGTCAAACTCAACGACTACAATGCTTGTCTCAGCCAGCTTGGAGCAGGATGTATAGTGGTGGTGATGTTACTGCTAAATCCTGTTTACATTCTTGTATCATGTCATGCTTCGCAAGTGTCACAACATGATGCCATCGAATCAAACCCAGCAATGGGAGGCGGATGACCTACCTTTAAAACGGTCGCAGGGATGCATCCTCCTTCTCAGGAATCTCCTGTACGCAAGCTTTAGAAACTGTATTCATTGCAATGTTTTATTGATCATTAGGTACACGTTACATTCTTCAAACCAGCAAATGCCCAAGAGTTTCGTAGCATGAATACCTAGCCCATGTCATATCTTACACAAATTGTATAGCAGGTCGCCTATGCAAGTTGCATTCCCAAAGTGATTCTCAGCCTTCGAAACGACTTTGCAGCTAAAAGTGTATGGTGGGGCTATATCCAGAAAACGTCGAGCATACATTATTGTTATCTTTGAGATATTTGGCCTTCTTTTTCTAGTCATCGAGTCATCGATTTACGTTACTTTGATATAAAAAGTTATTCATGTCCACCTATTGTTGGTGGTTTGTATACATAAATCATTTTTGTTTCGCACAATAGGGTGACAATATCATGTCATCCGCTGATGAAAGTGTTTCAAAAGGCTAGCCAAAGTATGTGGGATCGAGCATTTCCAAATCATAGAATGTCAGGTGACAAATAAGTATTTGAGACCTAAGATAAGGAGGAGAAGAGTCCTTGATCGTATCGAATTTGGTGCACGGATACAAATAATGGAACGACGATTGAACCCCTTGCATACGATGGGTATATCAATGAGAGGGGATTTATTGATGACAATGATGATCCAACACATTCATTTTCTACATTGTATTGCTAATTCTCTTTTAATACTTAGCACGAGGCATGAAGGATACCATCATTGACATGTTATGATACCCCGCCTTTATATGATCATCGATGAAGATGTTGATAAGGTAGTAAGTAATACGCCCAATATGATGTTGTGTAGCAGATGCTTCAGTGTATAGGGCAACAAAGTATGGTGTAACATTGCTGGGAGGCGACAACACATGCCGATGATGTTCCGACAACAAGGTCTAGTTTATGGTTTAATGATTGCCTGTCTGATAGTGATGGATATCTGAAACATGTTTTTGGGTGGTTCCTGATGACAATGCAGCAGGCTGGGAACGGGGAAATAAAAAATGTCTCGGAAGGTCTTCCGATGCTTGGGTGTGTGTGTGTGTGTGTATGTGAGGAAGGTGTGAGTGTATCGAATAAAGGTAAATGAGCGTACCTTTAGCCCGGAGTCGGGATAGCATTTTATATAAGATTTGATATTCAGCAAGGACCATCATAGTACAAGTATCATTTTACTATACAGCAAGGGAAGAAAAGAGGAATAGGGTATTATCATTTATTTGTAATGCTGATCATGGATGGTGGCAAAGTGTCTATTTGTGTGATAGAGAGAGAGCGAGAGAAGAAACAAGGAGTAAGAGGAGGAGGGGGGGGAAGGTAGGAATGAATGAATGGGTGTTGTGTGGGTGGTGGTAGGTGCTATGTGCCACAGTTTCCGCTTTGAAGGGCAGTGGTGCATGTGTGTTTGGGCACATACACATTATCTCTCTCGCTCCCCTTTCATCTTTTGTGTGTGTGTTGTGTCTAGGTGGTGTGTTTCTTTTCTCTTGTTCTTTATTCCTTCTCTCTCCTCCCCCTTTCTCCTCTCCATTATTATACCCAACCTCTGTTTGTGCACCTCTTGAAGACAACAGACATTATTCCTCGCACCATTCTTGTATTCGCCTTCTTACGCCGCTGATCGAATGACAGCTCAGTTTCATGTCGACACAACAGCGCATGCGTCATCCAAGGTCCTCCCATGTGAGCACGCGCCATCAAGCCCTGATCGATCGTATGCTGAGCTACCTGCAACACCACCATCCCCACCTCATACAACCATCCAGGCTGAATTCTGGCATCTACGGCAATGCACCTTATTGAATTGGGTCAACAGCTTGCTTGGCTGCACTCCTCCTCTCTCTTCTTTCATATCACTACTCGAAGGCGATAGACTGTGCACATTGATCTCTCGTGTTTCTGGACAACAACAACAACAACAAGAAGAGAATGGGCAGCAAGGGTTCTCGGGGGTCGTTAGCATGTTGCATGCATGGTTGGGACGTACACACGTCGAACTTGCTGTATCTACCGAAGCTGTTGAACGTGGCGACCAAGATCAGCTCATCAGCCTTGTGTCACTCATCCTCACTCAGCATCAAATACAATCCATGAATGCTTTACAAGATACCATGTCAGCACTCGTTGGTTCACATGTAAATATCCATTATTATAATAACATTGTATAAATATATACGTCTTTACTCATTCAATCTTGCATTTAGGTGGATCCATTACCCATAGCATCAACAGACGACGTTCAACGTGTGGTGTTATCGTATATCCAGGCAATCTTAGCCGATTATGCAACATGGTGTCCTTCAATATCCAATTTCAGCGGCAGCGGATGGAAATCAGGTGTCGTCTTTATGGCCTTATTGCATTGGCATCAACCTGCAAGTGTAAGGGATTTGGTTGACTACAAGAATCCAGATCAATCGCGATGGAGTGTTATCTTGGATACAGCCTTTCAACGTGCTCATAATGCCTTTGGTATCCCTATTCTTTTGGACGCTGCATCATTGGCAGATGCATCTCAAGTCGATCATGAATCTGTGTTGGCATATTTGGTGGAATTCATTGCCAAGGCTGTACCTGCTGTATCTCATCAAAAGGACTCGATTATGAATCAACGACAAAATGACATTGAAGAATGGATATCACATATGGATCATGATACGACAGCCACTCCACATTGTGCAACACCAGAACCTAGTGATCAAGACGATGAAAAGCAGGATCATCACAATGACAACAACAACAATACATCGACGACAGGATCATTCACCATCACATCCACCTATACACAAGTACGCTTAACCAAATCCACCAAATCTGCCACACCAGATGAAGAGTTTGAAGCACGTGTTTCTTCTCTTTTGGATAAGATTGCTCAACTTCAACATCGTCTTGCTTCTTTGGTGCCTACACGTTCCTCAGCAGCCGGCTATGCTATGCATAACAACAGCCCAGCTACACCTGATACACAAGTATCATTGGATGAAAACAGCACTATTGGCAGCAGCAGTACCAATGATACTAGTGAACGACGTCGATTACATCCACTCGATGCGGGTCCAGAAGACCTTGAAGCGTATCAACAACACTTTGCTGCGTTCCAGGCAACATTACAAGCCTTTGAACAAGACGACATGGACCCTTTTCGAAAAGCATGTCAAGAGTTTGATGACAAACCAGCCAATGCGAATTTGGTGGAGGATAGCTATTCGTCTTTGATGACCAATGTGGATAATACCAGCCATATGCTCGATGCTTTTCGACGAGGATTTGAGTTTACACAGCGATGTAAACTCGTGCGAAGTGAATTGGATGCTGTACAAGCATTGATGGTGCGTATGACGGCATCTTCTACCGATGAGAATGTCCAAGATATGGAACGTCGAGTGGAAAAGGCAGCTGCTATGATACGCGTGATCCCCGAAGCATTTCAAGATTTGATTACAACGGATGGTAAGGATGGATATATACATACATGCAATCCACACAAGCACTAATATCTTTTCATTCTATAGGAACAAATCAAGATTCACCATATCAGAAACATTATGACGCACTTGTTGAACGAAGTGGGCTTGTGCGATCGTGGGTGGCTGAAGTGCGAGTATGGTTTGCAGAAGCTGGACGTATTAGACGATGGATTTCGATTCGTATGAACCGGCTTGATGAAACAACAGTGCCAGAGCCATTGAAGGATGAACAACTTGCAACACCACGTGAGACAATCGAAGCATTAAACAAGGCACATGCAAGCTTGGAAGCCGAGATTGAAGGGTTCAACAAGGAGGATATGGCACGATTAAGAGCTCATGTCAAAGCGCGTACAGGAGCAAGCCTTAGCAGCAAAGATCTCAGCCCAGCGGATACGACTACCATCGAGATTACATTGACCACGCTTGCTGCTCTTGATCGTCTATTGGGTACTTTACGAGCCAAAGGAGATGCATTGCAAATCTTGACCCAGCGTATGGTGTGGGAAGATCACGTGGCTGAATGCAATACTTGGATCACTGATACGGATAATGAGGTGGCTGAATTCATTCGAGACACGGCACGATGGCAGCCCACAGAAGATGATCAAGATGAAGATGAATGTGTGGATGAAAACAAAGATGATGAAGGCCATTGGCGTCGTGAACAATTGCTTGCCAAGGAGCGACTCAAAGAATTAGTTATCCAACGCCTATTGATGCTTGAGAATTCACGCACTGAATTTGATCAAGGCCAATTTACCTTGGCAGTGGATGCGTTTCAAGATTTGGAGGATTTGACAGCTGTCCCAGCTCATTTGGAGAAACGACAAACGGCATGTGAAGAACGTGCAGAGACGCTTGGTGAACGTATTGCTTATGCAAGACAAGTGGTTGAACAACGTCTTACGGTGATGGATTTTGTGCAGCAAGCGGGTCGTGTGACTCAAGAGGGTCGACAATTGCTGACAGCATTAGCTGAGGCACAAACCACAGCACATCCAGATGACAGCGATTATGATGATCATGATATGACAGCACGTGTGCAAACGATGCAAGAACGCATTGTACAACTTGTCACTGCAGCAGCAGCACGTATCCCTTATCCTGAATCACAAGATGATGAAGAGAGCCCTGAAGCCAATGCCGCCATACGAGAAGCCATCAGTGCCAAGAGAACAGCTTTGATCTTGCTAGGAGACGAATTGGATCAGGCATTAGCTGCATTACGTACTGTGTTACAAATGCATCGACGTGGACGGCAACTTTTGAATGATGCATCTCGATTAAGCACATGGGCTGAGGATCGATTACGACATTTGCAGAATAGTGTGACAACCGAATCGATTGGAATGGATGGATTATGTCGACTTGAACGTGAACGTGATAATCTGCAACACAAGCTACGTGACAAGGAGAATGATACGGTTGATGTGCTCACAAGCATCCATTCATTATTGGACACTACGCCAGCACCTGGTGACCGTGATCGATTGGATGAAGCAGCACAGCACCTTACTTGCACCTTTGATGATTTGCGTGATACCCTGGATGCTCATAGTCGTCGCTTGGATGCATTGCGTAGGAAATTGGAGGATGATACTACCTACTCGGAACAGTTGGCACAATTGGCTGCATTTGTGGCTCGCACACGTGCTGCATTACCAGGTCTCAAACAAACGCACGGCTTTATCACTGGACAATCTGAAGATCAGGATAGACAACGACATGAAGCACTCGATGCTGCTTATGCTGATATGGAGACTATCTTTAAAGAGAATGGTGCACAATTCAACCGGTTACGCCAACATCAGGATGCAACACAACAGCCTGAATCAGTGAAAAAGACACTTGCAACTTTGGACAAGGAATGGGGACAACTTGCTGATGAATTACAACATTTTCAACGATTCACTGAAGCTGTGGGTGGATGGTGTGGACGACAACGACGATTGAGCATGGCTGAAAAAGAATTGTTGAATGGATTACACGAGAGCGTATCACAACTTGCACGCACAGGATGGAATGAAGATGATCTTTTGGCGATCGAGCGTCGAATTGATGAAGCATTACGTGTCTTGGATGGTGTTGGAAATGAGATTGCAGCCGTATCTGGTAGTCGAGATGATCCTTTGGAGATGGCCAATTATGCATGTGCACGTGATCGTCATTCCTTGTTGACAAGCAAGGCTCATGCTATTCGAACAAGTGTGGATGCTCTTCGAAAGAATGCTGATCATGCAGTGGCATTATCCGAATTTTTGGGTCAAGCAGATGCATTGGTGGCGGACGTACAAGCACACATGGATATGATGCGACGACGTATGTCACTTGCTGGTCATGGAGATTTTGCGTCATTATCACCTCAAGCTATTGAACAACAATATCTTGCTATTCAGCGTGACACTGCAGCATCAGAAAACAGAGCACAACAACTTCGTCAGCAATTACAACAACTACAACGGGGAGCAGCTGCTGCTGGAGACAATGATAGCGTACGTGAAGCTCTCAAACGCGCTGAAACAGCTGTTGGCAAATTGCTTGAGACCGTGGCACTTGAAAAGCGGCAAGCGGCATTTGTACGCAAGACTCAGATTCATGCAAAAGCTGCTGGTGACTTGAAAAGCTGGATGGATCGTTGTAATGATGCCGTGCGCCAATTGACAGGGGATGTTTGCATCAAGGATGAATCAGAACTACGAGCCGAGATTGAAGCAATTGAACACAAGATGGTGGAGATGCAACCTGTTGTACGAGCGTTCCAAGCTATGCCCTCTCGTATCTTTGCTGGTCGTGATGGACAACCAATTGATTTGAGTGATATGCATATCGATGGGCGTACAGTAAGATCGGCTATTCTAACACGTGAAAACAACATCTTGGATGAATGGCGCCAATTGGGAGAGCAATTGAATGTTGCCAAGCAACGTGTGAAGAGTGCAGCACGACATGGTGAAACAGCACGCAAAGTGAAGGAGATTTTATCTCTCGCTGGTCGTCTCAGGGAACGTACTGGAGCTATTCGTATCATCAACAGGAGCAGCGTACCCAACAATGACGATGATCATGACAATGAGCTATCGGCTGTGACAACATGTCCACTTTCGTTGTTACCCACCGAACATGAATTATTAGGCGCTCGTGCTGAACTGGATGCTATTGAACGTGATATCGAACACCATTTGAATGCTCGCCTTGCTGAATTGGATGCTATGCTTAACAGCAACGCTGAAAGTGAAGATATCTTTGCTGGTCAACGAACCGAGATTGCTGCTGCTTTGCGTGGTCTTACTGATATGGTGCGTGATAAGCGAGCAGCTGCAAGTGCTGCAGCACGTCTTGAACCGTTTTTGGTTGTTGTTGAGGAACTTGAAGTATTGCTATCGGCCATTGGTGAAGTGGTGGATCGTGCATCACCATCCTATGCACGTACAACTGAGGATGGGAAACCAAGCCGAGCTGATATACAAGGAATGCTTATTGATCTTGATACGAGATATCGTTACTATGAACCCAAGATTGATGAATTGTTAGCTGAAGCTCGTCGAGAAGCAACACCATTAGCAGCTGATGATCATCGTGTTTCTCAATGTGTGGGTGATCTTGCGGATCGATGGGCACAACTTCAAGCCCTTGCTGCTGCTCGTCGATCGGATCTTGTTGCTCGAGTTGGACCATTAGGCTTGGCAGATTTTACTACACCACCACGTCGTACAGCTTCTCTTGCCAAACGTCAATCCATGCCAGCATTCCCAAAACCATCACAATCAACACCTCGTCCTACTGGTGCACGTGCTCTACGTGCTCGTCCACAATCTGCAATGTCCTCTCATCGTCCACGACCAGCATCAGTACGTGTACCAATGTCACGACGCACAGCTGCTACAGCTGCAGTACGTACAACACCCACATCGGCAACAGCACGACCACCCTCACGTGGATCAACCAATACGCCTGAAACTTATGTTCCTGATCCAGCCAATGATCTCGATATGGCAGTGGGTAATATCGTTAATGATTCACCCTACAAGATTCGAGTCAAGATGGTGCCTGGTGAAGTGGGTCGTTATTGGTTTGGTACTCGAAGACCCAAGTTGGCCTATTGTCGCATTCTTCGCAGTCGAATGGTGATGGTGCGTGTTGGTGGTGGATGGGTCGAATTATCCCAATTCTTGCGTGATCAAAAGCTACTTGAAGAAAGTGATCTTGTTCCTCATCGTGCATCACCACAGCAACAAAATGCACGTATCCGTGAAGGTGTTGTTACTATTCGTGGTGGAGGTACTACAGGCAATAAACGCAATAGTTTTGGACCAACGCCACCATCACCCGGAAGTGATACCCGCTCAACACCACACCCACGAGGATTATCACCAACGACATTTGGCCATGGCGTAAAAGAAGGCAACAAGTTTTTGATTCCCGTTGATGGACAAGGCAACCAAGTCGAGGTGCGCATGACCAAAGCCAAGTACAAGAACTCTGGTTTCATCACTCCATGGCGTTAATACCACACAAGCACATTTTATATATATATATATATACAACCACCAAGTCATCTATTATTGTTATCATTTCCACACCAACAACAACAACAACACACACACGATATAGAATACCCCATCTTTTGGCATATACTTTTTTCTCTCAAGACTCTTTTGCATACCACACTTTTTTTTTGTTGTACAATAAACAAGATATCCACTCACATTTTTATCTCATGCGATAAACCGATTCGGCAACAAATTGACTGTTATGGATGAACGCATGTGATCACCTCTATCCATGAGCGGTTTCCTAAACACATTCCATTGTCATGGTTCGAAAGCAATGAAGAAAACCATTACTATGTGCCAGGTAATAATGCCTTCTCGATGACTGATATGCATTGGTATTGTGTGCTGTAATAAAGAAACACCATTTGTTTGTTTACCCAACAAATGCGTGGTGTTACCAAGTATCACATGTAGATTGTGCGACGCTGCTCACAGATGGTGGGTCCTTTGGAAACGGGGATGGGATCAAAAGGGATAAGTGCTGGCAATACAACAAGCATTGTGACGTATGTATGTGTTGCAGCAACAACAGCAGCAGCAGCTTGTAGATCGATCCTGTACAAGTATAGAGCAGCATGGTGGGTTATCAAAGGTAAAGATCTACATGCTTTGTGTGTGGGGGAGTGACAACACGTACGCACATCCGCGGCACAAGAGATTATCTCAAGACCTGTTATGTATATGCATCTCTATGACAAATGATTGAAGCTGTCGATGCATTTGATCATCTCTATTACTACAATCATGGTGCTTCACCCAAAACAATGCACACCGCCAGGAACCGTCATCATTCATTGACTGCATATGGTTGCACAAGCATGTTGCGTTCTCTTGCAAATAATTCATCATCTCTATTCAAACAATGCTGCAATCAACGATGATATTAATCATACCAAATTCTGATGCAGGTACGCCATACCCAAGCTATTTGACATGTATGATGCTTTGTCGGTATTAGGATACCCGATGATCACATTACCTGACTTTTTGACACAAAGTTTATACGGCCATTTGTCATCACGACGACGCTGTTATAGCTCATGACAATCGTGACAAATGTACTCCTTGCTTGTATTTGGTGTATGTGCGTGCGTGTGTGTATGTGTTATGTTTCTCTGCGCACGGACAACACGAACACAACAGTCGTACGCATATATGTGTTCTTGTTACGCTATTCCCCAAACCCGCCGCTTCATTTTTTAATTGCATGTACGCACGCAACACGTTTGGTAAAACACATTCACCCACCCCCCATCCTTGACCCCTTTTCACATTTTCTCTTTTAGCTCATTGAAGATGAAAGATGCACCTCACAAGGTTCCACTGCACCCGCCGATCTTTTGGGCGGGCAATTTGGAAAAGCTTTTGATGGTGGGTTTTTTCGCTCTTAATCTGCAACTCAACCTTGCTCACTGTTTTTGTAGTTCCGCTCCACCATACGATTATAAGGTTTTCACTCTATCTCTCTTTTGCCTATTTTCTTGCCCTTTCTTTTTCTTCCACATCTCTTTATAGGACGAGGACTCGTTGATCTTGCTCCTTGTACTATCCCCTCATTCACATACAACATGAACCCTGTGAACGATTCCAAAGAGTGGCAAGCTGATGCGTCTTCAGACGCTACGTTGCAATATCCCGCTATGGATCATGGCTACCCAATGGGCGCAGCACCAGTACATCCTCCAATGTAAGTTTTTAAATCGGATAACGTGTTTGGTGAGGAGATCGTATGGGTGGGTGTGGATGCGTATGTATGAATGAACGCGTCCATATGGTTGTCAATTATGCGTTTCCCTCTTGGTGCAACCTCCGCGTGTTATACGTGTGGTAGTTGTGTGTTCCTGTGTGTCGTCGTTGCTTTTGTTTCTCTTTTTTTTTGGACGACCCATTTACTGTCGAGGAAAAAAAAACACAAAGCGGCGACACAAAAAGTGCGGGAAAAGTTCGCTGCGCAAAAAAAATGGTGATGGAAAAACAGCTGGTGTGGATACAATCTTGCACCAAGGGGCAGGAGAGGGAAATACTCCTTCCAAACATTCAATGGCATTGACTTTGTCTTTTTTTGTGTAGCCATCAACATCCATCCTATCCTCCACAATCACCCATGAACCCTGTATACAAGCCAGAGCACCAACATCCGGTAACAACACCGCAACCCGACCCGAGATTATCCGCAGGGTGAGTGTATGGGGTTTTATGAACCATACGTGCCTGTTTGCTAACATGTAAAAAACCCAGCCCTCCACGACCCACTCCTGCAAAGTCCACTGGTACGATGCCTTCACCTACAAGAACATACTCGTCACCACCCTATCCAAGTATTAGCACCCCACCTGGTTACCGTAAGCGTGGAAGAAGTGACTCTTTGTTTCCTCCAGAAACGGGTCCATTCTTTAGCTCCACCAAGCCACTTGACAATCTTTTTGCACTTGATCGTACAAGCTTGTAAGTACAATAGACAACAATGAGCCAAATAGGGATACTTACATATACACCTATACCCATAGGGTAAGCGTACGTATTCATTCAAAGATGGATCGTGGATTCTTTCTTGCCGATAACGATTGGACATGCTATCGACGCAATTACTTCCAAGTGAGCAGCGCCTTTTCAATCCATGGCATTGGCCATTATTATGCGGATCATGAGCCACCATGTCTTGTACGCAGTGAAGATGGTTTATTTTATCCCGTGCGACGTTTCTTGCTTGGTATCTCGGCTCGTGTATCCAACAGTGACAAACGTATTGAGCTTGTACAACATACACCAAAACGTGACAAGGGACCACAAACCACCCCACAAGCAAAACCCATTACACCTGGTGGAAATCTTAGCATGAGCTCTGTTGGTGGTGCCAATCAAAACATTGTCACCTTTGAACGTATCCAATTCAAGACTGCAACAGCCAACAATGGCAAACGACGTGCAGCTCAGCAATATTATGTAGCTGTGGTTGAGTTGTATGCTGAAACAGATCAAGGTGAACAAATCAAGGTTGCTTCTTGTCAATCAGCACCTTTGGTTGTACGTGGTCGTAGCCCAGGTCATTATACTGATAGCCAACAAGAACGTATGCCTGGTGCAGGTCTTGGTGCAGCAACAGCACCTTCACCCTTATCACCTACGCATCCTGAAGATCATCATCGATTTTTCCCTCCTCGTGGTTATGCTGCTCCACCACCTCCTCCACCTCCAGCTGCTATGATGGGTGAATATGGATCGCCTTATGGTGCACCACCTCCACCACCTCCACCTCATGCAGCAGCAACAGCAGCTTATTATCCAGCACCACCACCTCCACCACCTCACCATCACCATCATCATCACCATCCCTATATGAATCCAGGCATGGTCATGTCACCTGTGGCTTCACCAACAACGACTCAACCACCACCACTTCCTGCTCCACAAACGCATCACCATCAACATCCACATTCATCGCCTTATCATCAGCAACATCATCCTTACATGGTTGGTAATGCTGCACCACCACCACCACCACCAGGCAATGGTACCATGCCTTCACCTACACCAGGTGAATTTGCTGCACCTCATCCTATTCAGCAAGAAGATAAATTATCGCATCCTGCAACACCTACAACGACTGTCAACTATATGGATGCTGTTGCTGCAAATGATTGGAATGCACGATCGCGTATGAACTCGGCTGGATCGTTACCACCTCCACCAACAAGTGCAGCAGCAGCTGCTTATTTCCAACATCATCAGCCAACAGCGGGTACTTTATCGTCGAATGCATCGACCAATAGTGCGTTTTCTCCCACAACACCTACTACGCCTTATGTATCTGGAGCTCGCAAGTATCCGGATCAACAACATCATCACCCAGCTCAGTCGTCTTAATTCATGCATATTCTTCTTCTCTCTCTCTAATTTATTTACGGCTTATATTGTGTACTACTTTATGTCCTCTTTCTTTTGCATCCAAGAAATAAAAGATACCACGTTTGATCTCCAAAAGTAGATTTATAAAGTCGTCATTATGTACAAATGTTCTTTTCTTTTTCTATACAAGACAAATTCAAGGATCATCGATCGAGTATGCTAGTGCAGGTTGGTATCCTTTTCGAGAAAATGAAGGTATGGTGGCGGTAGAAGAGGAAGGTCGTTGTTGTGATTGATTAGGGGCAGCAGGTGGATTGTTGACATGCAAAGCCGTGATCAATGGTTGATACGCTGATGGCTGTTGTTGGTCTTGTAGTAATACATTGGCTGGATCTTCATCTATGTTGAAAAAAGAACGTCGTTTCTTTCCTGCTGTCTTCCATCCGTTGCTATGCACTTGAATATCAGATTGATGAGGAGGAGGTTGTGGTGGTGGATCGGATGCTCTTTTTGGTAAAGGTGCTGCTGCTGCCATAGTAGCAAGCGTAGTCGTAGTGGATTGCAAGTTGCTAAGCAAGCTCATTCTGCTGGTATCATGTGTCAATGGTGGTAGAGGTGCGGATCGTGAATACCCATCGTCGTTGTCATCCTCTGATCGTGTTGACGCACCAATACTCCGTTGTCCTCTTCCTTTCTTACGACGCCACCATGCCATTCTTGCAGGAGGAGCACTCGTTTCATATATCTCATCATCCGCCAATCCTGTCATGAGCACCACCAAGTTGCGCACAGGAACCGCAAATAGCACCAGCAAAAACATGGCGAAATGCAAAATGATTTGGGACCATGCTACCATTTGCTTCGATACATCCGCAATGCCGAATGGTTCAATGTACACAAAGCTCAATGCCACAATGATAATACGGAAACATCCACATAGGATATGCAACATGTTGACGTGCCTTGATGCATATGGCTTTCGTATCAGGTGTTGAAGAAGGAAATACGACTCTGAGACAAAGATCACCAAGATTTGTGATAAACCTGGAATGTTGATCCATCCCACCAAGGCTCCTGTTATGATGCGATGAATGAGCCCATATAAAAAGAAATGAAAGTGGTCGTCCGTGTATGCGTTGTACAATGATCCATAACGAAGGAGCAATGTCAAATCCGAAAACACCAATGATGGAGGGCGTACATCCAACAGCACAAATGCAATGTATCCATACACCAAGAAAATGTGAAAGACGAGAACAAGCGCGGCAAAGAGCAGAATGACCACCGGTGCAGGGAGCATCAATTGACAAAAGGAGAGGGTCATCATTGGTAGGTAGAATAATGTCAATACTCGAAGTATAATCCCTGCATAACTTTTTATATTAGCAACCCATAAACGACTTTCAACCTATGCTTTCATAAACTTACCAATCGTAAAATTTGCGACTTTGGAGTTCTGTGCTTTGTATTGCTGAGGCGCATACCATGTCATGCAACGTACCATCACCCAGATGATAAGGCACACCAATAAACATCCCGCCATGATCATAAGAAGTACAATAAAGGATGTCATGAACAGGCTGTTGATATCGATCCCTGTTGCCATAGCAAAGTTGTTCATGCCCGTTCCATTGACAGCGATCCTAGGACTATCATCGAGACGTCGAGTACTGTTTGCCAAGCCCATGTCAAACAAGGCACGTGTAGCAGATTCTGGAATCCAACGAGTTGGGAATAGCAAAAAGCTCCATGCAAAGTTGGATGCAAACAAGGAATAAAAAGCTGGATAATCGAGATTGAGTTGACCCAAGAGAGCGATGAATTGAGCATGATAAATCAAATCAAAAAAGCCGGGTGTCTTGAGTCGAAGGGTTGCTGGTAGCATTGCATAGTTGGATGTAAAGAGGAAAACGTCATGATCGGTATCGGGCACAGTGGCAAAGGAAGCAAAGAATGATACAAAAGCGGCAAACACTGTAAGAGCGATTGGGAGGTAGATAAAAATAGACTTCCAAGTAGGATGCTGATATCCCACAGGTGCCAATGTCAGGCACAACCATGGCTCCATTTCCCCTGTGAGTGTTGAATAGCGTACAATGATATCTCCCACTGGTAACGACGTGTTGGGTAAGGTAAATCCCTGTTGAAAACAAAGGTAGCGTGAGACCATTGTCAACCATCACCACCACCACAACAACACAATGATGACTTACATGTTGAATCTCTACCGTATCATTGGATCTCACGGGACATCCACCAACAATGTCTGGACATAAGGGTGCCAAGTGACTATAGATGATGCTGTTGCCAAGCATAACTTCTGCTTTTGCTGATGCATACACTATTGAAAGACAAAGGTGAGTTACTCGCTTCAACTTCCAATCAGATGTTTCTTATTACATGTGCCTGTCGAACTCAGGTTGGCCACCGATATCAAGGATCTTCCCGTTACGTTGAGTGAATATGAGTTTGTGGACCCATTGAACGATCGTTGGGCATCCAGTATCCGGAATGTGGTTGACTCTTGGCATTGGGTATAGTTGTAGCGTGTGTCAAAGACAGTGTTGGCAATGGGAGCAATGCTGCTGTTCTGGCAGTCGACTAATGGAAGCGTAGAAAGAAACAGAAGCAGGAGTAACCGGAGAAGGAAGAACAACTGCCGCCGCATAACAAGGAAAAGAAAAGAAGCAAAAGAGAGCTATGACACCAGAAAGGAAGAAGCCACAACAATAGAACACACGACACACACACACACATCACACACGCACGCACGCATACACAACAGTGGATGATCCAAAAAGAAACAAAGGATTTATGTATCCGCTTTTGGCAACATCATGGGCCAACTATTATAAGCAATGTTGCCATGCATGTACTTCTTCTCTTTGTTCTCTTGCTTATCTCATTTTGCTTGGCAATAGGATTGTTGCTACCCTTTATCTATTTTGTACATTCCCGCTTCTTCTTCTACTCTTTGTCCTCATCGCCATCAATGTTACCATTATTGATCACTGCTACCCCCATCCTGACCATTCATCATCAATAAATTTGATACGAAGATATAAATACATCCATTCCCAAATCATGCTGGTGTGGCCCGTATTGGATCAGTCATCTTTTAATCGTCCACCTGCTTCAGATACTATGCATGTTACACCATTGTTTGTTGAACGCAAACACAAACGATGAGCTTTTTTTGGCATCAACGTCATGCGGACACAACCGCTATAGCATGATCGACTCCCTGTGCCTGAATACCGCTCTCTTGCATGCACATGATATGGTACATTGATCATAGCTTATTACACTTGCTGTCATCCACAGATTAAACATGCATGAAAACTCGTTTACTGTATCATCGGCATTTGCATTGATGTGTGACAAAGCATCCACCCCGGGACAAATTGGAACCAACTCGGAGCCTTCCGTATCCGAATAATGGGATCAGCGTCTCCTCCCTTGCCGAAATCTTATGGTGATCGGCTGCCAACCCATCCACATTGTTATGAAGAACAAGCAAAATCCAATCGAGCTTGCTAGTTAATTAAGCCTTCTTCTTTGATTAAAAGTGTACACAATGAAGCATGCCACGGATGGCGTAAGGCGTTGCCATGGTAATCTTAAGAGGAACAATGACACCCGCTGACCATGGTAACATAGCAATAATAAACCATTCTCTCACAAAGAAGACATGATATGAAGAGAGGAAATGGGTGGAAGGGATGTGTGGGGATTTTTGTGTTGGATTGACTTTTATGTAAGCTATAGGTGCAATCCACCTCAGCAGTGTTCAGCAACACACCATGAAAGCCAAAACAGAAACGATGGCAAGTCTTAACATAGGAACCGCTTCTTGATGAGCCATCATCGTACTTGTCTTTTGACCCAACATGGCTCTTCTGCTTTATGTACATGAATAAAATGATAAATGGTCAATCTCACAGACCTCTTTGGATGATACAATAACAGCTCCTTTATTATACAACTTTTATGCTTATCGTCTGGATGGCGTAAAAATGCACCTCTTGACTATGGAAGTGCGTGAAGCCATGATAACAGCCAAATCAATCTCTGATGATAATCCAGTCATTGGTTTTCAGGTAGTAGCCATTAGAAGCATAAACCTAATCCTGCGGAAATTTGATGACCCAATCTAAAGGTGATCGATTGATCAACCAGGAGACCCTGTTGACGTGATTTGGCAACCAGAGGTATCGATTGATGAGCATCTTTGATCTTCAAGCGTGCGATGACTTATCCTTTTACGTATAATGCATAGAGGTAATGGTGACCAAAAATGGGTGCTGATTGATTCACAGCTAATTTGTTCTTGATCCAGGACCACAGCTGTATTAAGAAACAAGCCCGAGTTGCTTTGATGAAATTGTGTAAAGCGTGAAAGAAGTTCTTATCATCACTTCTTAAGTGCCTGAACATGGCCAATCCTAGCCGATTGCTTTCTTGGGGGGGGGTTGTTGATTAACGCCTCTTACTGCACGACCTTGTCAACGAAAGCGTATTGGCTTTTCAATAGCTGCAACCCTATTCATCGAGCGTGTAGAAGATTTGGAAAGATCATCGGATCGGCAGGGTGGTATGGGTGCTTGATTTTCCTTTTCCTCATGACCTCCCGGTTTAATGCCGATTTGCCTTTGACAAGTGCTCAATACTTTTCCTCCTTTGGAATAGCTCATTTCATCAAAAGGTACGCGCCATAGGTATTATAGGAGATGCAGATGATATATTCTTGCAGCATCACCGAACTTTCCGTTTCCTTGGAAACCATGGTAGGAGCAAAACTACAATCCCATAATATCATCATGCCATATTGCCTCTACCTTTAAAAGTGGTCTGTAGTGAAAACAATCATACTTTGAAGGTATATGAAACAAGCTATTGGGCTTTTCGGATTTCCCAAATATGAGTATGCCGGCTAATACTGTTGGCATATACACGTTCGTGACTCGTGAAAGGAATGAGAACAGCTCCAAGTGAAATGACTACATCTTCGACTATCCCGTATTTAGTCTGGCGTAATGGTTGACTAGAGGCTGTGCGCCGTGATACACATCGCCATTGCAGTCACCCCAACATAGCGGCAATATAGCTGTCTAATATCGTACGACTGGTAGTGCTGCATAGCACACGCGTATTAGAGGTCATAGAATACGACGCGTCATGGATGAGGATTGTCAAAGTGCTTCGTGATTATGATGATTTCAAAGGAGATGGAACCACACCTATTGCCAAAAGTGTATTTTTTGTAACCATTTACCTAGTTGTTGATCATGCTACCGAAACGAGAGTGGCGTGTTTCATGCTGGTACATGTGAGACAGCATTTTCAAGACTCCAAAATCGCCTGAAAAGCAATGACATGGCTCCCCAGAAGAACCTTGAGAAGGTGGTCTATTCACGTCTTCTATCGTTATGATGAATAAAGTGAACGCGTTTTTATTGATTACACACATAATGATGGGCAACTATGTAGTCGCGTAAATAGGAGGTTTATTGGTAGTGGATAGGGTTATCTGATCTCTCATCTTTTGGGTTGTTCCATACCAAGCTGATCACCTTGCCAACCCAATGCTTATTCGAAATCACACGAAGCACGAATGCAATGGTACATGCAACGCGTGATCATTTTTGTGAGTCTCAGGGAAGTTTTATGCTTGGTGTTTGTGCAAACAGAACACCTCGGCCAGACCTCATGTGTAACATTTCGTGCAGCTTCCCAAATGGTGGGACCATGATGCTGGCTTTTCTTAGAACGTCTACGTATTCACACACGATTGGTATTTCTCTACGTCATGAAGGTAAACCTGTAAAGGAATGTAGCTCCGAGAGGGTACTAGACAAATGCAAACCACCATAAACGTCGGCAGTTTTGAGATCGGGCACGTAAATGAAGAGGGGTAACTTTGGGGGTGATAAGATTCCGCCTCGGGATACTAACCGAGCATGAAGCCACTCCGCCACATAGCATAAACGAGGCTGACATTTTAGTATGCAATGCACATTCATCAAAGCATAGCATTGTGTAACATTGCAAATCATTCTTCAGCCACAGAGTGTGGTCCATAGCAACATCCCACCCCCACCACCAAAACTTTGGTTCGTAATAGGTGATGCTGTAAAGACATCCTGAGAATCAGCAAATACCAAGTTGTCAGCATCCTCATGTTACCTTTGTTAAAGTAAAAGATAACAAAAAGCTGCTTTTGCAAAGAGACCACATTTGAGAAAGCTTGGAAATCATGTATTAGGTCCCATCCTTTTTCCTTCTTGCCCATATCAGTGTGCTCCGCCGAAACCAAAACGCGTTCTTTCCCCCAATCTTCCCATCCACCACGACATACGCTAAACGCGTAATTGCATACAACCTTCTGAAACGCATAAAAGAGCACTATACCAATCTCTTGAGACCTTTTCATTTCATCTTTTTTCATCACAAACTACACACAAAATGCTCTCCGAAGGTACTCTCAAGGTTACTGTTCACTCTGCTCGCCACTTGGCTGATGTTGAACATGGCGGCAAGAACGACCCCTATGTCAAGCTTTCCCTTGCTCAAGAGGAGGGCTTTATCGACCAAGAAACCACTGTCAAGAAGGACGCTGGCAGCCAAGCATCCTGGGATGAGACCTTTGAGTTCGCTTATAATGGTCAACCCAACCTTTACATTGAAGTGATGGATAAGGAAAAGGGTGTTGATGAGCTTATTGGTTTCGCTGCTATTCCTTTGGACCAAGCACCCATCTCTGGTGTCTTTAACGTCTTTGAAACTGAAGGCAAGGTCGCTGGTGCTGTTCTTATCTCTATCAACAATGATGGTTTCGAAGAACCTGTCCCTGGTCGCTCTTTCATCGATGAGGAGCATTTGGAACGTGCTAAGAAGTTGAACCGCAAGGCTGTTGCTGGTGATGTTGCCGAGGTTGCTGTTGCCACTGGTGCCGCTGTTGGTCTTGGTCTCTTGGGCAAGAAGCTTTTCGAGAACTACCAAGCCAAGAAGGCTGGTGATGCTTAAACCCCACAATCTCTTGTATCATAGTCGTTTTTTCTCTTTTACATATTTGATGAATGTCTTTTAACTGTCACTAGCGATAGTTGTTTCAAATGCATGATATAAAATTGGTTTTCCATGGATGTAAATCTTCTCTTTGGGCATATTGGAATGGGCATTATGGGATTATAGGATGGGTTTGTACGCGTCAGCATAAAGCATTAGAGTCTATGATATATTTAGAAGGATGATTGGCACAGGAAAGGGTACACACGCCAAGACATAATCCAAACCCAGGCACCCTCATGTCAAACTTCTCATTCAGCAAGCTGTTGTTTATCCCACAAGCAAATAGCATGCGATTCCGACGATGCTAATAGTGACATTCTTATGACCCCTTTACTTCTCGATGTATGCACGCCACCCAAAAGACCTGACGGATGCTTCCGCCGAAGATTTTCATATGCGTGCGCTCTCAACATGCATAGCTACCATCTGGATGCTCGTGATTGGATGATGTTGACGGAGTGTGAGGTGGGAGTCTTTGTGCACCAAGAAAGAGCATTACCTTCAAAGTATGCAACCAGGCTTCAGGAACACGCTTACGAGCCTATTGAATGGAACATACAACGTGTGATAAGAAAGTGGGTCATGTTGTATGATGGATAAGGGTCGTTTGTGAAGGTGTAGTTAAGCCCATGGTTGCACTTTGGAGGTAGCACAGAAACAGTGGCCCCCAGCAATACGCACATAGCTGTGATTTTCCTCAACCTCTTGTTCAAGGATAGGTATGGCAGACGTTCTTGCCCATTCGCTGTGGATAAATTCAGCCGTTTAAGCGCGTCATCCAAAGCATATAAAATGACAAGCCGATACATGATCCATCATCCGTCATCTTTCTTTATTACCCACAACAACATACATCATCATCATGCTCTCTGAAGGCACCCTCAAGGTTATCGTTCACTCTGCTCGTCACTTGGCTGATGTTGAACATGGTGGTCGCAACGACCCTTACGTCAAGCTCTCTTTGACCCACGAAGGCGCCGACTCTTACCAAGAAACCACTGTCAAGGAAGATGCTGGTAGCCAAGCTTCTTGGGATGAGACTTTTGAATTTGCTTACACTGGAGAGCCCAATCTCTACATCGAGGTGATGGATAAGGAAAAGGGTGTTGATGAGCTTATTGGCTTTGCTGCCATTCCCCTTGCTCAAGCTCCTGTTTCGGGTATCTTTGATATCTTCGATGTTAAGGGCTCCATCGCTGGTGCTGTTCACATTTCCATCAATGACGATGGCTCTTCTGAACCTGTCCCTGCTACTTCCTTCGTTGATGAGGAACATCAAGAAGTCGCCAAGAAGCTCAACCGCAAGGCTGTTGCTGGTGATGTCGCTGAAGGTCTTTTGGCTGCTGGTCTTGCTGTTGGTGCTGGCTTCTTGGGCAAGAAGCTCTTCGATGAGTACAAGGCTAAGAAGGCTGAGGAGGAAGCATAAGATAATTTCCCTATAATGCATACCATTTACCATAGTAGCTAAATAAACGCATCCTTTCTCATGCAAACTACTTTCTCACTCATGTTGGCAAATGCTTGAATACCACCATATGGGATCCATTGGATCGATTGGCTTCGTTACTTTTTTTTTATTTTTGATCCTGTCATTCACTCGCGTATCGGGAATACCGTATGAGATGATGTTTTGTTCTCGGACTTGGTCTTCGATTTGCCGACAACCATGTATCCTTGTTCCAATATTAGGAAACGTTATCGAGCACAGTAACCATGTTCGTGATCGAGAATACGAATACGATCATATGTCCGGTTGCGATTAGGCGAGCGGAGTGCCTGCTGTGGTGCATATATGCAACTCAAGGTGCATGAGTCTTCTGAAACAAAACGCGTCTCGAGTATGACTCGATGCTTTTTGTTAATGCACGGCCCTTAAATCTTCAATATGGATGGACTTGTGAGAATGTGTATGTGTGTGTATGTGTGTGTGTGTGTGTGTGTTTGGGTACATGAGTACCCATACGCGTGTGTGTGAAAGGCAAACTAAATAAATAAATAATGGCGGCCGCGTGAATGAGTAAGGTTGTGGGAGGTAAGGCTGTGTGTGCCCTGTTGATTGGTGATGATGGTAACGCTGCAGCATCGATGTGACACAAACGTATCGCCGCAAGTGGGCTAGGCTTTGTACATCTTCCGCATTCAATCCCTGCGCCGAGTTGTCGTACGCGTTTGCTGTGTGTGTATCTCATATTCCTTCTACCCCCCATCTTTTTGGACACGTCAGAGATTTAGTGCCAAAGTCTGATGCTGTAAAGAATATAAATACGGTGAGTGTCCTGAAGCAATCGTTTCTACATCTTTTTCTTTTTAATCACAAATCATGCTTTCCGAAGGTACTCTCAAGGTCACTGTTCACTCTGCTCGCCACTTGGCTGATGTCGAACGTGGTGGTCGCCGTCGCAACGATCCCTATGTCAAGCTCTCTTTGAGCCATGAGAATGAAGACTCTTACCAACGTACTGAAGTTAAGGAGGATGCTGGTCCCCAAGCCAGCTGGGATGAGACTTTCGAGTTCTCTTATGGTGGTGAGCCCAACTTGTTCGTTGAGATCTTTGACAAGGAGGCCGGTGTCGACGAGCTTATTGGCTTCACTGCTATTCCTTTGTCTCAAGCTCCTGTCAACGGTATCTTCAACCTTTACACTATCAAGGAAGAACCCGCTGGTGGCATTCATCTTTCCATCAACACTGAAGAGTCTGATGACCCCCGTGAAGCTGAATCTTTCATCCAAGATGAGCACAAGCGCCGTATGGAGAAGCACCACCACAAGGAAGTTGCTGAAGATGCCGTCAAGGGTGTTGCTGCTGCCGCTGCTGTTGGTGGTCTTGGTTTCTTCGGCAAGAAGCTCTTTGATGAATGGAAGGCCAAGAAGGAAGCCGAACAATAAATACATCCCCTTCCCAACATTGTAGTATAGTTTTCTTCATCGAACTACGTGTATTATATATGGTATAATGTAGTTGTTTCAAATGCACAATATAAAAGCTTCTCATGTAATAATGCTGGTCTCTTTAATGAATGCGTGGGATGTAGTAAAAATCATTTACATGCTATAAAGAAGTTGTTTCTATACGTAAACGATTTCTCTCTGGGATGATGGGTCACGTCATCTGAAAAGTTTAAGACAACACGCTCAAGCTTATCCGGGTTGATTTTTAGCTTGAACTTTTTTTCCTGATCTGGCAATAAGCTCATGATCCACATGCATAGGGGACAAGTGAAATCCGAATAAGCGAATATATCCTTGAATGGACCATTGCCAAGGCTTTCGGATTCAAAACATACGTGAATACGTGTTGTCGGAACGTGTGGTGGTACAGGTGATTCGCGTCAGACAAGTAGATGCTCTATATGCTCAATTTCCTTTTCCTGTTGCAGGAACGACCTGGGCTTTGTCCGACAGTACACGGAGATTGAAGATGGCCCATCATCCTTTCTGCAAGTTGATATGTCGTTGTCGCAAACCCACTAAGGAAATTCAAGCATAGTGTTATACTTACGAAAATTTTTGGATAGATAGCGTCGAGGCTGCAAAAGTGTGTATCTCCCATGGTATTCATTTTTGATCCACGTTGCATAGCGACCATTTCGAGATTTGACTTTGAGATTCTACTTGCTGCAAAGGCTCAGCAAGTAACTGAGCTAGCCAAATACTGTGGTGCTGTTTATAGAACACATTGGTATAACTGCACACTGACAAGGGTCATAAACGAGCCCATTTCCCAACCAAACAAGAGCACATCCATCGAATCATGAAGGAAGCCGCATTGTAATTTCATTGAAGAAGATGATGATAGGGGAGCATGGATCATATCTACAACGAGGTTGTTGGGATAAAACTTCTATGCTGGGATCATGGCTAATAAGAGTTGTATGTCGAAAACGGTTGCAGGACCAAACAGCGGATGGATACAGATGTTGCTTTTCATGTCATCCAAAGTTGAGAATCATGTCGTAATAGCATGCATGTAGATGTAACGCGTTGCTGGGCTGAACGGAGTAACGCGTGATGAGTTGTACAAGTGGATGGATACAATGCCAGACGCAGCATGCAATGTACTCGTAGTCGTAAACGAAGCTGATGACGATGCAAGATGAGCATATCATTGATGCCATCATCCCTTTGATCTTGGTTGTTGCAAGTCGTCGATGATCATCTTCCATAAAACGTGGGTAGTTGAACAGGAAAAGTTGGATCTTCCACGCTTCGTTCCTTTTTGGTATACATCAAGGCTTCATTGTGATGGTGGAGAGCTCTCCTCATTGCCGGCTTGGAATGTTGCAGCATTACCAGTGATCCCTAGGTCTTCCTCCAAGATGACATTGTTTGCTGAATGGGTGACAAAAGTGCAAGAAGAAAAGACGTCCGAAGGAAAGAGCGTTCATGCAAATTGGTAACATCCCCCCTTTCTTGTTTACCAGTGCCTTCAGTCTTATTGATTGCCATGGTCTCCTCTATGCTATTTGGCCTACTTTTGATTTCATGCCTTGTGCTACACAGTGCCTCACAGTGCCACTTGCAACATACATCTCGGGACATCGGGTGTCTCATCCTACTGGCGCACTTTCGGCAGCCGTATTATGTAACCACATGCTCACCCCCATGCCATGTAATAGCAATAGATGGATATAGTATGAATAAAAGATTCGTAATAAAGGCTTTAATTACAATCCATAACGATCCAATGCATGTTCAAGTTGCTTCTTGTAGTGCTCAAGTACTTGAGGCTGGTAACTATCTACAAGCGCTGCATACTCCGGTGTCGACAACTCCTCTAATGAAGCATAAAACTATAAGTTATCGTCGTTTTTCTCTCGCATGAATATCACAAACCATATTCTGCAATACGTTCTTGGACTCGAATCACATCCCCAGGCAGGGTTAGAAGGGTCTCCGCTATAACGTCGTGTGAGCATGCTTTCATAGGTCACCTTCATCTGGATGTTACCATTTCTTTTCTCGTCTTCAATAAGCATCATTACTCCACGGACCACAGTTTCCATCTTAACTCGAGGCGAATGTTCCACCAATTGCTTATAAGGGTCGTCGCCTTCCTTGTTGAGGATCATCCCTTGCATATCTGTGGCTGTACATTATCATGGTTATCCTTGGTAAGTTCATTGGTTCTTGGTAATTGAATGCTTTATCAGCTACTTACCAACCCAATGTGGGCATACAGCATTGACACGCACATTACAAATATCCTTAAGCATCTCCATACTACGTGTCCATCCCACCACAGCATGCTTTGTCGCAAAGTAATGAGCGAGTTGCCTATAATAAATGACGAGAATATCAATCCTTGCATACAGCACAAGGTGAAAAAAGAGGAATGCTCCTCAACATGAGAAAAGCAAGACATCTTACATGCTCGAAAGGAAACCAGCTACCGATGCAGTGTTCACTATGACTCCACCACCTCGTTTAGCCATGTGGAGAACAGCCACTTTGGTACACTTGACGACGCCCGTAATGTTTACTTTGGGTAAATTCACCTCTACTTCATCTATAGGATCCCAAATAGCCTTCGTTAATATGCATTACTACATGAGTATGTACTCCTCAAACCAACCTTCCAAAGGTAAAAACACGTTGTCGGCTCCACTAATGATGCCTGCATTCAAAAAAGCAATCTTTTGGGAGATATTGTTATCGCACGATTCAAGTACATGTGTTTGTATTCACCATCGACTTTGATACTACTACGTACATCCACACCACCAAAAGTAGCTTCAGCGAATCGAAAAAGGGCAATGACATCTTTGTACAAGGTCACGTCTGTATGAATGTAGGCAACCATTTGCGAGTCTCCAGCGCATTGACGATTGAGCTCTTGAGCTGTTTGATGGCCATCATCATCAAGGATATCGCCAATCACCACACGTATGCCTTGAGCGACTAATGCTTCGGCTACAGCTTTGCCAATCCCTCGACTACCACCAGTAATCACGGCCACCTTTTGGTTTTCAGATGCGGTCATTATCTTTGCTGAGTTGGATGAATTAAACCTTTGTTGGGAGGATGCTCTTTAAATAATGTCGCAAGTGGGGTTGCTCACGGTCCTCATATATGGTTTACGGTAAATCCGGTATTCGTTGGTGAATCTTTGATGATGGTGGTCATACTAGTTGATGAAGTAACAGCATTCCCACGTACAAGTAGTTGAATGGATGTTCTCAAATATGGAGTAATCGGCTGATCATTCATGGCCTGTGCCTGTGGATACATTACCCAGAATTCATGCAAGCTAAAACCTTATTACGGGGAGTATCAAACAATGTTAAATGAGATATTTGCAAGTCTAATTAATCCCCCGATAATCCTCCGTTGATGATATAGCTATGTGATAATTAGAGTATGTATGTAGAAAAAGCAAACAATCATCCTATTGTATAATAATCCAAGGATAAAATTGTACATGTTGAGGTGTTCTTTTTTTTTCCAAAAGAATTCGGTATGCAGTTCAATGTGCTCGTATTGCTGCTGTTCTACATAGCAGGTTTTGTTCAAGCACTCAATCCACTTAGCATCAAGGGCAACAAGTTTTTCGATTCCAAAACCAAGAAACAGTTCTTTATCAAAGGGTAAGTTGTGTAAACCTAAACGTATGCATACAAGCTCTAATGTCTATCATCCCGCAGAGTCGCATATCAACCAAGAAATGGAGAAAGCCATCTTCGCAATAACACAGATGTGATTATCGATCCTCTCACAGATACAGCTGCGTGCAAGCGTGATGCTGCATTAATGAAAAAGCTGGGTCTCAACTTGATCCGAGTGTATGAGGTAAGCAGTAGTAGTGGTGACACCCGAACCATCGCACAGGTAACAAACAATGGGCCCAATGGGTGGTTGTAGGTGGATCCCAGTAAGAACCATGATGGTTGCATGCAAGCTTTTGAGAGTGCTGGTATCTATCTTTTGCTTGATATTGCCACGCCCAAATTCTCCATCAACCGGGAAACGCCTGAATATGACACAAGACTGTATGCTGCATACACCAAGACCGTAGACGCCTTCCTCAAGTATAATAACATTATGGGCTTCATTGCTGGGAACGAGGTGACCAATGACAAGTCCAATACGCCTGCTTCAGCATTCGTCAAGGCAGCTGTGCGTGATATCAAGAAGCACATTCGTAGCAATGGCAACAAGGAGATCCCTGTTGGGTATGCTGGCAACGACGATGGGGACATTCGAGATGCCATCAAGGACTACTTTGCATGTGGTGCTGAAGAGGAACAAGCCGATTTCTTTGGTGTCAACATGTACGAATGGTGTGGTCGATCGTCGTTCCAAAAGTCGGGCTATGCTGAAAGAACCAAGGAGTTCACAGGCTACACCAAGCCCGTATTCATGTCCGAATATGGATGCAATCTTGTAACACCACGTCCTTTCACTGAAGTTGAAGCTATCTATGGTCCTGAAATGACAGGCGTATGGTCTGGTGGTGTCGTATACGAATGGTCACAAGAACAAAACAACTACGGCCTGGTACAAATCACTCCGGATGGCAAAGCAAAGCCCTTGACAGATTATCACAATTTGCAAAAGGCCCTTGCCCAAGTGGGTAGTGATGATGAACTTGCGGAGAATGCAGCTACCATGGATGATATCAAGACTAGCAGCAACGTATCATGTCCAAGTGCATCTGATCAATGGAAGGCATCCACCAAATTACCACCCACTCCTTCGGATGAAGCTTGTAATTGCATGCGTGACAATTTATCATGTATGGCATCGGATAAGGTTATTGGCACCAATGGCAAGATCACCAGTGCAGTGGGTGAGCAGATCGATATGCTTTGTGGCATGGTCTCGTGCGATGACATTAGCAACGATGGCGAAAAGGGGCGATATGGTGCTTATGCATTTTGCAGCCCGACAGAGAAATTGAGCTATCTCTATCATCTTTACATGGAGAACAACAAGGATGGCAAATGCGACTTTGATGGAAATGCAAAGGTCGCCAAACCCAAACGTAGCGATATGAACAATTGTAGCAAATTGGCTCCATCATCAAATGGTGGTAGTGGGGGCGGTTCATCATCGAACCATGGCAAGGATAACGGAGACCCAGGGTCGTCATCATCAACTACCAGTGATGCTGGGAGCAGTTGTCTCCTGCAGTATTCACCTGCTGCTGCTGTAGGTGCCCTTTCGACGGCATTGGCATGCTTCCTGGCAATCATGATAATCACCACCTAGAATTAATATGTGTCCGCTCTAAAGACCTCCTTCATTCTTCGCATCGTCGTCTGTATAAAGAAAATACAAAAGGGACAAAAAGCATAATACGATGTGTTTGGCTTTTGATGTATACACCTCCTTGAAGGAGGTAAGAATGCGACTCTTTTGGAAAGAAAATTAATATCATTGTGCAAGGGGTGGGGTAAAAGTAGGCGATGAGTTGTATCCATGGATAAAGATGATGATCGTGCTCAAAATGGTAGCAGCACCTCCTCCTCCTCCTCAACATCATCATCTCCTCCTCATCGACCACTCGTTCATTCTATGAACGTACATGGAACATCCACAAATAGACCCTGACCTTCTTGTATTCCACGTGCACGTCAAATCTCCCTCAATGTCCACTTGCAGAAAATGCATAGATTGAATATTGAATTATGGCAAGATTTGTTGTCAAGCAGTGATATGCGCATGATTTTACATCAAAGAACCTATGGCGGTTTGATGTTGTTGGGTGGGTGCTGTTACTATTCCCTTTGACCATATCGGGTTTTCCCTCCCTTTCTTCCGGGATCAAAAAGTGAGCAATCAATCAAGCAAGGGAACCTGTCATTTATTTGCCTTGATCTTTTTGTTGTTCAAAGTTGTCTTTTGCCTCTTTTTTTCCTCTCCAATACATACTTTGATTACACCTCCCCATCCATCCAAAGATTCCTTATTCCCAAAAGATGCCAACCGCCACCACAGCAGTTGCAGAGCTGAGTTTGTCGCCACCAGCAGCAGATGAACATAATACCAAGCTAGAATCGTTTTCATTGTATCGACGTCAACCCCAAGGACGACGATCCCATGCACGCCAAATCAAACTTGGGCCTTATTTATTACTGCAGACATTGGGTGAAGGCGAATTTGGCAAAGTCAAGCTTGGGATTCATACTGAGACGGGGCAAGAGGTGGGTTGAATCAAGGCAAACAAGATGAAAGCAGATGGATCTCACGTATATTAACGTATTCGGTTTATTATTATAGTTTGCGATCAAATTGATTAGAAAAGAAACGGTGGGATTTTCAGCATCACGCATGAGCAAGGTGGAACGCGAGATTCATGCATTGAGAGTAAGAAATGACAGCAGCATCAGGGGAGCGGAGGGGGCAAAAAGTGCATCTTGACTAAGACACATGTTGTATTTCACAGACATTGAAACATCCCAATATTGTCAAGCTATTCGACGTGATTGAAACAGAGCGATACATTGGCATTATCCTTGAATACGCTTCCGGTGGTGAACTCTTTGAATACATCTTGGCGCATCGTGCTTTGAAGGAGAAGGATGCACGGCGACTCTTTGCTCAACTCATCAGCAGTGTCCAATACATGCATCGCAAGAACATTGTGCATCGCGATCTCAAGCTGGTAATGTGTTGCGTGTTGCGTGTTGCTTGCTCATGGACGTGTTGAAGACTGATCGATGCTTTGAACCAGTAGGAAAACTTGCTGTTGGATCGTAGTCGCAATATCGTAGTGACAGACTTTGGATTTGCCAACCAATTTGATTCTGATAACGACTTGATGGCGACTTCATGTGGATCACCATGTTATGCAGCACCAGAGCTTGTGGTGAATGAAGGGTTATATCAAGGTTCATCGGTGGATATCTGGTCCTGTGGTGTCATTCTATATGCCATGCTGAGTGGTTACTTGCCATTTGATGACGATCCATGCAATCCAGACGGCCACAACATCAACCAGTTGTATCGCTATATCCTCTCTACAACTCCTTCGTTTCCATCTCACATATCTCCCGAGGCTCAAGATCTATTACGTCGTATGTTAACAGCTGATCCATCTCAACGATGTTCCCTTGATGCTATCCAACAACACCCATGGCTTCAACAGCATACTGCACTCTTCAACAAGTCCGATGCCGCCCTTGAATCTGAAGCTGCTCGTCTTGCTGAACAAGCTTTCATGCCAAGCTATCGAAGGATGGTGTGGTCGACACAGCAACAACAAGAACAACAGCAACAGCAACAACAGCGTACAATGAACAAAACACGTCCTGCTACGGTGCATGGCTTGGGACGTTTGGCGCATCTTAGCCATAATCAACAACAACACCATCACAACAGCATTCGAGGTCATGCTCGTACACAAAAGGCACAGACTGCACGTCCACCTCCACGACGAGAACGTTTACTCAGCTTCTTTACTAATAATGGTGGTGGTGGTGGTGATACACAACTTTTGGCTTCTTCCAAATTGCGTAGCAAGTTTATGGCTAATCTTCGGCCTACAGCAACCATCTCAACGGCAGCAACAACAACGAATCAACGTCGTCAGCAGCCTTATCAAGTGGAAGCACCGGTATCACCTCCTTTGTCTCCTAGTGACCAATCCAAGGATGAAGCTATTGCTTTGAATCGTGATGAATCACTACGCGTCCTTACACGTGACACTCGTCGTCCACGATACCATAGCACAGTTGGAGCAGCAAGTGGACGTGCTATTGCAGCCATGCGTAACAGCCTATCACGTACCAAACGTGAGAATGACAAGGATCGCCCTTCATCTCCTCAAGCACCATTATCATCTCCACAAGGACCTACTCCCACAGCCACATCCACAACAACCACGGCTGGTAGAAAAGTGATGGCATGGATTAAAAGGAAATCTGGAGGTAAGGAAACATTATCACGTGAGTGGGCCTTTACTATTTCGGGACTCGTGTAACTTATGCGCATGAATAGGCAACAAGACACAGCAGCAGCAGCAGCATCAGAATACTACAACTACTACGACTCCTATCAACAAAACAGCAACACCTGCCGCTGGTGTGGATGACAATCAAAAACAACATGAAGCTACTACAACCACTGAAACGAGCCATGAACCACCTAAACCAGAAATGCCCAAAGCATCTCGTACAGTCACTGAGTTGAATACCATGGCAACACAGCAACCAGCAACAACAGCCGATCAACATGCCAATGAGGCGACTACCACCACCAACGCACCTGATGATGATGATACAAAGCTGGATCAATTGGAAGAACAAATGCGATTCCATCATGGTGCAGTAGATCGCTCGGCACTTACATCACAACCCCCTGATCAAGTCATGGATGAGATCAAGAGAACATTGGTTGCATTGGGTATCACGCATTTATCGGATGGTCCTTACAAGCTTAAATGCTCTCGACGTAAAGCTAAGACGCCTCCTGAATTCGAACTATTTCCTGATCCTGGTCGATTATCAGCCACTTCATCACGTGAGGACTCTCTCTTGTCCACTGAAGCCGAGGAAGAAGTAGCCATGATGCAGCAAGAAGAAGAGCAACAGCTTCGTCCTATTTATGGTGATCCAATCACTGACACGGGTGATGAGGTGCGTTTCCTTGTTGAGATCAGCCGATTCCGTAACCTACCTGGTTTATACATTGTCGACATACGCCGGCTGCGTGGAAGCGTTTGGGCTTACAAGTTTCTTTATCACAAAATCATTGACCTACTCCACCTGGGCTCTTATTGTTGTACGACCACTACAAGATCCGTGCGTAGTCGTCCTGATCATCTTGTGCAAGCATCTCCCTTTTATAAGAACCCTCCTCCTCCTCCTCCTGAACCTATCGAGTGTACTCGCTCCTCTATCCTTGTTGCACAAACATAATAGCCTCCTCCTTCTTCATCTTCATATATAGCATAAAAAATCATCCCATGCCTTTCACACGTATTATTATGATTAGTATAAACATCATCACCACCATCACAGTAGTAAACATAACCTCAATGAGCACACACTAGTAGAGAGAATTTCTTAAGACAATAAAAGGATCAAAACATTTTCATTGAGGATGATGAAGATGAGTAGGGATGTTGTATATATATATATGTGTGTGTGTGTAAAAAGGAAGATAGAGAGAGAATATGCAAAAGACAACGAGTATATCTAGCAAGTTGACAAAGAGAATACACCAAAGATGGGCAGCACGCTGAACCTCTTTCCTTGAGTAGTATCTGATGTTGAAACGAGAAAACGGGATATGGGGAATATGCACAGAATGATAAAAGCAAAAGATAGGCCGGATGGAAATAGATAGAGCCCTTTTTAAATAATACGGTAGGATCATGAACGTAACAAGGTAGTAGTGGTGGTGGTGGTGGTGAATGCTGCACGTTGATTATCCAATCGAGTACGCTTGGCACGACAAATATGATGCAACAAATCTTCCAATTCGTCACGTGGTGGATCAGCATCTTGATTACTCAGCCGACGACCTTCCAATCGATCCACCTTGTGTAAAAGTCCATTCATGAACAAGTCGCGTTCCTTATCACTGGATAATTGAAAACGTTGACGATTGTAACTGGGCCGATGAAGGGACTTGGCCAGCAAGTCGGTGAGGGATCGCTTTTGTGGCAAAGGGTGTAACATTTCTACACGTTGGTTGCTATAGCCTGTGGAAAGTCGAAAAACTGTTGCCATGATACGGTCAAGCTCATCGTATTGTGGAGGTTTCTCTTCAAGTGGTTGTTGATGATGGTGGTGCGTATCCAAATCATTGTAAGCAGGCGGCTTTTCATCCTCCTCCTCGTTATTACAATGGCGTCGTAGAGCTCTGATGGATGGTGTATCGGCAAGTGAAGAAGGAATGTTCTCAAGAGCGTATGTAATCTTCGCATGAGCCTCATCCCAAGAGAGATGCATAGTTGAATAGTCGTTATCCAATTCAAGCGATCGTAAAACGGCCACCAATACACGTGCAAAAGGGACATGCGCTGTTGTAAGCATCCACAAATCACTTAAAAGCAATCGTTCCACTTGTTCGAATAACTCATGTGCTGTAGATGTAATCGTGCTGGTGTTGCGAACGAGGCTGGAGACGCTATGCTGAATTGAGCCAAGCAGACTTGTGCCGTGATACGATTTGTCGCTTGTGATATCCACCACCATTTCATGAAGAACTGTATCCAATCCAGCTAGACACGCTTTGTATAAAGACTACATGTGCAATACTATTGTTGAGTGGAATGTGCGGATGCGCGAGTTGTGGCCAATGTAGAGTTACCTCCATGGGGGTTTCATCACGATGTTCCATGCTCTACACGAAATAGCATCAACGTATGAGTCAAATGAGAAGCAGCGACTACTTTGTTAAAGAGCAACTTACTTGACGAGACCAAAAGGCTGGCATAATAAAAAAGTGTGTGTGTACGTCTGTGTGCGAGAAAGAGAGAAAGAGTAGAGTGAGAAGAAAGACAAGGGAATTTAAAAGTAGGTGGTTAATGTGTTTTATATAAAGAGCGCTCAGCAGACTCTCATCATCACCATCATCACCATCATCATCATCCCCCCTCCCTATCTTTTTTATCCAACTTGGCGTCCTTGTTGCCCCTAAAAAAGTCACCCGATTCTACGTGTTCTTTGTGGAAGAGAGAACAAGGAGACCAGTTAGTAGCGCTCCCGCCTTTTCCCTTACTTGCTCTGGTGGTGTCCTTTTTGCATATTGCATCGACGACCTGTTTGCCACTTGTTCTCCTATCATTCTCCCTCTTACTCATTGCCACTAAGGGGGTCACAAAAAGAGAAGCTCTTGAATCTTCCCCCATCCGTCAACATCATCATCATCATCACCATCGTGTGTGTGTATTGACATCTATTTTCCTTGTCACTCATTGTTCTTGTATTATGCATTGTCGTACGAAATTTCCAACAAGTTGCAACAGCCATAAAAGGAATAAACCAAAGCATACCTTTGCGAATGATAAAGAGACACCAATACGTTTTTATTATGCTACTCTGCAGGTGGTCCTGGTCGTACATTGGGAAATCAACCATGAAACCAGTTAATTCTTGGTCCCAGCATAAAGCCATCCCAAGCTGCAGTGGGTCGGAGAGGGAAAAACAATCATCCCAAGGCTATCCACCTCCACCTCTGAAACAACGCTTTTGAAAAAACCATGTTCTTCTTTTATCCCTTCAAAAGACATCACTTGTTGGCTGAAAAGGCTAAAGGAGAAAGGCAAATGAAGCAAGATGATGACGATGTGCTGGATCACTTGTTTTCCATCTCGACGAGCGATAAGAGGATTATGCACTACGGATTGGGTAAGGTGTAACCTTTAGACTCTGACAAAGGTGGAGGAGGAGGAGGAGGAAAAAAAGTGGGAGGTGGTAGTAGTCAACAGCGGCAGGAGCCATGAAGGAGCGAGAATCAAGGGGAGCAAAAGAAAACGATGCTGACTAAAGCGATAAGAAACGTTCCGTGCATTACAGCATAGCGAACAAGATTGTTTCAGGGATGCTGCCTTTACTTTACACTCTGGATGTCGATCGCTCTCCGTGTCCAAGCAAGATAAAGTCGAATGTTTGTGTAAAAATGTAAGGAATGTATTCTTTGTGACACTCATTCAACTTGGATAGATGCGCTTTTATTGACTCTTTGTGAGTTGTCCACTGCCAATGTCCAAGTCCCCAATGTGTGCATCCCCCCTTTCAAGGAAAATGACAAGGCACAACAATGCGTCATGTGCGTATTCATTCATTCTCATCATGCGTCTTTGTGTTTTAAGACTGAGTGCAAAAACAACAGGGAGTTAGCTCGTGTTCCACAGACATGGACATCTTACAGTGGTGAGATCTTGTCATCTTCGTCGGTGGGAATATCATTTTGATAACTAACCACACATCCCAAAAGGATACTTTCGTGACGCTGGTATGCTCGAAGGGTAATGATTTTAAGATAGGCGTATATGGTAATATACATATCATAGAATCAATGTGCCTTGCGATTCGATATCCTCTTGAACGAGGTAGGTTACAGTTTCATTATTCATATTATCATTTTGCTTATCCTTATTTAGAACTCGTGGAGCAATTACACCAAAACATTACAAAGCAGCAAATATCGAATTTGGCACTCTTACAAGAACAACAACAACAAATGAGTGAGGGTCATCGGCAAGGGATGGCCAGCTTGGAACGCATCAACCAAGCACAGGAGCACTTGTGGCAGCAGTGGCAATTGAACATGATGGTAATAGAGAGGATAATCGATTAGCATACATGTCTTAGTGATGCTTTACGGGGGGTTGTGATGATATAGGATATGCATGAAAAAGCAAAGCACGATCTTTCCGACATTGCCGATCTCATTTTATCCATGCAACATGACTTACAGCTGAAACAACAGGAGCAGCTCATGCATTTGGATATTATCGATTCATCTCTTAAACAGCGCGTGAATGCTCTTTGGGATACCACTGAACATGAACTTGAACAGGTACTCGAAAAAAAAGGATGCCGATGATGGTATTGATAGGTGGCTTTTATTATTATTAGATCCTTGGCCATGTGGAAGCACGGATGAAATACATGCAATCCGGTATGGAATCCACTTTAATGTTACAGCGTCAAGTCTCATTTGAATGGCGTGCTATCCAAGTAATGAAGATTTCTGAAATGTAATGATCTGCAGTGTATCAATTAGAACGTATTATTTGTTTTTGTTTCAAGGATACGCAGATCGTCGCAGCAAAGCAATGGCAGACCATGATGAATGAAATGAACACAACGCTTGCTTCCATGTTGAATACAACGAGCCAAAACATTCTATATCTACAAAATGACATTCAATCCGTTCACAGGCAATTCCAAGGCATGCTACAGCCGCTTTCTCATATCGGGATTGGTAGGTAACACATACACAATGATGCATGGTTGCACACGTGCCCACGTTTTCTCATTCATTTTTTTGTAGTGCTGCTTTTGGTGATCGGGACTAGGTGCTTGGTAGCATCTCCTTTCCGTTGGACGATTATCACTGTAGCATTGTATCTTTTATTTCCCTATCGACATGCTCAGGCGATAATCCTTCTATTTTGGGTAACTTGGTATCATAGCAACAGCCATGTATATCATTATATTGATAAATGCCTATTAATGGTAGCTTCTCATCTATGCCAAGAAGAAATACAGCCACACTCATCGATCACCTACCAGGTAAATGACTATCCAAGTGATTTAATATATGGATGCTCATGAATAGTTGTGCTAGGGCGGCTAGACAGCTACGTCTGTATCACGACATGATCCAATAAGCAGTAGCAGATGGCCAATGTGGCTTGGACTTTATAATGCTACATCGCATCCCGCTCTTTCAAAGTAGTTCACTGTTACTCTTATATACACACTCTCAATGAAACTCGATGCCAAAGCATTACGGTACATGAGCTCGGAAGAGTTCCGTGTGTTAACAGCTGTATGTATTGCGTGTGCCATGTTGCTTTTATCTTTTTCTTATGGGTTGGAGTATAGGTCGAAATGGGTTCCAAAAACCACGAGGTGGTCCCCATGACGCTCATTGCACAGATCGCTCAACTTCGACACGGTGGTAGTCATAAGCTCGTGGGTGATCTCGCCAAGAACAAGCTTATTGCCCGAGTACAACATGCCAAATGTAATGTGTATACGCTCTTCAGGCTGAAAGATAGCTCATACATGCCCCCTGATAGATGATGGTTATCGTTTGACGTATGGTGGTTATGACTATTTGGCACTCAAGACTTTTGCAAAGCGAGGATCTGTTTATTCAGTGGGCAATCAAATTGGTGTTGGAAAAGAATCAGGTAAGAAGTGCATTGACAAGGATGCTCTATGTAGTAACACGTTTATACCATAGATATTTACATTGTTGCCAACGAGGATGAAACCCAATGTGTATTGAAACTTCAACGGTAAAGAAAAAGACTCGGCTAAGGATATCACTGGGACTAACACATCGTGTATTTAGTCTTGGTCGTGTATCGTTCCGTACTATCAAGTCAAAGCGTGATTATCTTCAAAAGCGAAAGTCAGCATCGTGGATGTACATGTCTCGTTTGGCAGCAATGAAAGAATTTGCATTTATGAAAGTATTGCATGAGAATGGATTCCCGGTCCCAACACCCATTGATATCAGCCGGCATTGCGTTGTGATGGAATTGATTGATGCTTTTCCTCTGTAAGTGTATACATGTGATATATGGGATTGTTGGGAACTCGCTTATTTACATGAACAAGGCGGCAGATTGAACAAGTTGCCGATCCCGGCAAGCTTTACTCAGAGTTGATGGAGCTTATTGTACGTTTGGCGCAATATGGTCTTATCCACGGTGATTTCAACGAATTCAATATCCTGATCAAGCCCAATGGTGACCCCATTTTGATTGATTTCCCACAAATGGTATCCACATCTCATCCAAATGCTGAATAGTAAGTAGCTTTGTGGAGGGCGAAAGCATTTGTCTGGATAGGACCAACATTGATGTATTCTAGCTATTTCAACCGTGATGTGGAGTGTATTCGAGTCTTTTTCCAACGCCGATTCGGCTATGAAAGTGTGCTTTATCCCAAATTCAAGCTTGATGTCAACCGAGAATTTGATTTGGACGTCCAGGTGGCGGCAAGTGGATTCAACAAAAAGATGCAAGATGAATTGGAAGCTGTAAGTTTCAACGAACGACATTTCTATCTCGAGTCAATCATCTAAATGTGATTGAATAGTATCAAGAGGAAATCAAGGATCAGGATGAGGATGATGACGAAGAATCACAAGGTGTTGACGATGATGATGATGTTTCTCAAGACGACGCTGAAGATGATGATGAAGAAGAAAAAGAACAACAGGGCATGCCAACCAATATACCCTTGAACCCAAAGACAGAAGAGGAAGCTGTGGAGGCTCGTCTCCTTAATCTTCGACTGGGAAATACAGAGCCAATTGACCAAGAAGAATCAAGCGAAGAAGAGAGTGACCAAGAAGAGGATGGTGAGGATGATGAGGAGGAACCTATGCAACTTAACAACCGAGACTTCAAGGCATATCGTGATGTGAAGAAACCAGCATCATCAACGCCTTCACGGGGGAAGCAACCTCTCAGCGAGGAATCCATCAAAGAGCGCGTACAACGATCCTTGAAGAGCAAGAACAACCGAGAAAACTACCGACAAGCTGTAAGACGCAATCAAACCAAAGGAAGAACAAAGCGTAGAAACAATGATGTTATTAAATCTGCGAGCAAGGGAACTGGAGGCATCTTTGATTAGATAGCATTCATTGTATTTGTAACATGACATCCGTTGATAATAAAAAGTATTAGATTTGCATGATAATCTTTAGGATGGTTCCAATGACTCTTTTATTTGATGTTCAATGGGGATAATAGTAGCATGGGATGGTGGTGGTGATGAGGACACTCATTTGTTGGCAACGATGGGGGCTTGTGATACGCTAGCGGGCATCGGCGGTGGTGGATGTGGTGCACTTTGAATTCCCTGGCTGGAATTGCGTCTCTTCTCGAACCGCTTTTTTCCAGTTTTCACTCATGACAACAACGAACCAGGAATCCATACCACCACCACCCTCTGATGGTTTGATCGATACACAACAGACTCCTCCTATGCCCATGTTGCAACGTATGCAAAGTCCACGACCTCCTTTTTCTACCGGCAATTCGGCCTCCTTGTACGTGGGTGATTTGGATTTGAACGTTCAAGAAGCACAGCTCCACGATGTGTTTGGACAATATGGACCGATTGAGAGCATTCATGTACGACGAGATCCTATTACACAACGCAGTATGGGGTTCGCTTTTGTCAACTTTAAAAACCTGGCGGATGGTATGTCATGTATCCTTCTCCATCCCTTAGTAGTAACGTCGACTCATATATGGGTATCATAGGTGAAGCAGCACTCGCGTCAACGAATGGAACAGCATTTAATGGCAAACCGTGTCGTGTCATGTGGTCATTACGTGATCTTGCCAAGCGTCGTTTATCAGGAGGGAACGTATTTATCAAGAATCTGGGCCCAACGGTGACTGAGGAGACGCTTTACGATTTGTTCAAAGAATACGGCACCATTTTATCTTGCAAGGTGGTGTTGGATCAGCAAGGTCAAACAAAGGGTTATGGTTTTGTTCATTATGAAACATCCGAGGCCGCTGACAACGCCATTAAGCACGTCAATGGTACGACCCTCAATAATCGAGCGTTGTAAGGGAGGGAGAATATTATTCTTTTATGTGAATTGGTGGTTATCCATTGGAGAATCATACTGACAACAATTTCCATTCTCATATAGATTTGTTGGCCATCATGTACCCAAACGTGAGAGATATCAACAGCAGCAACAGCAGCAGCAGCAACAGCAACAGCAACAACAACAGCAGCAATATCGGATGTCAACCAATGGAGTCGCATCATCGATGGATTCATTCCCTTTCACCAATGTCTATGTCAAGAATCTAATGCCCGATATTAAGGAGGATGAATTAAGGGAATTATTCGCTGGATTCGGTCCTATCACTTCAGTAACGATTCAACGGGATGCATCGGGTGTATCCAGGGGTTATGGATTCGTCAACTTTGAACGACATGAGGACGCTGTCGCATCCATTCAACAAATGCATGACAAAGAATACATTGGAAAACGACTTTATGTGTCTCGTGCCCAGAAAAAATCCGACAGAAACGATTTGAATCGCTATTACCAAGGCACCAATCTTTACGTCAAAAACCTCGATGCTTCCATTGATGATCAAAAGCTACGTGACGAATTTTCAAAGTATGGCACTATCACCAGTGCACGTGTTATGCGTGAAGAGCGAACTGGAGAATCAAAGGGATTCGGCTTTGTATGTTTCAGCAGTCCTCAAGAAGCAACCAAGGCAGTAGCAGAAATGAATGGACGTATGGTTGGTTCAAAAGCCATCTATGTTGCTCTTGCTCATCGTCGTCAGCAACGTGGCCCCAGCCATATGCAACATTATCAACCTCATCATCCAAGACATCTTCAGAATTTACCTTACGTTCCTTATGGAGGTGCAATCTATTGTGGATATCCACCCGACATGTCGTCCTATTATCCTAAACAACCTTATCCACCCATGCCTTACATGCCTGCTGCTGCTGCTTCACCTATCTATTCTCCTGTACAGCAACATCCTCCCCATACCATGCCTCAGGAACAACAACAGCAACAACAACAACAACAACAGCAACCATTCTCCATGGAAACTCTTTCATCTCTCACACCTGACATGCAATCGCAGATCCTTGGTGAACGGATATTTTCAATGATGTAAGGGAAACATAAAGAGATTACATGGGAAGGAAGCTTGTTTATTGACTTTGATATCCATAGTCATGGAAAGCACCCAGAAGATGCTGCCAAGATTACGGGAATGCTATTGGAAATGGAACAAGGCGATCTTTTGGCTTTGATTGAAGACCCACCATCATTAGAAGCAAAAGCAAGCGAAGCAGCCAGTGTTTTACAACAACATCGAGCCGATATGCCATCAGAAAATTAAAAAGTGAATCCCCTCTTTTAGTTGATATGATGAAATGAAGCTACGATAAATAGATTCATGCGTGGATGCGTATTCAATAATAATGATGATCGTCATCGTCTCCAGACGAGTAGCCATATTCTATATATACACGCCCAATTAGATTCTCTCTCTCTCTCTGCCTTCTTCTCCTTCCATGTTCTAATCACTTACGTTCTTCAAATTCTTCATCACTCTCCTCATCAGGGTAATCATTTTGATAAAAGTCCTCAGCTATGATAAAAAAACATTATTGAATAGCAAGTTCATGCATAAATGTGATGGGTCTCTTACCATTGGAGTCTTCATCATCGAAATCCGCTGCTTCACTGTCAGATTCATCATTCATGTATTGTGTCTCTTCGTTGAACCATATTCTAAATGAAGGGCATTTGAGCATTCCCAATCAATGACATGATGATGGTGCGTTACTTACAATGAGCCAATGGTGAGATCTTTAAAGGCACCTGATTCGCTGTTATCTTGATAATAGACATCATATACATAATCATCCTCCTCTTCTTGTTTGCGATCATTGACTATGTTGTGTCACCGGTTAGCTCAACACCCACTTTGCATAAACGAGTTACTTACGTGTTAAATACTCCTTGACCATTGGAATAAAGTTGCACATGATATCCTCATCATCAGCGTTGTCTTCATCTGGGAAAAGCTTGGGTGCTTTTGGATGCTCGTCCTCGCGCACTGCCTCGTACATGTTAAACATATCCCTTTAACGCTTGCCATTAGTTCACTTCCTTGATAACAATTCCTCTCGACAATGAACTTACATATCCGGCATATGTGCGCTGTTTCGATTCTTCTGCACCACGCGGTAACGGGCTTCTCGGATGGTATTCTAAAATGATCTTGTAAGTCATCGTCAAAGATACCAAGAATAATGAGAATGCTGTACCATATTTTGCTGCATCAAGCGATCTTTTCGTTCCTGAACTGTCTCAGGTATCCGATTGACACGTAGAGCGATTCGATCTTTGAGTTTTTGTGCATCAGCTGCATTCTTGAATCCCTTCTCTTCGACCGTCTCAGCCAAGCGAAAAAAAGTAGGCAGCGCCGAGGGTGATACTATACGATAACGATACATTACAGCTTGCCACCTTGATATGCCTCTCTACATGTCTTTCTTTTTTACCTGACAATGCCTTGTCGTTATCCTTTCGAGGCCTTTTCTCGTTGGCTTGCGTTTGGACCACTTTTTCTCGATCGAGTCAATGTTTGGAATATGCTCAATCAAAGAGTTAGTAGGTGTTTCAGCTTACACAATGCATCAAGCGGCTCCTCGGTGCGTTTCCGCTTGATTCGTAAGAGCGTCAGTGGTGGTGATTCCATGGATCGATGGTGGAGATGCAAGAGAAGGACCCACTTACACGACCGAAAAAAGTGTGTTGTATATTCCCAAAAGCCGTTTCAAAGCCAGAAACTAGATGTTTCTCGTTCGCATGATTGTTGTCACATGATACACACTGGAGGTCGAGATCAAAGGATACAACTCGTCTACTCAAGGGCAGAGATGTGAATCGATTACATAGCTGTAACATTGAATTGAACTATAGAGCTGTACAATCAAATAGAGAATCATCATCATAAAACTTGGCTACATGCTGTTGTATTATAGAACTTTTTAATAGTCATTGCCTTTGCTTCGTCTACTTTGCTTCTTTTGTGAATGGCGTTTCTTAAGCTCTTTCCGTTTTATCTTTTCATTCCTCTTCCTATAGCATCATCGTATTAGTGAGAGCATCAAATTTTTACATACAAAGCTCACTCACAGTGTCTCTACACGAGCAATGGTAGCTTCATCCGGATCACGTGGCACGGCAACAGCTTCTTTGATTGCCTCTACTAGCTTGTTGTAACAATCATCCACATTGTTGGCTTGAGAACGCGTCTTGTCAGAGGTGATGACAAGTTCACCAGCTTTGGTGAGCTTTAGCTTTTCCTTTGCATAGCTTGGGAGCCACGTAGCCTGCTTCAACTCAAGTCTCATATTCACTTTGCTACTAACTTACATAGGTGTGAAAAAGAAAGCACTCCACGCTGTATCCTACATAGTACCTTTGTTGACATTCTGGCCACCAGGACCGCTACTTCGACTAAAGGTGATGCGTAACTGATCTTGAGGGATCTTGGCCTTATTGAAGTTGCTGATCCATTCGCTAGCTTTGGAATGACTCCAAGGTTTGGTTGAATAGTGACGAAGGTATTGTAGTGCAAAGCGCATTAGGATGATATCAAGAAGGGAAATTATATAAAAGTCAATGGTAGAAAAAAGGGCGCAATATCACATGACCGAACGATCAAGTTGCCATGCAGCGGTCGTCATACCAACCCTATAGAGTCTTACTATCGACCATCATATCATAGCAACCCCGCCCCCACATTGACGACTCATAAACATAAATAAAAAGTACCCATGAATACAACACGTAGTTAATTCATTTGAGTTCTCCAAAATATGGATCACCACAAAAAGGGAAAACACTCTAAGTCTCTCATTATTATTAGTTAAATAGGATTTAAGCAGATGCTTCAGCCTTGGGCTCTTCGCTTGCAGCCAAATGGGCCTTGAGGACCTCCATAGCTTCGTTGATCTTGGCATCCAAAGCAGCCTTGTCTTCAATCAAGTTCAAAAGCTCGCTGTTATCCATCTCGAGAAGCATACCAGTGATCTTGCCAGAGAACTCAGGTTGAGAAGCATGGCTAGAGAAATAAAAGAATGAGTCATCCATCATACCCATCAACCCATTTCTTATTGTAACTTACATCAAAGGATAGAGACGTTCACCAAGCATTTGCTTTTGGGTCTCTGGAGCAGCAGCAGCAAGGGAAGCAGCAGTCAAAGCCTCAGGGCCATTAGCTTGTTGTTGCTGTTGTTGTTGGGGCTCTTGAGCAGCAGCATTGGCATCAGCAGCATTGTTGCGGCCTTGAGAAGAAAGCTTACGCTGACCAGCAGCACGACCAGCAGCACCACCACCACGTGGAGGACGAGGTTGACGGGATGGACGACCACCTTGTTGAACGTTAGGACCGAAACCAGGACCTTGGGGATAACCAGGAACTGGGATTTGTTGGCCTTGTTGAGGAGCCCAACGAGGACGGGGCATCATACCATTAGGTGGGAAAACAGGACGTTGACCTTGAGCCATGAAGCCGTTAGGAGCATAGAACATGGGGGCACCAGGGATGTAACCAGGAGCACCAGGAATAGGAACAGCCTATAAACACAATGATTAATGATATACCCTTAATATAGATGCCATCCATCTCATCTTTTTACCTGTTGCATACGAAGTTGGTTACGTTGAGCCATTTGAGCTTCGAGTTGGCTGCGACGGACTTCCTTACGTTGAGCAAGAGCAACGTAGATAGGCTTGGAACCAATCATACGGCCATTGGCTTCAGTAATGGCACGAGTAGCCTCATCAGGTTCAGAGAAGCAAACGAAACCGAAACCTTTGCTGTTTTCCTTTTCATCACGCATGACCTTGGCGCTGGTGATAACACCATAGACAGAGAATTCTTGGCGAAGCTTATCATCATCAATGTCGTCGTCAAGGTTCTTGATGTACAAGTTGACACCTTGGTACTTGGCAAGCTTCTCAAGCTTAGCTTGCTCATATTGCTTACGAAGCTCTTCCTCACGTTCAGCCTTCTTTTGAGCACGAGCAACAAAGAGAGCCTTGCCATTGTGTTCCTTCTCGTGAAGCTCAGCCACAGCCTTACGAGCATCCTCAAAGTTCTCATAGTTGACGAAACCGAAGCCCTTGGACTTGCCCTCATCATCCTTTTGAACAACGGCGGAAGTGATCTTGCCGTACTTGCCAAACAATTCCTCAAGTGCCTTATCATCAACCTTCTCATCCAAGTTCTTGACGTAGACATTGGTGAATTTAGCCTTGAGCTCCTCAATCTTAGCTTGACGTTCCTTGCGAGGAATGTGATGACCAACGTAACTATATCCAATCATCAGATTCACAGCCTTTTTCTTCATGTATACTATACACTTACACCTTCTTGTCGTTCAACAACATGCCGTTGACGTGCTTGATAGCACTTTGAGCAGCTTCCTCGGTCTCGTAGTGAACAAAACCATAGCCCTTGGAGTTGCCGGACTCATCCAAAGCAATCTTGCATGACAAAATGTTGCCAAAAGCGGAGAAAGTATCATGAAGAGCCTTGTTGTCAATGGTGGGGTCGAGGTTCTTGATGAAAACGTTGCCGGAACCAGTCTTACGAAGAGAAGGATCACGTTGAGACCACATGATACGGCAAGGTCTACCCTTAATCAAGGTGTAGTTCAAGCTCTCGAGGGCACGTTCACCTATTGGATTATACATACATCAGTTACAAGGGGTCCATGATATCAAACTTCGTATACAACTTACCGTCAACAACGTTATGGTAGTTGACATAGGCATAACCCAAGCTGCGACGAGTGACAGCATCACGGCAAACACGAATGGAAGCTATATATAGAATGGATTATTAGATAAATTGGCTATCCACATCGAGGATCAAAACATGGCATATTTACCAACTGGGCCGACGAGGTTGAAAGCCTCAAAGAGCATAGCCTCAGTGACAGTGGGATCGAGTTCACCAACGTACAATGATGCCGATGGAGAGGGATGAGCAGCTGCAGCGGGTGGTGTCATTGCTTGAGCTTGAGCGATCTGCTGTTGTTGCTCGGCAGAGAGTTGAGGTTGCTGCTGCTGTTGACCGTTGGAAACGACGTCGGCTGCAGGTGTAGGGTTGGTGGCAGGAGAGGACATTTTGGTTTTTTACTTTTTTTTATGGATTTTTTTTGTTGTTTTTCTCTTTTTAACGGTTGTGGTGCCCGAAAAGATAAAGAAAAAGAAAGAAGGAAAGAGAGAGAAAAGAAGAGTGTTTCCTTTCTTTGAGATAGAGTGGGAAGAGGAGGAACACATCAACTTGGCAGCAACCAACAAAATTTTTTTCTGGGCAAGAAGCTCCGAAAGTCATTGTTATCCTGTTGGTTTATCACAAGAGGATGAACATGTCCCACTTGTGTTTCATTGTAAACATTTACTTGAATCCTACTCTTTTGGTTCTTTCACATCAATGCATATTGATCATAACTACATCCAAGGGATTGAGTGGTACCAAAGGGATAGATGATAGCAAGGGGGAGGGTTAACCAACAAGTATCATTGTTGTCGTTATCGGCAAGGTCACCCAACATTGTCGTCAATCAAGCCATGAGCAAGGTCGTCAACAAAGTCGTCCAAATCATCATTGTATTGAAGGATGGCTTATATGTACCTTGACAAGTGATGTTCCTCGCTGCCCTGCACATGAGTTCATGCATTTCCCAAACAGGTGATGACGATCGTATTATGATAAAAGACTACCACAATGGAGCGTATCTCTGTATATCAAATCACCATGTTTCCCTTCATCTCATGGAAGCGATATCCATAGCAAATGTGAATATGGGTATACGTCTTCATCATCAGCCGATGCCCAAATTGCAATACAGCCACAGCACATGTCAAAAGTGCAGCCCATCTCGTTCAAATTGCAGCACCGCTCAATGTTTCAACGCCTCTCATCATCCAAAGAGTGTGATGCTTCTCGTCAACTTTTTTTATTTCGGCCAAAAGGCCATCCCTTAACAACCCTCTCTCGCTAAAATGTGTATGGTATTCGTTGGTCATAGGCTAATTGATGCTTGTATCCAATTGCAGGATCGTGGATGGATCCTCGTTTTGTTGAGCACATTTTATACGTAAGGGAGAATGAAACATTATTGGCTGCGGTGGTATTCGGTGCTATCAGGGCCTTAATGCACATTCCTATATGCTTTGCATGAACCCTCTTTTATACCTTTTTTGCATTATGTAATGGTTGCTATGTATGTTTGTGATGGCTAGGTTACACAAATGCACCCGTTGCCACGTGGGTAATAGAAATCATTGTCGTTGTTCCATGAATTTGATCACGTGGATTATGTGGAGATGGAAGTATGCAAACTTTATTCCTGAATACTTGAGAGAGAAATGACGATATGCTGATGTTGATGTGAGAGACAATAATTATATGGAGGATAAAAAGTCATAAGGGAGATGTGTGTGTGAGTGTGATGGTGTGTGATTGAATCTAATGATGTTGATGGTAGACCAAGGGGACGTATTCAGGGGTGTACATGGATGACTTGACAACATCTTCAAGCAACTCGCCTTCCTTCAAACGAGCAGTAGCAACACCTTCTTCGTATGCGACTTCGCAAACACGAGTACCAACGGCATGGGCAACGCTGCGAAGTTGTTGGACACCAGGGAACAAGATGCCTTCCTTGAGTTGTTCAGGGGTAGCCAAATCAGCAATGGCACGTGCGGTTTCAAGGAACATGTTGGGTGTGACATGAGTGGCACGAGAGACCGTAACACCAAGACCAAGACCAGGGAAACTGTAAGAGTTGTTGCATTGGTTGGTTCTGCCAATCTTGCCATTAGGAAGAACAACATCCTTGAAGGGACTTCCAGATGCGAAAATAGCACGACCCTCCGTCCAGCGGTAGGCTTCTTCGGCAGAGCATTCAGCATGGGTATCAGGATTGCTCAATGGGAATACCACAGGTCGTTCATGATGTGCTGCCATGGTGCGAATGGCCTTCTCAGTGAAGACGCCACGAATACCAGTCAAACCGAGGATCACACTTGGCTTCACACGCTCAACCACTTGTTCGAGATTTAAGCGATCAGGCAAATCGCTCTTCACATAGCAGCTTTGGCGTTCGTCAAGAGGAGCACGGTTGCCTACAGCACCAGCATCGGTGGAGTTCTCGCTAGGCAAATCAGGGTTGCCAAGCAAACCATGTTGATCAAGCATATACACGCGGCGATAGGCATCTTCACGAGATTTAACACGTCCTTGAGCCACCATACAATCAATGATACCTTCACACACGCCTACACCAGCCGAGCCGGCACCTACGCAGATGATACGCTCATCCGACAAGTCTTCTTGCTTTTTACCACGAGCCTTGAGAGAAGCCAAGATACCAGCAAGGGTGATAGCTGAGGTAGATTGGATGTCATCATTGAAACAACGGATCTCGTTGCGGTCTATCGGGGAAAACAAAAACTATATTAGAAACATGTTTCTTTCTCTACCCCTTTGTAATATGGATCATAGTAATAAAAGACACTTACACTTGTTCAAGAGATTGTATGCATGAGGATACTTGAAGTCTTCAAATTGGATCAAGGCATCTATAAAGTAAAATGAAAGGGTTAGAAGGGGATCATCATCATGCAAAAGGGATACAACAAACGTACTTGGCCAGCGGGCTTTAACAGCAGTGACCCATTCATCGACAAAGGAGTAGTATTCTTCACCATCAAGACGACGATGGGGCATGCCAAGGTAAAGGGGATCGTTGAGCAATTCTTCATTGTTGGTGCCAACATCCAAGACAACGGGCAACACAGCACGGGGACGGATACCACCAGCAGCGACGTACTGTCAATTTTCCATAAATATACCACCTCCGATCGGGATCGTTACAAATAAACTATAAAACTTACCAAACTCAATTTACCGATGGGAATCTAAAAGTGACGGTATAATTTAGCACACACGGGAATCTCTTCTCTATCGAGCAATGTATCAAAGAAGTCATATTTACCTGCATGCCGTTAGCGCCGAGATCACCCAAACCCAATACACGAGAGCCATCGGTTACAACAATAACATCGACTTCATCATGGGGCCAATTGTACACCATAGCAGACATGGCACCTCTGTCTTGGGATGAAAAGTACATGCCTCTGGATCGGCGATAAATGCTGTGGGATCTTTGTGATGCAAGACCAACTACAATGGAGAGAATGGGTATGTGTAGGTATAAAGTGGAAAATTGCGGAAATCATCGGGTCGTACCTGTCGGGGTATAGATGACACCCGATAGCTCCTCAAGGTGTTCAATAACCAACTTGTAGAAGAGGGTCTCATTACGATCCTGTAAGGCTGACAAAAAGACAAACTTGGCGAGAGGCGTCTCGCATGCATCAAGGTTACGCTTCACTCGTAACAATTGCTTGTCCATTTCTTGTTGACGAGGAGGAACAAGACCACGGATCGACAAACGTTCTCGCTCATCAAGATTAAATGCCGTACCTAAATGCATTACCATCATCAATAACAAGATTTTATCCACCTATCCTCATTTTTCTACTTACCCTTTGAAAGCAATGGGTCGTGAATCACATTAACACCACGAGATTGTGTAAGGTGGATAGTCTTGTCGTTGCGAGGGTCGGTGGCAAGGGCAGCGGATGGTGCACCATAATGGCGACGAGCAGCAGTACGCACACAACTTAGGGTGGAGGAAAGTCTATTGATTCTAAGCATCCTTGAAAAGGCGGGGTGAAGGAGGTATAAAAATAACAAAGAGAAAGCGGTTAATCACGATTGGCATCCTTTTATGTCTTATCTGTGGCTTTGGAAGTCAGATTTGCTGGACATGTTCATTGTGCACGAGCCTTGCCAACATGATGTAAATTGATGTCCCAGTGAAACAACAATAGCTCTCGTCACCCGACAATTACATTTATTCATATACTCTTTGGTGTTACCTATCAAACCGGATGATAAAGGGATCCTATATTTCATCACTTGACAAAGAAAAACATCGCTTCAAAGATATGACGAAGGGTATCACAAGGCTCTTGCATGAGTGTGGGGATGGCATTAGCTCATCAATGTTTGGTTTCCTTGTCTACCAAATGTGTGTTACATGCCTAACAGGTATATTCTTACAGGCCCTTGTCCCAAAGTTTTTGTGTGAGTTTTCATGCATCGAAGCTGATGAGCCAATAACAATGCGTCTTTCACTGTAATCCCTGTATACACCTATCCACTCGTTGTTGATTCCACCTTTTCCTTCAAACCCAATCCTAGCTCTTTCCTTCCTCCCAGTTCATTACATACACGATCCTTTTCAGCATTCCTTTGCATATCACGTGAGATTACTTCTTTTAGTTGAATGTAAAATAAGAAAAATGGATATTCGTCTATGTTGGTTATATGCCCATTTACTGCGATCCCCACTTGCTTGCCGTATTCCAAAGAGTGAATAGCATAATGCCCGTTCCAAAAGTAATGAGTACCTGATCCACTAAACGTTGCCAGCCTTTGGTGCCATCCAATCCCATATGGAACAAGGGTGGGAAAATTAAGCTCAATGGACCTATCGTTCGAAATTAACAAGCTGAGGTCATCGAAACCATTCACCCATTCCCAACAAAAAAAAGTAACTTACAGCAGCAAATGGATCCGATAAGACTGATAAATTTATCCAAGTCGTTGGCACCAGCCCATGCGATGACAGCACCTACAATGACGATAGCGCATCTTAATGCATTTTTTTGCCATTTGATAGTAGCATTGTGCTTTCCCGTGCGTTCACCAAATAATGCGTGCTCCACAATACGAACGGTGGGGAACAATGTAAGTGCGTTTGTCAAGTGCACGGCCAAGGCGTAAAACAGCTGTACAGTGTTTCCAAGCAATCCATCAGGTAAATTCAAAAGAGCCACGGTTTTGACATCAGTACCAAAAGCAACATAACCCAAGGATCCAACTAAACAAAGCACAGTGGCAACGATTCCCATGACGATTGTCAAGACAAGGGGGAACTTTTCAGGGCGCTCCATGGCGTCACGGATGGGTATAATAAGACCTGCATAGATTCTATACTCAGCAGCATATTCAGGGGCATGGCATTTTCGCCCACTTACCAATTCCTTCAAATGAGTAAACAGCTGTTCCGATGAAGACAGGATAAGCACTTGGGTTGAAAAGCCATTGAACATTGGGACCAGGTTGTGGAGTATCGTTTGAGAAAAAAATCTGGTGCACATCACATGCCAACAATATCAGCAGACCCATCACAATAAGGACATCAGCAAACAAGGCCGTCGAGGAGAGCTTGGCAATGTTACGAATCAAGACAAAGGGCATCAATAGTAGTGCCACCATGATCAGTGTTTGTGTGCTTGTCAATTGGATAGCATGATGGGATAAGGATCGAACAGCTTGAACAATGTTCTCCACAATGAAAATGGTGCCACCACACATAAAGCCAAGCTATAACAAAGAATGAAATGTGAGTGAGCCATGGCTATTCTTCTTCTTTTTTCTTTTGCTTTGCCTCCTTATTTACTGTACCTGTGAGATAGCAATTGAGAATAGAACAATTCTCCTCATCCAAGGACCATACATGGCACCACCAATATCACCATAACTGCCAGCGACATAGTTCTTGCACTCCAAAAGTCGTAAAAAGCAAAACAACGAGACAAAGCCCATGAGGTATAGGATACAAATGGAAAAGAAGAGACCACCATTGGAGAATGCCTTTGGAAGGAAAAGAATACCACTGCTAATGAATGCCTTGAAGAGGAGGAAACCGGTCTTGAGGCTGCTAGCCTTGTGTTTGGGAGCACCTTCTTCAGTGACACGTCTTGGACTTCCACGCCTTCGACTTCGATTATAGGATTGTAAAAGGGGAGCTGATTCTTCATCTTCATCATCAGAGTCGGATAGATTTTCACCAGCAAATCGATCCATGACAGAAGTGACAGCCAAGTATTCGAGAAAATGACGAGTTTGAACACCACGCATTGAGCCAATGGTACTTGAACGAGCCACTGATTCTAGCATTGTGTAAGAGTCGCACGAAGAAGCTGTCTGGGGTCGAAAAAGAGAAATGCTGTTGGGTGGATGGGGTGAATAAGACCTTCCCAATTCTTGGTCCGAAGGGCTTGCATTGTGTGATTGAAGTTGTTGTTGTTGTTGTTGTTGTGTAATGAAATGATAGCGTCGAAAGCCTCCAGGCTTATTGAGATTCTCCAACACAGGATCGGAATCATCACTGTCCTTGTGTATAATCTTGCCTGCTTTGACAAGCAAGTCATTGCTGGATTTGCTACGTTGTAATTGTCCTGCACGGAGGGTGTTGGCATGGCTGTAGATATCATGGGTGATTGCAGTTCCAGGCAAATGATAAGGAATGGGTATCAATTCTTCTCCTCGGTCAGCTTGAGTATCTTGATCGGGATCTTCGCCATGGCGTATGGAATCGTTGTCATGGGAGGAGGAATCGGTCACCAAGTGAGGCTCTACAAGAGTAGCGATGGCTTCATCTGGAATCGAGTCTGGTATAGTGCTTGTTGGTGTCTGCATCCTTCACTTGGGTGGTAGTACAAAGGATGAATAGTTGATGATTTTATAGACAAAAGGGGGAAAAAGAAAGATCAACGACAAAAGAGAAAGAGTCTCCGGACTCCATTGAATTTCTACTCACTTTTAAAGACGTAGTGCGGAGATGCACATATGCAGAATCTTGTCACCCAGCACTGCACGTCGTACAGAATGCTTTTGATGGGGACGCCGATGCACGATCCCTCGATCACCTCTCATTCAAATGTGTTTCAGCAAATGCATCCAAGCCATGCGTATGCATTAATACTCAAATATCACTGTTTACTCTCTCGCTACGACAGGTACATTTATATGCATTGCATTAACCCGATTCACCGGAGTTGTTATAGTAGCCAAACAAAATGCAGCGTAGTAGTAGTAGTAGTAGTATTATCACCCCACAACCCCCACCCACCCCACTATGTATCCCGCTACATCACTTCTTTGCATAACAACAATAATAAAGAGCACATCATTTCATGGTAAACTCTTCTATACTTTCTTCTGTTTATAACTTTGGTAATGCATAACAATAGTCCCATCCAAAGCTATGGATGCATGGCAATGTACAATATTTTCGCACGATGATTGTTCCTCCTCCGAGCAGTAAAAAACCTGGCGATCTGGCAAAGATATGACAGCCAAACCTTAATAGGCACTTCTCTTACGTCAATAGAAATTGTCGTAGTTCTAACAGAATACATATATATATGTACCCAGGTGCAGGGTACAATGACCGTAAACATGATCAAGGTCAGCTTTGAATGGAAAGATAACGAGGAGCGGAAAGACAACCGAAACCATAACCACATGATCCAGACCTGCCTATAAAGAAATATAGTGATCAAAGCTGGTCGTATCATGTCACATTGGTAACACAACCGTGTAATGGTTTTCTATACGTATCACTTTTCTTACGTCACTTCCTTGAAAATGGAAAAGGTTACTCAAAAACACGATCTCGGCTTCTAGTAAACCTGCATCATGCATACAAACGCACTGTTGGGTGGTGTACTTACCACGTGATGTACCATAATCTTGATTGGCGTAGTCGACTATGTTTCAGAGCGAGACAATAACATCACAAAATAGAAAAAAGTTTCGGAAAAGAGAAAACCTAATTTCCATAATACACTATCTCAGGTACCATCGCTGCGTTAGGGTGTCAATAAGAAGCTATAGTTAAGACTACATGCATATAGAGGGATGTAATGCATAGCATATCAGACAATATCTAGCTTAGTGTATTCAAGCGTCCACGTGATTAGTCATTTAGCTACCATTTTCATTGTTCAAGTGAGCTACAACAACTTCGGGTAACAATAAACTCTATCGACCATCTCATCGCAACCAAACAACTTTGGTCACACAAGCAGCACAGAGGTCAACCAAATATTTGTATACATAAAGAAAGCATATTGACGCTAACAACAACATTTGCCTGATTGGGTCCATCACAACATGTAGCACTCCTTGCATGGAAACAAAGAGTGCGGGAATGTGCACACGTACATAATAGTCTTATTGATACAACGCTGGTCTCTTTACACTAAAGTATATACGCTCATCGAGGAGGCTGCTGTAATTGAGATAATTGGGCTACTCGAAAGATCTGCTTTACTCTTATTACTTCTCAATAGCAACCATGCTTGACATTATCAGCCATTTGGATCATGTAACTTTAGGAATATTGATCAAAACTCACGTCGACAATATGGATTCTTTATACCAGCATGGCTAGTGACCATTAAACGTATTCGTTGGGATGGCTCTCAAGAGAGTAGATTTGATTAGGGAAGGGGTCCCAACCTTGACCACCGAAAGCTGTCAAACAATATGCATGCTACATGACTTTATGCAACAACGCCACATTCTTCGTATGCAGCTTGAGTATGTTTGTTATGAAAAGAAGGGTACCCGTTTACGTACGAAATCGTATCATCATACTTTGCATGTATAATATCAAGAAGGGTGATGGGTGTTGATGGGTAAAAGAAGACACCATAGAGTACATCAGGATCGTTGTAGACGTTTAAAATGAGGTTTATTTATGATGGAGGTGTGATGAGGGTGGGTGGTTGGGTGGCAACCTAGAGGCTGTCGGACAAAGTGAAACTAATCTTGCAACTTTGGCTTTTACCTTTCAACCCAACAATTTTTACACTATGCTCTTCCAAACCGATTGGTCACTGCCCTCTTCAATCGCGCCTTCTGCACGCGGCAAGGAACCTCTGAAACCCGATCAATCGACAAACGATGACAGCAGCAGCACTCTTCAACAGCGATCAGCAACCAAAGAAGCCGATCGATTGCAATTGCAGATCAAGCAGCTGGGCAACAACAACACCGGCGCGAAGCAAAAGAAGACAAAGAACAAGAACAAAAATCAAACGAAACGACCGAACAAGGTAGAAGACGCCACTATCCAAGTTCAAGATAAAACAGCAACCGAGTCAAAGCAGCAACGACAAAACAAACGATCAGCAGAAGAATCACGTGCACCAGCCAAAAAGCCAAAACTTGATAGCAGTCAAACAGCAGATAGCAACAAACAGCCTGCAGCAGCAGCACCTGAATCATCATCAGAGAAGGGCAAAGATAATGTGAATGGAGAAGCAGCAACAAAGATGAGTAAAACAGCCAAAAGGAAACAAAAAAAGAAGCTACAAGAGGTATTTGCTCGACACTTTTATGCGTGTGTGTCTATGCTCTCTAATCTAAAGTGGATTTAGTTATTGAAGAAGAACGCCTCCGGAAAGCAGCAGCAACAACAACAACAGCAGCAGAAATCGACCAAAGATTCTTCTCAAGAGCCAGCATCATCCACTCCTCCAAAAGCAGTCTCCAAACCAGGCACCAAGCTTACCGCATTACAGCAAAAGATGAAGGAAAAGTTATCAGGAGCTCGTTTCCGTTGGTTGAATGAGCAACTTTATACAACAAAGGGTGATGAATCTTTCAAGTTATTCCAAGAAAAGCCTGAATTGTTTGACGAAGTAAGTAATCTACTCCCTTGTTTTCTTTTACTTTTGGGTTAACAAATGGGGTGAATAGTATCATGAAGGATTTCGGCATCAAGTTGAATCATGGCCAGAGAACCCCGTTGACATCATCATCAGCCAGCTTCAAGATCTCCCTGAAGGAACGGTCATTGCCGATTTGGGTTGTGGAGACGCCAAAATTGCACATACTCTCACTCGACAAAAGGTGATGAGCTTCGACATGATTGCAAAGAACGACAAGGTCATCGCATGCGATATTGCAAAGGTAAAAGCAGCTCTACAGGAAGGATCAAAATCAAGTAGTTAACAAGAGGCTCATCATAGCTCCCTCTACCAGCCGATTTTGTGGATGTTGCTGTTTTTTCCTTGGCGTTAATGGGTACAAACTACCTGGAATTCCTGAAAGAAGCAAAACGAGTATTGAAGCCAGGGTGAGTAGAGGATTGAATATGCATGTCAAACCTGTTAAACCTGACGAGCATCATGTTTTTAGCGGAGAGCTCAAGATTGCAGAGGTGATCAGCCGTTTTAGTGATGTGGATGGCTTTATTGATTTGTTGGAGCATCTTGGGTTTGACTTTGTGGACAAGGTATGTATTTGTTTTATCATGTCAAGTGGTCAATGCCTAACTCATGTTGATGATTGATTTACATAGGATGCTAGCAACAAGATGTTCATCATGCTCTATTTCACCAAACGAGAGGTTGATGTCGACGAGGAAATTGATAAAGAGATGCTTCAAGGTCTTAGCAAGAAACAAAAGAAGGCATTACGGAAAGGAGCTGGCGTCAGCGTTTCTTCAGCCAAGTTGCAAAAGACAGCAGAGAATCTATTGAAGCCATGCGTATATAAGAAGCGATAGAGATAGGATGCTGTGGAAATAAACGATCCATTGCGTTTATGATATGTATTGCTTTCTCAAATGTAGATGACATGCTTATTTAACAAGAGGAGGTTTATTGATTAAGAGGGTATCTTATGAGTATTGGAAGCATTGTAAGATAAGGATGACATTTAGATAGGTCGGGTGTTCAAGCATTTGTTGGAGTGTGCTACCATTCTTGTGCAACGGGATCATTGGTTTAGTGCTTGTACCTTTTAAATCCGAAGCGGAAGCAAGTGTTTTAGCGTGCTTTGTCTCTTTTACATACCCTGTTCACGATGCAGTCATACAATCACTTGCCATCTCAACTCAAGAACCACTACTTCATTGGTCGTCATGGCTTTTCTTTGGCCAACAATGCTGGTCTCATTTGCTCAAACCCAGATATTGCGATCCCTACCACCGGTGGTCCTCATGGTCAAGGCTGGGGTTTGCACGAGCGTGGCAAGGAACAAGTCAAGGAGGTATGTATGAAGAAGAAGGATTCGATCTACTTTTTGTTATTCTTACATGTTCAATGTATATAGAAAGCAGGCCTGTTAGCCCAACACTTGTTTGCTGACAACAAAAAGCCCGAGATTGTCATCTTTTGCTCGCCCTTCGTGCGTACTCATCAAACTGCCCAAATTATTCGTGGCGTGTTGAATGAGACTGTGCCTGTTGCCGAACCTATTCCCAACATCGCCCTGCGTGAACGCTTCTATGGTGAATATGACATGACCTCGGATGAAAACTACAAGCTTTGCTGGAAGGATGATGCTACTGGTCCCGATCATGGTGAGCATAGTGACAAGGGAGTGGAATCACCTAGCAGCGTGTGTGAGCGCACTACCCGTTTCATTGTCGATGAAATTGAGAGCAAGATGGAAGGCAAGGTGGTGATCCTCGTTGCACATGGTGACGTTTGCCAAATCATGCAAACTGGTTTTATGCACACCGACGCCTGGCGTCATCGTGAAATGGAGCACGTGGATACTGCAGACTGGCGTGACATGGAGCTCGTCAACAACAAGGCTTAAACATGAATGCTCCTTGATCCATATTAGAGAAATCATAGACACACGTGTTGTAGATAGATAGATGCTCTTTCAAGTAAAATTTTAGACTTCCTCCCGCATGAAATCATTTACTTGCTATTTCAAGTATCTTTGGTTTACATCATCATTCTATATTCTTGACAATAGGGTGCGTGTGCTAATGGTCTACTATAAAGGTAGTAGGGCACGGCATAAAAAAAAGTGCTCAAGCTGGATTTTCCTACTCTGTTCTTTCTCTTTCAAACATGGCCCATTTTGGCTTACAGGAAGCCGACAGCTATATTGGTAAACCCCCTTCACTCTCACTCTCCTCTCAACCATTGACACGACCCATGCCCTAGATTACGACAAATTCCTCTCTGATTCGTTCGACGCCAATGGCTATGCCGACGCCATCATCAGCACTTCAGGCACAGGAGACAAAGCAGAAGTGGCAGCAGCGTTATCCAATCTCTCATTCAGCATTGCCAGCCTTGACAAACAAATCCAGAACGAGGCAAGCTATAGAATGCCCTATTTCATGTATGCGTATCACTCAACGGGCTTCTCTGTTATTAGGTGGCAGCCAACTATCATACCTTACTAGGCCAAGTGCGTGGTATACGCGAATTGGAAGTCGTGCTTTCCACAGTCCAGACGAATATCATTGAACTCAAGCGTTCTTTGGCAAGGTATCTATATCAAGAGGAGGATGTATGTTCACGTGTAGTTAATGTTGGTAAATGGGCAGGTTGGCAACCAAGATACGGGATCCTTACAATCAGCTTCAAAGCTACAATATCCAACTTGAGAATTTGCAATACACCTCTGATCTTTTGCGGAGATTGCATCGCTTTATCGTGCTGGCTCGAAGACTAGAATCACAACTGGGCACAACTTCATCGGATCGTGACATGTCAGCAGCTGCATTGACGCTCTATGAACTTGGTAAGTGTCATGTTTTATACATGGATCAAATCGGGTGACTAAATGTTTTGGATACTATGTTAGAAACCATTATGCAAGATCCCGATTTGGATGGCATCAATATCATCACCACCTCACAATCATTTATACAATCCAGCAGGACAAGTGTTGAGGAAGAAGCGGGACGTTTGGTGAATGACGGCTTGACAACGAGGAATCAAACACGCATGGCAGCTGGTCTGCAAATCTTGTACAACATGAAACAAATGGAACAAAAGGTGGACGAGCTTTTGCAGAACATATCAGACGAGTTGGCCCGAGAAATTCGTCGTGCTGTCGACATGTCATCATTGCAAAAGGAAATGCGAGGTAATATACGAGGAGATCATTTTATTGGGAACCAAGTCTAATGGCATGCTTTTGCCAGGCTCCTCTTCGGGTCCTGCTGTTCGTCGCGTCAACCATGAACCAACCTTTGCTAGTCAATCACAATGGTCACAGGCAATATGGAATCGGATGGAATCGCTCACCAAAACAATGAAGGATGGATGCATCAATGTGTACAGCTTGGAGAAGGTGCTTGAACTAAAGAGGGATTCTATTACCCAAACGACCTATTTGGAAACGGCTTTGAAGGTACATGGGAGAGATGGGATCATCATCTAGGATAAGAAAACTAATAGTTTGGAGGGAAAAATAGACCTTGGATGCAACCAGCCTTGTCAGTCGATTTTGGAGGCAGCTTTCTGCTACATTTGAGAGGGAGCTTCGTGAAGCTACAAAAGGTAAAAGATGGATGGTCTTTGATGGTTTCTCCAAAATGCTCATTATGCCTTTTTTTAGCATCCACATTCCTGCGAAGCACCTTTGTCAGTGAGTATCCAAAGTTGGAACGGCTAGTACAAGACTTTTTGTCTCAAATCGCTTTACACAATGGCGTGTCCATGAATGACTTTTCACAAAGGTAAGCAAAGAAAGGGGGTATTCTAGTCATTGGTATTAATCGAATGAATAGCCCAGAGTATATCATCATGTTACGGAGTATCAGTGTATTCGAGAGCGGATATCGTGCCAAGTCAAAACGAGAGAACACTTATTAGAAGTCTTTATTTTAATACAAAAAGTTATACCATTCTTCCTAATTATTGTGATGGAACAGCTGTTTGATGAATCCTTTTACACTCTTGTTGCTTCCACTTCTATTTTGATTGTCATTGTTGCTAATAGAGTTGTCGTTTCTTTGTGGTGTTGAAGAGGGTTGATTATCTTGAATGGCTGAAGGGGCTTGATTGTTTTGCTCGAGCACGGGCTCTGGGCACCACAAACGGCAAAGCGCATGTTTTGGGCCATCAATGTTTTCGGAATACTTGCAACTTTTGGCTGTATCAATGAATTCACAGTATGATGGATCGCCTCCACAGCGACTTGCGACGATTTCTACTGTTCTCACTGCTCCCGTAGGGTCTTCTTTTGGGTCATGTAGTTGACATGTGCTGATCATGTACTTTGTTGCGTTGGTAAGGTACGGGTTCGCCTGATACGCATCATAGCCGATATCCAATCCCAACTCAGCTAGAAAGATGGCAGCATGCAGATTGAATCCAAGATAATGAAAAGGTTTTGTGCGACTGCTTTCATGCGGCTGATCACCTTTTTCATCCACCTGCTTGGGAAATACATTGACAAAGAAATTCTCAATGGTTTGTCGTGCCGCTTGTTCATCGCCCAAGAATTGCTGGATCATAGCTACTTGTACAAGATACCAAGTCAAATGGTTGTTTTTCTTGGCTGCTTCCTCCTTGCCAATATCACTCTCTAACAGCCATCTAAGATATTCGGAAAACCACGTTCGAACAGCTGGTGCAATAGATGCCACGGCAGGCGAGGTAACAATGAGGGGGAGGACGTTGGCAACACGAGCAAGTCTATGTAGAGCATCTTGGTATGAGAAAAAGAAGAAGCTGGTTCTATACAATGCATGTCCTTACGCTCTTGTACTCATGATGCCTTCTCCACGTCCTTTTCCTGTTGGGTTGTCTTTTCCACGGATGACTTGGCCATAGTCAACGTTTGGATTCATGCGTGTTTCTTCGTTCACCAGGAATGTATCAATGAGCTTCATAGCATGATTAACGTAAACCTCTCTTCCCAACAAGTAATATCCCATGCAAAGGTATGTAACGTTTTCAGCAAAGGCTTCCAGCTGTGATTGATCTTTAACCAAGTTGCAGTCTATCTTAGATGTGAGTAAAATGCTTGTCCTCGTTGTATCATACCTACCAGGATTGCGTTTGCCATCACGACGCACATATTTATCCTTGTCCTTATCCTGTTTTATAGATTAACAAATGTTACCATGTATCCCCTATTAAACCATATTGTTTCTTACCGACGGCCAAAAATAGCTATCTTTAGAGTCAATCCAAGTGCATGTCACCCTCTCCCCAATACACTTTTTACTTACGGAGCATAGCTTAGAAAATCTCGTTTATCACCCGAGGCAGCGATATGAGGTTCACTCTTCTCAAATGTGATACTGAATGGTCCTTTTTTCAAAGCACCTTGAGCTAGCTTTTGAAGGCTGTCATATGCTTGTGGCTGACATTTTTGCTGTTGTCGTTGTTTGAGGGCATGAAGGGCTGGCAAGTGAATGTACTCGATTTCAGGTTTCTTGGGTGCCATTTCGTGTGTGCAATGGAGTGAAAGAGAAGGTCTGTGGGCTTTGTATGTTTCAAGCGGGAAATCGCATAATCGCATAGAAACCGCTGTCATAGTAAAATTGGCTGTGTAACATCCAGGGATACGGTTGCATGGGAACAGAGCTCTTGGCATTTATTTTTATTTGAAAAGATCATCTTCCTCATCACTAAGTATATCTCCAAAAACTGGTATAGGATTGGGATCATCGAAAAGACCATCAAGATCATCTTCCTCTTCTTGACCAAATGTCTCAGTTGTTGACATAATGGTGGTGGATGCCGCCATCAAGCTCTCTGTAAGGTTTCGCCGAGGACGTCGATGTGGGGCTGTTGCCTCGTTCCGCATGCGTGTTGGTGTCATCATCAAACGTCTAACACGACGTGGTGTCCTTGCCTCTGTTATCTCGTCATCGACGTCGTCTTGCTCTTCTGCTGCCATGGCCACTTGTCTTCTGTTGGAGGGTGACTGTGTCTATATCGAGATTCCAATAAGCTAAATGTTATATGCACAATGTATAAAATTATCTCACCTCGTGACGATGTGGTGTAAATCCGAGACCAGACATTGAGAAACCAAAATCTCTCTCAAATCGCGTGCGTGGTGTGGTTGGAGATAAGGGCTCACGTAGCTTAACCAATACACTATCTTGATCTTGACTTGCATTAAACCTCGCTTCTATAATGGAATATGAGAAAAGGCATTCAACGAGAGCTCCAAAGGGTAAAAACTTACTCCTTGGTTGTGATGAAATGGGAGGCTGAGTGAAGCTGTTGGCTCGTCTCATGGAAGGCTTTGCAGATGAAGCGCTTGCTATCCTCTCGGGAATATTTTTGCGTTTGGAAAGATCCACTTCACGTCGCATGAATGGTAGGTCTGGCATGGCTGATCTTTTCTTCGTATGCGAGGATGCGTCGTCCATGTTTTTACTTTTTGTTGATCTCTGTGAGCTGAGCATATCAGGTGGACTGGATGGTTCCCAAAAGCTGGTGGTGGACATCTGAGAGCTGGTAATTTGAGAACTTAAAGATTGGGTCTCTGATGGCTCATCCTCAACCGAACGATCCACAAGGAATTGTGTCCAATCTATCGCAGCGTTTGATATACTAAATGATACATCCTTCAATATAAAGCGTGTAGATGGCTTGGATGGTTGCTTACTTACCTTTGGTGCATATGATGAAAAAACGTGGCAAGTGAAACATCCGCTGGGTCTATCCTGAAGCCTGGTCCACCCATCTCATTTTGCTCCAGGTCTTGAAAAAAGGTGCCAACATCGTACACTTGTTCCCAAACACCACTCCTGTCGTAGTAAATACACAGCTGATATTCGAGCATCGGATTTTCAAGATCCACCTCGCCCTTCAATTCCTTCTGACTCTGCGTAATCGATAAACGCCCGGATCTACGCTCCAAGCAAATACTCAAGAGATAAAGCACCATTTGCATTTTGCCCCTGGATTAAAATGCTTAGTCTTGGAGGATAACAAATGATATCTACAATCACTTACTCTCGGATTTTCAATGCTTTGCGCCATGAACTTGCGTGATCCTCGTTTCCAGTTCTCATTGTATATGCTCGCCATTCTGAAAAATAGCTGCGTTCGTCTTCAGGAAGGTCCTCCTCACGATTGCCAACAATGGTGTTGTTATGCTTGGTATCAAATTCGGAGGAAAGGTACAAAAGTGAACGCACCGCACTCGTAACTTCATTCAACTAGAAAGCAATAGGTTAATATTATGCATTCGGCATGGATAGACATTGAGCTGATTTCATTACCCTTGTGCCTCCTTTTGTCTTTTCGAGAACATGCTCCATACACTCGTACATTTGCTTCATTGAATCGATAAGCAGCCACTAATGAAATGAGGGTTAAGATACTTGAATGGGATAGAAACCTTCATTCACAACTCACCTTTTGGGTATATATAGTTTCAAGGTAAATTTGTCGTAACGTATCACGCAGCTCCTGGGCGGATTTTGGTAACTCAAAGGATGATGCAGGCTCAGCATGAATAGGAGGAGGTGTCGCTGGCTGTGATTGACTTTGTAGCTTGGCTTCCACAACTGCTTCCAATCTCCCTTTCCGGTTCCTTCGCCTACATAGTTCTTTGATGAGATGCATTTCAACTAAAGTAAAAGCACTCTTCCTCTCACCTGTTCTTGATATCAACCAAGAGCTGCTGTTTGGTTTCTGATAAAGATGCCAATTTCAATGACTCGTTGGATGTATCTTGTAGCAAATCGACTAGTCGCGCTTTCTTTGCATGAGTGGCTGGTAAACTGATATAGTCCAACATGGTCGATTCGAATGTGCGCTTTTTTGCTGGAGTCAAGTTTTCCATATCGGTGATGTGAGATAGCTGGAAGCTCGGTGCCAATATCCGTAGTATTGCAGTATTGTTGATTTTGGGTTCGATCACTGCATAAAATTCTTTGTTGCCGACGATGCGCGATATTGCCAGCTGCCGTTTTGCTCGTAAGTCATCGATCAAGGAGGAGCATTTGTTGTCCGTGCTTTCAAGAACAAAGATGTCTTCTTCCTCTGAGGATGGATATTCGACCCATGACATATTCCATTGGCACCGGTGGATATAATGAACGACGTCGAGCTGCTCTATGGACAGGTCACGTGATGGTTTGCTAAAGTACAAGGTTCATCATGCTCAAGTTAGTCGAGGAAACAAAAGCTTAACAAGCTACTATACCTTGTTGCAGGATAAACTTTAATCTTGGAAGGTTGTTCTTGTAGAAGGATAGAGTCAAGTCAATTACTTTCAAGTGATTCAAAGATAATGCTAAGAACGCTTACCCTCTTTTGAGCCTTGTACAAGATCCACTGTCCATGATTGCATTTCTTCTTTAAGACCCAGCAGTTCTTGTGTACTCTTCCCTGAGATGGTATCAATCCCAACGTTGACTGTACGCGGTGTACATCCATGAAACACCTCTGAAAACGAAACGCCATAGCTTCCAAAATGGGACATGAGCATAGATGATCTGATGTGGGTACCACCAAAAGGTCGCAATATTGATCCAAGACCGTTGCATAGCAACAGCTCCTACATTACCTTTAATGTTAATAACCCTCCATGACGACGGCCCAATTACCTTAAATTACCTCTGAGTTGCCAATAAAGCTGCCAGTATCAACCCAACTGAGTGAGATGCGATGATTGGCATAATCCTCCCATAACCACTTTCGAAGTTCGCTGTGCATTAACTGAAGCCATTGGGCAAGCTGATCATTGACGTCCGTATCTTCGTTGCTGTTGATGGTAGAATGAGATGGCATATAACGCTGCAAGGCCTCGAGTGAATGTGGTGCTGGTGTTAACAAGTATGTATAATTCTTGATATCGATCTTTTGCATCCCACGACTTGCTGCACTATTGCTCCATTGTCGTCGAGGTGATTCGGATGAAAGATCAATGTCGCTCCAGTGAAATTCAGCGAGTGCCTGTACAAGACTTCGTGTGACAACCGTGAATGGTGCATCCACTGCCTTTGAGCTCGGATCGTGCTCGTTCTTGATGCGTTTGCTAAACTCGTTGGCGAATTCGTGAACTGTCTTTGTTGAAATAGGATGGAAAGACTGATTGGTCATTGCAATGGAGCGCGTTTTGCTGTTAAAGAAGCGGTATCCCCAAGTCGTGCGTTTGTCAACCGAGTCGAGAAAGTACAAAAGTATACGAAGCACCATTCCCTGGATCCATCGCACCGTTGCATCGTGGCCATTTTCATATTGCTGTACAACGTCAATCAAGAATACGACATGAGGTGCACTGCGCTTGATCGGGGTCATTGAGACAAGGACGGCAACAAGAAGCAAGAAACAAGTTTCCCAATTTACAGCGAGCGTGAATCCCGACCGCACCTTGATATTCGCGTCCTGAACTGACAACATTAGCGACATACGAGCAAATGCCAGGTCCGATAATATACGCATGCCTTTATGAATGATGTGCTTATTGTTGGCTTCCACATCTATTGTACAGCCACAGACTCTAGGTTCAATTGCTTTATAGTGCTTAGATTCATGCAATATCATCATCTGCTATCATGAATGGAAGGAAGGGGCAACCAATCAAGCACAATGCCGCACCATAAAGAGCGAAAACGCACCCACATAACAACATCGTTTGCCCATGACCAAATTCGCCATTTATATATACCATAAATATCAATAAAGTATCATATTTGAAAACGTATTATTAAGCGTGCAAAACCAAGGAGATATGATTTGAGAATATAATAGTACAACGAATCATTTACAATGATAGTATTGCTGATCCACGCATCCACATCGTTGCTGATCCATGTCTTTGCTGATCCACATCTTTGTTGGTCCACATCCTTGTTGATCCACATATCCACACTATAAGCATGATACGTTAGCCATCATTCATATTTCAATAGAAACCATAACAATCATGCTTCTTGAGGAGCTGACAGAGTTTCAAGCGAACGACGGCACCCACCGGTTGAATACCCAAAGTTTCCTTTACGGCAACAAGTAGCACGTACATACGTTAGACTACCCCGATCAACTGGCCAGTGAGCACCATCAATCCACAAGAAGCCTCAGCAGCATAGGCCATCCTTGAAGTATGGTCTTGGTTCTTGATTAATCCACTCTTTGCTGATCCACACTTTGCTGATCCACATGCTTGTAAAAATATACCATCATCAGCCTCTTGTTCACAATCTTGTTCCAAGTGCTACAAGGACATTCTTGTAATATGAGCAATTGTAGTAGAATACAGTGGAACCCATCTATACCTGCTTTCAAGCGATATCATCACGTCATTTGCTGATCCATATGCACCATGTTAAAAGGCTGGAAATTTGACGGCAACGAAAAGCCAAGTGAGCTCGATCAACCCAAACAGATCGATTGGAACCCACCCACCTTAGCTCAACCAGCATTAAGCCATTGCCAAGTAAAAGGTCGTCTAAATTGAACAAGGTTACGTGTCAGTATGGTCTTCTTCCTTAGCAGTGAACTGGGCTTACCTTTGTTGTACGAGAAAGACTCCAAACACGCGCCGAATGAAATGCGTTGTTGCAAGTAAAGAGCTACCATGTCTGGTAATGTGGAGTGTTGCATTAGTAGCTAGCGAACTAATAAACAATGCTGTAAAAGCGTTTAAGAAGTACCTTTTGAAGGACAGCGTTCACCATTGACAGCTGCTGTGTTCGTGTGGAAGGTGCAATGTAAAGAGCGCGCGTGTTGCTGGGTAACAAATAACCAGGCAACTACTGCGGAGCGAGCTTGCTAGAATGAATCCTCCACTGCTATTACATGAGGCCACTTAATTAACCTATACACACATCATCCACCCATCGTCATCATCACACCCTCACGATAGACAATAGGTACACGTAAATAAAAGAAATGATCCTCACGCATAGCAAAAGGGTGTGTGTCATTTTACACTTTACATGATAATGATGATCCAACAACAGCCAATGCCTTACTACCATGTCAGCTCGAATCAAAGAAGTTCAATGACGGGAATGATGGGCTGGAGCAGGACAATCGTTCGTATGTATTGGATTGGACAACAATGGTGAATGGGAGGAATGGGCTATCAAGTGGCAGTTTACAAATAACTTACCAATTTGATTCTTCTGATATTGGATGATGTTTCTGTGTTTGAGCGTTTTTCAGTCAAATCTCATCGGATCAAGAAAGTTGAATGATGGGCATGCTGGGCTGGAGCAGGACAATCGTTCGTATGCATTGGATGGGACAACAATGGAGAATGGGAGGACTAAGGTTATTACTGGCATTTTGAACTACTCCTAAATAGTGTACAAGAATCATGCATCGCCTGTGCTGAATGACTCAAGTTACACAAACACGCCCTCTGCATCTTCTGCTCAATTATAGTCATACTACTTTACATTAAACAAAGACCACTTCTCATATAGCATCACGCTTACAAACATAAAGGTGCCTGTATCTCCAAACTTTACAATGAAACGTGGGGTTTTTATTAGAGCAATGGGCTCGGCGTGGCCAACAGCACCTTGTGTGAAAGTTTCGCGTTCAATGTCGCAAACAGCCCAAAAAATATTTTTTGGTCGTCGTCGTCGTCGAAGAGGTCGACCCCCAGATCCAGTTTGGCTGGTAGCGACATTGCGAAATCTGGGATTGGCAAGCTTGATCGTGAAACGTGCACCAAAGGTGCTGTTGGCCACGCCGAGCACATTGCTCTAATAAAAACCCCACGTTTCATTGTAAAGTTTGGAGATACAGGCACCTTTATGTTTGTAAGCGTGATGCCTTATGAGAAGTGGTCTTTGTTTAATGTAAAGTAGCTAGACCCTGACAGAGCAAAAGATGCAGAGCGTCGTGTTGTGTAACACAGCTACGTTTGCATGAATGAAAGGGTCAATGTATAATTACTTTATGGATCATCTAGGAACAGGCATGTATTGCTAGCTAACGGCCACTTTTATCCAATCATCATTGTTGCGAGATCCACTGCATGGGAACGATGCCCCTGCTCTAGACATTCGTTTCCATGATTAAAGTAGGTTGATCCGAGCTGATTTGACTGAGCTGCGGTCAAAGAGAGATTACATCACTCTGGACATAAAGCACGCTCGATGTAGCTCAACCGATGTAACCTTGTGTGAGCGTAACTCAACCAAATCAGCTCGGATCAACCTACTTTAATCATGGAAATGAATGTCTAGAGCAGGAGCATCGTCCACCTACAATAGAATGCACAAACGTTGGGAATGCACAAAAGTGGCTATTAGCTGCCAATGTATGACATAAAAGTGAGGGTTGCGTATCTTTCATGCATTGATCCTTTAGTCCTATCTTCTTTGCTCTGTTACACACACACGCCCCTCTGCATCTTTGGCTCTCCAGGGTCTAGCTACTTGGCAATGAACAAAGACCACTTCTCATATAGCATCACGCTTACAAACATAAAGGTGCCTGTATCTCCAAACTTTACAATGAAACGTGGGGTCTTTGATAGAGCAGTGTGCTCGGCTTGGCCAACTGCACCTTGGGTGCCAGTTTCACGATCAAGCTTGCCAATCCCAGATTTCGCAATGTCGCTACCAGCCAAACTGGATTCAGGGGTCTACCTCTTCGACGACGACGACGACCAAAAAATATTTTTGGGCTGTTTGCGACATTGAACGCGAAACTTTCACACAAGGTGCTGTTGGCCACATCATTCCCATCACGTGGATTTGCCAACAATGCTGATTGGATAAAAGTGGCTATTAACTGCCAATGTATGACCTGAAAATGAGGGTTGCGTACCTGTCATGCATGGTCCCTGAAGTCCAAACTTTTTAACCCAGTTACACAAAAGGGTCCTACCATCTTTTACTCTGCCAGGGTCCAGCTACTTCACAATGAACAAAGACCACTGTTCATATAGCATCCTGCTTACAAACATAAAGGTGCCTGTATCTCCAAACTTTACAATGAAACGTGGGGTTTCGAATAGAGCAATATTATCTGGCGTAAAACGCTGTTCTTGGGTATAATTCCACGATCAAACTTGTCAATCCCAGATTTCATAATCTCGCTACCAGCCAAACTGGATCCAGGGGTCTGACCTCTTCGACGACGACGACCAAAAAACTGTTTTTTGAATGTTTGCGACAGTGAACGCGGAAACTTTTCACCCAGAACCCGCTGTAGTGAAAACCGAGCACATTGCTCTCTTGTTTCATTGTAAAGTTTAGAGATACGGACACCTTTATGTTTTGCATATGCTGTAAGCGTGATGGAGTTGCTTTCTCCTGACGGATGGTGTCGACTGGATGAACGGAAAGATGGAGAGCTGAGTGAAACGGCACGTGGTGGTTACACACGAGCGTCATTGACAGGTTGCTGCATAAATGAATGATGATTGCCTTTAGGAAGTACGTAAACAGCATCCGATCATCAAAAATCTATTCATTATGACAATGACAATGGCAATGAAATTATACAGGGACATTTTGTATGTTTGGTAGGGGAGTCATGTATTGGTTCCACATAAATCCAAGGGTCGATCTGCACTGATGTAATCCCACCATAGTAGAATGATGTATAGCTTAATTACAAGGAATGTATTCAATTGAGATCTCGAGTATTGGTCGATATTATTGACCCAAATGTATAGGCTACTGTTGAGGTACATCTTCACAACAGCAACTGTAGCAAGCGGGGTGGCGTGTGGTGCACAAATTGGGGACACTGAGAGGAACAGCAAAGAGCCCCTTCTTCACTCCCACTTCACAAAGCAAGGTAAGCTTGTCTCCATTTACAAACTACAACGCACTAACAGCTGGTATTGCTTTCAATGTACAGCGTCAATTGGATGAACAGGTGGTCAATGGCGACACTTTCCAGTTCCAGACATTCAACAACAAGCATGCGCGTGATCTACCCATGACCTAAGCTTCCATTGCAATACAACATGTACGTCCATTCGCTGCATTACTTTATTATTCAAGTTGGACATTGAGGTACTAAAGTTGACGTGTAGTTTTCTGTTCTCTGCTTCATACAAGATCCAAAGAGGGCGTCGTGTGCATTTTTTCTATGGTTGTTATCTAAGGAGAGGTCCCAACGCGTTGCTACTGTAGTATGAGTATGTCGACATGAAAGCAAATGCTGTCCTTGTTATCTTACATTGCATTTATGGTAGCTTGAATACGTTGGATTATGGTGTGACAACAAGGCATTGATCTCAAAGCCCATCTGTGTTTCACTGGTACGCTTATTTAGGATTGGATCTACAAAAGCGAGATGCGCTAATTAACGAACCTTACAATGAAACAGCAGCAGCACATACTGGATTGATTGGATACAAGGTTATATTGCAGTACCAATGGTGTTGAAAGATACTTCAAGGTGAAGGAGCATTCTGGATGGGTTGGATTCAAGTGAACTTACGAAAAGAAATAGGTTCCAAGGCTCTCGTTCGGCGATATTACTTCTATCACTGCAGCACGTCAAGCAAGCGAATGTAGTGTGCCACCTAGTGGAGAGGACCCTATTGTGGTAGCGGAAATGGGTGCGACTCACGGTGCTGCTTGGACTTGAATATGCATCCTTCGTTTGTTGCACGGCTCCATCATTCTACGTTGATTTCTGGATTGAAAGTGGGAACGGAAATTTGGAGTTCAGCAAACGAGACGAGACGCTTTTGTCCCTTTTGTCGCATTGTAGTGGTTAAAGCTTCCTTGTTCACATGCTGATAGACGAAAGGTAGTCATTATTCTCAACCGATTGTATCCATGTTCTATAAACGCTAGCATTTACAAAGATAAGGATCTCAATTTGTATAATCAAGTGTGGTGTCTTTGTAAGAACAAAAATGAGCAGTGCATCCGAAATGTCTTTTGATGAAGTGTGAGATCTATTGAGATTTCATTGTCTCTTGCCAACCAAAAGAAGTCTAGCCGCCGTCGATCATATCTACCCCTTATCTTTTATTGGTAGATCACGTTTGCTTCTCGTGGGAGATCTAACCGTAGTTGAGGAATATTTATGCAATCAGGTTTGCTTTCTCAAGCTAAAAGTGGTCCTGGGTCTGATTGCACCAATTTGTTTAGCGAATGTAGACCTGCTGTACCCATAACATACAAATTCTGGTGTTTGATGGAGAATGAGCCACCATATTGTCACCAAATAAAAGATTCAATGTCATCCTATCATAGCCCATAAATAAGCTCCTCTTGATCAAAGTGTGCTCCTTGCTATTTTGGTATTCGGTATGGATGGTGCATTGTTTGTAAAGAGATGCTGCCAATGGAAATTCAGGATTCGATGGAAGTTTGTTCTATCGTCGGCAAGCTAATAAAATGCATGAGTGTACCCATAAGGCCTGTCATATGAGTTTATCGTGTACTCCCGTATCGTGGAAACCACTACACCACTTTTTTTGGGAGAGCATGGCAATCCATTTGTCAAAGACACGAACAATATCTTCGTTTGATGAGACGTATACGCAATAGATGTTAGCATAGGGCGATGTTGCCGACAATGAGGATTACGTTGTACCTGGTAAAGGTCACCTTAGATTATCACGGGGAACAAATCAAGTATAGCTCTTTGTTGGAATAAACAAAGACACATCGACAAACTGTTCGCTGATGGGGCTAGTGGTCGTTCAGAGAAGATGCAGACACGTGTTATGGCTGTGCTTCACAATTTGCCTACTTTTGATATGGTGATGTGCTGTATAGGGTTTCACAAGAACCGTCATCCTATGCTTCATGTCATTGAGAAAGGCAATGACTGGAACAAGGGCTACCAGCCTATCATCTGGTGCTTGGATGATGGATGACATCGATACAACCGATGTCCTATTTCATACTACCCATTGATGATGATGGTATGTAATTGTGTCAAGCTCGTCATTTCTTTGTGCTATGTGGCGTTCAATGACATTGCTTATGGCGCAGCTCCAACAAAACTACGATGTTTGGAATCACAGCTGGTGGTACAAGTTTCGAATGACAGTCGCATGGCGAGTCAGTTTGGTACACTGACATGTGATATACGCGTCCTTGATTGAATAAGATGCCTTTTTTTACATTTGCCGATGACGTGAGCATGCTTGGATACAGTAGGAAGCGTAGCTACTTGTCAAGGATGACACCTAACAGCAAGAGAATCTTCTCATCTTTTACCAAATTGCTGCAAGGGGGATCTTTTACAGATCAACCGCAGCAGGTGACCACAAGATCGATACAGGTTGTGTGTAACATACACTTTACATGCTTGATCTATGATCCCCATTTCTCTTTATATTGGCTCACTTTTTTTTTATTTCTTTGTTTCTTTGATCTTCTTTCTTCCTTCTAAAGCACTCATGAGCGCCTTCGACAGCTTTCTTGGTATATACAATGACTCGTATGATTTGATTGTCAAATCATCCCAAGCCATGATTGCATTGAGTGCTGTTGCACTTATTGGTGGTGCTGTCCAAGCCTATCGTTACAAGAAATCATCACCTTATGTATTGGTGTGCATTGCTGCTCTCTGTTACCTGATCCAAGGAGCCATCAATGGCAGCATCGACTCACAAGTGGGAAGATTTACGGATATGGTTCCTCCAGCATTGGCTGCCTACTTTTTTGGTGCACTATTTCCAATCCTTGCTTGGGTGATTCTATTGGACATCTTCCGCTTGGTGCAACCTAAGAGTGAAGGCACCACAACATGGGGCATGCTCAAGAGTGAACTTGTTGGTACCTTTGCAGGCTACATTTGGGCATTCATCATGGCCATATGTGATATTGCATTCATTGGCAGCATTGGTTCCTTGGTTAATGGCTCAGCAGGTCTCTCATTAAGTTTGGCATTCAATGCGTTGCGTACTTGTGAGTTCGTTACTTATGGTCTATGGGCTTTCATTCCTCTCTACATCTACCAACAACGCATCAGCTGGAACGTCACTCAACCTTTCTTTCGATCATTTGCTGTCTTTGCTGCTTTGGTCTTTTGTGTTACGATTGGTCGCACAGCTAACCTTGCCACTTCAATGAACAACCTTGATGGTTCACAAGCTATGGCAGCTCAAGCTGTTGATTTCGTTTTGGCTCGTCTCTTTGGTGTATTTGCTCTCTATTGGGTGATCGCTTTTGCCCATACATGGGTGAACAATGATAGCACCCCCAAGGCCGATGTCGAGCAACAGCAGCAGCAACAACAACAACACGCATCTCCAGCACCACAACAGCCCGCTGCTGACAACACCAAGACCGAGGTTTCTGAAGCATAACTCATGTAGCTAAATCATGTTTATTTTTACCCCATATTCCATAGTAGTCCTTAATAATACATCTATTGTCATTACTTGCTTTACAATGCTTCTTATCCATGATGCTCAATAATGGTTTCTTCTTCTACGTGATGTGTCATATGGTGTTGCCGCTAAAGTCACCATGCTTTTTTCTCGGTAGTCATCTGATCTTTCTCTTTAGTGTTATGTAAATCTAAAGTAGCTTTCGCAATTTGGTAACCACAACAGTAGCTTTAACAGGAGAATTGCATGGATTCCTACAACTTTGATATATGATCTTGAAACCTTCTTGCACGAACAACGTGCTGGGTTAAAGCAAAAGGCGATAAACGGGTTGTAATAAAGGTAGCCGCAACAGCCATTGTTATTGCTAATGACCCGTTCTCTCGCAAGACGACGATTGCCCGCCATATAGCTTATGCATTTGGTGCTGTAAACCATTATTCAATCATCCCCTTCCACTATGTATTATTGCTATGTAGTATTGGACGTCGCTTTCAAGGAACATCTACCAACACATACCCCCCTATAGATATAACCTATTCAGCTACATGCTTTCGTTGTCATAACATTGGGGTGATGTATCAAGTATGATTATGTATATTATGGATGCAACGATTGTAGGAAGGGCTGTATTGGTGATCAAAAAAGTAAGATTACCTAGCGATCTATGTTATCAAGTAGCACACGAAGAATGCATTTTCGAGGTTATGTTAATTGATGTACCCTATCTTTGGGTTCATCCACTGGAATTTGTGTACGATCGTAGCTGCACACCCATGTAGACGCTGACGCACATGCCAAAACAAGGGCCAAGCATATCATCAGTGTGGAGAAGGCGTATTCGATCAAGATGATGGTGTCCGAGATATACAAATGTTTGCAGTAGAAGACCGCAATTGGCAATTGGCCTGCTGTAATGAAGACCAACATCAATGCAAATGCACCAAAGGACGCTCTAAATTGAAGCGTTGGCGGGGTTTGAGAAAAATCTCGCGTTGCAAGAGAATGCTGAGAGCAAGGAATACCGATAATCCAAAAGTGCCAGTACCAAAGGCGGCCTCCAGGTCAACCTTGCCCGCTTGGCCATATGTTGAAAAGGTAGCGGTCCATAAGATGCTCGCAAGTATCGTTACGGCTGTCCATACGTATGCAGCAACAATGAATAGGAAGAATGTTGGTTGCGAACGTATCGAATTTGGAATAGCTGTAGTGCGCAAGGTATCAAAATAGATGCACCATGCAAGCGATCGTGCTATCAGGAAGCAAACAATAGGCATAACAAAGCCTACTCTACTTGTAGCTGCCCATTCATTCACTGCATCAGCGTTTAGGTCGAATACAGCGCCAATGAGAATAAGGCTACTTGTAAGCCCAACAAGGATGTGTCGAATTGCATATCGCTGTCGTCTGTCGTCGATTATTAAGAGGGCAATGGACCACAACAAGGTGATGCTGCTAAAGATTATGATAGGTACATCCAATCCGATCACCGATGTGATGCCCCACATAGAAACGAGACGATGGGAAAACAGAATTTTGCATGACACGATTCACTGGCACTGATTTTATATCAAGGTTATGCGCATGTGCAACCAATATGATTGCCGTGGCAGTGATGCTATCACTGAAAGGGATTAGCACCATCGGCATCAGCCTCACGCCCATTCCCGAGTACACTCTTACTGTTACAACGTGCCTTTTTTGCTTATTGCTTTATTGTTAGCTGCTATCTGTAAATTTCTTCAAGCGATGAAGCCATGATGAACGTCCTCTTGTATTCTTGTATCACGTGAAAGCCATGGTCACCAAGAAAAAGACATGTACCCTGTGCTAAATTTATACTTTGGGTTGTACAATGAGCCTCTGTTTTCTGTCACACAAGCTTTCATTGCGTTTCTTTGCATAATACATCAATACATAGTACCTATTGGCATAACCTTATGATTGCATGTGGCCATCCAAAGCACATTATTATAAGAATAAATGAAAATTGTATTATGATACATAGTTTGACACTAAATACAGAGCTCGAAGCAAATGCTTTCTAATCGATGGAAAAATGATGACCATCAATGACTCCTCCGCTTGTTGAAACGTGTGCACAGCGTTAAATACATAATAATACGATAATGGATATCCTGTAAAAGGCGTAATGTGTACATAATACAGCCGCCATTGCACAATTGTGTTTTAGTAGCGATCTAGATCTTGAGCTTCCTTGGTATACACGTCGTCTGGATCATATCTGTAATTTGGATTTTGGGTGTGACCATCATATCTGGTATCCGGGTTTTGGGTGCCATCTTGTACAAAGGGATTATCCTCTTCATCATCACTTCGATCCGCCAAGCGATCGTGCTTGACGCCGACCCATCTTGGTGCACAATAGCATACGAAGACGAGTGTTATTGACATGACGACGCAATCGAGAATTCTGCCAGCCAAGAAAGAAACTGTCCCAATGATCACACCAGCACTGACGACCGTGAGAAGTAAAATGTAGATAGCAAACGAACGACAAAAATCGCGTACGGCCATCTTGTAGTCTTGCGAAAATGATAAGATGTATAAGCCAAGTATGAGTGGTACACTTCCATACCAGCCTATCCTTGAGAAGATGGGGAGAGCATCATTGTAGAATCCACTGGTAGCGTACATGATAGCATATACGATCATGATAATTATGCCAATAGCACTCCAGGTGTATGCTATGATTGGAATAATACGCTGCAATGATCGCCTTGGGCCAGGTACGCAATCGAGTATGACAGTGTATGAGATGCACCAGAGTAAGTATCGTGCCGTTGCAGCAAAGAGCGGAAACAATTCACCCCCCAACATATAAAAGAAGTCGAATATTTGAGAAGCGAGTAAACAAGCTCCTGACAACATGGTCAGCGTATGGCGTATGGCGTGTCTCTTGTCAAGCACAATTAATGCGCCTGCCCAAACCATTGCCACCCCGCTGAGTACAGCAGTAGGAATGTTTGTGCCGTAGAGTGATTCCATAGTGTTTGGTTGCCAAGGGGAAGGATCAATAAAAAAGTGTCTGGCTAGGTAAAAAGCTTTTGTTGACTTTGTCTTTATATAAAAGTAATCGTGATACAAGAATAGAATGGAGTATAGCGCCACTTTGACCACACAGGGCAACATTTTATAGCCTATCGATGTTGACCTATTTGGACGCACATGATCGTCATCACCTATCCCATTACGTTGCACATGCATTCTTGACGTTTTGATTGCACAAACGGAAGAGGGATATGAAACATGAATAAGACTGTAGTATGCAGCTATACAAAATAAGAAAACCTTGTCATATTTCAAAGCTCAAAGCTCGAAGCAGATTGTCATTGCTGAGCAAAGAAAGAAGTCTGTTAGGGGAAGATCGCACTAAAGTCATCTGAGGCTCAGCATCGTCTATTTTGTTACACGAGCCTGTTTGGTCTTTATTCAGCCATGATCTGGCGGCATGACAGCTGCCTATGCTTTAAACTGGCGGTGCCTCGTTCAATGAAAGAAGCGATCGCAAGGTGGCGCAAAGCGATATGAAATTATGATTCAACGACAAAGTTGGTATTGATCCAAGTTGCCGTTGCCATGTGACTACCAGCCAGCTAACGTTGGATACACATAGCTAGGTTGTGCCACACATGCTTAGTCACTTGCAAAGAAAAGCTGATAGAAAGATGATGGCGTAGAAACAAAGAGTCAATAGGAGGATTGGTCATATCATCATCCATGTCTCTATTTGCAATTTATTTATATGAGTGTAAGGAAAATTATGTTATGGGTACACATGTGGTGGGAGATTGATTAAGATGTGGGATGACTTGTAGGATCAAAGAGCATATGATGATAAAAGTGTGAGCCATCTTGGCAGCTTCAACGCGTACTCGCACAGTCACTGGAGAACTGCGGCGGAATCCAATTTCCATTGTCGTCGATTCAGAATGTAGCTTACAACTTGTTCTATAACCAAACTACTGTATTATGGTACGTGGCACACCAATGGCCTGATTTTGCGTAGCCACTCCTCCCATTCCCTGCCTGCACGTGGATTACACTCGTTGTGATCTCTTTATTGGCTTGTGTGGACATGGAAACGCATTACAGACTACAAAAGCAATGGGGAGACAAGCTTCTAACACTGCCGACTACTTTTGGTTCGCGTCTAGGACGAGCGCATGTCTGATGCTGGGCCTGTAGAGGATGTCATTAACGAATGCGACAAGACAATGACTGAAGCCGAGCCAGCACCCACCTTGTCGATAATTGACGACTGTAAGCACCATTCGAGTTCCTTCAACAACATTTCTCACACCACACACTTGCACGCTTTGTAGATGAGCAAATTGCTGAAAAAGAGTTGGCTCCACAGGATGAAGAGACCGTAGAAACCAAAGTCTTCCACTGGGATATTGAAAACTACAAGGATTTGCCCGAGCGTGTACAAGGACCTGTGTTTGAAGTGGGAGGACACAAGTGGTAAGTTCCTTGGCTCATCCATACGAGTTAGATAGGATATTGAAGTCTTCTTTGTATAGGAACATTCTTCTATTTCCAAGAGGGAACAATCAAAACGAGCTCTTGTCCGTATATCTTGAATATGCTGAATTACGCGAGAATCCCTCTCCTGATGTCTATGCATGTGCTCAATTTGTTATCGCCTTGTCTCCGCCCTCGGACCCCACTCGCTTTGCCTCGCAAGGTAAAGGATGCATATATACACATTCATCATTCGTGCTAAAACAACAACATAGTCTCTCATCGTCGATTCTGCGCCGAGGAAACTGATTGGGGATTTACTCGATTTATGGATCTCCGGCGAATTTACCAGGGTGATGCTCAGACCGGCACTGCACCATTTATCGAGAATGACAGCTTAAGGATAAGCGTAATCGTGCGCGTGATTGCCGATGAAACAGGTGTGCTGTGGCACAATTTTATCAAGTATGTAGGGGGAAAAGGGTTGTTGTTGTTGTTGTTGATCGGAATACTTCCGACATAGGCTAATGCTTTTATCCATCCCATCAGCTACGATTCAAAGAAGATGACAGGCTACGTTGGTATGAAGAACCAAGGTGCCACTTGCTACATGAACTCCCTCTTCCAATCGCTTTACTGCACAAACTACTTCCGCAAAGCCGTTTATCAAATCCCGACGGAGAATGATGATCCCAACAACAGCATTGCACTTGCTTTACAACGACTCTTTTACAACTTGCAATTCAACTCTAATTCAGTTGGTGAGTACTTGGCTAAGCGTATCGCATACAAGCGTGATCCTAACATCATACATTAGGCACTACCGAATTGACTCGTTCCTTTGGTTGGACTTCGAGCGATGCCTTTATGCAACATGATGTGCAAGAATTCAATCGTGTGTTACAGGACGCGTTGGAAGCAAAAATGAAGGTATATGCTTATCTTGGCTTGTTTAGGACAAAAGGCTCATCACTTGTATACAATAGGACACACCCGCTGATGGTGCTATCAAGAAGCTCTTCTTGGGCAAGATGAAAAGTTACATCAAATGTATCAACGTTGACTATGAATCAAGCCGATCAGAGGATTACTATGGTAAGCATCATGTAGCATCAAATGCTTTGCGGTTAAAATTAATGCATATCATCAATAGATATCCAACTTAATGTGAAGGGATGCAAGAACCTCGAAGAATCGTTCAAGGATTACATTGCTGAGGAGACCCTTGAAGGTGACAACAAGTACATGGCTGAAGGACATGGGCTCCAAGATGCCAAAAAGGGTGTCATTTTCGAAGACTTTCCTCCAGTGCTCCATTTACAGCTTAAGCGTTTCGAATATGATATGATGAGAGATACAATGATCAAGGTAATGATTTCATCTATATTGGATAAGAATAAGGGCTGATAAATCGGTGTATAGATCAATGATCGCCATGAATTTCCTCTCGAGATCGACTTGGAGCCCTTTTTGGATTCAATAGCAGACAAATCACAACCACACAAATATGCGCTTCATGGGTACGACAACATCATCTTTTTTTTTATTGTTATCAAACAAACTTACCAAGCTATGATTAGTGTTTTGGTCCACAGCGGTGATCTCAGTGGTGGACATTACTTTGCATTTGTCAAGCCAACCAAGGATGGAAAATGGTGAGTGTTGTCAAAGGCGCAATCAATGTTATCATGCCCCTAACTTTACATGGACAATAGGTTGCGATTTGATGATGATCGTGTGACACCTGCAACTTTGAAGGAAGTGCTGGAAGAGAATTATGGCGGCGAACCACTCAATGGATTTGGCATGGGTCGACCTGCACCTCGTGTATACAAGCGCTTCACCAATGCATACATGCTTGTGTATATCCGGGAATCCATGCGGGATGAGATACTCGGTGATGTGAGCGAAAACGACATTCCACCCCATCTTATCAAGCGTATTGAGGAAGAGCGTATTGCCCGTGAGAAGCGTAATCGGGAGCGAGCTGAGCAGCATCTTTACATGCGTGTGGTACTTGCCACGGATGAGAGCTTTGAAGCCAATACTGGTTTTGACTTTGTGAGATTGGATGATCGACTCCGAGTGGAAGATACACATGTACAAACATTGCGTGTACGAAAGGATCAAACGTATGGCGAATTCCTGCAAGAGTTGGCGGAAAATGCAGGTGTCCAAGTGGGCCATTTTAGACTTTGGCTTCTCGTCAATCGACAAAATCGCACTATTCGACCCGATCAGCCTCTTCCTGACAGCCCTGAGGAACTTGAACTTACAATGGAGAAGATGCAAGAGAAATACGTGACTGATTCGCAAAACACTCTACGACTCTATATGGAAACGGCAAAGGTTGTTGAGGATGATGTACCCGTATTCCCACCTCCTTCAACCGCCAATGGTCAAAGTGTTCTTGTGTTTATCAAACTTTTCGATCCCAAGACTCAATTAATACGGTAAGATGCCACAAGTACGTCAATAGATCATCAAGTTCACTAACGTTATGGCAACCATCATAATAGGGGTGTGGGCCACGTCTATGCTCCATGCAACGGCAAGGTGTCTTCCATCACTGAGGAGCTCAATATGATTGCTGGGTTTGAGCCTGATACGCCTTTACGCCTCTTTGAGGTGAGTATCTTTTGTATCGACACCAAATACCGTTGATTGACCATTGTGTTTGCTATGCAGGAAATCAAACCCACGATGATTGAAGAGATGGATCAAAGCATAACTTTCAATGACGCTGAAATCCAGGATGGTGATATCATCTGCATTCAACAGCAATTGAGTGATGAAGAGTAAGTGCGAGGATACATGTTTGATGTTGGAGCAATATAATGACTCGAAATGATGTTAGGATAATCGCTTTGAAGGAGCAAGGATTGTATTCTACTGTGCCAGAGTATATGGATTACCAAAATAACAAGCTCAACGTGCTGTTTGTGCCTCGTGACAAGGATCCAAATGGTGAAGTGGCGTTGGAGATGCACAAGAATACAAAATACGATGATGTCTCAGCCAAGCTTGCTGAAAAGATTGGTGCCGACGCTGACAAGATTCAATTTTTCGTACCCAACACTACCACCACGGACGAGCCTCGACATCCATATGCTCGTGATCCCAATGATACACTGGAATCAATGCTATATACACAACGTCTTGGACGACCCTTTGTAAATGGCAAGCTCTTTTATGAAGTCTTGGATGTCAGCCTATCGGAATTGGAATCGAAGCGCCTCATCAAGGTGACAACGTGTATCCCAACATTGAAGGATGGACAAACCAGCAAGTTATGGATATCCAAACAAGCACGTATTACCGACCTTCTCAAAGAACTCCAAATTGGATCGAATCTGAGCGTACGCGTGTTTGAAGCTATCAACAATCGTTTCCACCGCGAATTCATGTCTACTGATGCTTTAGCCCAAGTGAGCGATAGCCATGCAGCACAATTATATATTGAGGTAGGCGATCCATGTATTGTACATTTGCCGGAACCAGATATCTAATCCCCATGTATAGCCAATACCCGAAGAAGAACGAAACATGGGTGACGAGGATTTCTTTATTCGCGTTTTCCATTTCCAACACAACCAGCATAGAACACATTCTGTGCCATTCAAGTTTTTGGTTCGAAAGGTAAACGAGAGCGGACATGAAGGGATCATGTATGGGTAAGGTTGTTAACTATGGTGGTGTTTTCTTAGGACGAGCCATTTGAAGAAACCAAGAAACGGTTGCAGGCAAGGACAGGGATGGCAGATAAGGAGTGGAGCAAAGTCAAATTCAGCATTGTATCCCAATACTCGGCTGCACCAATTGATGAAGGTAAGGAAGGGTATGGCGTATCTCTTAGGCGATATGGTGGGTTAATGCGCCCTATAGATGATTACAAATTGAGCGACCATCAATTCAACCGAGAGGATTCACTTGGACTGGAACACATTGATCGAACCAAAACAAACCGGAGTGGATTTGAAAAGGGTCTTTCTATTCGTGCCTAGAAAAAAATATATCTATTCTTTTTATGCTGATCCATTATGACTGCCAAAACATTGCGATATAGATAAATTTATCAATGTGGGAGTTCAGGATTCAATGAGGGTGGATGGTAATGTTGGGTTGACTTGGGAAAAGGAGTGGATAAAGAGGGGTATTCTTCAAAATGGTCTTTCCATACGAGATTGAAGCTTTGATTCTTTGATGGTTGAGATGTTGTCAGACGCCTTTAATGTATGCTCATCAACTTTCACAGTACTTTATGTAGAACAATGCGTTGCTCAGCATTTAATAGATGTTATAGTTTCCATGGCGACGTACCAATCTTTATTTAGAGGGGGTTCAAATATAGTTTTCATGCGTTGATGGTGCGTGAGAGAGAAGGTCAACATCACGTGTGCGTTTAACAATGCTGAGCCAAGGCTAAGCGCTGCGTTACAAATGGGCAACCGCATGATTTCCTCCGCTGGATTGTGCTCTTCTTTATACCACCTTACTTCACTATGAGTTCAAGAAACCTTGACGACACCCAAAGCGAGATTTTGAACCAATTCCAGGTTAGCTACCTCTTTGACACTGGTTTACTTCTCTCTAACCTTGGAATGAGCAGGCAATTACCCACACTGATGACGTTGATGCAGCAGTGAATCGGTTGATACACTATGACTGGAACCTCGAGGTACGTGAGTACTAATCCATTTGCACCCCAAAGACACTCATACCTCTTAGCGAGCGGTAGAAAGTGTCTACGATCCTAGCAATTCACACGATGCCACGCGTGAAGCTCTCGAAGAAGAGGTCGCCTCCAGTGCAGCACAGCAGCAGCAGCAGCAGCAACACACACCTTCCACACAACGTCCCACTACAGCACCACAGCCTCGTACAGGTGTTTTTGCACTTTTTGCATGGCCATTTGGTATTGCTTGGAACATGACTTGGTCTATACTTTCCTTTGTTAGTAAGTTATCTAGCAGATGATTGTCATGATAGGCTTGATTATTCATCAGCATATGTGTGTGTATAGTGCGTCTCCTATCAAGGCCCTCAATCACTCATACCCAAAGCAGCACATCAAATCGTCAAGATTCTCGTTCACTTGCTCAACAATTCAAACGCGAGTTCGAGCTCAAGTTTGGTGAGACACACGTTGAGTTTTTCGAAGGCGGATATTCGCAAGCATTAGAAACGGCACGTCGCGACTTGAGGTTCCTTTTTGTCATTCTCCAAAGTGATGAACATGATGATACGGAAGAATTTTGCAGGTAAAGGAAGCATGGATATTCCATTATGGGGTAGAGGATGCTAATGTTGTTGTATCATAGAAATACGCTCACGTCCCAAGAGTTGATTGATTATATGGGTCAGCATAATATTCTTGTTTGGGCAGGCAATGTTCGTGAAACAGAGGCATTTCAAGGTAAGCACAAGAGGGTGCTTGTTTCTTTTTCATTTGCATTGATACCATGTTTCATCCAGTGGCTGGTACCTTACGGACAACAACATACCCTTTTATGGCTATTATTGCATTACAGCAGATGGGAGGAAACAATGGATTGAGAATGACTGTGGTCGATCGTATCGAGGGTACAGCATTGCCAGCAACCATTATCCAGCGACTCGAAAGGGCCAATCGACGACACAGTGCTGGTATGAACCGGTTAAGAATGGAACGTGATCAACGAGATATGGAACGGCGTTTACGAGAGGAACAGGATCGTGCTTATCGGGAAAGTCTTAAGGCGGATCAAGCAAAGGTACATTATTGAGAGTTGGTCCAATGGATATATGATTGACCCAGCTATGTAAAGGAACGTCAAGCACAGGAAGCACGTCAAGCAGCAGCAAAAGCAGCAGAGGAATCTCAGCGGGCTGAGCAAGCTCGACAAGAGCTTGAAGAGAAGCGTGAACAATACATCCGTCATTTATGCAGCACCCTGGTGGAAGAGCCCAATGATGCTTACAATGGCCAGGTTGCCAAGATCAATTTCCGACTCGCTGATGGAACACGCGTTGTGCGTAAATTTCGTGGGGAAGACACAATCGAGGTAGGATTATCAACATTTCGTATGCAGCAAAAGGAATACAAAATGGGTTAACAAGAGGTATCTCTTTGTAGGCTTTATATCACTTTGTGGAGGCATATCCTTTATTGAAGAATGGACAAGACCAACAGCACGTTGAAGCACCTGAAGGATACACCCATAAATACAACTTCACCGTGATTTCATCCTATCCACGCGTAGCACACGAATTCAGTAGCACTACCCAATTAAATGAAGTCAAGTCATTATGGCCAACTGCCACCCTGATTGTAGAAGCAGACGATGACGAAGAAGATGAGGATGATGAATAAATCAATATCCAACAATAATGTGTTTTTAGAAATACGTGTGGGTTTATTTACGAAAATGGACAATAAATTAAGGATGGATGAATTTGGTTCGTATAAGCAACTCGTCGTTCTTTTTTTCGAGTATCTAGAAGAAGAAAGCACCTGGTGCTGGTTCGCTTGCAGAAGATTCGCTTGCAGAGGATTCACTAGCGGAGGACTCGCTGGCAGAAGATTCACTAGCAGAGGATTCACTAGCAGAAGATTCACTAGCAGAAGATTCGCTAGCAGAGGATTCACTTGCGGAGGAGGAGGACTCACTAGCAGAGGACTCGCTTGCAGAGGACTCGCTTGCAGCAGAAGATTCGGAAGGTGAAGAAGGATTAAGAGCTTCCACAATCCGGGAGATAAGAGGAATATCATTTACGAGAACAGAGAGCAATGGAAGATCGGTACCGACTATTAAGGAGGTGGTGGTGGATAAGTTAAAGGTGTGCGTCTCTCTCATTAAACATGATGGTATGCTTACCAAGAGCACTTGTGGTCCACACGGTGGTGGTGCTAGCATCGAGAGTAGTAGTGACAACAACAGTCTCAGGCACGGTTTCCTCAACGTAAGTTTGAGCAACACCATTTTCAGTTGTGACAATAGTTTTGAAAACTTGACGCTTCTTCAACATGCTGTAAAGGAGGTAGATCGATCGTCAGTATACATCATGCCCAACAAAGGCGTAATTTAATATAGATGCTTTACTCAAGAGGGGAGGCAGTGACCATAGAGGCGCAAGCAGCAAGGGCAACGGCAGCGAATGTCTTCATTGTTGGTGATGTGTTGTGTATTAACAAAGGAATATACAAATGGATGATGCAAATCCTGAAATTGTTTTCTTGTGATCTTTTATATCTTTGATTTCAAGAGACCATCTTCCCCACCTCTCGGTTACTACGATTTGTTGTCAACATTCCTTATAACAAAGCCAACTGAGAGTGTGGTTAAGTTCTTGACTAGATAGATACACCAACACATATCTTGTACCTGAGAATGACTTTGAAAACAAATATCCTACTTTATTCTACCTGGATGCTATCAGGTTCAAACAATTCACAACGCAAAAGTTCGGCCACGACCCAACAATTTAAGCTGTTTCCTAATAATCTATATCGTTGCATGCGAGAGACTGTATCAGGGAAATCAAGATGAGGATGACACGAAGGTGGTGTAAATGGTCTTGGTTCAACTTTGCTTGCACTAGCGCTGTTTCTTGACTGCAGCTGATACTCTTGTGTCGGAAATGCATGTAAACGTGCGATTTCAACTGGCGTCAAAAATCGTAAACCGAGCTCCAATAGCGATTCTGGATCGTTCCAGTCGTAATCAATATGCTATCATCCATCGCCTATTAGCGTCCTTTTGCTTGAATATTGGTTTGACTTCATGTAAACTTACGTCCATCTTTTGTGTTTGCACCAACGAGCCGCTTGTTTGAAGATGATGTGATCCATAAGCCTATGTTGTGAAGAATGTTGAAAGGGCAGGAGGATGAGTATGTATGTATGGATTCGATTGATTGATCAGGTCACAAACACCGACATACCTTGGTTATGCATGAAGTTCGATTATCGCAAGGCCGTACAATATCTAATTCATCCAAGTCAATTCGATCGTAATAATGTATCATATCAAGACACTCACCAAATCGAAACCTGTCGCGCTTTACGATATCTTTTTCAGGAACACGATACTGCATGTCAACGTCAGCTCCATCTTGAATGAAATTCGTGAGCTCAGGAACCGAGATGGAAAGGTCACTCGTTGTAAAAGGCCACTGGGTATATAATGGATTGGTGTACTCTTGCTTCTCTTGAGAGATACGACGTGCCATCATGTAGTAGCGGAGACGATGATTGGGTATGCCAAATTGCAGTGGTGATAGCAAGCATTCCTTGATCTCGTAACCCATTTGGGATAGCTCTTCCACCAACAAGGCTCTTGATTGCGATTCCTACCAAGAGAAACGTGAATGGATTTGACAGATAAGATGATGGACCAATGTTTACCTCAAAGTTCTTGACATTTTCAAGAAACATGTACTTTGGTGGGTGTTCAAGCTTGGGAAGCAATTTGATAAGATGGACTAAACCTTGAGCTCTTGAATCATCGATATCTTGCATCTTTCCACCTTGTGTATAAGGCTAATCGTAAAATGAATTTAAATTATCTCTTTCTTACTTGTCCATTCCATTCATAACATACCTGACAAGGAGGGCTGAGAAGCCAACAATCCGCGTGGAACCTTTTTTGACATAGGTCGATCATTCTTATCTTTATCCCTTCCACCCTTCTTACTTGTCAATATCCTTTGCAGTCAAACGCTCAATGGTCTTCTACTTTGCAATATCCCATCAATAAAACATTGTATTGTCACCTTCCCTTAATATACGTACATTGGATGGCTTATGCTTAAAGTTGTACTCGTACACCTCGTTCGCAATCATGTTGACGTCGAATGCTTCAATAACAGTAGCGTGGATCTTTGCAATATTGAGAGCGTAATGCTAGGGGAACCATACAATGAGATCGGGAAAAGCTATTGCCAATCAAAGCATACCAGGCCACCAATGCCACTGAAGAATTCAAGGCAGCGTACTGGATCGTTAGCCATGGTAGGGATCGTGGTCGAAGACGGCTTTGAAAAGACAAACACGGAAAATTGACGGGAAGAAAGGTTGTCAGATGGCGGGCTTGACATGGATGGCTTGCTTCACTTTGAATGTTACACATGTCCATCATGGGTCTCATGATTTGCACGCTTGACCTTCGACTGCTGTAAATGACCATGCAATGTAGCTTGTGATAGAATGGGCTTAAGAGTGGGTGGGATGTCATTGCTAAACACTATGTACATACAATGAACTCATTTGAGAGGGGAAATAAAAAAGTAGTACAATCAAATCTTGGATTTAATAATGAGCTTCATAGTCGTGGCTAATTCATTTATGATTTCATTCTTCATCAAGTATGAGCAGTGGGATCATTGTTGTTGTTGCCATGGCTACGAGCTTAGTATCCAATCAACAAGTAATGCGGAGCGGAATTTCTGAAGCGTCGTCGGTCACAAGCTGCTTGCTGCATCGCATGGATGTCGGTCATTTCTCTTTCTTTCTATACAACTACTATACGCTATGGGTGCTGCTTTGAGTTGCATAGCGCTACCTGCTATTGGATCCGTTGGCACATGGATTGCTAGTTGTTTCTCGGCTGCAGCATGTTCTTTATTCTGTAAAAGGTATGTAAACGTCGTCTTGCTTCTCGACAACAACGCATACTCATTTCTTGGCATTCGTTCCATTACAGCTGCAACTGCAACAACTCCATTGCAACACGCATCGGTTATGCGGTATGTTACAACATTGGATAGTCAGCAACGCTATTCACTCACAATGCTATGCCTCGTGTAGATTATCTTTTTGCTCAACTCTATCGTGAGTATCCATTGCGCTTGCTTCTCTTGCCCAACAACGCCATTGACTCGTTACAATAGTTAGCCTGGCTTATGCTTTCCAACTGGGCCATCAAACAACTACAACGTATCACGCTTGATTATATGAAACTCGAATGCTCCGAGGGAACATGTTATGGGATCATTGCTGTAAGTAGTCATCGATATGCATACCTGTAAAGCTGTCAAATACTCATATATCGGGTATAATAGGTTCATCGAGTATGCTTTGCATTGGTTCTTTTCCATGCTTTATTAGGCTGTTTACTACTTGGTGTACGGGATAGTCGACAAAAACGTGCTGCAATTCAGAATGGGTAGGTGTCCTTTAGCATACACGTTTGCCAAGGGCTAATCATTCTATAGATGGTGGGGTCCAAAGGTTCTTTTGTGGATCGCACTCTTGGCCGTAGCATTTTTCATTCCCAATGGCTTCTTTATGGTTTGGGGCAACTACTTCGCATTGATCGGCGCAGCCATCTTCATCTTATTCGGCTTGGTGCTTCTTGTGGATTTCGCACACAGCTGGACTGAACGATGCTTGGAGAATTATGAAGAGAACAACTCAAGTAAATGGAAATACATCCTTGTCGGTAAGTGAGCGTGTGTGTATATACATCAAAGAGAAGGCTTTCATGCTCATCAAGGTATCCATAGGTGGAACGCTTCTCATGTTTGCGGGCGCTATCACCATGACTGGCATCATGTATGGATTCTTTGCCACGAATAGTTGTTCATTGAATCAATTCTTTGTCACTCTCAACTTGATTCTCTGCGTCCTTATTACATTGCTTTGCATCTCGCCCTCTGTACAAGAAGCCAATCCTCGCTCAGGTTTATCGCAAGCATCCATCGTTGTTGTCTACTGCACCTACGTCGTCATGTCAGCTGTTGTCAACGAACCCAATGATAAGCAATGCAATCCTTTACGTCGTTCTCAAGGTCCACAAACAGCATCCATTGTACTAGGCGCTATCTTTACCTTTTTGGCTGTTGCCTATTCTACAAGCCGTGCAGCAACACAAGATAGTGCACTTATCAACAACAAGAGTCGTCGTCAGCATTACGAGCCACTCGATACAGCAAGCGCTGTTCCATTGCAATCAAATCAAGTGGAAGCAGGAGCTCAACGCATGAGCACCCAAGGTGGACCACGTGATCATTTATTGGCAGCTGTTGAAAGCGGGTAAGTGGAAATGGGTGATGACAAGTTACTTTACAAAACTAATTTGCATATGCAGTGCATTGCCACGCTCAGCCCTTGATGAAGATGATGATGATGACTACGATGATGATGACAAGGACGATGAACGCTATGGCTCCGTATACAACTATTCGTTCTTCCATTTCGTATTTGCCATTGCTGCCATGTATATTGCGATGGTCTTGACCAATTGGAATACTATCTCTATGGAAAACATGCAAGCGCCTGATCAAGACGACAGCGACTTTGTTCGAATTGGCCAGAGCTACACAGCCGTTTGGGTCAAGATCGTCTCGGGATGGTTGTGTCACGTCTTTTATGGATGGTCCCTCGTCGCTCCTATTGTGATGCCTGATCGATTTACGGTATGTTATTATGGTGATGGGTACAAAATGCGGGTTTAGCTAACAAGAATCCATGCTTGTAGGATTATTAAGGAATCTCTCTCCCTCTCTAGCGAGCTATCACTCGTTTTGTAATATACTTTTGATGAATGAAATGTTTCATACTATCCCAAAGTACCATTGTTTACTATGATGTTGATTGCGCATGTTGTATAGAGAAAGCGGTGTACAAGTATACGTATGTTTTTTTGTTCTTATATTCAATAGGATTGGACAACCAAATATTGACTAAGTATATGCCAAGAATGGTTAACTATTTACTAGCGGTGGGAGGATAGTGTTGTTTACGAACGCTGACGAATCACAAGCTCCAAGAACTGCATAAAATGAGTTACCATTATGAAAGACCGAAAGGTTGTTGGGTAGGACGAACGACACTTACATCTTCATACTTGATTTGAATCCAACCATCACCATCCGTGTCGAAGCGTCGGAAAGAATCAGTGAGGGACTTGATCGAAACGCATGCTTGAACAAAGTTATCAAAGGTCACATCTCCTTTGCCTGTGGTCCCGTGACCTGCGTGTGAGTGTACAATTCGTATATGTGCAAAAGGTAAAACAGCGTCAGGGGTCCAAAACGGAACCGACCAAATGCTCCTTTTTCTTGTCACTCACCATATTTATCAAACTTGCTGATAAGAAGTTGAATAAAGCGGTCTGAGAGGTTGTAGCCAAAAGTTCTCAAGGCATTGCACATTTCATTTCGATCAATGCTTCCAGAACCATCCACGTCGAAAGCCTGGAAACAGCGCTTCCAATCCTCAATGTACTTCCACAAACCACCAAACTCGTTGAAATCAATTGTACCGGTTTGATCCTAATCCCCATCCAAATTCCCATAATGATGAATAAAAAAAGAGCGTCCATTGTCGATGTCAATCGTTTTTGTTACCCTTTGTGTATATATAAATTAGTTCCATCATCCTGGTGTCATTGTTATATGTCTTACTTGTCAAACATATTAACCATCATGCGAACGGTTTCGATATTGAAGGGGCTCCAATCGCCATTGATCAAAGCACGTTGCAACTCGTCAGCAGTCAACTGACCCGAACCATCGGTATCGACAGCCTTGAACCAACCATAGAGCTGCTGGTTAGCGTTTGGAGGAATAGCTGGGGATTGGCCTATTATTATTCAAGGGCAACAATGTAGTGGGTAAGTTTGTGTCGCATGCCATACACACTGGTCAATCTCGGTCAACTCATCCTTTGTTCCTCATTGCCAACCCGCTATTTTGAGCAGCAACAGGAATGCCGGTAAGCTAGCCGAGAGGTGGGAGTGGTGGGGTGATTGTGCATACCATAAGCGCCTTGCTGATAAGCGCCTTGTTGTTGTTGCTGTTGGTAACCCTGTTGGTAACCTTGTGGAGGAGGTGCTTGCTGGTAACCTGGAGCAGGCGAGCCGTAAGGATGTTGTTGCTGGGGCGATCCGTAACCTTGCATTGTGTGAAAGTGAAGAAAAGTAAGAAGAATCACTTGGGAAGCAAAAAATAGAGCCTGTACTAGGCGCAGCTAACATGTCCAATCACACGTTTTTGTGACACCTCTAGTTACGGAACACTGCATCATGACAACAAGTCTATTGCCATATGATCTGCTTAGCATCACCCCCCTTCATCATTGCACATTTCACTCACATACATATTATCCCCATTGTGCTTCAACATTTGGCATGGATCAAGTGCTGAGAGCCGTTCAATTGCAGATCAAGTATCATTCAACTATTCTCACCGGATCGGAGTAGCGCAAATCTAAAACTAAGTGCATCCCGCATCATGTAATTCATCTCTTTTCTCTCTTACCCCAAATCCCTTATTTATAAACGACAAGGAAATCATGACATAATACACGGTATACATGAAATGGATCTTATTAGATATGTGTTTTACATTTGTGATCGGGGTACTATGTTGCTCGTTCTTTTCCTTTATCTTGCTTCTTTGGTGTATCGAGTTCCTGCTCGGGACTATGGCAAAGGATGCATCGCCAATCGGTAGAATTTTTGAGCTTTGGTTCCAAACACCGTTTGTGATATACATGTCCACAATGGAAAACAACGACATCTTTTTCTTCTGGGGTTGCGGTTGTGGTGGTGGTGGTGGTTTCTTGATCTGGTTCCTTGCCCTCATCCTTCTTTTCTTTGTCCTCTTCTTCACTGCCTTGAGACTTGCTTTCCTTTTCGACCTGATCTTCATCATCATCTTCATCGTCTAAACCCCAAGCCAGTGGTTGATGCATCAAAGACAAATCTAGGATAGCTTGACCACATTCTTCGCATGCACCACGCCGTGGTTTCCAGCCTTTTCCTTTTCCTTTGACCATTTCATTCACGCCAGCAAATAAATCACGTTCAAACAATCGATTGGTCATCTCCAGCAGCTTTCCTTCATACTTGTACGTATCCAAGATGCTTTTGAAAATATCTCGAAAGTCAGCAAATGTGCTTGCGCAGCGTGCTTGTGAGTCGATCAATCGTGAAAGCAATCGTGGGAGCGTGCCTTGTTTTTGTGGTGATGTGGATTGGAGAAGGTGGGTCAGGATCGTTTGGACAAAGGATTTGAAGGAAAATACAATATGGTGATAGAGGCCTTGTGGTATCACTGAAGCACGTAAAGCGTTATGCATCTCGATGGATGATTCGACATAGGAATCCAAAAGTTGGAACCAAAGTGATTCGACCTGCTCATAAGCATCCTCTGGTATCGAACGGCTGCTATTTTCACATAACCGGATACCAACACGCAATACGCCACTTAGGCCCACCAAGCAACTGCTCAAGACGCTTTGCTCCTCAAAAGTCCACACTGTATCTTGATCATTGTGGTCACGCACCAAATTCAGCACCATTGTCATTTTCTCTTTGGCAACAGCAAGCATCTTGTCCAAGGCACCTTGGGTATCACCGCTCTTTTCCATAATCCAAACCACTGCATCGATAACACCATACTCCTCGCAGCTCTTTAGAATATGGTTGAGATTGACATTGTCAATGAGCTTGGTATTGAGATAATCGTATACACCGGATGGATCAAAGCGGCACATGAGCTCGATATAGCGTTCATGCAAATTGGGATCGACTGAGGGTATCTTTGGTGGTGCATATAGTTGTTTCATGCTGTCATCTTGATCGTCAAAAGGTTCCAGTAAACCACGAAGATACAAGAATACACGCTTGTTCACCGCATCGCGAGATTCATCATCGTTTTCAAACTCTTGTGCATCTTCTTCCAAACGTCGTATTGCCTCCTCATGTTTGCCGTTAAAAAACATTTCCACCACCTGGGCTGATTTTTCTCCATCGATTTCAACAAATTGCGATATCCGCACCATAAATACAGTCTTGACCTCGTCTCGCTTCTTTGAGCTCAACTCAGACCTTTCATCCAAGAGTCGAAACACACAATCAAAGACCTTGTCACGTCGTTCATCGTCTTTGAGGTTGGCTTCCACCAATTTGCCATATTTCCTTTCACGGCGATAAACATCTTCGAGCACTTGCCAAAATCCAGCATCCTCATAATAAAGAATCATTTGGTCGGGATCTTTTGGCTTGTATACGCTGAGTAAACTCTGCACAGCTGCTTGCCGCTCGTGTCGTGTGTCGGGATCATTTGCCTCGGCTAAGCGAATAAGGATATTGTGTAATGTTGTCAAAGGCAAAAAGATAAACGTGGTATACTTGTGCAAATTGGATGCGATAAAGATATACAGCTGAATCAGGCTGTCATGATCCTCATTTCGTGACATGGGTGGTGGTGGGGTGGGTCCCTGATTGCTGTTTGAAAGCACCGTTGACGTGGAGATGGATTGTTTGGGTCGAGGTGGTGGAAGCATCAATCCTGTTCCTGATAAACCGCTACCCAACACGTCCAAAAGCGTATTCACAATGATTTGTCGAGAAATAACCTTGCCTTGTAGATCATCATCCACCACTGTCGATGTAAGAATATCGTCACCACCATTGAGCCATGGATCCTCAAAGGCAACTTCAAGCGCTTCTAAGAACTTTTTGGTGTTGAAGCGCAAAAGCAAACGAAGATAAGGATAGGTGGGTTCTGATACTTGGTCATCATCGTCATCCACAGTCAACACCAGCTTGCCACCTACACGAGGCCACACAGCGCATCGACCCGAAAATACAAAAGAGTACACTGCACTCCTTGCTTCGTTTGCTTTGGATGAAGGCATAGGTAAACCATCAGGATAGGTACGACCACGTAAGACATGTCGGAAGTAATCAAACAGCTTTTCAGCATTCTTTCGTGGCTCATTTTCTGGTACTGGCTCCATTGTTCTCATGCTTCCCATACTATCCATTCGTGTGCGATCTCCGTGATAGTCAAATTGCGGTACGACGATACGTGTGCTCTCATCTTTGAGTACGTGCTTGACCACCTTGAGCATCTCCACCACAGGGCTCACATAATCATCCATACTTCGGTTCCAGACATAGATCATGGCCTCATATAATCCTTCCCGATGACAAACGCTTACAATTTGATCGATATCAAGACATTGGGGATCGACATGCCAGATAATTTGCTCAAGTTCCGCCAGCATATGCTTTGAGCAACAATGATCCACCAAATCCTTCATGACAGCTGGAGGAATATCATGCATCTTGTCTTGCAAAATCATCGGAGCAAGAACTTCCAAAAAGACACCGCGAACGTTGTTTTCAGCAAATTGGTCGTATGCAACGTCGAAAAGATAATCCAAAGAGTTCATTGATAAGCATGCCTTGATACAGCCATTCGCCAAATCATGAAACATAACGGTTCCATTCCCGACAAAGTCATCCACCATGCCATCATACGTTCGAGTCGATGAAAATGTATAATTGAGTGATGCATCCAAAAGTTCCTTCAATCGATCACCGACAAGCTTCTTCCTTGCTTGCTCATCCTCCGGAAGTCCGACCACTTTTTGTGTGTAGCTGCCATTGTAGAAACTGGTGGCCAATTCAATGCCTTCGAGGAAATCACCAGCACGCACAAGAGCAATAATGCGATCTGCCCATGATAATAGTGTTCCAATATAGAGCCGATTCAAACCCTGGAGGAGAGAGAGTGTGCATCATTAATCATCTGAAATGCAATCCATTGTAACGTCATTACTTACCAATAGGAAAAGCTTTCCTTTGTATGCACGCAATGAATGATAATAAGCCATTTCCACGGTCTTTAAGGTAGCTGGGAAGACATTCATTCCAAGGGGCTGTTGCTGTTGCTGTTGGATCTGCTGATATTGCACTTGCTCCATCGACTCGGTGACTAATTCTTCCAAGGGGGCGTTGAAGCGATCATGATAAACGAGCTCCTTGCTTCTGATGCTGGCTCTTTCGGTTTCCATCATGTTTCTAGGATCAAAGAGGATCATTTCTTCATTGGGCGTAATCAACGCAAGAATCTATAAAAGGCAATAGGGTAAGATACAAAGAAACCAGCATGAAAATAGCTCCTTTTTTCTTACCTGTCGATTGATCCATTGCATACCGACAATGACATCTCGGCATTTCCACTCGCCGTGTTTGATGAATTCCAATTTGTTGCCACGCTTTGATTTGTTGCCGATAGCATTGCGCGCGCCACGATTGGTACTAGCAGTCTTATCATTGCTTTCAACGCCAACACGGAGGATGAATAAATGATTGCCCCAAGTGAATGCAAGCATTGGATCGGAAGATGGAATAAGCTTTGCATGTTTATCTATTATAAGATTTGCATTAGCTAAATAAAAACATGGATCAGATGATTTATCCTTACCTTTAGGTGATGGTTTGTCAACTGCTGTATCCGATTTGGTGGCAGGTAACCATGCCAAACATCCTGCAAGACTCTCTACAGGTGGTTTGTTGCCAGCTTGTTCCTTTTGTGCCTCTGGGTTTTGGACATTGGCTGCTGCCGTTGCTGCTTCCAGTGGATCGGTGGATGATGTATTCATAAATGGGATGGGCTTGGGCTTCAAAAACTTGTATTGGGTTTGTGGTGTAGGCTTCAATCCGACAATGATCATCTATAATATCATGGTATTAGTGATGGGCTAGTCTATTGCACGTTCATTCAATGATATTCACCTTGTACGGAGTCAAAAGTGCCACTAATCCAAAGCTCTCAGCAGGATGTGCGATTTGTCCCAAGGGAAGAGGCTGCATAGAAAACACGGTGCTTGGTCGTCTTGGTTTTGGAGGTGCACCAGCGATTTGCTGTAACTCAGGAGCAGCAGCAGCCGGTTCGACGGTGGTGGAAAACGATAGGTTTTGGTAACGGCCCAAGATGCGAGTGGTATCAACGGCATTGACCATCACCACCTTGTAGAGCACATGATAGAATGCCATACCTTGGTCATCACCCGATACAATCTCTGATTTCTTCACTCCCACAAAGCCAACATGTAGAATCGCTGCACCCTTCACGTGACCTTCCTTTCGTGGCGTTTGTTGTTGCTGTACAGCGCCATTGGATGACTTGTTGAGCTTGGTTGGTGAAATAGGTTCAATGACACGAATGGGTTGTGCTGGTTTGGTGATATCCCACACTAGAATGTATCCTTGACTATGACCACATACAACGGTGGTGTGATCTGCTGATATTGATAAAGAAGTAACGGATCCAATCTCAACCGCTATACATGATATCAACAGAGTTAGATAATCGAGTATACGAGAAATAATATTTACTTACCACGAGCACTGTCACCGAGAATGCACTTGAGATTTTGTGAGTAATCGTAAACGAACACCAAGCTTCTAGTTGTGCCTATGGCGATTACACCACTGACCTAACATTTTCATCGTTACCAATGTGTCAACTCGTCTGGTGCATCATGGAAACTTACCGCCAAGACAGAAGCCAAACCATGGTGTCTTCTCATATCCTCAGAATACAATTGATCCGATATCTTTTTCAAAGCTGTCCATTTGAATGCTTCCCATGGCTCGACAGGATCATTTGAAGGCTGCGACACCGAAGGTGATCCATCAGATGCGGAACCCATTTCCGATGATGGCTGTGAATCAAAACTCGATGATTCAAGTCGTGAATGTAATAATGCACCATTGACTGATCTCGCTTGTTGCTCTGCATGGGTCTGAAGCGATGGATTGGATGTGATGCGGCGAGGTGTTTTGGGTGAAGCACTGAAAGGTGTTGGTGAAAATGCTGCCGAAGAACTAGGAGTACCAGGGGACGCTTTTGATATCTCTGAGGAAGAATCCTATTCGATAAAATGTAAGATAACTCATCCTATGAGGGATTTAGAACATACACACTTACAAAATGGTTCAGGCTTGATCCAGTATCAAAGGTCTCATAATCCTCCATATAGTATTCCCCCACACTTGAATCATCGGATTCGTTCAAGATGCTCTCCAGGCTAAGATAATGGGCTACAAGATGAATCTTAGTACCTTCTATAAACCACACTTGATCCAACAATCAATCACCTACCTCTCTTTACAAATTCCTCGTATAACCCAATCTCTTTACTAAGTTCATCCAGCAAATTGTTGACCTTGCGTCTCTTTTGTTCACCAATGGTATAAGTCGACTTGTTCATCTTCATCAAGGGTCCTCCATGCAAATGAATGTTGAGCTCATCCTGAATCCTGTACATGTCGTCAAGTCGTGATTGAATGATGGAGTCGGATACAGTAGGCAAATCCAGCTCTGGGATACGAAGGGCGTGGAACTTTTGTTCAAGTACAGTCAATGATTGGACACCATTAACGAGGCGAGTGTGATATGGTATTGTCTCGAGGATCTTGGAAAGCGGATCACGCTGGATATTGTTGTAGAGTGGTTTGGGAGGTTGTGAATGTCGCGGAAAAGATGCTTGAAGCGGGGTATTGGGGCTGCATTAAGGTGTCATAGTTAGTCAATGTCACATTCATAGGCCCCCAATTCCATCCACACTATATTAAACATTACACCTACGTCGAATAATCGCCTTTCATGCTAGCCGTTGATCCAAGGGAGTGTGATCGTCGATGGTTCAAGTATGTCTTCAAGTCTGCCAAGTACTTGTCACCCAATGCACGATCCTCTAAAGCTGCTCGTAACTCGTCTGGAAGGTCGGCTGTTGCTGCGTTCAAGTCGATATCATCAATATGCAAGAGATCTTCGTCGTCTTGTTCTGAATTCTCGTCGTCGAGTACCTCCTTTAGCAATTCGTCATAATTGTCGCGAAACATGGTGGTGTTTGTACTGTTGCTCCTCTCCATGGGAGTGAGATGCGAGTTGCCATTGGTTTTCAAGTCGTCGACAGTCAAACTGTTTCCGAATTGGCTGCTTTGCTGTCTTGCATCCATCGTTTTAATAAAAGGAAAGGGGGGATGGTTGAATAGAGTGGCAAAACGTCGTAGTCGGGTGTAGCGGTGATTCGATGAGTCAGTTGTAAAGACGTGCACTCAAGATTGAGAATGGCACACACGTAAAAGAACCGGGTGGTATCAGTGGCTGACAACGGGTAGTTTGTTGCTATAGAAAGAACAAGAAAGCGAATAAAAGAAAGAGAGCGAGAAAGAGAGAGAGAGGAATGCTTACTACCCGAAGCACATTGGAAGCCCTGTGCTGCAAAGCAATTGGGTGTCCGCTTTTGCTCCACATGGTGTTGCTTGATAGTTTCAGGTTCTATTACTTTGTGTATTGATGGATCTACAATACTCACGTGATTGGGCTTTGCCCTCAAAGTACATGATTTCCTAGTAGAAGGTGTTTCTTACATAAAGCAGCTTGCTAAAAAGCTGACCACCGCATTGCGTATCATAGCAACCATTACAGGTACTATTATAAGAATGATTACATCTCATGTACCTGATCCATCTCTCTCAGTAGAAGAAGAATTGACATAATGATGATTTGCGTACTTGGTTTGAAAGTTTTTCACTGTTGCGTGCATGTTATCTAATATTGATGAATAAAGAGTAGCTTAAAAGCATCCATCATTTTATGGCAGTAACTATCACTACTACGTAGCTATCCATATGCATCATACGCACGTTATGCCATTCACTCTTTAAGATTCAAGGTATGATTTGATTGAGATTGAAGTATATGATTTATCAGTAGAATGTGGGACAACGAGACATCTCATGCATCATTCCTTGTGAATCCCGGCCCCTCATCGAAGAAGGATGGCACGTTGACGTGTATCTTGGATATCATCAACCCCAATAAGAAGTTTATTACCATGATGAAGATAGAGCATATATGGTGTATGTGCATAGCTAATATCATGTTCATCGAATGAGATGGCAAAAGCGATTATGCGGGAAGGGAATGCATAATCGTTAGCCAATTTCTTTCATTTCGGAGGTTGTACTGCATACTGGTTCTCTTTCCCACCACCACTTGAGAATGTCGTTTGCTGGCTATCTATTTGGCAACGTCGACGAGGAAGGAAGGCTTGACAATGACCTCGATGAGGTAAATAAATAGGGTCATTGACCATATGGGACACTTACCTATGCCGTTGGTAGGAATTGCGGGAGTCTTTGCAACATGTCGACTCTGGTGTCATGTCCAAGATTTTCAACACGGATACGTTTGGCATTCCCCAAGAACATGAGGATAACGACGATGCAGCACACGCCACCTCTTATCAAGCACCAGCGACAGAGCATGCAAAAGACGCTATCGACTATTCCGATTTTAATGAGGCTGTACCGGATGATCAGCTCTTTTCGAACAAGTATTATCAACGTGGTATGGGCGTACTACAAACCAAGACCCTGCCTTCTTCTCGTTTACGCGTCATCAGTGATGATTATGATGAGGAGGGGGAGGATGAATCAGTCACTGATATCAAACCCGAACCTGTGTCCGAGCAACCATCATCATCATCCAATATCCATGCATTAAACGCACCACCGACAACATCCGCTCCTCCTCCTGCTCCTCCTACTCAGCCAGTGGATATCAAGGAATTGTTCCCGGCATTTGAACATGACAAAGTCCTCAAATTCTCAGAGCTCTTCATGACCAAATTACAACCCTCATCCAAGCTTCAACCCAATAAACGAGGTATTATTTTATATCCCATCACCATCATCATCTTCATCATCACATGCTAATTGAATACCTTGAATTAGTCATCTTCAACGATGGTTATGAATATGAAGTGGAACGTGATGATCAGACCTTGTTTTCACGCGTTGCCAAAAAGAACCGAGGCCGGCAATCAGATCAAGGCAAAGCGACCAAACGTCGGAAGATTGACCCTATCGAGCACCATTTTTTACAATTGGATAAGGATGACAGTGAATACTACTCTGAATCGACAAGCGAAGATGAAGAGGGTTATGTATGTGATCAGAAGAGGCGTCATGTCATTAATGGATCAAGGACTAAATGAGTTTTATGTAGACCCTACTGGATGTTGACATGCCAGCATCGGTCGAGAACAGCCAAATGTATCATTCAATCATGCTGGAGCCTTGGGAAGATCATATTCAATGGGATGAAAAGGAGGATCAGGAGAATAGGTACGTACTAAGTAAATCAATATGGATCATTAACATCATGTATACTCATTATTACCGATAGACCACAGATCATGGAAGAAGCCGAGGTATGCTTCCGCAACGTGCATGCTATAGCGCGATCTATGACATTAATGGATGGCTCCTTTTTTTGTAGCCTGTTGTGAAAAAGCACATTAATCAGCAATTGGATGATGGCGAATGGCTTGATGCCGTGATTTGGGATAAGGAAAAGCCGAATCCAGCTTATCTCAAGATTGATTTGGATCTCAACGACCCCAACATGCTATTCGATTGCGAACAAGTGGAAGCTGCCAAAACGAAGATTGTGGAGGCTAAGCAAGTCAAAAAAGGAAGAAAGCCTTTACCAAAGCCATTGCCCAAAGTATGTGAAAATGGCACCGAAATTAGTATGAAAGCTCATGTTTTATCTTTAGATACCCATTGTTCATAGCACAAATGAACCAAACAACAAGCTTCCCATCAACCGCTTCAATCTCTCCAACGACAAGTTCTATGACTCGCACTATACTGGACGTCTTGTTCGTGTACGACAAACATTGGGTCAATTGGTTGTTCAACATGCCACACCAGCATTGAAGCTTCATCCTCAATTGGTAAGTCCACAGCCCAACAACAATGATACCTCTTCCTTTGTACCTTACCATGTTCCTCCACCTTTAGTACAAGCCAAAGCTGTCAAAAGCCGAATTACGCTCTTTCCATCGCCCACACTTTCAGATGCCAATCAATACCGACATTCACTTTTCTCGGGTGACTAAGAGCAGCAAAAAGAAAAAAAAAGACAAAAAGCGTGGCTATGTCGATGCCTTCCGTACCACGAGGGATCTTTCACTCAAAGACACAGCACCTTACGTTTTATTCGAGTTTTCGGTAAGAATGCAGCAACAATTGTTGTAGTCATTGTATTTGACATATGCATTGATGTATGTATGTAGGAAGAGCATCCTCCCATCATCTCAAACGTTGGCATGGGGACGCTGATCATCAATTATTATCGCAAGAAGGAGACAAAGGATGACCATATTCCTACGGTAAGCAAGACAAGCTTCTTTTTTTGGACATGGAATTGATATGACCCATTATTAGAGCGATATTGGTGAACCCTTTGTTTTGGATATTGGAGACACATCGCCCTTTATGAATTTTGGTGACGTTGAGCCTGAGCAAACAATGACCGTTCTCTACAACAACCTGATGCGAGCACCTTTATTCCGACATGATGTCAAGACAACGGATTTTCTACTTGTCAAGAGCACGTTCATGGGCCATACCAAGTTTTACATTCGAGAGATACCAGTCATGTTTTTGGTGGGACAAACCTATCCGGTGCAGGAGGTGCCTGGTCCTCATTCACGCAGGGTGACAACCACAATCAAGAATCGATTACAAGTGGTAGCCTATCGCTTGATCAAAAAGAACCCTCTTCATCGGCTCAAGATGCACCGACTTGCTCAAAAGTTTCCTGAATACTCAGATATCCAAATCCGTCAACGTCTCAAAGAATTTCTCGAGTTTCATCGAAGGAGCAAAGACGGCGGTGGTGGTTATTGGAAACCAAAAGGCAACAACGGTGAACCTCCCTCTGAAGAAGATTTGCGCAAAATGGTCACCCCTGAAATGGTTTGCTTGTATGAAAGCATGCTTGTGGGCGAACGTCACTTGTCGGATTTGGGTTATGGCGACGTGGGCGATGATGATGAGATTGGTGAAGGTGACTCGAAGCTGGAGATTGAGCAACAACTAGCACCCTGGTTTGCTACCCGCAACTTCATCAATGCTACTCAGGGCAAAGCTATGCTTAAGCTTTATGGCGCAGGTGATCCAACAGGTCGTGGTGAAGGTTTCAGTTTCATTCGTGTATCAATGAAGGATATCTTCTTACGGGCGGGAGAATCAGCTGAAGAGAAATTAGGTTTGCATTGTGGTGGATCAACTACTGGTGGTGGTGGTGGTGGTGTCATTCACTCACCTTGCGATCTATCTTGTAGCTCAAATTGAAGCGCGTCCCAAAAGTGCTCATCGTTACAACGTGGCGGAACAACAACAAATCTATAAAGAAGAGGTAGTAACATAGACTCATTTATTGATGCTTATTGTATTTACATCATCAACATCTATAGATTGCACGAATCTGGAAAGCACAACTTGATGCGTTGTCATCCAAAGAAGAGCCAGAGCTATCAGATCATGAAGGTGAAGGCGATGATGATACTTCTCAAGCTGCCGATAGCCCCATGGTAATATTGAAATCTCGCATATGATTATCCTAGCAGTGATCTAAATCCTTTTCTTTACAGACGGCATCTCCTGCACCCTATGGTCGACGATACGAGCGTTCACAATCCGAAGCCATTGAGGATGATGAGCTATCAGTTACTGGAAGCTTAAGCTCAAGGTCCAATTATCAAATCGACAATGCAAACAAATACCTCGTGATCCGACGACTCATTCGGCAACCTAATGGAGAAAAGACTTGGCATGAAGAAGTTGTCCGTGACCAGGTAGTGATCAAATCCTATTTACGTCAACGTCAAATGATTGAAGAGGAGGCTACGAGGTATATAAAAGTTCACGTTCACACACACTCTCTCTCTATCAAACCAATGACTCATACTGTTCTAATAGTGCCGAAACGCTCGAGCCAACAGGTGACACAGAAAAGAATGCACGCATGAAAAAGCGAATCCAGGATCAACTTGCCAAATTGAAAAAGAATGCTGAACGACGACGTCAACGCCAACTTGCCAAGCAAGCCGCATTAGCTGAAAACCCCGTCCTTGGATTGATTCGTGGCAAGCGTGAAGGAGCTATGCGTCGTTGTGGCAATTGTGGACAACTTGGACATATGAAAACCAACAAGAATTGCCCCATGTTTTACATTGTCAATGGCAGAAATGGACAACCACCGCCTAACAACCAACAACAACCATCCACACCGACATCGTCAACAACAACAGCAGCAGGCCCTTCATCACAAGACTCACCTTCAAGTAATAACACAAACAACATGCCACCACCCCCACCACCACCTGCAATACCATCCACTTCTCCATAGTGTATCTCAAAAATCTTTATAATATAAAACGTACATTTGTAAATATGTAATAAGAGTATGTATATGCATAATATCTGTTAATCTATACAGCTGCGGTATCCTTCTTAGAGACATAGTTGTCTTCTTCTTCAACAAGTGCGTGGAGCATCATATCAGCTACCCGCTGTACGAAATGAGGAACGATGGTTGGGATGATCTTGAGGTCGGGTGGCGTCAATGGTGTGGTTTTACCGGATGCGATGATAGATGCTGGACTTTCAAGTTCTTCACTCGTTGTTGATGATGAGCCATCGTCCGTTAATCCATTCTCGGATAAGGTATCATTTTCTTCCTCTTCTTCAAGATCGATTTCACGCATTTCATGAACAAGGCCAAGCGTATCCACATTATCCGGTAGGAAACGTAACAATTGCTTGTATTCCTCAGCTTGGTGATCATCGCCGACCGATAGATCATCAATGCCATCATCGCCTGCTGCTGATGATTGTTGATGTGCAATGACTTTTTGGCGTGTGCGTCTCAAATGTTGTAGCTTTTGTAAACGACGATATTCACACAATGCATCAATCTCGTTTCGCAAATCAGGGTATTGTTCTTGAGTCACACCAGCGATGCGGACAATGTCGTTCATATCAAGTGGATGTTCAGGACGAATGCCACGCGTCAAGGAACCAAGGATGTGATCCACATAGCCCACAAGTTCATCAAACAGGTGCGAAGTATCTTGAGCATGGACACGATGAACAAATTGATAAAACTTTTGTTCATGGCGCTGCACCAACATGACAAACGGCTTTACGGTATTGGTATCAACACTGGTCGTATCAAGGTTATCCAATAAATCAATCAAGTCATCCATAAAGGCTGCGAGATGTTGCACTGATTCGCCAATATTAGCTGCCTTGTACACCTGTGCCAGTGGTTCATAAAAGATTGCAAACAACTCCTTGAGGATTTCACTGGTAACCCCTTGAAACGCAAGTGAAAAGAGTAATTCATGCTCACGTTTCCGAGCATAGAGAAACCAAAGATCGTACAGTTGCTTTAGTAGCTTCTTGGTCTTTTTGATCCCACCACCATCGCTGACAAGTGCAAGTTGTTCAGGTGAAAGCCGAGGTTCGATGTCTGGATTCTGTAATACGGATATCACTTCAAGAATAGGTGATCCCATCTCTATAATGTACCCAAAATAAGTAATCAAAAAGGCTTGGGGCCCCATGTTGAGTGATGTAATACCTTCTGGGTAAGTAGGTGATGGTGTTGATACAGCGTTGCGCACCTTGGCACATAGGACCTTTTCATCAATTTTTGCTTCTAGCATTTCAATCTCCTTTGTAAATGCATTGGCATCATCCACCATGTTGGCCATAAGTATCCTATAAAGAGTATAAGTACAAAGATAATCCATATGTACTATGTAATAGATCTTACCTTTGAAATAAACTTTTGCCACCCAAGGGTTGTGCCATGAATAAATCCAACATCATTTTGACCATAGCAATTGGATTGGAAAACTTGAGGATGGTGGCCACTGTGCGATAGGGCATGAAGCTGTGTGTTCTCCTTAACGTAGCGATATTCTCGGCCGCAGCATCATCCGTGACAAAATGGGTATGCAACGCAAAAGCAAAGCTACATTTTTGCGCCATGATCAGTAAAACGTCATACACAACAAGAGTGTGTGTAATTACCTTATACGACCCCATTCAAATGCCTTGCGTAATGCTTCAGGTAAATCGACAAGTTGTTCAGTGCTTTTGATGGTGCCCATAAGTTCTGTCAATCCACCAGGTTGCATGACTTTTTGCTTGAGCATATCCAATAAATCATTCAATGCGACCACTGTATCATCCACCTCCTTGCGAAAACGTTGACTTTGCTCAGCCCGTTGATCATCCATTTGCTTCCTCACTTCAGCATCGAGACGTTCATCTTCTGACAGCTCAACAGGATCACGCGTAAGAAATTGATGCAACGCTTTGCTCCGAGCAAGTTTGGGTCTGGATAAAAGTCGCCGTAAAAAGGAACTCAATAGCTGCCGATCTCGTTCACGATACATGGCATGATTTGGATTGGTGCTGGTGCTCGTTTTGGAAGGCAACATGGGAACAACGGTGCCAGGACATTCATTCTTTAGTTGATCAACAAGTTGCCGGAAATGACCATGGCGTCGTGCTACGTGGATTGGTGCGTCTTGGTTGTTGTCAAATGTGGATCGGATAAGAAATTCGGCCCGGGTCACTGTTCCGCGTAACAAGGTCCGTGTCTCCTTGACAGCTCGCTATTTCCATGATCCAATCATTAGGTGTGTGTGAGAGAGACAGAGAGAAACAATATTGATTTGATACTTACCACTGTGATGACATTGACATTATCCAATCCATTCTCTTTTTTCTTTTCTGTGCTGCTCGTCGTCGTCGTGGTATCGGATGGCTGATGGGTTGCTGCTGTTCCATGATCTTCTTTACCACCACCACCACTACCAGATGACGTTGTTGTAGTAGTAGTGGATGACGATGATTCGTTCACAAGATCACTTGGCGTGACCTTGATACTCTCTTCTTGTCCTTGAATGGTCTTCACACCCACATTCAATGCCAATAAAAGCGTTCGTTGCAACTTGCGTGTCATGGCTCGTCGTTGTGATGCATCCGTTTTACTGGGAACATAGGTGTTGAGCTGTATTTTGCCCACCTCGCTCAAAAACTCGTGTGCCTTTGACCAAAAGCTTCGTTGTCGACTGTTCTTCAATAGAGGGAATTCGGCAACAATGTGTTGAAACACATAGTGTAAGAATGGCAAATCGGATACTTGAAACTCGTCTAGCGGCTGTTCGGATTCCAGCAAGGAAAGTAGATCAGGGCGTCGTCGCAAATGCTCGAGTTCATTGCCAAGTTGAATTGCCAACAGCTCTCGTTTGAAATAGTGCAATTGCCTTGGAGATAGATCCATAAAGGAAAAAGAGAGGACAAAAGAAGAGGAGGTGGGTGGGTGGGGCAGGGGTCTAAGGTGAACCGGGAGCGATAGTAGTGATGTAAGAAGCCATGCAACAATCAACTCCTCCTTCCCTTTTATTAGCAAGTGGGTGACACAAGAAATCGTCATTATTTCTCTATAGGCAATGATGACATTTCTGTTTTTCTAGTAGGAAAACAACATAAAACGTATTGTAAAAGCCATGCCTTGATACTAGTAGGGGTCGTCTTGATGTCGTTATTATGCTTGTTGTTGTTGTTGGATAGTGTATCGGTTGTAATCGCTGTTGTACTCTTGTCGTCAGGTGTGGAGCTGGTTGAGGAGGATAATGTCTTTGCTTTTGTTTCAGGTGATGATCTTGTAGATAAAGAGGATGGGCTATAAAGCATAGCAACCAAGGCCGCTCCAATACTACCACCATCACGAGCCACTTGTAATTTTATACGTGAGCCAATATCCTTCCCAAACCAATCACTCAAGAATGAGTGCATTCTTTCTGGCATGCGTGGATAACGCTCAAAGGTGGTTCCATTAATGCCAATGACGATATCTTGTTCGGGTGTAAAGGATTGTTGTTCAATCATGGCGGCAATACCTGCAGCGGCTAGACCAGCTGCTCGCGTGGATACCATTTCACAAACGCTTTTAAATAGGAGGGCGTCTTGTTCATTGGGTGTAAAATGGAAGAGGTTGGCAAGGTATTCGATAAGGCGATCGGTGTTGCTGATGGCTTCAATCTCACTCATGTGCAACGTCAAAAATTGCCATGGCGTCTGCAAAAGGCTGGGAGCGACTCCTCCAAACAATCCGTGATGTGTCACAAGATCGACCACCACGAGACGTACAAGCTCTCCAAGGTAAGCACCCGACATCATCTTTTCATAAGGTTGGAATCCAGGCTGTGCATGGCTAGCATCCAATGCATGATCGAAACGCGTTCGTGGTAGATAGTCTCCATCACTGCCAAAGATATCAAGCTCTGTATTGACCAACATTTCAGTCGTTGTATCTCGCCACTCAGCTACATTCAACTTGATCATGCGTGACACCTTTTCTGGATACGCAGCATTAACACCTGTTCCATAGATGAAACCAACACGAGCTTGTGGATTGGAATATGCATGTGCCACCAAAGCGCCAATCGTATCGTTTACAAGTGCAGTAACAATGACATTCAACCCCTACATTACATAGAGAGAGACGTTGTCAATTTCAAGATTGCATGAATATGTATCACACACACACACACAAACCTTGCGTTGAAAGCCTTGATGAAACAAGGTGGCAAGATCATTTCCTTCAATGTCAGAGAGTACAAAGCCTTTACCCATCCTCAATATCTTGCCCTTGGAGATACCAGTCTGACTACCAATGAACAATGAGCATCGCGATGGCAATGGTAAAAAGTTGACATTTACTCGAGAGGAAAACTCCAAGAGACTCCCATAGCAACGGCTGGTTTATCCGCTTGTTGATGTTGTGATGATGGGATTTTTCCCAAGAGCTCGGCCACAGTATCTGCTATCCAGTCAAAAAAGGTATCGGTGGTGCTCGTTCGTAGCTGATCGGATATCGTCTTTCGCACCTCAGTAACCTTCACTTGGCCTTCACCCAAAAGGCATACAGCACACACACGTAGGGTGCTTCCACCTAAATCAAGTGCGAGATAGGTCCCTGTCTCCTTGCCAGTAGGCATTCGTGTTACATATGAAGGAATCATGGTTGCAAGTCCTGTTGCTGTAGGTGTGCTGAGCCCTTTTTCACACTCGGCCTTAAATCCATACACAATGGCTTTAAAGTTCTCGGGCGTCAAGTTGAAATCATGTCGAATCCAATCTATTCCATGGACAATCTTGTTATTGTTGTGGTTCATTGTTGTATGATGAAAAGAATGAATAGATATATAGACACCCAACAAAGAGGGAAAGGAAGAAAAGGGAACTGAAATAAAAAGGAATGGGAAAACCCAAGGAATGATCTTTATAAAGAAAAAGATTGTGTGTGTGTGTATGTATACACATGTCAGGTGGGTTTGACGAGATGTATGGTAGTGTGCCACAAGGGAACCTTCCCCTAGACCCTGAATGCTTAGTAGGGTGAACCCTGACGATGGATGTGTAGCCATCTACAAGTTTATCGTTGCTCATGCATCGGGGTGATGTGGGAATGATGGTGTCAGCAATTGAGATGTTATTCGTATGGCGGCATCTTTGAATGCTCCAAAGGACCCCGTTGAAAGATCTTGTATTATAACATCATCGTCTCACACACCGCCTATACACACACGCACACAGATTTAGATATTGCTCATTATCTTTCTTCTATCTCTGGGTAATCCCGAGGATTACTATCATGCGTACTTTTTTTTAAATTGCTTTGGTGTATGAGAAGCTCTCGATACAAATGATAGAGTGATCAATGCTCAATGTATTTGATACGTTATGTACTTTGCAATTTGCCGAATACACCAAAAACGAGGGAGAGGTTGGATTATATCAGCGTCTGAGAAAACGGGTGTGTGAAAATGGCAAAGAAAAAAGACACAAGTGTTACCTTGGTGTGTTGTGATTCAAGGGTCGCGTCCTCATCAAAGGGTAATGGCCATATTCGATTGCTGAAACGGCCCATAAGTGGTTCACACACCCTCTTGGATACATTTGGAAAGTGCTATATCCTGTACGAGGGGCCTGTGTCACGTCCTCGTCGTCCATTTTATGCGCAGCTGTGGTGACGATACAACTCATTGTACTATAATACGAGCCGGCATTATCCACGCACGTACTCAGAGCGATACCTACAATGGCAAAGTATTGGGATGCCATCTAGTAAAAGAAAGCTCGCACTGACAAGGATGGTGTTCTTAGGCGCCAATGCAATAAAGAGGGTATTATGAGAAAATGAAGAAAGATGCCGAGGAAGCAATGGCATCAGCAGGGATAATCCAATATCTTCGATATGCATCAAGATGACCATCTTCCTGTTTCTATAAACACATGTTCGCATAATAAAACACGATAAGGCTTGGAATAATTGCGAGGCAACGCCAAAATATCCGAGCAAGACATTAAGCATCATGCTCGACATTTAGGGCACCTCAGGGGGTTTATTGATGCGCTGTTTATAGATGTGGTTGGCTACTAATGCTATCAGGCAACAACAGCAGCATGCTTTACGACTATTCATCGTCATAGCTGAATGGATCCTCCTATTCATCATGGGTAGTGTGGGAAAACGTAGTATCTCAAAAAGGAGTTTCGACAATCAAATACGTCTTGAGAGAGAAAGAAAAACGGCTATTGCAGCGCTTCGTTGTTCGTTATGTTTGTTTATGGCGTAAGGCTATTCCATTTTATGGTCATTGGACCATTGTTATGAGAGGAGATTTGTGTGTCAGGTACTGCTGGATTACATAAACTATAGTAGAAGACCCTTTACCATGCTGACTCACTATTATCCTTTTACAAATTTCCCAGTCGATGGCATGGTGTCGCACATGAATACGTAATACGTTTATCAATTCAATCACATTCCCTTTGTGTACTTGAAAGCTATTAATACAAGGATCCCACGCGTATACTTTAAATGCCTCGCTCAGCAACCACACGTATCCAAAAGCAATCCATTGTACATGACATGATATTTATAAGAAAAGTCTTGGGGTTGTGTTGATTCTATACAATGCTCTATAGTTCCTTCTTCGTTTCTTCCATGGAGGGTGCCGGTGGTGGTGGAGCTTGCTTTCTAATCTTATCCATTTCAGTGATAAACCTGCATAAATGTCAACCGTGTGCGTTAGCCCCATGCATTATGCCATCCCACATCGTTTTTAAAAAGTTCACTTGCCATTTGATAGTGAGAAAAAGACATATTGAGAGCAATAAGAGTGCGACAACGTGAAGGTTCCCGCCCGTCATGATCACCATGGCAGCCAAAGTTGCAAAGAGCATATAGAACGCGTAAAACATGAGCTTGATGACACCGGTTGCTGTATACCCGGGCGTCATTACAGACTGTACAATGTCGTCGACGAGGCTCATTTTGTAAAGGAAGAGTTGCTGATTGGGTGGGTGGATGGGAGGAAGTGGCAAATGCGACAAGGGAAGGGTGGTGACCGTAACAAAGAAATAGGAACAAAGAGACCTCTTCTCCGGAGTTGTTTCATTTTCATGCTCGACCACCTGCGTTCCTTGGTATCCGAAAACCGATGTCGTTTCATTGATGAGCACACCAATCTCGACCTTAGTTGTAAGAAAAAAGACACATAGAGAGAGACGCTGCTGTATCACGTGTGCTGACAATGGTTTTGCAGATGTCACCGATCGCATCATAGCAATGTCGTATCCATCCAGTGGACTGGAAGGGCTGTACCGCAACTCTTTCAAAGACGTAAAAAGGTGCGACGACATTAGAATGCTCCCAATACAACTAGCTCACTATGATATATAAGGTTCCTTGATACTCGACACAGAAATCATTACAAGGTCTACAACCTGTAAGTCGTCCATGCATATCAGCACACACAAAGTACATCTCATTCAACCTTTTGCGTGCAGGCGCTCGGAGAAGCAATATCGACATGAGCTATTTGAAGGTGCAACAGGTGAGCTTTTCAATCCGTTGTTGATGGATCCCAGTACATTCTCTGATTTTCTCATCAAAGTGGTTCTTTTTGGATTTGGTGATCATCAGGCTCCTCCTTTTGAGTTGCTGGTTCAATTCTGCAAGGATGCCAAGACATGGCTGGATAAGGATACGAGCAACGTCGTGGTGATCCATTGCAAAGCTGGTAAAGGAAGGACCGGTACCATGATCGCCGCACTCCTCTTGTACCTTGGATACGCAACGGATGCCGATGAAGCTATTCAAGTATATGGCACAAAACGCACTACAGATGGAAAGGTATGTGGTATGGATGGATTCCATCAATTTTTCTGTTTACTAAACATGCAATTCTTAGGGCATCACTATCCCAAGCCAGATACGATATGTCCATTACTTTGAACGCTGGATGAAGAAGGAGAATGCACCATTCATGCCGAACACAAAGACAACCATACACATTACCCAATTGGCAATTTGCAATATACCACAAGCATGGTCTCGTCGTACGTATCAAATTTGGTTTATTGGATCCTGCATTAAACTTATATCCTAAAAGATGCGAGCCTATCAATGACGATCGAGATTGAGCAAGTTGAAATCTTTGAGACTGATAAGGTAAGGATGAATACTGGCAGCCAACAAGCATAGTGATTAACAACCATACGCATCTTTAGATGGAAGTTACAAGTGACAACACGATCCTCATGCCGCTACCTGCCGTGCCTGTCAAAGGCGATTTCAAAATGACGCTTTTTACGAAAGGAAGGATTTATTCAAAGGTAAGCAAACATTTCATGGCGATGGTAAGAGAGTGTCCCATCCTGAGTGCTTGGATTAGCAGAGATACTTGTGCCACTTTTGGTTGAATACAAGCTTTGTTTCCGCATCATCATCAGCAACAATCATACTAGCAAAGGACGAGATCGATGGCGCCTTTAACGATACCCATTGCCGGCAGTTCCCCAAGGATTTTGCCATCCAGATCCAGTTTTCTTCCAATAGAGACCTTGAATAACGCAATCATCCTCCTAGAGCAATATCATCTTAGACCATCATTATTAAAATCCCATTACATCATCATCTCTTCTTCGACTACTTACTGCTCTCCCATCAAGATTTGTGGATTTTTGCATATTCATGTCGTAATGCAGGGATGCGATGCGAGTATCGGTCATGTAACTTTTTGACCAGTTTCATGAACTTGTCATCATCCGGCACTGTCAGCGTGGAGCTCAACAAAGTCATGCAGCTTTCAAAGTTTCGAGACAAGAGTTGATCTATAAAAGGAAAACCATAAACATCCCACTCAACCTTTTTCATCTCCAAAAGTGTAGCCTTACATTGAAAGGTCTTGAGCAACGCGATGGCGACAAAATAAAAGACATTGAATCCTTCCAAGAAATAGACATCCCAGATCCGTAAAAGGGTTTGGTACTTGACGACGCCTCCTGTGAACATTGTAATGTACCATCGAGTCGCATAGGCAGCACTCGTTACATCAATCGAATGCTGTATAATGATAATGATATCAGCACCAGGACACTTTTTCTCTCACTTTCTCTCTCCTCGTATTACCAAATGCCTGTACAAGCGAGTCAAGTATCGTTCCACGAGCCGCTCCTGGATGAAGAAACTTTCCATGAGTGCAGGAAATCCTGGTACAAAGAGATCATGCAATCCATCACGGAGAAACATGTGCACAAGTGCAGTGTATGCTCGCTACACATGTAAAAGAAATGGTAAGGGGGCCGGATTTTGCGACTTCATACGATCATCAGCGCGTTTACCTCCTCTTCGCAATACATGAGTAACATGGCAGCAATATTGGTCATGCCTTGACAATAGCCCACCTCCTTGTCGAACCCTGAAAATGCTCGAAGCACGTTGAATAATGCCCTTTGTCTGTAAAAGGAGAAAGGATGTGAACACGACATCTTCTTCACCCATATCCTACATACCCTTGACCATACCGCTGCCGGAACATGATATGGCCATGCATTGTTCGAGGAATGTCAAGATCAATTTGTCGCTCATGCGATGATGGTTCCGATAACAACACCTATTATTATACGCTTTAGCATGATTGGGATTATAGTTGCTATTGGTGTACCTTGTATTGTTCTCGTAACGCGTCGTCGTTATTTGCTTTTTGTAATCCGTTGGTCAACGTAAAGTACCTATTGGATCTGTTTCAGATAGCTGGCGGATAATTGGATGTATATACAATTATGCCTACGTACCATGCATCCCGCCGCCAGCAGTCTGGAATTCCTTTATACACACGCTTGATGAACTAGCATATGATTCATTAGTCGCACTCGACATTTAGGATTCGTGTTCTCTTCAATATACCTTGGAATTGACGATAAAAGTATGAAGGTCTTCACCATGAAGTTGTGCATGCTGTGCCATCCCAGCCCACTTTGTAGCGCGTTCCGCTTCCTTCTCTGCCTGACTAATATGCATATATAGATAACTCCCAAGTCAATACCTTTTCTAATCCATTGGTGTACCTCACTTACTTGACATCGGGTGTAAATAGCTTATCATCCTCCAAAAACCCATATCTATATATGCGAATCCAATGCATCAGATCAAATGGATGAAGCATAGTCATCAATGCAAAAGAGTAACACGGACCTGTCAGCTGCTTCAAACCACTTTTCCATTTCAGCCGCGACGTCAGGTGGATTCGATTCATAATGTCCTCGTATCTCAGCTGCTTTGTTTTCTGGAGTGGATAGGGTGGGTGGTTGTCGCTCATTGGCAAGATCGTTTTGGTGATCGAGGACGACAAAGGACCCGTTGTTATGTGTCTTGATAGAGGTACCCGTTGTAAGCTCCGTAAAGTTTGTATCAGAAGAAGAGTTGGTTGTTTGACAGGTCAAGACCGGCATGGTTCCAAGATACGTGGACATTTTAAGAGAGCTTGTGCGTGTGTGCGTGTGTGAGAGAGAAAGAGATAAAACGGAAAGGTAGAATGGAAGAAGAGTGCATCACATTCTCTCTCTCTTTTTGGTATATCTTTAGCCTGAGCGGGCATTTCCTGCAACGGATGGAGCCCCCCGGGCTGGAACACATCACGCGCCAAATGATACCTATTTATACCCACGCTAGAATGGGGGGGCAACCATGACTCCATCCATGGATACAATGATTCACGTGACGCACTCACTTTTTATTTTATAGAGTAAAAAAGATGTCTACGTTGCTTTGATGGATGAGCCTACAATATTAGTCTAAGGCATTTGTTAGCACTTTTTGGTGGCACTTGAAGCGGACATTGCAGCAATGATTGTCACACGCGTACATGTCATTTTTCAAAGGGCATTTGTATCCTATTTGTATACGCACATACAAACATGAACCCATAGGATGAATGAAGCAACAACAAGGGACTGAAATTAAGGGATGTACGTTAACGTTACAACTGCCGATCAAAGCATGTGCATATGTGTGTGCGTTGCGTGTGAGGGTACCAGAGTGCGGGGTTATGACAGCCGTTGTCGGGCAACACAGCAGCGGGCAACAGCAGTCGACAGCAGCAGCAGACAACACGCTTATCCATATACACTTTTCACACCGGGGGGTTTCCACTCTTCTTCCTCTTTTCCCTCTTTTTCTTCCTGTTGTCTTTTGATATAACATGTCTTCAAAGGGGGGTGCAAGTCCACCCGAACGAGACCCGCAGCAATCGTTAATGACACGTTCACAAGCACTCTCAACAGCATTTCTCGGTACTGCACGCGACAAGGCTATGGGAGTTGCCCATGCTGCAACAAGCTGGTTCACACCACCATCCGATTGGAGTGCACCTTTATCGCACTTGGAGTCACTCACCACCGTCATGTTGAATCCATTGGCTGCCCACCCTGTTTATCAAAGCGAATCATTGGCCAAAGCCCTTCAACTCATGCAGCAACAACAACGTCAACGGTCATCGTCGTCTTCCTCCTCGTCTAACGGCAACGAGCTCGTACTGCACGGCACAACGAATAGTGCCTGGCCATCCAGCACTGAACTACTAAAGGCCGAGATACCCGAGTCCCATGCACCACTCTCTTTGTTTCAAGGTTTTGCTGCCACATACCCTTCGCTTGCAGGAGCATCATCGACCTCTTCTTCATCTCCGTCAAATAAGAGATCAAGGCATAAACGGAAAAAACAGGCAGCTCATGCTTCAGGTATACAGTTGTCTTTCTCTACTACTACTACTACTACTACCTCCTATACTCATCATGGATGATGTATCATTTATTAGAGGGTCAAAATCGTACACTGACTCAAGTCATTGCCGAGCGAGAACAAAAGATGCGTGATAGTAGTAAATTGGAAAAGCAAAAGGTAGGTTGTGTTTGCTTATTGGGATCATTCACCATATTAACATGGGAGTGGGTGGATAGTTGTCGACCATGAACGAGATGAATCAAATCACGATGCAGATTGAGGAGCTTGTCAATAAGCGTAAAGCGTTGGAGCAAAAATGGCAAAAACTTGAAGCAAAGGAGCAACAACTTTTGGAGACAAGTAAGTGTGGAGGAGGGGGGTTCATGTGGCAAGATGAGAGAGCATGACCTTTATTAATTCATGTGATATGATAGTTGGGCAATTGAATGATGTGATTGTGACAGTGGAAGAAGAAGGAAGAGATACAGTGAGTGAAGGTGGTAGTTCATCACGCGCCACGGTCCAACAGGATACGATATCAGAAGACGACGCCATCCTTTACGAGAGTGGTACCTGCTACAAGACACTTTCTGGCCATGATGATGATGTATTATGTGTGGATTTCAATCACCCACGTGGTATCTTGGTTTCTTCTTCCATGGATGGTACAGTGCGTGCTTGGGATTTGTACAAGCATAAATGTGTCGGCACCCTTGAAGGACCTACCAGTGTGGTGCGATGTTTACAATTAAACGATGCATGCCTGCTTACGGGTTCTGAGGATGGATCGATCAAGCAATGGAACATGTCAGCCATTCCACCACCACCGCCTTCCACCGATAGCTCAGTGATATCATCCAGCGAACCCACGTCTCCCGAATTATCAGCCATCCCTGAAGATCTTCCCGTGTTGAGCGAATGTTTCACAGGTGCTTTGGAAGGCCATCAAGCTGAAGTAACGGCATTGTATATGGATCAAACTATGGCTGTGTCAGGTGCCAACGACAAGACTATGCGACAATGGGATCTGGAAACTCAAAAATGTGTCTTGACACTCGACGTGATGTGGGCTAGCCATGGTGCATCCCCTTCATCCTCCTCCTCCTCTTCGGGTTGGCAACAATGGGCCATGGATGGATTGCACAACTTTTTCAACACCCAGGACTTTGTTGGTGCTTTGCAATTTTGGAACTTTGCATTGGCAAGTGGTACCATGGATGGAAAAATCAGAATGTGGGATTGTAAGTAATAGGATACAGTGAACGTGTTCTTCATCTTAACGTATTTGCATATGCTATATAGTACGCACGGGTCAAGCACATCGTACCTTGCCTGGTCATACAGGTCCCATCACATGCTTACAATTTGATGAAGTACATCTCGCAAGTGGTAGTCAAGATAAGACGATCAGGGCAAGTAGTGTGTGGGGGAAAAGGGTTGGCTATATAAAAAAAAGGGATGATGCTAATGCCGAAATCTAGATTTGGGATTTACGGACAGGCTCCGTTTATGATACATTGCACTTCTCGAGTCCCGTAACATCGCTCCAATTCGATACTGGCCGAATAGTAAGCGCCAATTGTACGGAAAACATTGATGTAAGTAATGTTGTTGTTGTTGGTAGATAATATGGACAGAGCTCTAATCGAATCAATAGATCTATAATCGAACTTCCTTCCAACATACCACTTTGCAAGGGCACACCGCACAAATCAACTCGGTTCGATTCCGTGACAATGTATTGGCAAGCGGTGGAAACGACAGCGTTGTGAAACTTTGGGCTCTATAGAACCTGTCATTCGTCGTCGTCGTCGTCGTCGTCCATGTTATCATTTCCCCCCTTTTTTCATTCCCCTTCACTTTCTCATTAATGTATGATACACAACCCAACCTCGCTCGCTCACTCGCTCACAAACACACTTTTACACAACACACACATACACACACACACACACACACACAAAATCAGGAGCTGTAAATTTAAGTTCGTAATGCATGCACAAGTACAATAGAACGATGATTTTTTTATTATTCTTTCTTTGGTCTACTACATACAATGAAAGTTGACTATACATGAGGAATACTACAATAAAGATATCGCTGGGAATAGAATATGTATAAGAGGGTGGTATATCAATATAGTTACAAGCGGGTGGGTTTAGAGGAGTGGTGGTGGTGGTGGGAATACAACAAGTTTTCAATCTTGGCTGGCATGAGACAAGGTATGATCGACGCTTGGAGGACGTAGCATACTATGACGTTTCCTCGTTACTTGTTCAGTGGTCCATGATTGTAGTCGCCCTACAATAGAGGGAGTGGTGACATTTGAATTGTCTTGAAAGGACAAAGAGCTGCTGGTGCTATCCAACGTGGATGATACCATATCCATGAATCGGCCAATAGCTGTTGTTGATCCTTTGGTTTGCTCATCATTGCATTGTTGTTGTTGGATCACTTTTTCCTCCTGTTCCTGGACCTTGCTCACATAAGCAAGCTGTAGATCATTGATTATCATGCGTAATTGTCCAATTTCAGTAAGCATGTTCTTGGAAATATCGTCCTTGGGCCGCATCTCGCTCAAAATAGACTGTATCATCCCATTGCTGGTCTCATTCATCTCCTTGATATCGAAGGCTCGATTCAATGCTCGATTTAATGTACGCATATCAGTGCCTCGCAATCGTTCAAGTACGTGTTGGTCTTCTGCATCATCCGTTTGTGTTTGAACAGCAGCGTCCTGTAGACATTTGATATTGTTGTGGTGATGCAAAATGTGATGATGATGATGAACAACAGCTGATAATGTACGCATTGGCATGGATGCTGGCTTTTGTGGCGGTGGTGTATGAGAGGCGAGCACCATGGATTGTTCTTGTTGTGATGATACCAACAATAGCTTTTCCATTTGAAGACGCATTGCATCTAGCTGAGCTTGTGTGTCGGCAAGTCGCTCACGGCATTCAATTAATTCTGTAGCCATCTCTTGATTGCTTGATTCGAGCTCTTTGATATGCTGCTGCTGTTGTTGCTGATGCTTTTCTGATGGCTCCAATGACAATGAGAGCTACTTTACCATTTAGAACACAAATCGATAGCATCATCAAAAAAGTATAGCTTACCCTTAGCATTTCATTTCGAAGCCGCTCATTGGATTCACGTAACCATGCCAAATCATCCGTTTCAGCGACTTGAGGTACCTCTTGTTGTTCCAACTTGAGCTTTTCATAGGCACTATACAGCATGTCTAACAAGTAAAAGATGTTAGTGATCGATAATGAATGGGTATAGAAGCACCAAAAAACAATTACCATATCGAGCTCTCAACTTTTTATGCTTTGATTCGATCGCTCGTTCTGATTTTTGTGCTGCAATCAGCTCTTGCTTTGCATCTTCGAGCTAATTGAAACGTAATAAGAAGATAAGGTCACAGGTAAGCTGATAACAAAACAAACCTGCCTTGGCTCGAGTATTCTGTTCGCGTGTATCCGCTTGATGTAATGCAATTCGTGTGGATCGAAGTTCAGAGGCTCGTGACTTGAGGTCGTTCATCAATTGAGAGTTACGTGCATTGGCCATTTCCAAATCAGCTTCCGTTTCTCGTAGCGTCTAAACAAGCAATATGAATGAATGAGTACAAGTGTGGGGGGGAGGTATGATATGATACGAACCTGTTCAGCCTTGTGTCGTTCCCAATTAGCGCGATTGTGTCTCTCGGATAAATCTTCCATGGCAGAATCTTGTTCATGTAGCAAACGTTCCAAATGCCGCGTCTTGTCGTGTGACAAAGCAAGCTATATGTGTGTTAGTGAGTCTAATAATGGTTACACATATGCAGTAATCGGCTGACCTGTTTCTCCAGTTGAGCCGATTCATGTTTCAGTGCATCATGCTTTTGCAGTAATGTCTGCCCAATTTCTATTGCATTGCATAATGCATACATATCAATGTAAATTAAGTGTGTCAGGAACAACGCCATCATCTTTGTTTTACCTGCTGCCAAACGTGCTTCTTGTTCAAGCTTTGCAATGGTGTTGTAGAGATCCTCTGATGAGCAACGACAACTGTCACCAAGCCAATGAGGACGTGAATCTTCAAATGAGGAGGCGTAGCTCAATGACAAGCTCGATCGTTCCTGGACGACTGACATGACGCGCGCACACAGATATACACACACGTAAAAGAAGAGATAAAAAGGGAATAAAGGAAAAGGCGAAAAAAGAAAAGCGGAAAGAGATGAAAGAAAAGGGATGGTCTCTGTGGCTGTAATAGTATTGTTATATCGATCGATCACACGACATCCCATCATCATCGGAAACGTTTTAAGCGTAGTATCTAGTGTTTTGCAGTAGATTGCATTCTATCAATTTCTTTGTTGTTTCATAACAACGCCTCCTATGTTTCTTGTTGCCAAGCAACCACCAACCTATGTCATTCATTTTACCCTTTATGTCATCGTCGTCATTATGCTTCATATCTCTTCCCGTCCCCCATCCACCCATCCCAAGCCCATTATTATGCGCACGGTTTGGCCACATGATAACCATGTGAAACACAGCCTGTGGTATAATTGCCCAATGCGCTCCCCACCTCCTTCATCATCATCATCCATGAATGATGGTCTCGGTGATATTTGTAGCAGAAACCTCGGGGTATTATTATGTATGCATGCATGAGCCTCTCCTCATTTCTTATAGTCTTGTCTTCACTCTCTCGCTGTGTCTCTCTTTTTTTTTCCTTCACATTCCTTCTTCTTCTTCTTCTCCTTTCTCTATTACATACATATCATGATACGTGGTTCACGGTTTGTTGAGCATTTTGACGATACCCTTCCAATAATCGATCATCGACGTGGATTAAAACGAAGACCTCATGTCAAAAGACGTCAAGTACGACCTTCCATGTGCAAAAGGGGCATACGACGACGACGTAGTGTACGACGACAAACCTCCTCCACCACTTGTCCACCTCTCGTTGTCTGGTGTAAAAAGATAATTAGAAAATTCCCAACTTGATAGTAAAAGTAAACAAAGCCCACGCTTGACTTTTTGGAAAATACAAACAAAACAATAATGTGATGATGGAGGAAATGGAGAGTTAACACACACAAAGAAGGGGGGAAGAGAGAAGATTTACACAATAGATAGATACAAAACAAAGAAAGAAAGAAAGAGAGAAAGAGAGACAAAAATAAATCAAGCACCTCGTTCCATAAAAGGATGATGCGTGGCTGGATCAAGTAAGAGTTCCATCATGGATCCTGTTGTGGGTTGTGGAGGAGAAGGGTCAAGTGCCATACCAGGGTCCATAGGATAATCCATCAACATGTCTTGTTGTTGTGGATCATGAAACAATTCTTGCTCCAATGGCTGAACATGGTCTTCCATTACGCTACTCATCATGGGTTGTTGTTGTTGTTGCTGTTGATATGTTCCTGAGATTGTATGGCGTCGATGACTTGCAGCAATTTGTCGATTTGTATAAGGTGTGGATACGGTTCGCATGGGCTGTTCAATAATTCCCTGGTATTGTGGTGGTGAAGGTTGATTCATGTGCTGTTGCTGTTGCTGTTGTTGTTGCTGTTGCTGTTGCTGTGCCGCAGCTGCAGCGGCAACGGAAGAGCTACGCAATGCCTGCTTGTAAAATGGGCTGGGTTTACTTGAAGTAGCAAGAGGAGCTGCACCACCCAAGGCTGCATAAAAATCGGTGTTGTACAGGCCTGTTGCTGTAGCTGAAGGTGGTTGTGAAAAGTTGTATTGTGATGATGATGGTGATGATGATTGGTATCCTAGGATGGGCATGGAAAGTCGATGTTGCGATCCTGCTCGCATGCGTTGCTCAGCTACAGGATTCCTTGATGCTACGACACCTCCTTGTTGCAAAAATCCTGATGGCGGATGACCAAGCGTGGCTGTTGTTGTAGTCGTGGTACTAGTAGCAGTCGTAGCTGTAGGCGTAGCATTGCTGTTGCTGATGAGTGTGCCCAAATGAGATGCTGCACGTGCACGTCGTTTACTTGTTGCAGTATTGGTGACATTGTTACCACTGCTACTACTAGCACCAGGTAATGACGCTAGACTTGTGCGTCTTGATTTGGATCGTACCACGTCGTTTGATGATGCCAGGATGGGTGAAGATCTTGATGATGAGGGACTAAGACTCGTATCCATAGCTGATGGTGACCATTGTTGCTGTAAGAATTCTTGTTGTTGTTGCTGTTGTTGAAATGATTCGCTCATAGCATCCACTTCAGTCGCTGGTGTCTTATCCAACAATTGTTGCATTACAGCCAACGACTTGTTGCATGCTTCCTGATGTCCCTGAATATCCGATAAACATTTGTGCACGGTAATAGCAGCTGCCAAACAATACACGGTATACTGAATCCCTCGCACAGGATAATAAAAGCATTCCACGCCACGTGTATTCAACAAGTTCTCGACAAGATGGGTGATGGTAGATGCTGAATCGGTACATCGTTCTTGTGATACACTTGATTCCTGATCCAAAGCATAAGGTCGATGTAAAAGAATCGTACTTGAATGGAGGAGTAATAATTGGAATGAGGATGCATACGAATGCCCCGAAGGCTTCACCACGCTCGACATTTTGGTTCCCAAGTCTTCCAATCGCTGTTGTAGGTGCCTGAACGTGGTGCTGTCATCCGATTCCTTACGATTGGAAACACTTCCCATCAATGGTCGGGTGTATTTTTTGCGTACAAAGTGCAAGATGCTGCCATGGATATGAACAAGTTTTGCCAACCAGTGGAAATGTAGTAATGCTTCACGATCTTCAGGCTGTGTCTCATCAGGAAGCAGATTTGGATAATCAATGGTGCAAGTACTCTCTGAGAAATGAGGCTCTGCACCCAATTCAGTGCTACATAATAACATCATCAGCCATCATGTACCCTTAGAGCATGTTTCTATATATATATATATATATACATACCTCATCATAATGTCGTAAGCATACACAGCCCAAAATGTCCGCCTACGTTGCTCTGCAGTAGCCATGTCGAGTTGAAATCCAGGTCCAAGTGCCTTGCATAATCCAAGATCTCGACACATGTGTACAATGTTTTGGAAATAGTACCGTGTCCGCCAAAAGAAACCAGGTCTTCTTACATGCTCCTGATATTTGACCATCAACAACAGTGCCTGCACCGTGGATAGACGAGGTGTGTCGGTATAAATATCAATCAAACTGAATGCTGCCTGATAATAACGCCACCCTGGAGGATGACCATCATTGCTAACGGCTTCTCGTGCAGAGGGATGCCACCTTGAGGCGACAGCGTACATTGCATTGAGTAAAAGGATACAGGGTGCCTTTTGCAATTGAGCGTGAAATGAGGCCCGGTGGAGAATCGGTAGATAAGGATGAACATGCATGAAGTAGAGTTGAATCAAATCCATCTGAATGGTCGTGGCTGCAAGCGTTTGTGGATGAAGCTTTGGTTGTGCAGGCTCTGTCACGTCTCCTAGCAACACTGGAGCTTGTGGTGTGCCATAGAAATAGTCTTCATAGATGGATGGAATACGATCGATACGTGTCATGCAATCATAAATGTATAATCCTTGACCCGTGTCTCCCACTCGCATGGTATCTGATTGGGGTTGTTGATGCTGCTGTAATGATGATGCTGATGAAAATGAAGATGAAGAGATGTTAATGCAAGGATTCAAGTAAATGTGTGGAGGATAAGCGATTACCTTGTAAATAATCAGCTGCATAGGTCATCTCATTTGAATCACGTTGCAATACAAGAGACGCGTCGTATGGTTCAGTATCGAGTTGTAATGCACGAAGAACTTGCTCCAAATCACGCAGTCGGGGCTCAAGAGTTTCAACGTATTGCTTTGGAGGACCTCTTTTTGGCGTCACCTTGACAAATACGCATTCAGTCTTGCTCTTTTGACAACGTAAACAAGGCTGTGCGCCATCACATCGAACCTGATAAAGACAATAATAAAGTTAGGGATTTCTTTTGGATAGGTAGCTGAGTTGTGGTGGGACAATCTCAGTGAAACTTGGCGAGTCGTTGGGGAGAACCACAACAAAATGTATATGCAGCCCTTTATATTACCTTTCGTTTACGACACTCATCGCACGCTCTACTGATCTTGTTCCTCTTTGGTCCACCCACATTACTCGATGGCGGTATCGCATGAGCCATTTCGCCCGAGTCTGCTGCCCCTGATGGTGCTGATTCCTCCATGCTGTACTGTAATGACTGACGCTGATGGCTGCTGCTGTTCCTTGTCGTGAATGTCGGTATACAACTCGGTTGGATATCGACGTTGCTATGGTGGCCAACAACAATGAAGAAGTTGAATGAGGTAAGAAAAGAAGAAAATACAAAAGAGAAGAAAGCTCACAAAAGGAAGTAACGCGACAAAGCCTGTGTGCAATAAATCTGAGTTCCAGGCAGCAGAGTCTATCAAGGATAAGGATACCTCTTCTTCCACATATCACTTTGGGCCGTCCCTGTTTCCATCTTCCATCTCCAAGCCAACTTGTTCTCTTTTGGGCATCCGCTGGGATCATTCAAAGGTTACGATAGTCTTTTGCCTCAATCTCAGATGTTGTCTCTAATACAAAAGATCTCCTGCACGGTTGATTTGTCACTTTTGGTTAACGCTAATTGGGGCTAAGGTTTGCTTTAGTGGCACAGAAACACTCTTTTTTCCATTCACTTGTAACGAGTACACTTTTAAACTTGAAACCCCCATCAATTCCCTACGTATTCATTGTCTATATCCCTCTTTGTGCTGATAAAGGAGATAATCTTACATACTGATAATGATCCTTTTGCTTATCAATGATCTTGTTTGAATCTTCTTTATGAATCGATGACGCACCTCGCTCGTCATTGTTTTGTTTGTAACATTGTATGTTGCTCATGAATCAACTCAGCATGGTAACATTGTTTTCCTTTCATCTTTTATATACTTTACATGGAGGAGCTATCTCTATAATCTACTGCGACTTGGCCATGCGAATCAACTCTGCTAAGCGAATGACCCCTTTGTCAAGAGTATCACTTGGAAGATATGCAAAACATAACCGTACATGATCCTTAAATCGGCGTCGATCCTTGTTCGCATCACCTGGGACACCAAACAAATTACCCCAACCGATAACAATATCCCGTTCTGGTTGCTCATCCATCACTTTTTCCAACAAATCACGATCCACGCCAGGGGGAAGTTGTACCCATACGAAATAGCCTCCACTTGGTAATGTCGACGAACAGCCCAATGGAATCAAGTGTGTTTCAATGGCAGCCCAAAGCTTCTTCAATCGTTCATGCAGCTTACTCCGTAAGTGTGCAATATTGTGATGCAAGCTTAACTCGGGATCACTCGACACCAGCATCGGAGCAATCATCTCGTTTGCTAATAAATAACATGGTTACCATCAATGTACTCATTCGCATGCATAGAATGTTACGTACCAAAGTTGCTAGGCGAGCCACCCGATATGAATGATCCGCTATATATATAGCATGGTGATCAGCATGATGATTGCAAAGCGCGCCCTTTCTCTTTTGTTCTTACCAGGATCCAACACGTTGAATGAGCGATGGATGAGCTTCAATCCAACCAGCACGCATACCAGGTGCAAGGATTTTCGAAAACGAGCCATTGCTGATCACTGTGGGCTTATCGGAAGGTGACATTGATTCCAAATCAAAGACCACTGTTCTCTTCGGCGTAACACCCTCAAAGGTCAAGAAATCATAGACGTCGTCGCAAATAACCAAGACGTTGTACTGGCGTGCGAGTTGTACTAGTTTTTCTCGACGTTCAGCGGATAAAATGGATGATGTTGGGTTGGCATGTGTAGGTACACAATAGAGGACAGCAGAATAAAACTCGCTCTTTGCTTCATCCTTGCTGAGATGTTGTTCAAGGAACGTCTCCAGGGCATCCACATCAAGACCATTCGAGTCATCTGGAATACCAATAAATTGGCTCTTTTTGAAACCAGCACCGTTGTAGATCTGATACACGAAATGATAGGTGGGATCTTGGAAAAACGCAAATCGAGTTGCTGATTCAGGTCGTGTCAACATGGTCAATAAATGCTGCAGAGATAATGATGCTCCAGGGGTAGCACACAATTGATCACTATATATAGATCCACTTGTCAGCCAGCAATGCTTTGGATCCAATACGACTTCTTCTTCTTCTTCTTCACTTACGGCTGAACTTGAGTTCCATAGCTCTCGCTCAAAAACTTTGCCAGGCTGTCAAGGTAAGCAGGGTTGCCGAACTCATCGCCATACTACTTGAGATGTTGGCATACACTTTTGTATACATGGCGCACCAGCATCACGTACCTGCAACAATCGGCGAGTAACATCGTTGCCAGCCAATGCCGCTTGTGTCGAACGTGCAACACGGTCAAGGGGCAATAGATCGAGACCAGGTTTTCCTTCAAGGAGATTGATCATTGGGTATGAGCTCAAGCTACAAGCGTGAGTAAAATGGAAAGTGTAAAAGGTCCGGCAGCGTCGCTTAATCCCGACAACACATTCCCATGGTGATGTGTGTGAGTATTTGAATGGTCGATCATGTATATAGCAACAATGAAGGCTGGTAATCAGGTGACAAGCATTGCATGGATAGGCCATCAGGAACCGCCACCTTCCCACTTTGGATTTTCATGTCATGGGCAACCCGTAGCCTAGGCAACGCTCATTTAATTCTATCTTTAGTAGTACTACTACCATTGAAACGAGCACGTTCTTTGTTGGAAAGGAAGGAATACACACAAAGCGAGTATGCATTTTCAGCCAACAATGGGACCTTACACACAAATAGCTGCATACTTCTTGTCATAGCAAATTCTCAAAGCAGGCACTTTTGATACAAACATGTAATAAAAGATGATGGTACTTTCAACCTAATCATTACCCTCTACATATCATCTTGTGTTCACCAAGCACTCGTCAATCATTGATGGATAGGTGGTGAGTCGTCTTTGGACGCTGCAGCAAGTGATTCATTGTACCATGCAGTATAGTAAGCTATTTCTCTCACGGCTTTTCCTCTTGAACAGCACGATTATATAGGCACAGCTTCCACGCAAGTCATACTACCGAACTCAACGCCGACGAGCGATGGCGGTGCACCTGATTGTAGCAGATGTCCTTGTTTTTCATGTTCAATGCCAACAAAGGTGACCCATTTCTCAATCCATAGATTGGTTTCATTGTAGCATCCAATTGATTGTGATCCAATAGGGGGGAGGTAAATGATCGTCTGCAATCATGCGAGATCACCTATTCTCGGAGCTGCACATTGAAATTCAGCAACCTGTTGGGCAATCGGACGCATTTCTTTCATGCTCTCACACCAAAGTGCACTACCTGCAAACTGTCAATGAGCCGACAAGGTCAAAGATCACCAGTTGAAACGCGAGGTAAACTACCGACATTGCTTGCAAAGCAATCTCATTTCTCATCGACACCTTGTAGAGTCAGCGATTACTGCAACCGATCGTGACAATGCAGGAGAATTTAAGACGTGTACACAACCACCCTCCATGAGCATCAGGTAAATAGTTGTTTATATAGATACAAGCACTGTTTTAATGTCATGATACTAGGAGACCATCTACAAACGAGAGCGACGATGAAGAAGAAGAACAACTAGAGGATTACCTCCATCCACATTCCAAGCAAGGATTTCTACGGCCGCGTCAAAGATCGAATGGATCATCATCGTCATCATCATCCGACATGCCACCAAGAAGCTACTCACTTGGGAGTGAAAACATTCGAAAGTTCTCTCAAGAGTCACTGTACAGCTATAGTTTCACCCCTTCACTACCACGATCCAATCGGATGCGTATCATGCGGCATGGCATGGATTTTGTGAGACGTATTCGCTGCAAACTGGATGATCGTGTTACACGACGCTACTCCCATCCTGATATTGGTGCATCAACATTCGATTGGCAAATGAATACTTGGAGCACCGTCAACACGCCTCGAACAAGTATCGATTATGATAGCATGGTTGCCAATGGCAACGGATCCGATCCCACAACAATGACAACAACAACACATCCCATGGACGACATCCCATCATCATCATCATCATCGTTATCAAAGCAGCAACGAAAGACATCAATGACAAAGCGACCCTCAACGGATACATCTTGCAATAATGCCGAGAGTTGTCAGTCGTACAGGCGAATATTGCATACACCAACACGATTTCTGCCACAGAATCAGGCCATTTTCACCACCGATCATGATGGAACCATTTTACTATTCAATGATATCGCCAGTTTATGTTTTGTCATGGATAAATCTCACGTGGGTCAATCGCTTTTGACAGTGCTTCAGCAACCTTTCAGAGATAAAACGGCAAGACTATTACGAGATCGTACAGCGGGAGATGAGGATCCTGTATTGGTGTGTGGCACCGTGGTCAGTAACAAAAGGGAAAGAGATGGAGGAAAAGATATACAACAAACTAAGCACATGACTTTCAGGTGCCAATTATTAAAACGAATGGTGAAAAGTCGGCTGCATCTTTATGGCTCAAACGCAAGGAACGAGATGGTGGCAAGATTGTATATATATGGATCTTTGAAGAGATATTGGAGAGCACATTAACAGCTTATCTTGACCCAAAGGTAAGGAAAAATTGTTGCTATACGTCTACTATAATACTCATCTATGTGCTATTATAGGGCACCATTAACCAAGTAATTGGAAAGATGCAAGAACTCTATGGCTATAGCAATGAACAAGTGATTGACAAGCACATCAGCCTATTGATTCCCAGCTTGAATGCTGATCCATCCAGCACAATCGATGTAGCAGCAACTATGAAATTTTTCGGCAGCCAGACTAAATACGGTGCTTTTTTTCCTGCTATGGGCACGTTGCATGCGAACAATGATCATACAGCTTTCACCCTTAAGATTATATCGCTTCCGACAGTGGCCGGCATGATCACTATTCACACCAACGGCATGATTCAGAGTATGAGTGCGGTCCCAGCAAAGTATCTCTTTGGTTATCCAACAGTCGATTCACTCGTCGAAAAGGTCCCAATCTCTCAACTTTTACCACAACTTCCCGAAATATTGGACAATTTGCAAAGGGATGGATTATGGGGAGAGGATGGCAATATCATTGGAAACACAACTTGTCGTCGAGCACTTGTACCAAGAGATTTGGCAACTACAACCGATCATAAACTTTCCATCAGCTCCAACAACAACAACAATGCACCACCTCTACCGGTTATTTATGCCGTACACCATGATGGAAGCCAATTTGAAGTGCAACTACGGTTACGCTCAATTACGAGTGCTGAAGGACAATTAATCAGCGTTTGGGTGGCATTCGATCGTATTCAATCTCTCAACAGAAGAAACAGCACAAAAAGAAAGGCTTCTTCTCCATCAACAACACAACAACAACCACACAACGACGACAATGACAATGACAATGATGACAATGACCCACAAGAACACAACCCAAATATGGATGATCATCCACATTGCCATGGTCATGGTCATGAAAAGAAGGCACGTTCAACTTTTCGATCACGACGTGTGGTTCAAATGGCCAAAGCGCGCGCACCTTTACCCAACAGAAGCCTTGCACCCGTCGTGGAACTCTCGGAACCAAACCCGGAATCGCCGACAACAACATCACCAGATTTGGATGTATCTTCTCCACCAGAGCAACGACCACCTCCTTTACCCACTGATGAGCATCACCCATTGGATGACTATGAGATATTGGATACATTAGGCGAAGGCACTTATGGAGCTGCCAAGCTTGCTTATAGAAAGGATGATGAAGCACAGGTATTTTGGAGGAGGAAAAACAATGGATCACACTACACAAATGGAGATTGACTCTTTTGCTGCTGCTGCATCTTTTTAGAAAATGGTCGTCATCAAATGCATTCGAAAATCACGCATTCTTGTTGATTCATGGATGAGGTGAGAGACGGGGTATATTATGCATGATTGTTTATTGCTAACAAGGAACCTAATGCATGTCCTGCAGGGATCGGCGATATGGGGATATTGTACCAGCAGAGATTCATATCTTGAGAACACTTCAACAATGCCCACAGCAAAACTGTTGCAGCCTATGTAAGTGTACTTCTCTTTTATATACCTCGGCTGTAGACATGCTTATGATGGTCGTCGTTTTACTAGTGGCACATATGGAAGATCAAGATTTTTATTACGTGGTGATGGCGTTACATGGTGACGGGATGGATTTGTTTGACTACATTGAGCTGAATGAGGAAATCTGCGAACAAGAGGTCCGGGCTATTTTCCGGCAAGTAGCAGAAGCAGTACGGCACTTGCATCACAACAAGATTGTGCATCGAGACATCAAGGATGAAAACATTATCTTGGATGAATCTGGCACCGTGCTATTGATTGATTTCGGAAGCGCAGCATACTTTCGATCAGGAAAGAAGTTTGAGACATTCTGTGGTACAATGGAATACTGGGCCCCAGAGCTATTACAAGGTATAAGCTATGATGGACCTCCCCAAGACATTTGGAGCTTAGGTATTCTATTACATACCCTTATTTTCCGAGAGACACCCTTTTATCAGCTTGATGATATCCTCGAGGACCAATTACACATCCGAGATCTACCATACCCAGGTTAGTTGTTCATTGTCTATCCCACTTTCAAGATCAAAGCTCACATTACCATCATCATCATCATCACCTTACTATTACAGGGCCGCATGATATACTACACAAAATGCTCAACAAGGATCCATCAAAACGCCCTACCATCGACGACGTACTTGCAGACCCTTGGTTTGTACAATAATAATGTAGACGACATTGAATTACTATTACTACACTCTACCACTCCATTGCATCGGCATCTATATATTGAACACCAATACTATTTATAAAATGACAGCATGGCATACATTTCTAGTAATCGCTGCGGATGATGGCTCATGGGACAGTGGGGTAGTGGCATTCTAAAGGAAATAATGCTGGGCGTGTGAGGATGTGGCATGTGCTTCGGCACATGGCAAAAGCTCATGTGACATTTTCCATGTGCACGTTGTTGTTGTAGTGAATAAGCCTTCCATGCGGGTATGTTCATGGATTAGCAATGCAGCTATGATAAGATGTTTTAGTAAATCTAAAGGATGCTGGGTACGATATTATAGCTTTTTGCATTGATAGGTGCCCATCCCTTTGTGTATTAGGTAAAGCCTATAGCGTTGGTTTTAAGATGGGCAAGCTTGTATCACCATCCCCGTTCTCGGTAATAATCTGGCATTTTGCCACAACGAAAAGCACCACATCTTTTCTTGGCTTCTTTTTCTTGATTCTCTCACTTTTTTTCCATTCCTCAGCATCTTGCTGCTATATATGCAGAAATGGAAGACATATTACGGATACATCTCGAGACCGACCAACTTGTAATGTATGGCTCTGCTGAGAACTCTGCTGGTTGTGTGTTGCGTGGCGTCGTTTCCCTTGATTTAAATCAGACAACACGGGTCCGCGGAATTACTTTACGCTTTGTTGGCAAAATAACAAAACGACACTCTTTTCGTGAGTATAACTCTTCCATGACTATGCACCACGCGTAACTTTTGTGTTTTTTCTCATGGTATATATGAGGTCGCTTGTACAACCAGGGCTTGGGAATGGACAAGAACGCGTCCACGAAGAAGCAAATAACATCCTTTGCCGTACTTTATCTTTCCTGCCGACCCCAAAACAGCTTCCTGCATCCAATTATACATACGATTTCGAATTTCCGCTACCAGGTCATTTGCCAGAATCGACTCGTGTTGGCAATGTATACGTTGTGCAGTATACCTTGGAAGCTGTTGTTCAGCGTCCCATGCTCTTTTTAAAGAACTATACCGCATGCAGAGCCATTCATCTATCACGACGACCTGAAGAAGATGAAATGATGTTATTGATCCCTGATGATTTCTACTTGACAATGGACCAGCATCCTGTAGCAGTAGCTGACCAATGGATCAACAAGGTCGTTTATAGCTTTTCAATACCAAGCAAATCTGCTCAGCAGGGTTCACAGATTGAAGTGTCAGGGCACATTCATTTACGCACCGACACGTTACAAATACGCTACTTGGCATGTTACTTTAAGGAATACATGTCATGTCGACAAGATACTAGAACTCTACGAAGCAACAAACCTCGCACCCACAGCCGTCTCATTCATTATGCCCAAGTAAAGAATAGCTACGACCAATTTGTGATCCAAATCCCTATCCCAGTATCACCCGAGGATTGTCAAATAGATTGCCTCAATGACGCTGTAAAGATAAGGCATCGACTAAAATTTGCAATCAGCGTCATGAGCCAAGATGGCCATGTATCCGAGTTGCGTGTTATGCTCCCCATCAAAATAGTACCAGGCGTCCCTGCCCATCACGATTACTTGCCAGCATACGATGATCAGCATTCTTCATTACCTTATGATCCAGCTGTGATGGCAGCCTTGCTACAACAACACCATCATCAGCAACAACAACAACAACAATCATCCACCACCACCGCCACCAGCAGATCACTCACATCTCGATCATGTGCACCGTCAAGGGAATTACCTCCCTTTCCACGTCTTCCATCTTATGATGAAATCCTTACTCGGTGACTACTACTACAACTTACTTTATGTGTGTTCTCTTGTGCATTAAAGAAAGACCACATGGTCACACCACTGTCACACTGAAACAGGAATGTGTAATGGTATATTCTAAGGACCCTTTCGTTCTACTTTTGTCTTTTTTGTTTTTCCCTCTTACAGCTTGTTGTTGGATGGATTATTACAAGGAGCTTGGAATTTCCAGAGATGCATCTGAAGAAGATATCAAAAAGGCGTATTTTCGGCTGGCACTAAAATATCACCCCGATAAAAATCACGCGCCCGAAGCCACTGAAAAGGTGAGTCCTTTGTGCGCGTGTGTGCGAGATATAAGCTATTCTTGATTGTGTATGGTAACACGTAATCTATATACACATTGTAGTTCAAGAACATCAGGTGAGCCCCCATTGACAATTTAAAGATTGCATGTTTGAGAGATTGACAGGATGATACGTTGAACCGGAAAATATGCACGCCGCTGTATCAGCCGAGCTTATGAGATTTTATCCGATCGTACGTGAAACCGGCCATAAGCACGCGAGACATTGTGTAACTTACACCCGAGATTTTAATTCATGCAGCTGAAAAGCGGCGCGTGTATGATAATCAAGCTTCAGCCCCGCCGCCACAAAGCAAGCCGGCATCCCAAAATAGATGGCCAAGACAAGAACAACAACAACCCTTCTATGATCCATTTGCGGGGTTCCATGTATGTGAACCTAATGACTTGATCATTCTTTTTCTGATACGAAAGATGTATTTTGTAGTTCCATACACCCGAAGAAATCTTTGCACAATTCTTCAATGGTCGTGACCCCTTTGCTGCAATGATGGGTATATACATAGGAGCTACATTGTTAGGATCAACACTAAGGCTGACGTGGCATATAGGCGATCCGCTCTCTTTATCGCTAGACACCGATCCGTTCTTTGAGCGACCCTCCATCTTTTTTGAACATCATCAACCAAGGACATACGCAAGCTTCAATACCGATTTCAGAAGGCACATGGGCAATGGTAGTAAAAGTTCGTCTCAAGTAACAACAACCTCTCGTTATATCAATGGCAAATATGGATCCGTTGTCGTGAAGACTATACGTGATAATCAGGTTCGTGCAATGAAAAGTAATCGTAATAACAGTAATAGCACAGCTAATCCACACTTTATTATCATAGGGTACACGTGTGATTGAAGATTATGGCAATGGAAGGAGGCGTGTTGTGGTGAATGGCGTGGAAACGGAAAACACACTCACTCCTCAAGAGCAATACAACCCTGTGAAACTGATGACTCTAGATACGTCTACACCTAACGATGAAGCTCCACCATCGTCTCGAATGCCGCAAGAGCCACGCCGTGAACCATATGTGAAACCATCACGTTCAGCTGCCCGACCCATCCTATTGGATGAGATATCAGGTAAATTGTTTTCCATTCCATTCACCTATACACTTACACATTCGACATTCTAGATCACAATAATCGCTATGGTCCTCGGCAGGGTGATCAAGAACCTAGCAACGTAAGACGACACATGATACGACCTCCAGTGTCAGCAACTGCATCCATGCAACAACCAACAGGCGGTGTTCTTGATACCTTGAAGCGTCTCTTTTGCTTTTGTTGTCCATAAACATCATTGGCTCTTTTTAAATCACTTGACGGCATGTTTGCCCTTCTTTATTGCTTCCAATACAAAGGTGTTGATACGAAAAGCATCCATGGATATTGTTTTGATGGGGATGAGGTTGTTCCATTTGTGGTGATGAACCTGCTCTGAGACATCGGAAGGGACAAACGTGGATGATGAGGATGATGATGACTGATTATCGAATATAGGTGGGCTTAAGTTGGTCTCTACAACGAGCGAAAAGGTGCATTCAGGAGGATTTGCTGATAGAAACGATTGACATGCGTTGATCCGTAATAAACATGCTCGTAATTGTTGTTCAAGATCATCCAACGCTATCGATGATTCGCTATTTACAGGATACATCCATCAATGATGTGCCGTGTCATAGCAACCCCCCTTTTCCTCTTTACCTCTCCAATAATTCATCCAAGGGTATATCGTCTTGCTTTGAAGCGTGGTCTAATACTGAATGGACCTCAAAGGTGAACTTTTCAAGGGGCCTTGAAGTTGAACGTATAATCAATGAGATGCTTCGGCAGTTATTCTATCATAGACATCAATACAAAAGCACCTTCCCACACACACATTGGTAATGAACCTGCTTACCTTGCAAATCAGCGTATGTACTGACTGCATAAATCGCCCAACATAATCGATAACACCATCATGCGTCGCCATGTGCACGGGAGCATCGTATTTTTTCCGCAGCTCAAAGATATCTAACAACGACCTTGGTCAAACAATGCACGTACGCACACCAATGGATTCCATATTCACACACCTGAAGGATAAACGTCGCGTTGAAAGAGGATTTCATGGATCCATACTTCTACTAAAGCAAACGGCATTAGCTTCCATTTCCCAATGCAACACCATGCGACACCCTATTCACTTGCAGAAATCGCAGAGGATATTGACAATGTCTACATGGCGTGTCGATTAGCAACCATGAAGGGGTGAGAGTATTTAAAACAAAGAGGTAAGAGATGTTGGGATCATAGATCAAACACACCTTGGCACGTGGGCATATGTTTACAGAAGGATACCAAATAGGAAAAGACAAAGAAGGTGGATTTATTATTTCATGCTACGACCTTGACATTTACTGCATCCACGGTCTGAAGATGGAAGTTTTCTCGACGTACAGCCAACAACAGCGAAGTACCACCTTCTGGGCTCACAGCTCCTGCCGGTACGTCAAAGGGAAATACATTCTTTGTTAGAGGCCCACCTCCTAGGGTGACGGATCGATCATTGGCAAAGAAGATGGATACGGTTTCAACAGGTGGCTCTGTTTCTTTAAAGGTCTTTTGTACACATCCCCAATGTCAATAATAAACACGTAGCAACGATCATCTCATTCATAGATATTTACCACATTGACATGTTGACCCACTTTCCACGTTGTTCCTTCCGTCGGATACACAATTGCTACATTCATTGTTCAATGTAAACAATCAATGTAGATGAATATGGTGATGGTATTACCTCCTGTGTCTTGGGCCGCGGCCAGGCCAGCCATTAATAGAAATCCAAGAGTTTTGGTGAATGAGACCATAATAGTAGTAAATCTTGCTTTGTTACTTTCCCATCAATAAAGAAGAAATGTGTCATTTTTATAAAGGATCGGCGATGTCACATTGTTTGTTTACAAGTATTGTATTAAAGTATTTACACGGTGAAAATATGTACAAGTTGAACAAAAGACATAATACTGTAAGACCCATCATCTAAGAGGAGTCGGTCTCGTTACGAGGAGGTTCCACCACGCGGACGGGAAAACCAATCACCTCCCACAAGTAGAAATTGCGACGCACAACCCCAAGCAAGGTGGAGCTATTACGGCCCGGTGGGGTCAATGCACCTTGAGGGACGATATAGGTGAAACATCCTTTGGTAGCAGGGCCATCTACATCATTGATTGATTGATTTAATGATATGATCATTCAACTCAGTCACACTTTACAACTTACGAGCAACATTGCTTGAACGATCTTCATCAAAGAAAAAGGTGACGGTATCATTGGCGGTGTATTTACTTGCGTTGTAGCATACATGCTCTTGATAGCCAACATAGATTTCTTGGAATGGCTTGGGATAATCCTCGGCTAGATTTGTATTCAATGTGAGTCCCAGGAAAATTTCCTACAAGACAAAACCACCTTACCTTGAACAAGTTGGATATGAAGGATCAAGCAGACAAGTGCGAAAAGGTAAAGTGCAACGTTTCTCATGGCGAATGGTAAGGGTTAGAGAAGGTGTGTATGTGTATGTATTGAATAAGATGCTTTGGAAAACGCTCATTTCAAGTCCTTTATATAATCTTCACGAGATCGGGGAGAACATCTTTGTTTCCATCGAATGGCGGATAAATGTCGCCCGTATGGTTAAACTCTCACGTCCAGTTTCACCCGTTTCAGGGACTACAGCTGCAAGTGTGATAGGTCCATCGTAGAGATAGAATCGTTATGCCGAAATGAAACACAATCATTGCCAATCGTTAAGCACGGACCTTGACCGTGAGAGAGAGATACAGAGATGCCAAAACGTCAACGTGCATGTTTGATTCGATGCATTTGCCTCTTGATCAAAGACGCTGTTTTATCCATGGTGGGTCTTCTTGGACGATGTTAAGTTGAGCGCATTGTACAATCCATTAAATGACCTCTGCTACTGTAACCGATGACATGCAGCAATTGGCATTTTCCAAGAACCTGGTCCAGCAGCGAAAAGATAAAAAGATAAGGTTTTCAAACTTGATTCATGCAGATCAAACTTTTGAATGTAGACGCAGCGTGGGAGGAAAGGTCAATGCACAGCTCAAATGGCACTTTCCCAAATCAAGATCGATCACCGATCGATTTGACCTGTCAATTGTCTTATGCTCAACATCGATTCACTTGATTGGGCTCGTCATTTCTAATTCTGGAAGAAGGATGAGCTAGCTTACCCTTAATTTTGTCCATATTTTTACTAGAATTGGGCCCAGGTTGGTTGTTTCATAAGATTCAATGATGATGTGATATGCTGTGGTGTAGATCCTCTCAGTGTCATGTTGAAATGTGTTAGCATCAACGTCAATGATAATCCCGAAAGGATGCGCACCTGAGGCACCCCTTTACCCTTGGTAGTATGATGTTTGTAATAAATGTGCTATACTTTTGGTCGCTACCCATTGTGGGTCCACACAATGAAGACATTTTTCTTTGTTGTATGTTGTTCTAATTGGTGACGAGTTAATGATTTTATTCGAGTGGAATGTTAATATGAAAAAGTAAAGCAAATACAAGCGAGTGATGTATGGTTTGGGGGTGAATCTCTAAGCAAACATTGAACCATTGACCATTTTCAGCATATAAATGACATGATGATACAACAAGATGTGATCATAAGGATCCGATGATACTGATAGTATAATGAAACGAGCCTTCATATGAGGGGAAAATAGGGTGCATGAGCTTGTAGAAGGTTGACAATGGCATGAACTTGTTGTGATGGCTCTTGGAGATGTAGTATGGGCTCCGACCGCAAGATGAATAGGACTCGGAGTGAGAGTAAATATCGCGTAAACGTCGCGTAACGCGATAACCGGCTTGTTTCTGTACACGAAATGGACGACGTCGACGATCCAACCGATTTCAAAGACCCAAGACTCCAAAAGTTCGATCACGACTTTCGATGCGCTATTTGCAAAGAGCTATACACAACACCGGTCCTACTCACCACATGCATGCATTCGTTTTGCTCGTTGTGCATTCGAAGACGTCTCGGTCAGGAACGGCATTGCCCTACTTGTCGCAAAGCAGGCGATGAATCGAAATTGGTTCGAAATAGTGCACTAGATGACCTCGTTAGCAATTGGAGTTCGGCTGTAAGGTAAGCACACTGTAACATGGCATTGCTATAGAGAGGATCTCGCTCATATGAAATGCGTAGGAAGCTCGTGGTTGCACAGCAACAGCACAACCAAACACCTGTACCTATGCAAAATGGATCTAGCAACAGCACTCCCAAATCAGGCACACCCGAAGACTCATCACCAGGCACTCGTCGATCACGGCGTATACGACAACAGCAGCAACAGCAACCTAATGTCCAGGAAACGGCTATTGATACACCTGATGTCTTAGCTAATCCTCGATCACTACCATCACCAGCTGTGCAAGGTGTTCCAATGACAACAGCAGCGTCATTAACGCCACCAGCGCCTTCCGTTACAGAACCAGAAGTTGTAGATCTAACACGTAAATACGAGTGATACGATACACCTATGCCTATGTTCTCCATCACTGATATCAACATCTCTAGAGGAATCGCTCGTCAGCTGTCCAATTTGTGAACAACGAATGAAGCAAGCGGTCATCAATGCACATCTTGATCGTTGCATGCGAGGTGATAGTTCCTTCATACCATCTGTTAGTAGTTCATCATCAAGGGTAAGCATCGCACATTTGTGGGTAAATGAGTATATCCTTATACACATCTTTAGGCTGCACCTTCTCCTGGATTCTCAAGTTTTCATCATCGTCAAACACAGCGGCAGTAAGTATAATGAAGATGGTACATTGGTTACGGCAAGGAATATTGACAACGAGCCTGTACATCCAGAGCTGAACCATATGGGAAAAAGCCTGTCAAACTCGTATACGACATGCTTAAGGAAAAAGACCTACGACGGATATTAAAGGTATTGAGGGATTAGGTGTTGTATGCTACTTTAACTCTTTGTTGACTTACTGCCGATGTCTAGGATCTTAATTTGCCTGATTCAGGGGATAAGCAAATGCTTGTATGGCGCCATAGAGAGTACCTTACATTGTATCATGCAAATCTGGATGCAGCACAACCAGTTAGCGGAGCGTCATTGATTCAAAGGTTACAAAGTGCCGAGAATGCATATTGGAACAATCAGAGTCGAGAGCGCCCTTCATCATCGGACCTTGAGGAACACAATCGTAGATACAAGGATGAATTCACTCGGATGATTGAGGAAACTCGGAAGCGAAGACGACCAGCAGCATCGACACTATCCACTAATAACGAAGACACGTCATCCGAATCATGTAAGTTCATCATACAGCATTTAGGATTTGGATGCTTAATTCATTTTCTCATATGCTAGTGGAAGAAGAAAGCCAATCTTCTAGTACAGGACGATAGTACTTACAGTTTACCACCCTTATTTGTATCTATAAAAACCGAATATCCTTTGATCCCTTTGTTACCGTGAACCTGTGCTACGATTACCACGTGAACGCGGATTGCCCAAGTCGGCTGTGCCGATGTCAATGTGCACGGGGCCCATTTTAGTTACATGCATATGTATTTGATGACGAGACCCCAGAGCATTCGCATGACTTTTTTTTCTTATTCCTTGCTTTTCACATCTCTCTCTTTACAATGGAATCTGAAGGTATCGTATGAGTACGATCTTTGAGGAGCTGAACCATGTTTTAATGGCTTAACAAAAGTTGCCACGTATGGAAGCGTCAATATTACAGCAGAAATGGGGGTAGCAGCAGCTGCCTTGATGGCCTGCGCAATGTTCCTTCTGGTATTGGGATACCACATGCAACGAATAACAAGTGGTGTTATTGGATTTCTCGCAATTGGTATGATTATCTTGAAGAGGCCGTGATAGCATTCTGAAATGTAAATGGATTTCATGCAAGGTCTTTTCACCTGGATTGCTTTGGCCAACCAACGACCAAGCGGTGGTTACAATTCAAATGATGCAATCACGATGTTAGTTGTTCCTGCAGGCTTGGGTGCACTAGGTGGTCTTGTATGTTTTTTTATCCAAGCAATCAGGGTGTATGTCATTGGTGGTAAGTGGTATGGTAACAACGTGTTGCACTTTTCAATGCTGATTTTCTAACATGAAGCATCGTATTCATAAATAGCAATTGGAGGGTTGGTGCTGGCACTCTACATCCTTAGTTGGAGAGAAGATCTCGTCATCACTCAAGTAAGTCATCACCTCTACCCCATTATTATACAAACAGCAATAACACAAAGAGACTACGTTTTGAAGCCTGTGGGACGAGCATGTTTTATTGCATTACTCCCTCTGTTGACAACGGCCATCACTTGGACTTTGGACCAATATGCAGTGCTATTTTTTGTTTCCATGACGGGCGCCTACACGTTCATTGTTGGCATCGACTTCTTGGCACATACGGGCTATATAAGTGGTGTAAAGCAAATCTTGGATCATAACGACGTCTCTCAATACAACATTGATGCGCGAGTATATGTAATGCTGGTGATCACTGCTGTTGCTTGTATTTTATCGTTGATATGGCAACATCTATATGCCAAGCAGAAATCGACAATCCATGCTGCAACAAAAGACGAAGAAGCACCACCAGCTGAGTCGCCTTTACCAGAGCAAGAACCAAACACGGCAACTGCTGGAGAAACTCATGGCAGTGGAGCACCTTCATCTGCTGCACTTTCTCCTCGATCAATGTCCGTATCATAGCAACTTGAATGATAATGTTGCTTTTCAATAAATGACTCGCTTCGCTTGTAAACTTTCGTTTTCTTGTTGAATGGCTTAACACTACCTGGTGAGCACGCTTATGCAACTACAATCCATTCTCGTAGTATTCATCCTTGCAGGAATCTGCAAGGCTTTGCTTTATTCATGTTAACAATAATAGACTACCTCGTTAATACTCTGTCCTGGAACAATGTCAATACATATAACTTATATTACCATCGGTTCATCTCTCCCACTTTGCACCCCCCCCATTCAAAATCTTCGTAATGAAACGTGGAGGCTTTATGAGAACCAAATTGATCAGCATGCCCGAGAGCACCTTGTGTGAAAGTTTGAGGTTCGAGAAGGGCAATCTCAATATCAAGGATTGATGTACAGTGTTCATGCATTTATACAAGAGGTGTAACCTATTTAATTTCCACTGCTTCCCCTCCCACAACTTCTTGTCTCTTCCTCCCATTCTCAACTGTTGGCCCATTCAAGTATACAACTACCACCTGCGAACGATTGTCCTGCTTCAACCCATCATGTCAACCCTACGATTGTCTTGATCCGATTGTCTTGATCCGATTGTCTTGATCCGATTGTCTTGATCCGATTGTCTTGATCCGATTTGTCTTTGACTAAATGGAATGGCGTGTACACAGCCTTCTTGTCACTCTTCTACAACACACGCTCTTGTACGCTTCTCTGCCACGATCAAACGTAACAGCATTCATTCCAACAGTTGCTATTCGCTCCATTGTCTCAAGCAGCGTTCACAACCTTGTCGCTCTACTACAACACACACTCTTGCACGCTCCTCTTTCACGACCAAACGTACCAGCAGCTGCTATTAGTAAGGTCTCAAACAGCATCCTTTACTTGAAGCAATTTGCCTTGCAGTCTTCTTCACCTGAACAAGAGATAGCCATTGTATAGAGGCAGCTTTTCCATGTGTGGCAACTTGCTTTAATACAGACGATTCTTATCGATGATGTCATATCAATGCGCCACAATACAACAATCTTCACCTTGTTGAGCTGCGATGGAAAAGGACCGAAAAAGAGATTGACCAATGGAGAAGGTTCAGCAGCAATATTGGACTTGAAATGGTTATGATGGATGGATGCAATCAAGTGCAGCGATGAGAAACAAATCCTGGAATGTTGCTTTGGTTACTTGACGCATCGTCAGCAGGAACGATGGATCATACCACGTGGTACGGCTGAGGATGATGGTGGATTGGTTGAGAGGGCTTTTATCTTTGGCAAAGAGTGGTTGATCACGATTGGAAAACGCGAGTCAATACATGCAGCAGCTATTTTGCAACCATGGATGAAGGATGCTTATGACGGCAGCAGCCAAGAATACAATGACACAGTTATCCCTGTTGACTCTTATATGATTCATCCCTGCCTTATTCGATTTGTAATACTCTCCTTCATCAACTTTACTTTATAAACATCCACACTACCATGTGCTATGCTTCGACTTTTTCATTGAACGAGGATTGGTCCAACACAATGTGTATTCATATGGGTATCGTACTATCAGCACAAATGTGCAAGATGTGGATCACATAAAGGGGGAACATGAATTTGAAGGTCGGAAAACGAGGTTGGATCATTTACATCATTGTATCGAGATGCTTTTGTTCTAGACGAAATGCAGTAGTAAGGTTTCTCGAACGTTTATATTGAAAAGATAATAAACTCGAGAGTGATTTTGTTCAACATCGTGCTTGTTATGTACATAAGTTTGGTGGTCCATTGGAAGCTTAATTCATCATGTTCAAGAAAGAGTGAGCTGCTGTAAACTGGAATTGGCGCGTACATGAATATTCCATACTTACTTATGACAATTTTCAGCTAACGCTGTCTTATGCAACCTTATATAAGAACGAACCATTCCATACGAGTCATCATAGGCGGACCTTTCTAAAGGCAGGCAGTGGAAGGATCGATCATGCATATCTCAACCAATAGGATTTCCCTTCAAGTCCTGTCCCTCGGTTTCGTTACACATGCAGGCCCTTTTATATCTTTGGCTCTATCAGGGTTTATCTACTTGACAATGAACAAAGACCACTCTTCATATAGAATCACGCTTACAAACATAAAGGTGCCTGTATCTCCAAACTTTACAATGAAACGTGGGGTTTTTATTAGAGCAATGGGCTTCGGCTTGGCCAACAGCACCTGCTTTGTGAAAGTTTCGCGTTCAAATGTCGCAAACAGCCCAAAAAATATTTTTTGGTCATCGTCGTCGAAGAGGTCGACCCCTGGATCCAGTTTGGCTGGTAGCGACATTGCGAAATCTGGGATTGGCAAGTTTGATCGTGAAACTGGCACCCAAGGTGCAGTTGGCCAAGCCGAGCATATTGCTCTAATAAAAACCCCACGTTTGATTGTAAAGTTTGGAGATACAGGCATCTTTATGTTTGTAAGCGTGATGCTATATGAGAAGTGGTCTTTGTTCATTGCCAAGTAGCTAGACCATGGAGAGCCAAAGATGCAGAAGGACCTCTTTGGGTAACTCAGCTAAAAAGTCAGGACTTCAGGGGCAATGCATGATAGGTACGCAACCCTCACTTTTATATCATACATTGGCAGCTAATAGCCACTTTTGTGCATTCCCAACTTTTGTGCATTCTATTGTAGGTGGACGATGCCCCTGCTCTAGACATTCATTTCCATGATTAAAGTAGGTTGATCCGAGCTGATTTGGTTGAGTTACGCTCACACAAGATTACATCGGTTGAGCTACATCGAGCGTGCTTCATGTCCAGAGCGATGTTATCTCTCTTTGACCGCAGCTCAGTCAAATCAGCTCGGATCAACCTACTTTAATCATGGAAATGAATGTCTGGAACAGGGGCATCGTTCCCATGCAGTGGATCTCGCAACAATGATGATTGGATAAAAGTGGCCGTTAGCTAGCAATACATGCCTGTTCCTAGATGATCCATAAAGTGATTATACATTGACCCCTTCATTCATGCAAACGTAGCTGTGTTACACAACACGACCCTCTGCATCTTTTGCTCTGTCAGGGTCTAGCTACTTTACATTAAACAAAGACCACTTCTCATATAGCATCAAGCTTACAAACATAAAGGTGCCTGTATCTCCAAACTTTACAATGAAACGTGGGGTTTTTATTAGAGCAATGGGCTCGGCTTGGCCAACTGCACCTTGTGTGAAAGTTTCACGTTCAATGTCGCAACTAGCCCAAAAGATATTTTTTGGTCGTCGAAGAAAGTTTCAAGAGGTCGACCCCCGGATCCAGTTTGGCTGGTGGCGACATTGCGAAATCTGGGATTGGCAAGCTTGATCGTGAAACTTTCACACAAGGTGCTGTTGGCCAAGCCGAGCCCATTGCTCTAATAAAAACCACACGTTTCATTGTAAAGTTTGGAGATACAGGCGTCTTTATGTTTTACCTATGCTGTAAGCGTGATGGAGTTGCTTTTTCCTAGAGTGGATGGTGTCGGCTGCATTAACGGAAAGATGAAGAGCTGCTGAGTGTATGGCACGTGGTAGTTCCACACGAGCGTCCTTAACAGATTGTTGCACAAATGGATCATGATCATGATTGCCTTGAGGAAGGTAAGTAAGTATACAGCATCCAATAATGAAGGTGTGTCAAGGTTTGTGTATGGCAATAATGACTCAATATCGCATTTGGATTCTGTGGAGTGTCGAGCTGCATAAAAAGTGATGCGCACGGACCATGTTTGATGCCTTCACAGCCGGGTTAGAAAGCTACGAGGGGCATGCACAATGAAATAAAACGGATAGTGTATGTGTATGTATGTGTTTGATTAGTAATGTAGAATTCACGTTGCCTCAAGCAGAGATCAAACCACTCTTTATTCATGATGCATTCGATGGATAGACATTGCTATTTGAGAGCCACATACATAATGCTGGATCAACAACAATACCAGCAGTACACGATGATGATGTATATTAACGATGCTTTTATTCCTGAATACCCTATACTTTTACTGCAACCATAATCATCATAGCCATACAAGAACAACACGTTGACTTTTGGGGCAAGTGGTGTTGTGTGGAAGCTCCCAACTCAAGCCGCGAAAATCAAAGTCTGGCGCCTTAGCCATTATGAGGTATGGGGGGGTTGTTGTCCATGGAGACGCCTCAATTTTAAGTTCAGCTGCGTCGCGACCAGAGACAAATTGCTGCGGACCACTTGGCAACCTCCACCTTTTCCCTCTCAACTCAATCGATCGACTCGCATGGCGTGCGTGCTTTTCCTACTATCACGATGTTTTGGCCAAAGTAAGTTGTTTCTATCTTTTCGTTGCGTTGCTTGTAATACTCACCGTGCCTTGTTTGCAGCGACTTGGGGGACCTAATGGTGTGCATTGGAAACTCTTTGCCCCCTCACCAGCCCGGTTTCCACACAAGGCTTCCATGAATCCCAGCAGATCTTGATGAGGAGGTAGCAAGGATGTTGGCCATTCCTCGTAAACTGGCTGCCCACTACGTGTCGGCGTGTTGTATGGGCGTTTGGCCGAGGACGAAATGCAGACCGGTAGCAGTGTCCAGGGTGCACTAATAAAAGACCGCTATCCAAAGATACCAACAAGTGGCTCTTGTTTGGGTAATGCCAAAGGATTCATTGGAAGGAAACTAGGAGGGAAGATAAGTATCTTACACCTATTTGCTCTCGCTCACAAGAAACATGCTACACTTTTCTATTTCAAGGACACAAGCATGGTTTCTTCCAAACGAGGTTTTGGCGCGTCAAGTCCTGGCACCTTAAAGTGACATGTACAAGCGGCCTCGTCGACCTGGAATTGGTGCCTACAGGTAGAGGTTGGGGATGGTTGAGTAGCGGCCTTCTCGTTGGTCATCCCTGTGAGTACTTTAGCCTTGGCTTTAGGAAACGAACAGCTACTTGTTTATTCTAGTACATATCGTAATCATTATTAAACCATGCTCTTTGATTAAACATACATCCTTGTCTTT